TGTCCTTGTTCCGTGTTCCGTGCAGAGACCAGCCACCGCGCCCAAGCCCGCCAAGCCACCGTCCAGTAATCCATCCGAGTAGATAAAGAGGTGACCTGGCTCCAATGACTCAAGCAACTCGGTGTGTGCTTCTGCCGCGGCCTCCTTCAAGTCACTCGGCAATCTTGCTCGTCGGCATCTTGGTCATACGCTGACCGTTCGTCGGAGCGCATGCTGATTGCTTCGTCGCACGACGTGCACCTTTGCATAACAGGCTGGCAAAATTCCAACGCAAGCGGCCCGGCTTTTCAAGTTCTTTCTCGGCACATCTAACACGCCGCTCCGCAAATCCCCCACCAACAAAACGGGCAAAAAACCCGACTTCTTGTCGACAAGTCGTGCTCACCGTGGCGAAGTATCGAAGATGGCAATCAACCACGCCGTCGTTTTGGGCGAGCTCACCACTCAGCAAAGAGGCTCCTGCTTCACCAAGGCGCCGAACGCGACCGTCACGGATCGGCTGCTCGTCGCCCAAGAGAAACAGCGGCAATTGCTCTTCAATTTGCTAGTTGCGCGATACGCACGCGTGACATCTCTCTTCATTCTGGGGGTCTCGATCACGGCCAAGTCCGCGATGGAGCGACCGTCGCGCCGATAGAGGACGCGTGGGGAGCCGAGCAAATTTCCAAGTTCTCGGCAACCATCAACTTCCTCCACCGCCTCGACGGTCGCTCCATCGTAGTCGAGGCGAACGACGTATGCGGACTTGGCCGTGATCGAGGCCCCCAGAATGAAGAGAGATGTCGCGCGTGCGTATCGCGCAACTAGCAAATTGAAGAGCAATTGCCGCTGTTTCTCTTGGGCGACGAGCAGCCGATCCGTGACGGTCGCGTTCGGCGCCTTGGTGAAGCAGGAGCCTCTTTGCTGAGTGGTGAGCTCGCCCAAAACGACGGCGTGGTTGATTGCCATCTTCGATACTTCGCCACGGTGAGCACGACTTGTCGACAAGAAGTCGGGTTTTTTGCCCGTTTTGTTGGTGGGGGATTTGCGGAGCGGCGTGTTAGATGTGCCGAGAAAGAACTTGAAAAGCCGGGCCGCTTGCGTTGGAATTTTGCCAGCCTGTTATGCAAAGGTGCACGTCGTGCGACGAAGCAATCAGCATGCGCTCCGACGAACGGTCAGTGTATGACCAAGTCCGACGCACCATTGTACTGATCTGATCAAACCAAGTGGTACTTGTTTCCCTGCTGGCACCTTTCCGCGACTCGGCGACGAAGACCTGCTTCAGCTGCGCGATGTCCCTTGCTCTCTTCACCCAGGCCGAGTTCCTCTCCCTCTCCGCCTGGTCCGGGTCCCTCTCCCTCTTTGACCTCTTCAATTCCCTCTTCGAATCAAGGTCTTCCCCGGCCAGATTCGCCGCGACCTTTTCCAATTCTCCGAACCAGGCCCCACCGGCGTCGAGCGTTTCGTTTTGGTGAGGCATACAGAGATCGCTGATGAATTCCCTCAAAGACATTTCCCGCACGTTCCCTTCCCTGCACAACTGGGCCTTCTCCTCTTGAGTGCGAATGAAATCGTATTGGTCCGACCTCTCAGAAATGGGGAAGAGCGGGGACAATGGGCGCTCTGGACGCTCCGACTCGGGGCTTGGGTCGGCACTCGATCGATCTCGCGCTGTCGCAATGCCCAACTGCCGCACAGTCCAAAGGCAATGCACCACGTGCCTGATGCACATCAGCGGACTTGATCTTGGTTACGGGTGACACGCATAAGGAAGGATAAATATAATGAAAGAGCCTCACATTTACGAGGCGACCGCCAATTCGAAGCCATTCCAGAGGTGTCGATGGGACCGACGGCGCTTCCGAATCTCCGAGTCGCAAACTGGTGGAAGTAGGCGATACATTCGAGGCGGTGCGGGCGACATTGTGCTGCGCAGGTTGAACATTGCTTGAGATCGATGCAAGACCACTCATAGCTGAAGTGTGAGGATGGGGTGCCGACCGAATCTGCTGTGCGGGAGCGAGGTGAGTTCGAGTCGAGCCGTTGGGAGAGGGGCCCGGGGCCCGTGCAGATCGGCCTCCAGTCGGTCGAAAGCTCCTCGGCCGTTGACGTGACATGTGGCTCTATCTCGTGAGTCGCCATCAATATCATCAGGGTTCCTCATTAGATGGAGCACATCTCCCTTAGATATAAATGTCCTCTTATCTTAGATGAATAGATCAGCTCCCGGGGGCTCCCTTCAATATCTTTAGACATTTTAGAGTTTTAGATTTTTTTGTGTCTGGTACAGACTCTTGTTGTGCTGGAAGTCGTAGTTTCCACTAATAAGGGATTTCGTGCTCTCTAGCGAGGACATGCATCTCATTTCTGCCGCATAGCTCGGCCCTAGCGCTTACCGCGGGTGAGCGCGGCTTGCCGTCGGGCCAACTCGGGAGCCCTCCAGACGTTTCTGCTGCCAAAGGGTGCTTCATCAACTCATCACACGAAGAAAGGAGGTGCAATTGCAACATTTTGGGAACATCGCAATCTACCCGCGGGCGGGAACATCAGCAAAATGGCCAAACGCGCGTAAGCGCGCGGAACCTCGTAAAGCAGTCGTTAAGCGGCCTAGAGCTGCTCTTAAGCGCCCTTAACCAATCGTTAAGCCGCGCGCGCGTTAAGTGTCGCTTAAGTGTCCCTAGATAAGGGACTCTTACGGCGCGCTTAAGACTCCTCGCGCGCTTTGTTTGCATACGCAAAGCGGTCCGTAAGCCCTCTTATGCGGCGTAAAGCGGTCCTAAAGCGACTTTATCCGAACCACAGACCGTGTTTTAAGCGGCTGTTTAGGCAGTCTTATCTTCGCAGCCCCTGATCTGTTGTCATTATAAACCTATGTTACACTCATATACTACAGTCAAGTGAAGAGAGACTCTTCAAAGTCGCAAGCCCGTTGGGCTGTGATCCTCATCTCGTCACTGGTTCCCCGCCTAGAAACCCCGGGCCCTCGATACTCCTCGAGGAGTGCTACTTCCACGCTGTTCTGTACTCGATTGGTGACTCGTACCTGCATAGCTTCTGAGTAAAAAGGCCCAGAGCCTTCTCTACGACGCCTACGCAGTATGGCCATGACGGGACCCTGATAGTGAGTGGCCGAGAACTCGTGCCAGAGCGCTACGGTTTGCTTCGCCACATTCGCATTTCTGCCAGCGTCGGACGATTCGGGGAGCGATGAGGGCGGCGTAAGGACCTGCATGGCATACCGAACCTGATCCGTCATAGCAAGAATGTAACGATATGATTGGTAGTTTGAAATGGACATTGCTGAACAGTTGAGGAACTTACGCCGGCATATGCATGAGTCAAAAGAGCGAATGCAAGCTCGCGATGATCATTGTCGTTCGGGTCGAGGCCTCCCTTTGGCCATTGGAAAGCAGCAGATTTTTCTTTCCTTATGCCGGCGACGATCTTAACAAAGATCTCGTATAGAAGGTCGTTCTGAAAATCATCCTCGGCCTCGAAGGAGTAATCGTTCATGTCGACCCCACCCTGAGGGAGAAAGATGTTGTAAGCAGCTCGAAAATATTCTGCATGAAAATAGTTTGAAATCAGGCGCCAGCGACCATCTTCTGCTCTAGAGTCAAGTCGGATGCTTGTCGGTGGTTGGGCTTTGAATCCAAAGTCTCTTGATCTATTGGCTTGCGGTTGTGCGCCCCGTCGTAGGGGGCATTGACATCGAGGTTCCTTTTGACCAGGGGCGACGATCTCGCAAACGACGAAGACGAGCCTGGTGTACGACTGGCAACCCTACCTTGCGGTGGATTGCGTCTTAAAGCTTGTCCGGCGATTGAGGACTGTAGAGCCTGAGCCTTGGGCTGGGGCGTCTGCAAGTGTTGATACGACCCATTGAATGCCTGCACGCAAGTACCGGAACCTGCTTGAATGCTACTCACTACGCCTGGAATGACGCTTTCGTCATCATCGTCCATGATGCTGGTCGCTACCTTGTTGACAATGGCGACAGTTGCGGCGCCATCGGCGCCATCCACAACCGTGGGTCCGACTAAGTCTTCGCCCTCGTCCGAGTCTGCCTCGTCCTGACCGTTGTCCGAAAAGTCACAGGGGTCCTCGGCTTGTCCACCCAACACAAGGCCCTTTATAGCAGGATCGATATAGGAGTCCTCGTCGCCGCTATCTTCGTCGCTGTATGGCTCAACAGAAGTCTGCTGTGCACGGAAAAGCTGACGTGTGGTATCTGCATGAACGGTGTGAAGAGAAGAGGTGCGTGTCACCGCAAGCCTGGACGCGTGTGCAGGGGCTGCTGGGGTTGCACTGGAAACAAGGACGGGCGAGGCCTCAGTTCACCTACATTCAAGAAAAGATACAGTAGAGTTAAGAGATCACACTTGCACGTACTTCTCCTTCTGCTCCTTTGCGGCTTTGTGGCGTTGCCAAGCGTCTTGCTTCTTCGCTGCGTTGATTTGGCTCACACCGACAGCGACGTCGAGTCGCCGCCGCTTGTTGTCGGCCGCCTTCGTGTTCGCCGCCTTTCGTTTTTGCTGGGCTTGCGCCCTCTCCCGTCGGTCCGCCGGCGTGTCGCGGTCCCGCATTGTAGCAAGGCGCACAGACGCGGTGGCACTCGTTCGAGAAGGTCGAGAAGACATGTGAACAGATCGCTGGACAGGCACTGGGTGGAAGGGCTACGACCGAGACAAGACGAGAGGCGAGGAAGGGACGGTGAGTGAGTGAGGAGGAAGAGGGAGGGAGTCAAAAGGTGGTAAACAGAACGAGCGCGCGTGACACGTCGCATTTGTTGTTCGGTGTTTTTTTTAGGGCGCGGTTTAGCGTGCGCCAACATATGCAGTGGCCCCTATGCTGCCACGTCGCGCCGCAACGCGCCAGCTGCGCGGCGTAGTTTTGGACAACTTAGCGCATTTCGAGAAAATACGCCTGCATTCAGGCTGTGTTTACGCGCGTCCCTTGCCTTCCTCCAGCTTCAGTCCACTCTCGCTGACAGTAGACTCGTCGTACAGGCCTTCGGGATGTCGCTTGAACATGAAGGCTCTCGTTCGCAAATGAGACAATTCCGATGCAACATTGCTGGTTGTCAGAGATCATTCCACCATGTGCGCAATCTCGAAGCACATTTGCACGTTCACGACAGGCCCCGACCGCTCGACCGCGTACTACCCACGTCATCGGCTGCTGAACGAAGTCACCTCCAAGTTCTTAGACAACAGCGCTCTCGCCAAGAGTTCTTTCGCCGACGCCGCAGACGACAGAAGAACCTCAGAAACGGTTGGCCCGACTGCGACGTCGATGGCTCGCCCCGCATTTGTTCAGCCGTTGTTAGGCCATGCGGAATTGGCACCCGACCTGGATTTTCGGAATGTGATGGATCAATGGAATGGGGTGTTTGTGGTGAATCTCGCCCAGGATCAACATGTTTTTCGTCACCTTGGGCGTCATTTCACCATAAATCTATTACGTGAAGCATTGCAGGGCACATTGCGGCCTGCTCGACGGCCTCCAGTGGCGGACTCATAGATTTTGCTGGAAAGTTATTTTTGTAGAAATTACGGTGTTATATAGACCAACTACTTCCTGAATATATGCTCCTTAGCCTCATTGAATAAAATCAAGTGAAGCGCCTTTTGATGGGATTTTAGCACAGAAACTTGTTGGGGTCAAGAAAGCAATCCGCCCGCTCGTGTGCAAGTACAGGCTTCGCAGTTACGTATGCGAAGTGTAAGCGAGGTCAAACGTTAAGCGCGCGTTAAGCGATCCTTAAGCAGGGCGAGTCATCGCAGCGCTGGCTATGAGCGGATTATGAGGTTCGCCCAATTCAGCCGCGCGCGTATGCGTCCTTATGCACATCTTATGCACCGTTAAGCGCTGTTAAGCGCGCGTAATCTCGGGCGAATCCTTAAGTGGGTTCGCGCGCGTGGCCATTTTGCGGGACGGTTCCTGGAAAGACGCCGACCAAACCCTGCTTTGCAACGAGATTCTCCCGCGCGTCCTACTCTACTCGACCAAAGATTTGATCGAGGAGATGTTTGACGTACCAAGGACCCACTTTGAGCTGATGTGGCACCGTGCTGGCCTGTCGGGACTCGCACAAGACGCGCAAGGGTCGCTCCTAGATCGCTTTCGAAAAGAGCAAGAACTTGAAGCATCTACCGGCGCGGCCAAGAAATATTCGGTGATGACGGCGAGCTGGGTTGAGGATGTTGCGCAGCATGTGAGTCGAAGCTGCATTCAAGCTCGAGCATGGTGGGGGCATCAGCTCCCTACCGACAATACTGAGCATCTTTCCCTTTTCCTATATGACCTCACAGTGCCACGGTCACGACTAGCGACCACACGAGTTCAAACTCTCGGTCGCTGTGGCTCAGCGCCCCTATCGAAACGGGGTGTACGACGAGGTTAGCGACTACGAGGAACATACTGCTGTGTCTGATCTTCCCTTCACTACGACACCTTTCTTGGCCTGCGCAAGAGATGCTCCCACAACAACATCCGGCGCAACGTTCTGGAACCGAGTCATGGTCCCGTTCGCGGTCGGTCTCTCCCCGCGGCTTCCTACATGGGACGACGCGGGTGACGAGGTGCATGCGCCTGAGCTGGTCAAGGTCGTGTTAGATCTCGTCGAACATATTCTTGCGCAACCGAGTCGACTGTTTGCGCCGGGCTTAGCGATCAACGAGACTGTGGCGTACTTGGTTGTGCTCGACCACGAGACGTGTCGAATTGCGACCATCTCGGACTGCTGGCAGAGGGGCTTCGGTGAGCTTGCGGCGGTGCTCTCGGTCTTGCTCGACCTCGACGTCTACTCGGCGGGGTTTCCCTCTTTCCTGCGCTACAAGTGCTTGCCTTCGAGTGGGATCACGGCAGTGTCGCTGCTCGCGTCAGTCTTTGACTCGTCGGCGGGACGCTCCGTCCAGTTCGAGGAGGAGGAGCCGATCGCACTCTTGTCCGGCCCGGCTGGGAAACGGGGTTCAGTCTTCTCCCGGAGCACGGCGGTGTTTCATCTCACACGTCCCAGTTTGCAACGGGAAAGTGGAGATTCTGTAGCGCCATTGGGATCTTCGTTCATGTTCAAGATGAGCTTCGTCAGCCCGAGTACTGCGAACGTCGAGCTCGATATGCTCACACAGATCACCAAGGCGCTCGACGACGGAACACTGCCGCCGAAGGTCGCGCAGCATCTCGCTCTGCTTGAACTCGCCCAGTCGCTCTCGCCTCATAAGTCGCAGCTTGAGGACGCTCGCCTACCCCGTCCACCAGCCCCGCCACAGGATATGTTCTTGCCGTTTTGGCCACCCTGCGCCGAGGTGTCTCGACGCACGCTCGAGCTGCTCATACTGCGCAACCCAACACCGCTGCCTGTGCCGCTCGTAGATTTCGCGCGACCACTCGAGCCGAAGCTGTTGGAATCAACAATGATTCCGAAAATGATCAACAAAAGAAGAGAAACGGCTGGACCAGGAGTCGAACCTGGGTCGTTTCCATTAATCGGAAAAGCTTTGACCTCTAAGCTATCCGGCCCCTGATATCAGTGCAAGGTCTACTAACACCTTCAATACTTCCCCTTAGACCTTTGCACTGCTGCCAGGCTGTTGCAATGCGTCGACTCTAAGTCCCAATTGGACTCTGTGTCAAGCTTCTGCGGCAGCTCCGGCAGCTATGTGCGGCGTCATTGGAAAGATTTACAAGAAAGGTTCTATAATAGATCCTCACAGAAGCCGCTACCGCTACCGCACATTCCACAAGTCTTTGATCAACTTCTCAACGTTCTGGCGATTTTGGTCGAGCGCAACTTCCACCATCGTGATTTGTCTGTGGGCCACATCCTGCACTACCAAGGGCATCTCGTGCTGGTCGACTGGAGCGCAGGGATCAGGGCACCCCTCTCGGACTCGGTGCTAGTGGGCGCGGAGGAGTCGAGGTACCTGAAAGGATCGCCCTACTCGGATCCTCTGGATTGGCTGGAATCGAACAGCGACCCGGAGGTTTGCGTTCCGCCCCCCTACCAGCCCGCGCATGCGCTGGAGTCGACCATCTACTGCCTGCTCGTGGGTTTGGCGCACCGCATCGCGCCGCAGGAGGAGATTTGGCGCACCTTACGCCTTCAGCACCAGAGTGGAGGTTTTGCGAGTCCGATGAGGTATTTTCACCTGCGCGGCATGCTTTGGAGGCAAAGCCCGTCGGAGTCATTCTCTCGGCTTTCGAGACGAGGGCAGCTCCTGGCGGCGATCCGCGGCGAGGACGCCGCACTCGGAGACCTGGTCGACGCTGTGACGGAGGAATGGCCGTTCATGAGGTCAATTGACAACGGCGGTAAGGCTTTGTGGGCAGCGATTCAAATCAAATTCCATGCTTTCGGTGGTAATGCGCAGTAGAGGCTGTCTTGCCCAGCCTTTGTAAGTGGCACATCTAATCCTGCAACTCAGCTTTCTTTTTCTCCCTTTTGTGCAATGAGAACAGTTTTTACTCAAGAGCGTGTCCTGGGGCAAGCGTATGGGATTCGAACTCATTCGCATTTACTTCGGGAAGTGTGTGTCGGTTCGGGCATGAGCAGCATGCTTTATCAATCATCAATGAGATGAAAGCTCAAATTGCGAAAACAAAGGGCATTCCGATCCGAGGGAGGACTCAGACTCGGAGTCGACACGAAGTCGAAAGTACCTTCGACGACTGAAGCAGAAGGGTAATGAGTTCGCGTTGCATCAGATGCATAACACAAAAATTCAAGTAAGCATGCAAGTCATGTGCTACAAATGTCAAATCTCATCCCGCTCGTGCCAAGCATGCACATCGTGAAAATTGCTGCTCTGGCGCTGACCGTATTCAGTTGGTGGGGCCCCGGGTTTGGCTTTACTCTCGCCTGCAGTGCTTGTTGTTATGCTGCATTGCTGCCGTAATAGCAAAAAGACACTACCCAAGCATTCAAAGCAGCGATATGGGTGATCACTTGTCCCAATCTTGATATCCACTTTGATTGATATGTCATCGATAGAAACAGACATGCACGTTCGGCCCGATGTCGAGTGCAATTTGCACCTTTGGGATTATTAAAGGCACTTTCGACGATTCTCCCTGCTTCGAAGGGGTTTCTTTTTTGCTTGATTTTATGCCGGTCTTTCCAATGCTTCCGATCGACACCGGGGTGTCTGCATTAGTGGACTCCTTCCCAGCCTTTCCTACTAAACAGAGTCCCGCCGACAGTACTCCGACTGCCAAGTCCCCGGCGTTCCCCGGCGTTCCCCCTTACGTCGCCTTCACGCCACATCCCAGGACGGTCTCGACCCGATCCCGTGGAAGATAGCGGACCGTACGTGGTGTCTGCTTCCCTCGGCCACTCCCGTGCAGTCTATTCTCCGGTGAGGGTTGTTCAGTGCTAGCACGCAACCGATTTGGTATGTTCTGCATCTCCATCTGGGCTGCTTCCTTTGCCGTGCTCGAACCGTCGGACGGACGTGCCGCCCGAGCAAGCGAGCCGGGCTGACTCACCCTGGGTTGGTTTCTTGCCCAGTTCAAGCCAGAAGCGTTTCCTGGTGCTCATCTGGAGGAACAGGTTGTCGTTGCGTGTCACCCCCTCCTCGACCACAGGCACGAATCACTCCAGACGAACACGAGATCTCGACCTCGAACACGGTCAACTCGAGCGCGGCCAGCCTGCAGCGGTGGACGTACGTCGCTGTCGTACGATCTTCAGCCGAAACTTCAACTTCCGTATACACCACAGCAGCAGCTCCCACTACTCCAGTGACTGGATCCGATACGACGCCAGTGCCCGAGACTGTGGGTCGCACCTTACTTGACGCCACGTCCACCTCGCCGTTATCGTCCCGCGCTCCGCCATCGTCCTCGAGATCGTCATCATCGTCATCGCTCGAGCCACAGCGCAGGAATAGCAACTCCCCTTCGACCGTACGCATCACCGTCAGCCTTCCTCTCGCTCACTCGGACTGCCAACCCGACCGAGCTTGTCGTCATGCAACCTTCCAATGAGGATAGCCTCATCGGCGCCGCCTCGCGTCAGCTTCCCTCGATCGCCTCGCTCGGTTCGATCGGAACTCGACGCGTGCCCGGCCATGCGACCCCACCGAGTACAGCCAGTGGTTCGAACCGCTTGCCTGTCATCAACCGCAGACGATCAACCGCCGCGGCCAAGGCCACCTACTCCAAGCCGTTCCCGATCCCGACCTATCTCAGGCACTCGAGCTTTGCCGATCGATTCTTCACGACGCCCACCTTGGCCGAATCGAGCTTGCTCAGTCCGACATCGGCCACGACGATGACCACCGCCGGGGCTGGAAAAACCACGACAAGTCCAACTTCAATTGGTCCTTCGTCAGCCTATTCTGGCGATGGCGATGTCGAGATGAGGTCGTCATCTGTGCCGTCCTCCTCAACCACGTCGGCGACTCCCAAGCTGAGCGAAGGACTATTGGGCAACATCACCGCCGGCTCGGCCACGGCAGCAAGGATCCTGCTTCCAACTTGCTTCGATGACAACGACAAGTGCGCCTTGATTGATCTGTCATCAGATGGGCTCACCGTTTCCTTTTCGGGCTCGGCCAAGTACGGCGACCGAGATGCAGCAGCCGTTCGAACGAATAGACCGATCCCGCCCCAGACCGCGGTGTATTACTTTGAGGTCATCATACTCGACAAAGGCGCACAGGGTTACATCGGCATTGGATTTTCTCATCGCAACGTCTCCTTGTCACGTTTACCGGGTTGGGAGGACCACTCGTGGGGCTATCACGGCGACGACGGCCGCGCTTTCTGCTGCCTCGGGACGGGTGAACCGTACGGCCCTACATTTACGACGGGGGACGTCATCGGCTGTGGAATTGACTGGACGGGCATGGCTCCCCAATCGATGAAGGAGAGGCATCGGCCCAAGGATGCCGACAAGAAGGGTGGCGGGCGGGCGTTCTTTACAAAGAATGGCGAGTTCCTAGGTCAGTGTGCGGATGGGTGCCCTATGTACGGACTCTGGTTCATTGGTGTGCAGATTGCTTATAAATTGTGTACCGTACTCTGCACACGACAGGATACGCCTTTTCTAATCTACATGGGTTTCTATATCCGAGCGTCGGACTACGGACACCGGGAGAAATCGTCAAAGCCAATTTCGGAGCTGAACCCTTTCGCTTTGATATTGATGCGTTGGTACAAGTGAGCCAAGGTCTACTTGTCTCGCTTCTGGTATGATCCTGCTAACAAGTTCACCCTCGTCCACTAGGAGCGCAAAGGTGCGATCGGCGAGTTCATCGAGCGCACGGTAGTCCCATCAACCCTCTTTCTACCCTCCCCCAAACCTGCGATTCCCTCCCTCTTACCTGCATCATCAAGTCAGCGAGTACACGAGACGCTCGAAGCCTTGTTATTGGCGTACTTTGTGCACCATGGATACTCCGAAACGGCCCAGGCTTTCCAGGCTCAAATGACGCGGGATCGGATCGAGCGGGTACGAGGCTTGATACCGGGCGCCTCGGATCAGTACGGCAAAACAAACGGCACCTCGTCCTCATATACAACAATGGCTGCGAACGACTCTGACTTGCGGGGCCAGATCCGCTCTGCCATCCTAGAAGGCAACCCGACCCTCGCCATCACGCTCGCTCAACGCCATTACCCGGGTGTCGTTGATGGCTCGCAGTTCCCCCTCGAAAGTGACTTTGACCCCGAAGGGGGAATGCTCTTTCAACTGCGCACGCGTGAATTTGTCGAGCTAAGCGCCAAGATCAATTCACCCTCCCCGTCCCCGTCCTCCATGTCGGACGATTCCGACCTCGAAGAACTTTTTGCCCTCGGTCGTCAGCTCGACGCGCAATACAGTAGCGATCCTCGACCGCATGTCCAGGCAACACTCAAACAGACCTTCGCCCTCTTGGCCTACGCTTCGCCTTCCCTGATGACCTCCCCTCAAATCCGCTACCTCTACTCGTCCGAGGCTCGCCAAGCCCTAGCGGACCAAGTCAACTCGCGCATCCTCGTCAGTCAGAAACTGCCGCCCAAGCCCGAGCTCGAGTCACTCTATCGGCACACGGCCGCGGTCATCGATCTGTTGGGGAGGGAAGGTCATGGTGCGGCGGCGTTGGTGCATATGAAGAAGGAGTTGTTACCCTAACGCCTGCGGGCGCGGCGAGGAATCGATCGAATTTATATACGTGGGATCAGATTGCTTTCCTCTGTGCGTTGACTGTCGATCTCCGAACACAATTGGTTGTTGTAAAGGATATTTGTTGTTCGCTCGATGATATCAAGCTTTGTCGATGAATGCTCTGGATGGTCGGAACACGACCATTCTTTGCCCGAACTATGGAAAGTAATTACTGCGACGATTCGTTTAAATTGCAAATCTCATGAACCGAGAAAACGAAAGAAAAGGATATCATTCAGCCCCAGACAACAACTGCTTGAACTCGCTCGCATGCTTGCCCGCCAAAACCTCGCCCTCCACGAACTGCGCAAACTTGGGTGCCGCGCCCGTAGCACCCGCACTACTCCCATTGGCGCCACCACTGGCGTTCGACGTAGTGCCGAGGTTGATCCTTCGGTGCAATGCAGCAATGCAGCGCAAGGTTGATTTTTGCAGTTCGGCCAGACGTTCAGTCTCTTGCTTGACGGCCGAGTCCTTGAGGACCATGTCGAGCGTCGCCTTGAACGCGGGCACGCATTCGTCGAGGCCTGATCCAGCACACAAAAGATTTCCGTTAGTTTGAATGTAACGCCCGGAAACGAGATTTGGTATTTGGCACATGCAACTTACGCTGAGCCACCGCAGTCTGCGCGACCATCGCCAACTTGACCAACATGAGGTAGCACAACTTTTTAATGTCTTCCTCGTCGGTCAACCCCCGTACGACATGACCGAGGTACTCGTGCAGATCGGCGTCCTTGATGCACTCGTCGAGCAAAGTGTGCATGCATTCGTACGCGGTCTTGCGGAGATCCAAGCCGTCGTCAACCTTGTGCTTGAACGGGCCCATTTCGACAATACGGATCAGAGCCTCGTTCACGACGGTCTGCTGGTACAATTCCGGCAGCAAGGTCGAAAGGTGTTCACGAACGAGATGAGGCTTGTTGTGCGCCGCGGACGAGAGCGACGAGAGCGCCAATCGTCGAACACCGAGATCGGGATCATGGATCAACTTGAAGAAGTCGACAATGAGAGGCGCGAGCAACAAGTCGTACGAGCTCGACTCGTTCGTAAAGGTGAAGCGAATTGCAGCAATGACGGTCGCGCGCGTGTCCTTGGACTCGGCGTCGAGGCGCGATTGCAACTGCGGCAAGCACTTGGCCGGGTTCATGACGGTGAGCTTGCCGAGGCAGTCGGCCCCGACGTTGCGAGCGCCTTCGTCGGACGAGGCCGAGTTGTCAAACAAGGGGGTCCACAGCGCATCTGAGATCGAAGCCAGTGCTTCGGGCGAAGAGTGAACAATGACCTCTTTCAACGACTGCAAGGCGAGGTACCGCTTCTTGTCGCCCGACTCGATCGCCTCAAGCAGTGCGGGAAGGTAAATGGTCGTGTTGCCAACAGCGATATTTCCGGCCGCATAAGCAGCTGCGCGACGAACTTCCTCCGAAGCATCCCCAAAGTGCTTGACGACGTTGGGGAACACTTCAGCCCTACTAGCTTCCAGATCAACGGATCGGCCAATCTCACCAAGCGAGAGCAAAGCCAGCACTTGGGCTGGGGTCGACGATTGGGGCGAAGCGATGACGTCGCTGTACTGAGCAATGAGCCCCGAAGCGATTGAAGGCACCTCACGAACGACGATACCGATGCTACGACTCGCAGTGGAGAGTGTCGAGCCACTGTTACTCGCCTCGCCGGATGTTGAAGGCTTGGTGGGAGCCTCGATCGCGGCCTTGCTGATCGTCTGCACCAGTGGCATAGGGTCGGCACCTGCGCGAACGTACGCTTCGAATACCTCAAGCAATGCGTCGAGAGCGGGGCCGTGCTGCAGAAGAGGTGATTGCACGAGCTCAATCAAGCGAGGTAGAACCGAGGCCTCGACATCATTTAGAACAGCGACCGGATCTGTGACCAAAAGAGCGGCGAGCGTTTGAAGGGTGAGAGGGAGGAGGTTGATGTCGGTGTCGTTGACGAGCGGCTGCAGCTCGGTGAGCACGGCCGAAGACGTCTCGCTGGGGAGCGGGTTGCCCGGAGCACTCGCTCGTCCAAGCAACACCACGAGGCTTTGGAACGATGCGACCTTGAGCGGTCGGTGAATCTTGCGCAGAAGCACCGAGATGTCGACGAGGCACTCGTTGATCCAGTTATCAAACTTGTCACCCTTGCACACCGGCGATTCGGCGACCTCACCGATAACCTTGACGGCAACGAGGCGGGACACCTCATTCTGCAAGCGAGCTCGAAGAAATTCGAGCGACGTGTCAAAGTCGTTCGAGAGGAGGTCACCAGCATGGTACAGCAAGGCGCCGAGGCACACGATCCCTTTAGCTTTGACCTCTTCGTCGGCATCGGGGCTGGCAAGTCGCTTCATGGTCGCGTCGTAGATGGCAGTGAGATCGGGCGCGACCGAGGCGGGCACGGGCGCGGAAGAGGGTATCGGACGGAGAACCTTGACGAGCGCCGTCGACGCAACGAAAGCCTCGGCAGCGATCTTGTTGAACTTGTCCTGAATCGTCGCGACGTGCAAAGGGACCAGCTTCGACAGCTCGTCACTGAATGACTTGGCGGGATGTGTCCGGTAGAAGAGCGCGAGAAAGGAGAGCACTTCAATCTTGAGCTGCGTCGCCGCGCCCGACAATCCACTGTCGGACGTTCTGAGCGCCGCCTCCACGCGTGCCACGAGCTGTGTGATCTGCGACTCGACGCCTCCGTCGAGAACGGCGATGAGCTCGTGGAGCAAGGCGAAACCAGCCTGGCGAATCGGCAGCGACTTGGAGTTCAATTGCTTGATGATGGACTTAGCGATAATCGGCGTCTGGGAACTCAGCTGGGCAATCGGGCCTTCTTCGGTGTCCATCTGGTCCGAGCTCCTCTTGCGCTTCAGTCGGCCCATCGGGCTCACGGCACCACTCGAGAAGCTCGAAGGACCGGAAGACCGACCCCAGACTTTGGTGTGAGCCAGCAAAGCCGTGTACGTCCCCCACACCTCGACCTTGACGGTCTCTTCGCGTTCACTGAACCGAGCGATGAGGGCAGGCGAGATGGTGTGGTAGAACGACGAGAGCAGATCGGCGCGAGTCTGGATGCAAGCCGTGAGAAGTTTAGTCGCTGATCGGCGAACCTTCCACGAGGTGTCGTCGTCGTCAGAGTATCTGCACAAACAGCGGACGGATATAGTTCAGTTCTCAGGCTAGCTACCTAGAGTACTCTCCGGTACTTACTCGTCGCCAAAGTCCTCATCGTCTTCGTCCTCTTCACCGTCATCTGAGGCAGCGCCCATCTCGACATCGTCATCCTCGTCATCCCCGGCCGAGTAGTTGGGGTCGTGTTTGAGCCATCGAGCACCAGCATCGACAATGGCCGAGAAATGGGAAGCGATGTCGGTGGGGCACTTGAGCACAAGCAACTCGAGACTTTGCAGAGCGCTTTCGCGCAGATCGTCGTCGTCGTGGTCGAGCGTAGCCAGGATGAGGGGAACGAGGTTCGAGGCTTTCTTGCCCATCTTGCTCGGTGCGGCGCGGGCGAGCGAACCGACGAGTAGGACCGAGGTCTTGAGCGATTCGGTTTCGGACGTGTGCAGTGCCTTGGTGATGGTCGAATTGACGAGACTATCAAACACTATGGAATCGGTGGTCGTCGACACGAGCGTCGACAGGGTCGCAACGGCTCGCTTTCGCAGCGCGGGTCGTGAATGCTTGAGCAGCGGCACGGTCGCCTTGAGTGAAGCGTTTTGGATGTTGGGCAGGTTGCGAACACTGGACTCGAAACGGGAAAGGATGTCGGACAAGAGTTCAAGAGAATCAAGGAGCAACTCGGACGAGGAAGCCGTCTGAAAGTTTCGACAAACGAGATTGTCATGCGAGCTCAGTCAACTCTATGTGGGGCTCCAAACGTGGGGGCGTTCGACTCACGTTCTCGAGCTGGGCGATGACCTTGGGAGCCAATTTGGAGCAGCACGTTGTCGCAAGCGGTGTTCCGGGTACGACGGATGCAACGACCGTCTTGAGACCTGTCAAAGTTATTACAAGTCGAGGTCAGTCGAGGAGATTCCGCAGCTCCGCCCTCGTGTTGCAGGAGGCGACCTACCCAGGCTGGCGATATCACGCACGCCCTCATCCTTGCTGGCGGCAAAGTCGGTCAAGCGGGTGATGATGATCTGCACCCTCGCATCGGATACTCGTCCGCACAGAGCAGCAAGTCTGGTCAGAGCGGGTGAAGCGTGTGCGCACGATGTCAGATGTCAGTCGAGCTGCTACTCTTCGCGGAGAGGGCACACACACGCAGCGCTGCGCTCGACTCACGCCTTGACGGCAAGATTCTTGACTTCTCCATTGAGATCGTTCATGAGGGTGAGGATCTGTTCCACGGTCGAATGCTCGGTCTGGTCGTCGAGGCCAAAGGTGTCACGCGACCGGTTGATCTCCGAAATCAGATCGTTCAGCGCCATGAACCTGCGACAGCGACAGCAACACTCATTGGCAAGCTCGTCGATGAGAATACGAGACACTGGACGCGTCACTGACCTTAGATCAGCATCCGGGTTGCGCATCTGTGGAGCCAAAGATAGGGAGGCAGATCGGGTGGAGCACACTCGCCAGTCAGCGTCCCGTTTAGCCCGTCTCGGCAGCCATCCATTGCCCCGTCACGCACCTTGGTGACCAGACCCTGAACGGCATAGCTGTTCTTGGCTGTGCAGAGGATTGATGGGGGCACACCGTGAGAGCAGGGGTCGTATCAGCGTCATCGCATCGACTCAAGTGGAGGCGAGCGGAACGATCGACTGCTGCAGACGCCGGCGCACGAGCACTATATTACAAGCAGAGACTCACCTGACATGACGAACAGTAGCTCTCGCTCTTTCGAAGTGGATGGTTTCGAGGGACTGAGCGAAACAGCGTTGAGGTGTGGACGAGAGAGCGCGGCGAGAGAGCGCGAGAGAGCTGAGCTCGACTGAGGCACCACGTCGCGAACAACCAACTAATGATCTGAACTAATTGCCTTTCAGCGCGTCGAGCCCGTTTCACTCTCAGCATTGCAAATCGTTGCTATTTTTGCGTGATTGCCTCTGCACACGGAGAGATCCGGACGATCCACTGCATAACCTGGGATAAAGCGAGATCGATAATCTCGAGGAACAAGTGGCTGAGGGTAGAAAGATAACCCAGTCGCCTCGAAACGCTAACCGCTCAGTCCATATCAGACTAGTGAACAACACTCAAGCATCTACTGCGCGTCATCATTATCCTTCCACAGCGAGAGCGTTGCCAACAAGAGTGGAACTTTGCGTGGGCCCCTGCCGATAAGTCTTAAAACCCTTTAGCACTTCATAGCTACAGGGCCCGTCCTTTGTCGCATCGTCCACCAAGTCTCCGAGTCGGGCATTGTCGTTGCGGAGGATTGCAAAAAGCTTCTCTCGTCCCGAGCGCTATAAACGTTCCTGCGATCGGACACCCTTCCGAAGCATGTCTTGTATAAAGAAGTGGACGGATTTTGTGTCGCGCCGTGTAGTCTCGCGTATCGGTGCTGAATGAGTGGGAAGCGCCGCGCCTCCTACGGAGCGACGTGATGCGCCACCTTGAGGAAGCAGTAGATGGTCGACACGAATGCGTGCACGAGCTCGTAGGTCCGTCTTTGGGGGAATGACGGGCTCTGTTTCCATGCGAGCCAATCCATAAGGGCCGAATCGACCAATCCTTCCAGATATCCCACCCCACTTGCGCCCGTGCGCCCACAGGCATCGAGTGAGGAGGAGGTGCAGTCCCAGCCCTCTAGTCGAGCAACATGACGCGGTGCCCTTGGTGGTGCTGTCTGCTATCCACACCCAGACCACGATCTTGATAGCCGTCTTTGGTCACAATTTCTGATAGGGAGAAGAGTTGGTCAGAGAATTGCGGAGTTTGCGTTGCCGGTACTAACGCCTTTGGCTCGAGCGGTAGCGCGAAACTCACGAGAGGCGCGGGCAGGGGTATCGAGTTGCGCAGCAGGAGCAGGAGTAGCTGGAGCGTATATCTATCGATTCAATCGAGTCAGTTCGGGGCAAGATCTTCCCGAAGGCTGGCCACGTTCTTCTGGATTGGAGACAGTGGAGCGACCTACATTAGGCTCGGACATGTTTTGGCGAGTTCGAACATGGTGAGATACTCCGGCGGAGGCGGCGGGAGTGCGCAGACGTCAAGCGCTTTGGTCGTCCGTTCCAGCATGTCGAATCTGTCGATCTCGGCCTTTGCAGTGCTCAAGCTGTATATCTCCTGTTGAACAAGAAGGAATATTCAGAAAAAGCCGTCTCAGCACCGCTATGCCTCGATCATGTAACGTGAAACACGGACGTACTCTAGGAAAAGGTCAAACGGCCGTGGAGCGAACCAAAGCGCGATCGGTTCCCTCTCCTCGAACTGGACCATGCGCCCCGCCCATGTACCAAAGACTGATGTTAACACCGATATATGGGTGATAAGCACTTTTAACGAAGGAAGGGGAAGAACCTCGCCGAGGAGACGTCGAAGTCGATCAGGATCGAGAGCACACCTGCGAGCTCGCCGAAGCCCATCTGCCATCAGTCCGAGATGCTCGCGACTCAGTAGCCCCTTTTGAGTTGGCCGCACGCCGAGTCGCATCCAGGTCGACTGTCGATGCACGATCGAGACAATAGTAGGCCATGCCGAACTCTCCAACCGAAAGCCAAGTCACATCGCGCCGATGATCATCACCTGAGACATTGCCCGAAAAAGCAACAACCTTGCACATCATCTAGGTACCGCCACATGCTCATCTGCACGACGCACACGGGTATCTGGAGCCCTCACCTTTGCTCGGGGGGAAAGCGACTTTTTAGACCAGGTCGCCCTGAAAAATTGGGTCCCGCCTCGACCTCAGTGCAGCGCTGTCGCGTATTGAACGTTCCCCCCAGCGCCGGGTCATCGCGGCGGCGCGCGCGAGAGCCCCGCCGAGAGGGGGCGATCAAGCTTCCAGCTCCGAGCCTATTCCGGATTAAGGAACTCCGAGGATTTAGGGTGACCGGACGCAGACGACGCAGAGAGATTAAGAATGGTCGCGAGACCTGATCACGAGTATTAAGCAAAGCCAGATATTACCTCGAGCACCCTTTCCTCTCGGCGGGCCTTCTCTTGGTCACCGTAGTGCATAGCCGACTGGGGGACTGCAGCCGTAGAGATTTTTGACCTCGGAGGCTCTTTTCTCTCGCCCGATCGCCTCCATCGAGCACCTTGCAGTCACTCCTTTCACCACAGCATCCCAGGGGTCTTCTCTGATCATCGCCCAGCAAAGGTATGACCGTTGTGACAGCGTTGACGACTTCAGCGGGATCAATGTGGCCCTCGTGTGTTTCGCCGAGCTCGACGAGCCGACATCCGGCAGCGGCGGGAGAGGCCTCTCGAACGCCCGAGTCCGAAGTGGCTCCGGTGATTAGCCAGCACGCCCTAGCGCCAGTCAACCACCTCTCTCCACTCGCAAGCCGACCCCACCCACACGCCTCGACCAGCAGTCCCTTAGAACACGGCGCTGCACACCGTTCGTCGTTCAGCTTGCCCCGAGCCGACACTTCGCCGGGGAGCTATATGTCCATGTCGCCGGGGAACTCTGTGCCGGCAAGCCCGGCAAGTGCAGGAGGGGGAGCAAGACGCTCTAGCCACGTCGCGCAACGTTCCGTGTTCGGTTTTATCGTCGGGCACCACTACACGAGGATAGACGATGGGCCACCGTTGATATCCGTCGCACCTTCCAGTCTGTCGGCGACCACCGGGGCTCTCGTACGGCACCCGCTCGTGATCGTGCTCGTCACGTGCTCCGTGAGCCTGTTCTTCCTCAGCAATTCAGTCGCATCTCTGTGGAACGGCCTCAGCGACAGTCAGTGCAACTACAGGAATGGGAGCAACATTGACGTCTTCCAGGACTACAACATCTCCGCCCCCGACGGCAGTGCGATTGCGACCTTCATCGGTAAGCCGCCGCTCTCCAAAATCCGCATGAAAGCTCCTCGACGGACCCCGGCGAACGACGAAGGCGCTTCGGCAATCTCGAACGGGACCTGAAACCAAACCTTGCAATTTGACGATCTTATCCTTGAGAGTCGGCCGGGAACGTATCCTCCGCTTCCCTCTATTTATATTCTTCGCAGGGCGCGGTGCGACCCTGACCAACTTTTACGTCAAGGACAAGAACGGTCATTTCCGGGACGTCGTACTAGGATGTAGGTAAAAAACACCTTTTTGGGCTCACACGAGGGTCTTTTGCGCCCCTTTCGGCGTCTGTGACATCACGCCGCGGACCGCTGACTCGGCGCCGCCGGCGCTCCCGTCCCCACGGTCTCCCCCGCGCAAACGAACCCTGTATGCACTTGCCTTGTTTCGAGCGTGCAGATGACGGCCGGAGGAAGTACCTCACAGATCCGGAGTACGCCTACTATGGAGCTGTCGTGGGCCGGTATGCGAATCGGATAAAGAACGGTACGTATATTTGGAATCGCTCTTTGGCTGCGATGCTCCACCGGTGACCCTTTGCTGACGCCTACTGGCCGACCCTTTCCGATTCTCAGCCACGTTCTCCATTCCACCTCTTCGACACCTTGATGAGCCGCTCCCACCCGGAATGACAGTTTACAAAGTCGCTGCGAACGAGCAAAAAGGGAACACAGCACTTCATGGTGGGAAATGGGGTTATTCGAGGGCTGGATGGTCCTTGATCAAGCATGAGGCCGATCGGATCACGTTTGGACTCAGGGACCGAGGAGCTGAAGGTGAGTGCCGCCCGACGAGCTTTCCGCCGAACATAGAAGCTGATGATGTTAAACACATGTACAGGCTTTCCCGGAACAGTCCATGTTCTTGCTTCGTACACGCTTGGCCCAGATGCGGTATGGACAACTAGACTATCTGGTCAAGTCAAGGCGGGCAAAGCAACGCCGATGATGATGTCGTCCCACGTCTACTGGAATCTCGATGGCTATGGCTACGATACCTCCGGAGCGGTCGGTAAGACGACGAGCAAGGGCGCACTGGACCATGTCTTGAAGATCAAGAGTTCGAGCTATGTGTCGACCGATGAGATCCTGGTACGTCGAATAGCGAATGTGTGTCCACTCCGTGCTCTTCTAACCTCTCAATTCCTTCAACCCTGCAGGTCCCCTCGGGACCCATTACCCGTATCGCCTCGAACGCCTCGCCCCTCGACTTCCGGAAAGCGCGGATAATCGGTTCCCGCTTCAGTCGGACCGACGGCCTTTGTGGTGGTGATTGCACAGGTTACGACACATGCTTCATCTACGACCAGCGCGTGCCGAGGGAACCGGTGATGGAGTTGATCAGTCCCGGTTCGGGGATCAGGTGAGTGACCTATCGAACTGCATTTCATCAGCCCAGCACGAGCTTACTTTTTCCTTTCTGTCCACATCACGACCTCACAGCCTATCAGTCCGCACAAATCAGCCGGCAGTCCAAGTCTACACGTGCAACCACCAAGGCTCGACGCCTCGCAAGCATTCGCATGGTGGACCCGACGCCGGCTTTTACGAGAAGCATTCGTGCGTCGTCTTGGAGCAGCAGGGGAGGATAGGGGCGATTCGGGAGCCGGAATGGGGGGAGGATCAGGTACGCTGGGCTCATTGCGGGTTTGTTGCTGTCGATGCCATCGTAGACTGACGTGAAGTTTACGGATGCTTCAAAGATTTACACGCCGACGAGGGCCCACGATTGGTGGAGCGAGTACTCGTTCTCGACCGTTTAGGCCGGATCCATTGCGAGGCGCAACGATACCAGGAGAATGAAAGAGCACGTGTAGCCTATACACTCCAGATGTTGTAATATACCACATACCCGTGAAGGAACGTCGGCGCAAGAAGCTTGCAACCTGCCCGGTCCCCAATCATCAATTCTCCGCCTCAATCAAGATGTTCCCGCGACTGCAATGCAAAAGGAATAAGAACCACATACATAACAGCTAATCAAGCGCACTGAAAAATCGGATATTTTTCCGCCCACTTCATCCCCTTCTTCAACCCCATCCCTACCAACTCAATCAGAATCCAACTCGATCGTGCCCAAACTTTTCACCTCCGGCTTGATTTTGGGTTTCCGATCCGCCCCACCCTGCTTCTTCATCTTCCTCTTCTTCTTCCTCTTGGAATTCAACTTGGCCAATTCGGCCTTCAACCTCCTCGCTTCCACTTTCTCCTCTGGTGTAAGACCCTCATCCTCAGATTCGGAAGGTTCGGATTCGGCGGATGATGCGGAAGCTAGGTCTTCGGATTCGGAGGACGAGTCGCTCACTTCGAGATGATCCCCTGCATTTTGTATGATGCTTGCTGGTCGTGGGGCACCGTTGGCGTTCGGTCGTGACCTCTTCGACCTGAACAAATCAGAAACGGTCGGGGTAGCCGACGTCAATTAGCAAAGTTCCCCTCTAAAAAGGCTTCTCCATTGTCAGTCAAACGTACTCGATACGATCTTCGAGCTCCAACAGAACTATGAGACAAGAAGTCGCACCCAATCAGCGTTTCAGACATTTCTGACGATCGAGCAAGCGACCCCGGACTCACTGCGTGCTCGATACCTAAACTCGATAAAGCCCATCGGGGACGAGAGGTCGCCCAAAGCGACCGTATCGCAAAAGTGCAGCTTCTCCCGAACCGGGACAGTCGAGCCGAATCTGGACAAAACATGATTCAGATCCCCAATGAGCACCCCCAGCGTGGTAGGCAGTGCCATACTACTCACGCGGTGGTATGCGACAACGAAGCCTTTTTCGATTTCTCGTGGAGCACCGGTGGGTCGGGGTTGTTGTTATAAGACACGACGTCCCTCAACGTCGGACCGAGGTGTTGACTCTGAATGACTCGGACTTGAATCGTACCGGCGTTCTTGATCGTTTCCTCGACCTTGGTCGCGGTGTTGTCGTCGTCTGTGAGTCGGATCTTGCCAAAGACGAAGGGTCGTTCGCTTGTCTGGGGAGGAACACACGATTCGCGAGATGACATCGTTCCCCAAACGATCCTTTGGATCAGTCTTCACCCTTCACTGATGGTTCACAGCATTACGACTCCGTGCCCATACCTCGGATGCTAGCCGCCCCGACAGGGTGGTTTCTCTGGCCGGATGATCCAACGGGTGGCCGTACCGTGCGTGATCCTTCTTGGCCAGGATGCCGCGTTGCCTGTGCATTCCATCCCGCGCATTTGCTCCGATGGGATCAGTACCTCAGCCTCAGTGTAACGGACAATCCGCATGTCTCCCCTACGCTCTCACTGACCTAGTACCATCAATGTAAACCCACGCATCGAGATCGGTCGGCGCGCTGAGCCGTTCATCCCGGAACTTGACCGCATACGGCTTCCTTTCCTTGGACTCGATGTACCCAACAGCCTTGTTCCCTTCGATGTGCGGGTCGTATATGGGTGCATCGACGCCGTCGACGACAACCCAGGCGAAGAAGCCGGGCAGGCCGGGCGCCTCGCTGCGAATGTTTGAGGCAAGACCAAGAGGCCGCAGCGTGTTCCCGCCGTCAGTGATGAGCGATGAGCCAAGAATAGGCTGCGCGAGCTTTGATAAGATCCGCGTCACTTACAGACGTTTGACCGGCGGCTTGGGTGCCATGGTGGGGGGGCGTATGGTGATGCGAAGGCGCAAATGACAAAGGAGCGAACCGTGGCGACGAGGTCGTGAGGTGGGGTGCCGTCCGGGTTCAAAATTAGCACGCATATAGGCGCGCACCTCTGCGCACCTTATAGCTTGTCTGAAACCTAAGTTTCTTTATTGCCTCCTTGGCCGTTCCCGGGCGAGCTGCAGTAGCAACTTGGTGATTCTTAATAGCTAAGATGTCTTGCGAGCTCAGAGTTGTTACCTCGCACATCTGAAGGCATCCGGCGACTCGGCGACTTTGTTATCCACGGTCCCCGTCGCGCCGGCTCCTACGTAAGGTTTTTTGCGCTGAATTCTCGTCCAGAGTAGGCACTCGACCACCCGCGATGAAGAGCACGTGCAAGCGTGGTGGTTGTTCAATGCAAAGAATTGCGATCATACACGGGCTTTAATTCAATACCCTTGCACCCATAAAGCTCGACCAAATCGAGCCGAAAGCGGTCTGCTCGCAATGGAAGTCAAAGCGATACTGGTCGAGTTTGATCGCTTCGAGACTTTCTTTCTTCTACTGCTTCTTCGACTTCGCCTTCTTGTGTCTGTCCCCAAGCTGTTTTTGTCCCAGTTCATACTTTTCTTCTTTTTGGTTGTCCGACGGTCAAAGGAGCAGAGCGGCCGAGGATTCCAAAGGAATGACAAGCGATTGGAGTCGACTCGGATCGTGCACAGTTCGGTCGTCGATTACATCGGGATGATGCCGCGAACGACGACTAACAGCATGACGAAAACTTAAACCCTCTGCGACGAGTCCTACCACCTCGAGCGAATGGATCTACATCCATCTATGAGGAGCAGCGCAGTGAGCAAACGAAGATGCCGAGTCCAAAGGATTGGGAACGTTAGCGAAAGAGAGAGCCGCTCTATTGGTAATCTTAAGTCGAAGTCCCAAGAGGTCCGAGCGCGAAGCGCGAGCGCGCCCAAGTTCCCATCAGCCAATCTCTGGAGTTGAGAGCGCCCCTGCAATGTAGTGTACACGATGACACCATCACTTAAACGATTACACCACAAAACACCTCCATCGAGTACGGTTCTTTCCCTTCACGCGCCGATCTTTTTCTTTCCCCCATGGTGCGGCTCGCTTGAACGACCGTCAATCACGCAGGGACTCGAGGTGCGCGCACGCGCCCTCAAGCCCTGGTTGTCCCATCAATGATGATCAAAGCTCTCAGCCAGTGTGAATGCGGGGTGACTTCGTCGAGTACTTCAACTTGACGTGGACAGGGTCGCGTCGGACTCGATGATAATCAAATTTCTGGCAGCCCTGGCGGCCCAAGCGGTGGAGAGCCACACCGTCATGATGAGGGTCGACTCGTAGCTGCGATCTACATTGTTGATTCGAGCGAGCCAGCGCGTCCCTCTGTCGAAGCTAATGAGGCAATTAGACCAAGGGGTAACGGGTAAGGGTATGGTGTTATTCAAATATCGGCTGCCCGGTCAATGCACGCCGGTCCTCGGTCATGCCACCCGTGACCCCAGCCCCGAGGCCTGAGCGCGCTCCCGGAGGCCTATTTTTCGATTTTAACCCAGGCTGCCACTGCAGCCGAGTCGTCGCTCCTTTCAGTCCGCCGTTCACTTCGCCCTCGCCCGCAAACTCAGCGTCGTGGTTGCGAATACCGGGATGTCGGATGTGAGGCATCCCAATTTCCAAACGGCCCAAGACCATGTCGGCTCACTCCGAGCCGAGCATCCGAGTCACCTGAGACCTCCGAGGCCACGTGGCCGCTGGCTCGGTTCAGCCGAGCGCGACGTCTGTGCCTGGCGTCGAGAAGCTCCACGCGGTGGCACCGGTCAATTGTTCGATGTACGAGTCTCGTTCTATCAATTGATCGATTATGTACCGGGCGCAGGTGAGATTTCTACCTCATCAATGACTCTGCCCCGTTTCGTCGCGTTGGCAGTTGCCTTTCAAGGTCAAGCACGCTGGCGCCGCTTGGCCCCTCTTGGCCCGGAGCTCGGACCAGGCGGGCATCCGTCGTTCACCTTGCAGCGCCGTCCTCGTCCACTCAGGGTGCGACTCCGACCACCTTTGAGAACACGCTCGCGTCGTCATCCGCTTCCGCACCTACTTCTCCACCACCTTCGACAGGACTTGTTTTCCTTCTCACGTCTGCGCCTTCACCTGTGCCTCCACGTTCGCCTATCTCTGACACGGCCAGCTGAGGTCCCTTGTGCCTGTTCGCGTAGCTCCACCCGTGCGCGCGTCAGAACGGAAGTCGACCCCTGCACCGTCGCCGGCGCTCTCGACTTCGTCAGCAACGGGCTCGAGGTCCAACGTCCAACGCCGCGAGCCGGCAGGCCGAGAAGGGAGGGACGCCCGTCGCCCGTCGCCCCAAGCTCAAGTAGCTCAGACTAGGCCAAGACGAGGATGGAGGAGACCGCCGAGGGCCCGCAATGGAAGAGGGAAATAAGGATGCTCGTCGACTTCGTCGTCGCCCGAAGCATGCGGCGCCATGGCAGCGGACTTTTACGAGCGCGTCCGCACGCGGATCGCCGCCATGAAGGGCACCTCCCAGTATGCCGATCAGGTCGACGATATCCTCAACGCACCGGGCGGATTTATGGCGGAGAAGAAGCCGCAGGCAGGTTTGGAATCCGTTTGGCTTGCCAAGACGATCAATCGGGTGAGCGCTGTCCCCTAGCCTGCAAACGCCGACCAGTGACGCATGCTGATCGCACCTCGTACTTCACTGTCATGGTGTTCGATGTTCGGGTCAGGACCGTTTGCGACCTTCCCAAGCGTCGACTACGCAATCCCAGCGTTCACGGTCGACGAGGCATCGCCCACCTCCGCTTCGACGTCGCTCACTGGCTGGCAAGAAACGCTTCGTGGAGTAGGCACGCTCGGCGACCTAGTCCATCCGACTTCATCGGTGCTACTGCACTGGACGGTCGCTCCCGACCACAACGACGGCTCGTTCGGCGTGGCATGGGCTCTCGAGGTCACCGATGCCGTGTTGACCCACCGGGACCAGCTCGGTGACCTCATACATCATCTTCCCTCGTCATTGCCGGTTTACAGGCGACGATTGACCCCCCAGAGGCGCATCGCCGCGGACCCACCTGTCCCTCCCACCCATCAAGACCTGCACTACGTGCTTTACCCACGGCCGACTCCCACATTGGCGGAAGATTCCCACGCTACCGTTGGGGACCGTCTTCGTGTTTTTGTGGCCGTCACCAAACTCGTCATCGCGCTCGACAAGATTCACATTCACCGCCTGAACCTGTCGCCGTCAACGATTGCCCACTTGCTCACTGCAATTGCCCACTGCAATGCCATTGGTTCAGGCGGTGAATGTGAATCTTGTCGAGCGCGATGACGAGTTTGGTGACGGCCACAAAAACACGAAGACGGTCCCCAACGGTAGCGTGGGAATCTTCCGCCAATGTGGGAGTCGGCCGTGGGTAAAGCACGTAGTGCAGGTCTTGATGGGTGGGAGGGACAGGTGGGTCCGCGGCGATGCGCCTCTGGGGGGTCAATCGTCGCCTGTAAACCGGCAATGACGAGGGAAGATGATGTATGAGGTCACCGAGCTGGTCCCGGTGGGTCAACACGGCATCGGTGACCTCGAGAGCCCATGCCACGCCGAACGAGCCGTCGTTGTGGTCGGGAGCGACCGTCCAGTGCAGTAGCACCGATGAAGTCGGATGGACTAGGTCGCCGAGCGTGCCTACTCCACGAAGCGTTTCTTGCCAGCCAGTGAGCGACGTCGAAGCGGAGGTGGGCGATGCCTCGTCGACCGTGAACGCTGGGATTGCGTAGTCGACGCTTGGGAAGGTCGCAAACGGTCCTGACCCGAACATCGAACACCATGACAGTGAAGTACGAGGTGCGATCAGCATGCGTCACTGGTCGGCGTTTGCAGGCTAGGGGACAGCGCTCACCCGATTGATCGTCTTGGCAAGCCAAACGGATTCCAAACCTGCCTGCGGCTTCTTCTCCGCCATAAATCCGCCCGGTGCGTTGAGGATATCGTCGACCTGATCGGCATACTGGGAGGTGCCCTTCATGGCGGCGATCCGCGTGCGGACGCGCTCGTAAAAGTCCGCTGCCATGGCGCCGCATGCTTCGGGCGACGACGAAGTCGACGAGCATCCTTATTTCCCTCTTCCATTGCGGGCCCTCGGCGGTCTCCTCCATCCTCGTCTTGGCCTAGTCTGAGCTACTTGAGCTTGGGGCGACGGGCGACGGGCGTCCCTCCCTTCTCGGCCTGCCGGCTCGCGGCGTTGGACGTTGGACCTCGAGCCCGTTGCTGACGAAGTCGAGAGCGCCGGCGACGGTGCAGGGGTCGACTTCCGTTCTGACGCGCGCACGGGTGGAGCTACGCGAACAGGCACAAGGGACCTCAGCTGGCCGTGTCAGAGATAGGCGAACGTGGAGGCACAGGTGAAGGCGCAGACGTAAGAAGGAAAACAAGTCCTGTCGAAGGTGTAGATGCAGGTGCGGGTGCGGGTGCGGGTGACGACGCGAGTGTGGATGGCGGCGCTAGTGGGTTCTCGAAGGTTTCGCAGAGGCGTCGGACTCGATGTGATCAAGTTCCTATTCGATTCGAGCCAGCCAGCGGGTCCGTCCTGTCCACACTAATGAGGCGATTTGTACAAGGGTAGCGGGCAAGGAAACAGGGGTAATTCGAATGTGGGATGGGCCGCCCGGTCGATGACGCGGCCCACGGTCGTGCCACCCCGCACTCAAACCAATCTCTTTGCCGTATCGTGCAGGTGTGTCCTTATTTATTTTGGACACTTCCTGTCGGTACGTTTATACTTAGAGCGAGTTCTCAAAAGGCTAATATGGCCGCCTGTCGCGCTGGTTTCATATTCTGGGCCTCGCAGATGTATCCATTAAAGTGGTGAAGATAACGAGTCGAGTCGTGACCCATCACTGAAGCTTGAACAGAGAAGGTGATCGGATATGTTCTCTCTGGCACAAGAGAGCCGCTAAGACGGCCGCCACCTACCGAAGCGCGTGCTCGGTACGGCTGTCGGCCTGAAGAAAGCTTTCTGCTGCGCACTTTGGCTACGCACCGCATGGGCCTTCTCTGAGCTTCGAACTCAAATCCGAGCCCTTTCTTCAGCTTTCGTCTCAAAGAGTCTGAGACCGATGTCGAAAGAGAACGATCACAAGGGGTCAGATCAAAAGGGTGCCGACAAGTACGGCTGATTAAGGAATTAATCTCTATGAGTGTCGATTGCACATAGCTGTAACAGGCGAGGGTCAGAAATCTAGTTCATCTACCACCAGCCGCTCTTGGATTGCAACTGTCTTCCCTTCGCCTCAATCAAGCCTTGATCTCATCGCTCGAGGCGGCAACAGAGGCAGGTTCGGGTGCGGCGGTCTCCTTCGTTTCCGTCTTGGCGATCAGCGATCTCTCCGCCATGTGACGTCTTCCGTCGGCGGTGTCCGAGCCTCGGGTTTGGCGGGGGCAGGGATCTCCACCGGTGTCACTGGCTTCGCTGGGTCGGTTGATTCGGCTGCGGCAACGAGTTCGGGTGCGGTCTCGGCGGCGGCCTCGGGCTGGAGTTCGGGCACGGGCGCGGATGCGGGCTCGGGCTCAGCTACCGCAGCGCTCGGGGGTGGTGTCGCCAGTTCATCTACCTCGACTTCGACAGGACCACCAGCAGCGGCAGTAGGAACCGGCTGCGGTGACTCTGCAGCAGGGGCGGGGTTAGGGGTGGGGGCCAACTCATCGACTTCCTCGTTCATGGGGACGTCGTTCGAAGCCGCGGTCGGGGAAGGGGTCGCTGCCCTCATCGACGGCATCACAGGTCCATCTTCAGGCTTATTCTTCTTCGATTCGGGCCCGGTCCTCGAGTCCGCGGCGGGGATCGTCTCGTCGAATGCGCGCTTGCGAGGGTTGAGACTCGCCTGGGCTTCTTCGTCAGTGGTGATCTCCTTTTCCGAAGCGGGCGCAGCCGATGAAGGGACCGATCGCGAGAGTCCCATCAGTGCGTCGACGCCTTCATCGTAATCGTCGTCGATCTCACGAGTTGGGGCAACGGGAGCGTTGGGTATGGTTGGGGCGAGCAGCGACGCCGTTGGGAGGAGCGAGGCACTTGTGCTGATGGGTGAGGCGACCGCCGGCGAGGACGCAGTAGACCCAGCACTCGAATGCGCTTTCCGGCCTCCCTTTGCAGATTCGCTCGACTTTGGAGCGGCCGTCTTTCGCTCCTTCTTAACCGTCACGCCGGTATCGCTTTTTCGGCCCCGTCCTCCACTAGATAGTGTGCCTTCCTTCTTCCCCGATGGCGTAGTCGAGAAAGCTGGGGAGGTCGCTCCATCGCGACGATTCCCCCCTTTAGCACCTCCATTGTTGGAAGCAGGGGTAGCCCCGCGCTTCTCGTTCGAAGGCGGCGCAGCCGGCGGGAGCGAAGAAGCCCCAGATGGCGCACCTCGAGGGGATCCGGAAGACGTCGGTCTCGGTGCGCCGCGTGATCGATCATCCATGCCTCCAAACGGTGGGTATCGCGACCTGTCGTTCGCAGCTACCGGATGAGAGGGCGGGTACGGAGCATAGCCGTACGGAGTCGGGTACCCTGGCCCTCGCTCGTCAGGTCGAGCCGAAGACGGGGAGCGAGCGGTCTGGCGTTCGTACGCCACCGGATCGCGCGACATGGGTGGAATGGGAGGAGAGCCTCGACGGTGTTGCGATGGAGGTGGCGGCGGTGCATGTTGGGTTGGGTATAGATGCGGATGGCTGCCCTGCGCAGAACCTCGACCGTTGGTCGGCGGCACCCCACGAGCTCGCTCCCACTCCATCGACTCGTGTTCGCTCGGACGGCCATAGGGATGCGACGAGATGTTTGGGTAATGACCCGAGTTGTTGTATTCGGCGCCGTTGAGACGAGATCGCGGTGAGGGTGGTGACCTGCGGCGATGCTGGTTTGCCATGTCGGCAGCGGAAGGCAACGACGAGGGACTGGTGTCGTGATTGCTCTTCATCTGCGGCAACTGCGACTGTGACGACCCAGAATGACGATGGGTCGATCGAGGCGACGTGCTCTCATGTGCTGGCGAGAAATGACCGCCGTGGCCCGAGGCTCGACGCCGATCGTCGCGGTACGGATCGGTTGACATGGGCCGGGCTCCGTTCGCAGGCGTAGGGCCGTCGAATCGTCCATTCTGGGGCGAGCCGGGTCCGTGACCATTCGACTTGTTCAACGAAGGGCTCAAGTCTGGCCCAAGACCAGCCTGCGCGATCTGCGTCGGTGCGCCGCCCGATCCCGTCGCGTAACTCCACGACAGCGAGCTCGGGCTGATGTCCTTGGGCTCGGGGGGCGTTCCCAACGGCGATCCGGTCTCTTGGTGGGCGCGAATCTCACGCAAACGCGTCGACACAATCGTATTTCCCGGGTCGAGCTGCAGTGTGCGTTGGTAGGCGTCGATGGCATCGGTCATCTGGTCGTTGCACGATTCATACAGGGCGCCCAAGTTGAACCAGACCTCGGCGAGGTATGGGTGGATGCGGATCGCACGCGAGTAGGCATCGAGGGCATCATGGTACTGGGTGATGTTATAGTAGAGGACACCTATCGAGCACCAGAACGCCGGGTTCTTGCCATCGCGGTACACGGCTTGCTGGTAGGCCTCGTACGCTTTGGAGAAGTTATTGACGGTCATGTACGCGCGGCCGAGCAAGTACCAGGAGAAGGGGTCGTTGGGGTCCGACTCGAGACTCTTCAGCAAGATCTGCACGGACACCTCGGGGTTATAGAAGGGCGCGCGCGAGCGGTGGTAGAGGCCTCCGAGCTGCTGCAGCACTTTGGCGTGGGATGGGTTCTCTGCGAGCACTCGTTCGTACGACTCCTTGGCAGCGTTTAAGTCCTTTTGCTGCTCGTAGACATGCCCGATCTGGAACCAGATGTCGATTTCCGTGAGGGGGTGGGGCGGATTCGTGAGAATGTAGCGAAAGCACTGTGCAAGCCAAATGGGGAGCTCATTCCAGTGTTGGCTCGATGGCTGACATCTGAACTGGGTGCCTTCGAATGGACTAACCTCGAGACTCTGCTGCGACTTGCGTTGCTGTTTGTAGATGATGCCGAGGCGGAAGAAGATTTCATTCGCCTTCTCGAAGCCTAAGGGAGACGACAGATTGACGTTAGGAGCGGTTACTCCGGCTCCGAAGAAACGAGAAACTTACTCGGATCCAATCGAATGACCGAAGCGAACGCATCCTCTGCATTCTCGAGACTTCCATACCTGTCGTACAAGATGCCGATGCCGTACCACAACTTGGGTTCCTGTTCGGTCAAATCAAAGGCAGTGGCCGGCCTCAGTTCTTGGTCGACAAGCGACAAGGATGCAAGAAATCGAAGCTTTACTCACCTGGGGGTTGGGCATATAGTAAAGCGCTTGCTGGTACGAGCAATAGGCCTTTTTCAGATCGTCGATCATCAAGAAGCAGTGTCCTGTTGTTGTGTAGCATGGCACGACCATGGTCAGCAGTGCCGAAAAAAAAGGAAGGAATCAAAGCTCAATGAAGTCGAAGACTGACCGAGAGCGCCCCAGATGTCACCCGACTCGGGTGCGATCGCAAGGGCTCGGCCAAAGTACTCTGCCGCTTTCTTGAATTCTTCTTTGCTGCGGCAGATGGCCGCGATCTGGGACAAGGCGACGAGGGAAAAGGCGTTGTGTCGCAGAGCGGCTTCGTACGAGGCAATCGCGCGTTCCGTGCACCCGACTGCTTCTGCCGTTCGGCCTGTTGGGATCACAGAGACCAATAATTTAGTCGCGAACATGAGGACAAATAAATAAATAAAAAATGGGGCAGCAGGGCCGGCACTGCCGAGAGTCCCAAGACTTACCAATTTGCAACCACGTCGCTTCTGCCTCCTTGCCGAGCTTGACGAGAGACTCGATGCGAGGGTGGTGGGCAACTTGATCGGCGGCATGGTTCCTCTCGTGACCGAGGGTGAGAATCTGGGCCACACTGGGGCCTTGTTGAGGTGGAGCCGATCCGGATTGGGACATGCTGAGCGGCGGCGGCGGTGGGGCCGCTGCGGCAGAATGCATGTTGCCGTACGCGCCAGCGGGGGTCGCCATGACGCACTGAGCCTCTACGTTGTAGGAGGTTGGAACGAGGCTTAGAGAAGTAGTCCTAAGAGTGCAATAAAAGCGGGGTGGTGGGCGTTGTGTTGCGGCTACGTTCGAGCTAAGCAAGGATGCGACGGCGGCACCGTGTGCGGATTACCACGTCTGGGGCACGCGGCAGTAGTGGGGCGTGAGGTCGCGGCGCGGGGCTATTCGATCAGCCGTCGGTCGGTCAGTCGGTCAGTCGGCCTGAAGCAAGCCAGGCGGTCGCGGGTCGCACAGGCCACTCTGCAAGAGGAGACTTGATTCGTCTCGAAAAGTGTCTTGGTCCTCGGCGAGCTTCTTCCAAGAAAGGTTCGCTCGACGTCTCCGGATCGTTCCGATGGGAGCAAGGGTCGAGTCGATGTACACCGGTCACTGATCGGCCGAGAAGCTCAGTAGCTGCCGGGGCGGTCGAGTGGGAGCCACCAAAGACACCGGGAACGCACGCACGCAGACGGCGCTAGCACAGCCGCGCGAGGCGCACTCGGCACGGCAGCAGCAAGCAGGCAGGTGGGGTCGGGGCGAGGCGTCGTATCAACAGTCGGCGATGGGCAGCAGCCTACGGTAGACGTTCGACAGGGCGTGTGGTGCGGTTCGTGCGGTTCGTGCGGGTCGTGTGGGCGTGGAACTAGGTCCCTAGTCGGTCGAGTGGCGCAGAAGCGATAGGAGGACCTCTGCGTCGTGGGTGGTACCGTTAGGTGGTACTTACTAAAACTGGGCGGCGGCGACCTGTTGAACTTGAGGGGGGAGGGGAGGATGCGCGTGAGCAAGGGCGGGCAAGCACACGGCGCCGAAATCAATCGGCTCCAGCGCTCGAACTCGAATTCGCACTCTGCTGCCCCCCCCCCCAAAAGTTTCAGGAACGGCGCCGGAAGCTCCACGCTTCATCAAACAGGTCATAACTCAGGCACTACCGCTGCCGCCCCGGCCCTGCGCCTCGCGCCAGCGGAGCCGGAACCTCTCGCTCGAAATAAAAACAAACGAGGGAAGGACTACTACTCTACGTTCAGCAAGTCAACATTGTGGGATGCCAAATAGAGGCCAAATAGAGTCGATGCATTCATTTAGCGATGTGCCTTCATTGCCAGGAGAGAAGCGATCAAGTGGTCACCGTCGGTCGTAACTTCGTAAGTTTCGTATCGGTGAACGAGTCGGTGCCTTGCGGGTCCCGATGCCGACCTTTTTCTATCTCCCTCAGGAAACGCGCGCCACGCGCACAACGCTTGGAGCCGTCGCCGGGGGCCAGCGGTGAACGTTTGAACAATGCGCAAATCGAGGATCTTCAGCCGGGAATCTTGGGTGGGCCGTAGCCGTAGCCAGGGCCATTTTCATTTTGCATTACCCCGCACCAGCCCGCCTCAGTCCGCATCAGCACCTCAGCACGAGGCGCGGACGATCAGTCGACCTGGTCAACGGCTCAAAACTCTGATCAGCTGAATGCTGGATTTCTAAACTGCACCGAGCTACCTACCTAGGGCCCGTACCAAAACCGATCAACCGCGATGTTGAGCAGCCACGGCCTGACGAGTGAATTGTAAATTGGATCGAAGAGGCGCCTGGCACGTCATATAAGCGCCGGCTCCCTTTCTTAAGGGCCCCTCTCACATCTCACATGGTCACAAGTGAAGTTTCGCTTGTCTCACCCTCGAAGCGCCTTTAATACCACCTGCGCAAAGCCTTGATCATCGGTGTAAATTCGTGCTGCGCGAGATCCGTTTCGGGACACGAAAAGGCTCGTATCTACATCTACTTTTCTTTATCTACTACTTATCTACATCACATCTTTGTACACTGCTTTAGAAAATCGGCCCGCAAAATCATGTCCATCAAATAAGGTTCTCTCAGGCGCGCGCGCGAGTGCCGATCTCCCCCCCCTGGTCCCGGAGGCCCGGGCGCCCGGGCGGAGCTCGCAACGGCCTTGAATCACCGAGCGTAGGGCGATTGATTAGTCTTCATCGACGTCGACGCTCATGCTCTAGGTACTTGCGAGTACAGTGAGTATTTAGCTAAAGGTTCATGCCTAGGTACTACCTTGCGACATCATCACGTCTGACAACGCTCCTGGGCGCTCCCAGCCTAGGCATATTTGCGACCTGGATTCAAACTCAGCGTCACGCCGAGATTTGTGACTTGTGCGGTAAGGAGAAACACGTTGCCCAAGTAAGCGCTAGCAAGGGGGTACGTAAGCAGCGGCCTACTTCTAATTCAGAGCAAAGCCGCGGACTCGAGGGCGCGGACGCGAGGGCGCGATTCTATTTCGCTCCGCCATTAGCCTAAATGAATTCGGACGGGAGTGTCTTAGATCTGATCAATTATTCTTGAACCCTTCTCATCCCGTGAACCCAACTGACGCTTGGTTCATCGATCCACAGAGTAGCAATTCGATCCCAGCGGGTGATTGACGGATTCGCGGGCGTGTGAGATTTTGTAACCCCCAACCATTTGTCAGCCGAAGAACCTGCGTCAGGAGCCGATTTTCTCTTATATGTTAGGTGTAGATGTAGGTCCTTTCCTACCTGGCGATTATTAGATGAACGGACAAGCTAGAAGTACCTTGCTACAGTAGAAAGTGGGCGTAGCGCCTCTGCCTGTAGGTGGGGAATATTTTTACCACCTCCGATGACTTCCAACGCCATGCTGCGACCTCCCGAAAACGTACGCTGATGAAAACTCAGACACCTGATGTCATAAGGGATTCGAACAACCGGATACCTCTTACAAATCACGTGTACAGTTACCTACGGTGAGCGGGTAGTTAGTCAACTGTCTCCTGTAGAGATACAACCAATTGGTCCTAAGCAGAGGGCTCACAAGGCGTGGCGGCAAGTCGACGAGTGGTGCCCGTCGATCGAGCGATCGCTCGGCATTAGGTACGGAGCCACGAGCCATGCCATTCGCACGTCGCCGCCGACGTTTCAGCACTTAGGGCTGGGTCACTAATTGTTTTGGCCCCGTCACTAATAGGTGACAAAAGTCGGACCCTCGGTCACTTATTATTGTCACTGTCACTTATGTCACCAGATTTTCGCCTGTCACTAATGTCACTAAGTCCAATATTTGGTCACTAATGTAACTGAATGGAAACGATGTACATTGCACTGTCGGAGGCAAGCTCTAGCACTCAACATAACAAAGTGCGCCAGAGAGACCATCGTTACATGGTCATCTCGTTATCAGGTGACCAAAGATCCTTCGCTTCGTCTTCCTCGTCGTCCAACACCACTGCTGGGAGCGGAAGCGATGTTTGTTCGCTCCTCAGATGCTTGGTCAGGATCTGGAAATCGACCCACTCGAAGATCAGCTGGGCCGGAGTCGTGACCCGGCATTTTCGTGTTGGTAAATAGCATTCCAGACTTGTCATTCACATTCCAGGGTCGCCATCAGGTACAAGCAAGTAGACCGGGTCTAGACCGGTACCTAGTACCTATGGGTACTTAGTGACATTAGTGACAACGATTTCTGGGACCCCCTTGTCACTAATCCGTCACTAATTCGTCACTAATGTCACGTCACTAATGTCACCTATTAGTGACCCAGCCCTATGAATCAGCACACCTTGTTTTGCTCCCCGTGTGGACAAGGCCCGAGGGTGAACTATCTGCCCATTCCAAAGTCGATGCTTAAATCACGATATACTTAGTCTGATCAATACAGAGGTAAGATCCCGGTCGGTAATTCGAGACTCACTCTCACGCGACGACCGAGATTTTGCACAGCATGATGCGCCTCCCGGACTCCGAGAGAGCGAGCCTTTGGAGTGTGCGATCTTTTGCAGGTGAGGGACGGTAGAATCCGGGTACGTCAGTATTTCCCTACCACCTAGGTAGGTAGATCTCTTTGGCTGCCGCAGGCTGAGCCTGGCTGAGCGGAAACGGCTTGCGAATCACGATGGGAGGCGATTCTCACCTCGATGCGTCTTCTCGGACATAAGGCCCTTTTCGCAAAAGCGAGTCAATAGTGTGGGACTAAAGCAAGCACTTAGTTTGGCAACGTGGATTAGTTCGAGCATGTGGAACCAGTTTAGGTTCTCACCTAAAGAAACCCCACATCACGCGCATTTGTTTCCTGGATGTTTCTTTTCGTAGAGGCCCGCGGACGCTCCGAAGCGGTGGGTTACGTGAGTGAGGTACGGCGTCCGACGGCGCCTGTTCGCCGACGACGATGGGCCGCCGTTGCCCGAATGAGAATACCGCGAGCCAGAGAGCAGATGTACCTGGCACCGCTCGCCGCTCGGACTTCAAAGTCAGAGGCTCGGTCTACCATTAGGGTTCCCAAGCGTCACACAACGGCTCGTTATTGGAGACGGAGAACGAAAATTAAACTACTGTGTTATTCGCGCCTACTAGTCCTCGCCTATGAGGTATACCAAGGCTGCCCTACCTGACTAGGTAATAGGTACCTCAGGAGCGGTCCCTAAATCATCAGTCGGTGACTATGTTCCTAGACCTAGGTAAGCACCCACCCAGGTAGCGTTAGCCTAGGCCCCAGAGCGGCGGTACCTGCTTTGACATCTAACCCACCTCGTTAGGTAGGCACCTAACGGTCGCCGAAGTGCCGAACTTCTGGCCGAGGATCACTCGACTCCAGCATTTTCGAGTCGCAGGAGCGCTCGCGCGGCTCGGTCTCACACCGTCATATCTTCCCCTCGGCGCTAAGCGCTCAAACTCACTACTCCCTGGCGTCGGTGACACCACTTTCCCCGTATTCGTTTGCACGTCGCCCAAACGAATGGGCTCCGTGCACCCGGAGAGTTGTTCTTACGAACCTCGACGTCGAAGCACGGTGAACCTCGATCATGATCGGTTTTGTCGCTTCCCGCTGAATCCCTCCTGATCGGGGTTTCGCTCGGTTTCGACCTCGGGCCTCAAATCACCACCAGCTCCAGGCCCCTGGCTGGCGGATTAGCGGGACAGCAGAACCTTTGCAGAAACATTCCAGCTTGCAGTGCAGCAGTAGCGTATTGTACTATAAAATTCCGCTGCCCCCCATGGTTATACTCACTTCCTATATCGGTCCCTGAGTCGCATGGCGGTCTGGATCGCTCGTTCGGGCATTCCACTCAAGCGAGCGACGGTTAAACCACCACTATCGTCGTTGAGCCCCTTTCGCACGTCGTGGAGGTAAGTGACCGAGTTCTGTTTCATCCAAAAGAGACCGCATCAGCTCCTCGATCCATCATGATCCTCGCTCGTTGAGAAACTCACCCCTGTTTCCTCCAACCTCGTGCACCAAAACTCGACCCCTTTCCAAACTCCCCCGGTATCAACCCCTTGCCTCCCCTCCTCATACCCCATCAATTCCCCCAGTCTATGATAATGCGTCGCAAACAAAGTCCTACACCTATTGACATGCACCAGATGTTCCAACGCGCCATAAGCGATCGCCAGTCCGTCCAAAGGACTTGTGCCTCGACCCAGCTCATCCAACAGGACCAACGATTTTGACGTGGCTGTGTGGAGGATGGAGGAGGCTTCGTCCATTTCGATCATGAAGGTCGATCGATCACGATCGAGTTCGTCCCTTGCTCCGACGCGGGAGAAGATGCGGTCGACGAGGCCGATGGTGGTGTTCGGGGCGGCGGGGACAAAGGATCCGACTTGGGCGAGGAGAACGATCAAGGCATTTTGACGGAGGTAGGTCGATTTGCCAGCCATGTTCTGCAAGATCGAAACTCGTTGAGCGGTCATCACTTGGAATCATACTCGCACGGGTACTCACAGGGCCAGTGATGACATGGATAAAAGCGTCGGGATGCTCAAAGCGCACCGAGTTGGTCGTAAAGCCTCGATTCTGTACCTGCAATGCTTGTTCGACCGTCGGGTGTCTCCCATCGACGATATGTAACCTCGTACTGCAAATCCCACGATAAAGAATGAGCATTTTACATCGGATCGAGCCGCACGAACTTCGCTGATCCAGACTTACCTTTCTTCGATCCCCGGCCTAACCCACTTCATCTCATCCGCAACCTCAGCAAAACCCATCGCGACGTCCAATTCCGCAATCGCATCAGCGGTCTCCTTCAAGCTTTTGTAGTTTTCCACGACCCTAGCAACGAGGACCTTGATCGTCTCGGATTCCAACTTTTGAATCTCGGCTGTGACTTTCAAAAGCTTGACGTGAATTGCGGTCCATTCCGAATAGGCGTAGGACCTAGTCGAGCCTGATTTGATGACGGACGCGAAACCCGATTCGGGTAGGTCGATCGTCGTAGGTTTGGAGGTGACGACGTGAACGATCGGTCCGTACTTGGGAAGCACACGCAGTGTCAATTTGGTGGGGTTGAGTTGATGGGCTCGAATCAAGCGCGTCTCGAGTTGGTCCGCGGCCTGACGTAGCTCGGTCAATCGTTGATGAAGCCTTTGCAAAGCCGGCGAGCACTGAGGTCGAATGACCCAGGGTTCATCCTTGCCCCACAACCCCTCCCTAATTCCTCTCTGACTCCCTCCTTCCTCCCCTCCTTCCTCGAGCGCCTGCTGTTCCTGTTCCTGCTGCAAGATCTTCTCAACCGCCCCCGTGCCATAATTATCAATCAACTCATTCTTCCTCAGCGTCTGCTCATGTCGTTCATGCAACGCCTCCTCATCGATCGCCAATTCAATCGCGGCTGCCAGCCCATCATTGCGATGCAACCTCTGCAGAACCCTCTCCACGACTTCCTTCTCCTCAATCTCCCCGGCTTCTAGATGATCGTCCAAGATCGCTCGAAGGCTTTGAACCCCTTCAACAATCTTCTTCAGCGCCAACAAGTCGAACGAATGTTGTGGTCCTTTTTTGGCCAAGAACAATTTCTGAAGGATCCTCGGCAAGTCATCAAAGCCTTTGAACAACACCATGCTGTACTTCCTCGTAGATCCTAACCGAACGAACGTGTCGACCAATCCAGCCCTTTGTTCAATCACCTCTTTCTCCGTCGAAGGTGCGCATAAACGTTCGAGCAACAATCGCGTTCCAGAAGGTGTTGACGTGCGTTTGACGGCTGCGAAAAGAGAACCTTTCGTTCCTCCTCTCAACGATTCACGAATTTCGAGAGATTTCAACGTCGTTGAGTCCATTTGCACGATGCGGGACGGGTCGATAAAGGTCGATTCGATGGGCGGTGGAGTGGACGAAACGAGCGTTTCGGCGAGGTAAGCGAGGAGCACATCTTCCGCGACAAGTTCGACGCGGGGGTCGTGCCTCGAGTTGGAGCGAGAGGGGTCTTGAAGAATCGACGAGGTCGAGACGGTTGAGATCATGAGGTTCTCGCGGCGTCGTTCGCCTTGCAAGATGTCCAAGATCGCTTGTCCGAATGGGGTGGAGGACAGCTCGGAATCGACGACGACTTCTTTGGGTTGGACGAGCAACAGGTCGTCTCGTAGTGACTGCAGGGTCGAAGTACGAGTGAACGAAGATCCTGTCGATACATCTCGATACGCCATCCCAATGGTTTGATCTCCACCTCCATGCACGCCAATCGCAAGCACATAAGCAAGGTTGTCCACCTGTACGAACGCCTCATCAATACCCGTCCCAGGAGTAATGACCCTTGTGACCCTCCTGACCGTCGTCGCCCCACTCTCATCAAACATCCCACTCCCCCCACCCCCAATCATCTTGGTCTCTTCGACAACGACGACTTTGTGCCCCGCTTCGATCAACGTCGTCGCGTGTTTTGATAGTTGGGCTAAAGGGAACCCGGCAAAGGCGTGACGGATCTTGTTGCCTTTTTTACCAAAGACTTTGGAAGTGAGTTTGATGTTGAGCAGTTTGGCGACCATGGGGGCTTGGTCAAAGTAGCTCTGTGCACAGCGGGAATAAAATAATCAGTTCCGACGCTCTGGTCTCTCGCGGCCATGTGGGGGTTACGATCTTATGAAGCTCACCTCGAAGAAGGACCCGACCTGAGTCAACAGGATCGCATCGGGGTATTTGGCCAAATCGATCCGAATCGACTCTTCCAACCTCGTCATGGTCTGAACGTCCGATTCGTCCGAGGTCGATCTCAGTCCGTCGTCGTTCGGAGCTGAGGAAGGGGAAGACTTTGCAGACGAGGCTTCAGGGGTCTTGGCTCGGGTTGTTCGTTTCAGCTTGGCGGTGGAGGCACCTGAGATGAGTTGACGTCAGGCCTTTGAGCTGGTTTTACACATATCAGCCAGAGATATTGTGCAGTTGAACTGACCGAGTTGAGGATTGATGAGCCCATGTCGGGTCAGCGGGCTCAACGGAGCTCTCCTCTTGCCGTTTGGCGACGAGGAAGACGATGCCAAAGAGTCTATCCCATACTCATCCTTTTCAAGAGCTTCCGTCTCGGCCGTAGTGGAGCTTGATGGCTTGCATGCTTGACACGAGCTATGGAACGGCTGGGCAGCAAATGCTCGCTTCGAGTTGAGAACAACGAGGTGGTGCACGACGAGAGACGGTCGACTCGGACTGGGCCAGGACACGAATCCGACCACCGAACGAGAGAGTCGCATTCGAGGTAGCACCGGGAGGGAGCTTGGGCCAGGTGTGAGGACTCGACGCGAGCTGGTGGTGCGAACGAGAGCTCGGATTGAATGATCGCTCGCTCGAGACGACGGCCACGATTGGACGCGTCGGCTCGCGCCTGTAAATTGCCCAAATGCAAGCCCAGAAAACGCGCGTGACGGGTGCGTGAAAGCGACTGCGATCCCGATCTAATCTCAAATTCTGAAATGCGCCGTCGATCGTAATGCGGGTAATGCCCCAGCCGGCGGACTAGGAACGGTGGAATTGCGCGCGCGTCTTTGAAAAATCCTTCGCTCGCCTTTCGCCTTGGCTTGGCCGCGCTCTGACCTGTGCGTGCACGGGTTGGCTTCTGACCAGATCCACCTCTCAAACAACTCGAACTCGCCTCGACCGCTTTCGTGGGGTCTCCCGTTCGGTCTTCGTTTCCCAACCATCAAAAAAAACTCAAAAAAAAAACCTCTACTCCGAAACCTTCCCCTCTCCCGCCGCCTCCCCTCCCCCCTTCGAGTAGAACACAAAAAAGTCGCATTTGAACCCCTTGCACCAGTCCTTGCCGTCTCGACGAAACCCGAGCCTTTGAACGACGCAACCCCGTTCGCCCTCGTCAACAAAGCCCTCGACTCACCCCCCTTCGTCGATCGTCCTTCTCTCTCTACCCGCCCTCCTTTGTGACTGAAGAATTGCTCCAAGCACCCAAACCCCACCCAACCTTACTTCGATCTCCCTCCTTCCCCCGGAATCGATCCCCTCCCGCACGCGTTCACCCCCGAACACCCGCCGCCGTCACCCTGTGAGTTTCGCAGCCGCACGCTCGCTCGGGCCCGCGCAGGCACACTGGGCCAATAACCCCTGTGACATGCACTCATACTCCATGACCTCGTGACTGACCCTCAACCTCCACCCTTGTTGTTATCGCAGCCACTAGTCCCCACTACCACCACCCTTAAAAAGTTACAACAGTACGTCTTGGCCTATCTCGGGGACACGCACGACTCTGGCTGGCCAGCCGCATGGAATTGGCTCAGGCGCACGCGCGGGCTGGCAACGACGAAGGGCGGCAATCGCTCCTCCCTCTACGCGTCGATGACTGACCTGATCCCGCTCCCTCTTCATGCAGTGTCTGCCGCCTCCGCGACTGAACAAAAGGTCGACGCGACCAAGGACACCAAGGAAGCCCCCGCTGCTGCCTCCCCCGCCCCCGCTGCCTCTGCTGCTGAAGAGTCCAAGCCCGCTGCTGCGAACGCCGAGGACAAGAAGCCTTCGACCGACAACGCCGAAGCGACCCCTGCCGCTGCTGCCCCCGCCGCTGCTGCTGCCGGTGCAGCCGCCACGCCCAGTGGCAATGCGCAACCTTCTCCCTCAAGCTCGCTTTACGTCGGCGAACTCGACCCGACCGTCACCGAGGCGATGCTCTACGAAATCTTCTCCATGATCGGACCCGTCGCGTCGATCCGAGTGTGCCGTGATGCGGTCACGCGTCGTTCGCTCGGCTACGCCTACGTCAACTTCCTCAACGCCCCCGATGGCGAACGCGCGTTGGAGCAACTCAACTACTCGCTCATCAAGAACCGCCCGTGCCGCATCATGTGGTCGCAACGTGACCCAGCCTTGCGCAAGACTGGCGCCGGCAACATCTTCATCAAGAACTTGGACGAGAACATTGACAACAAGGCCCTCCACGACACTTTTGCCGCCTTCGGCAATATCCTCTCGTGCAAGGTCGCGACCGACCCTCAGGGCAACTCGCTCGGTTACGGCTTCGTCCACTACGACGCCGGAGAGGCCGCCCAGGCCGCCATCGAGGGCGTCAACGGCATGCTCCTCAACGACAAGATCGTCTTTGTCGGCATCCACATCCCCCGTCGCGAGCGCCAGGCCAAGATCGACGAGATCCGTTCCAAGTACACAAACCTGTACGTCAAAAACATCCCGCTCGACTTGACCCAGGAGGAGTTCGAGAACTTGTTCAAGCCGTTCGGCAACGTTACCTCGGCCGTCATCTCGCTCGACAACGAGGGCAAGTCCAAGGGCTTCGGTTTCGTCAACTTTGAGAAGCACGACGAAGCACACAAGGCCGTTATGGAGTTGCATGAGAAAGAGATCAAGGGCCAGCAGATCTACGTCGCGCGTGCCCAGCACAAGTCCGAGCGCGAGGAGGAGCTCAAGAAGTCGTACGAGCAAAAGAAGTACGAGACCACGCTCAAGTACCAGGGCGTGAACCTGTACGTCAAGAACCTCGACGACGACGTCACCGAGGAGAAGTTGCAGGCCGAGTTCGAGCCGTTCGGACAAATCACGTCGTGCAAGATCATGGCCGACGACAAGGGCGTGTCCAAGGGCTTCGGCTTCGTGTGCTTCTCCTCCCCCGATGAGGCCACCAAAGCCGTGAACGAGTTGAACGGCAAGATGATCAGCTCCAAGCCTTTGTACGTCTCGTTGGCGCAACGCAAGGACGTGCGCAAGCAGCAGCTCGAGCAGCAGGTCCAGCAACGCAACCAAGTGCGCTCGCAGCAGATCCAAGCCGCTGGTATGGGTGGTATGCCCCCCGTCGGTGCGCCTTATGGCCCCGGAGGCGTCATGGGTGGTCCCGCCGGTCTCGCCGGTGCCCCGATGGGCTACTACCCCGGCCCCGCTGGGTACCCTCAACCCGGAGGACCTCGTGGTGGACCGATGGGCCCTTACGGTGGCCCTGGTGGCCCCGGTGGTATGCCCCGACCTCGCTTCTACGCTCCCCCCAACATGCCCGGTATGCCCCCCATGGCCGGTCCCGGTGGTCCTTACGGCCAAGTCCCTCCCCAACAGTTCAACGGTGGTGCGGCTGGGCCTTACGGCGGTGTCCCCTCGCAACAGGGTGGTCGACCCGGTGGACCGATCCCTCAACCTGGACCGGGCGGTCGACCCCTCGGTGCCGGACCTCAAGGTGGTGTCCCTCAACAACCCCCCCGTGGCGCCGCCGTTCCCCCTCGTCAAGGAGGCTACAAAGGTACCCGAGCAGCTCAAGGTCCGGATGGACAAGCCTCGAACCCCGACGGAACGCCCTCGAGCCAACCGCCTCAATCGGCCGGTCTGACTGCGGCGTTGTTGGCCAACGCGGCACCGCAGGAACAGAAGCAGATGCTCGGCGAGGCATTGTACCCCAAGATCCACGCCAGTCAACCCGATTTGGCGGGCAAGATCACGGGCATGTTGCTCGAGATGGATTCGAGCGAATTGATCTACTTGCTCGAGAACGACGAGGCTTTGGGGGCCAAGGTCAGTTTGGCTCGTTCTTTGGTGATGTATCGTATCTTGCTGTTTCGCTAACCTGTGTTCTTCGTTCATTTATTCGACCAGATCCAAGAAGCGATCGAAGTGCTCGACGCTTTCAACCGATCCAACACCACCGCCCCCGCCGAAGCCTAAACCCCTTCTACCAACCACCCAAGGCGGAGGCGGACGCAAGGCAAGACGTGTGTCCCCTTCCTAATTCGTGCGATTCACTTCGTTCTTACGAAACCCGAAGAACACATCTCCCTTTCTCCCACCCCCGTCTCCCTCCGCTTCCCCCTCTCTATTTGTGCTTTCCTCCCTCTACCTCTCTTCTCTCTTTCGGGGTCCCCATACCTGAGTGCTCTTTCTTTCCATCTCTCTCTTTGATCACCCTTTCCTCTTTTGTTCGACGGGCATTTGCGTTGCCCCCTCTCGCTCTTCTAGATAATTACTAGGTTTTGATGGGATGCAATAGATGGGGGTGGAAGAAGAAAATGAACGCGACGTTCTCGCCGTCAGAGAGAGAGGGAGAGACATAGGTTCATTCTTCGGACTGTCATTGGTATGAAGAGAAGAGAAACGAGAGTGTGATTGCAGGACTTTGTGCCAAGTGAAGCAGAGACTGAACGAAGGGAAGGAGTGTCGATCGTGGCTGGAGCAAGGCGTGCGCTTGCGACCGTTTGTTCCAAAGACGATAGAGCCGAGGGTGAAACAAATTTGGAAAGGCGGACAAAGAGAAAGGGTGGGTCTTGAGATATTCGATCAGAGAAATGGCTTGGGACGACAAAGCGACTTGTGGCGCTTGTGCTCTGGTCGAGCGGAGCGTTCACCAGTTGGTGTGAAGGCGTTCCCCGGCTTCAAGTTGGACCTCGGCGTCAGAACTACGACGGAGCTTCTTGAAGCCGGTAGGTTGAGTGGGGGTGGCTGAGGTTGCCCTGGTGGTTGGGTGCGAAAATGCGGTGTTGAGAATAAGTACCGTCGTCGCACTGTGGCGAAGTCTCGAGAGCGCAACGTGGAATACGCGCGCACGGAGGCATGACTCACAAAGCCGAACCAACGGTGCAGACCACCGCGACGATGACGAAGAAAGAACGCATCTTGGTTGTGTGGGGGTTGTAGTGAGAGTGAGTTCTGGTAAGTGGGGCGTTTAGATCAGATGCGATGTAGAGGACATCAAGTGGCAATGGACCAACGCGCTTGACAGGCTGAGACAGGAGGATCCGACTCGCACGTCGTGCGGCGGCTGTGCACGTCCGAAAAGAGCCTCCTGAGTCTCAGAATTTTGGAGGTCCCTGACTTGGTGACGTGGACTGTGCACGCACGAGGCGCGCACCAGGCAAAGCATTCCGCGACGTCTACTGTCATCGGCATAATTTGCTTCTCCACGGTGATAACACGCTCCTGTCAGAACTGACAGCCATAATTCGTAATGCTAGGCGGCATCCACAGAGCGATCACCACGCGCAGGCGAGCCCGATTCTGCTCAAAGTGAGCGCAGAGCTTCATTTTGCAACATGACATACTCTGGCCAACATCTCCACACCGTCTCAAACGATCGGGTACGCCATCGGGATATCGCTGCGCAGAGAAGCTGGTCGTCTTTCTCAAAGGTGGTCCCCAAAACCATTTCGAATCGGCAATACATGACGGAACCTCTTTGCGCTGTATCAAATGTATCATTCGGGAATCCGGGCTCCTCCAGCTCGAGAATACCAAAACGGCGGTGGTCGTGCTGAGAGGCGCCACACACCCCAACGACCAGCCTCCGAGCTCTCCGAGGTTGATGCCACACACACCATGAGATCTTCGTCTTCCGTGCACATATTGTTTGGTCCAATTGGTATAGGTCGAGAAAATACACCTTCGTCGTGCCTACCCCGTTCCCGGCTCACTTGATCCACCTGATCTTTCAGAAAGGGGCTCACGGAGGGCGCTCGGGACCGGCCGGTGTGACGCACCCGGCAGGGCTGTGTGTGGAGGCCGCGACGATAATGTTCCAAGACCCTAGTTTGGAAGATTGACACTGGATAATTTACGCTGGTTACAGAGAAGAGGCGAAGTGTGTCCTGGCCTACATTCTCCACTTTACGGAGCCAGTGCTGCGGCGTTGCGCGCGCAACCGTATCCATGATCGTAGCAAAGAGTTAAAAGCAACACAGTAATCAGATCATCATAATGGAAACAACTTGTTAAAAGCTACGTCTAATAGACGAACCAAAACACGGTTACGATAGACGCGGCTCAACAATGGAAGGAAGGGAAGGGCGAGCACTCTACACCACACAAACACAACACGCTAATCACTGCTCGACAATCGACCCGTCCAACTCATACATTTCGACACGATCTCGGGATTCTCGATTCCTTCGGGTACGATGCTTGCCGCTGACCTTCAGGGCTGTTCCTTCGCCAGCTCGATCAACGTCTTGCCCAGAAGTTCGCCGACCTTGTACACCTTCAACGCCCCCAACGCCGCACCAGCCATCCGCAGCACCTTGTCGACCGCATCCGCTTCCAACAGACTACCGTGCCCGATAGCGTTGAGGTGAGGTACGAAAGCGTCGACATCGCCGCCGCCATAGATCCATTGCTGCAGTTCGCCATCATCGCGATCTCTGACCTTGTCCAAGACGAATGCGTGGCGTGACTCAAGACTCCGACCGGATTGATAAAGCGCCTCGCGCGCTTCGCGGATGAAAGCGACGAGCGTCAAAGCGGCATAGAAGAGGGCGAACGGTTCCCAGGGCGAGTCGATCGGCGACTGGAGAGCAAAGAGTTGGCCGGCATGGTAGGCGGTCAAGCGAGAGACCTGGCCGCGCGAAGCGTTGAACCACATATTGACTGCTTCAAAGATTTCGGGTGACGGTCGTGACGCCCCTGTACGGGCCAGCGGCTGTTGGCGAATGGTAGTGGGGTGCTCAAATCAGCACTCGGAATGGAAAAGCTCCAGCGATACGACGACCACTTACGTGCAGGACCCTGAGAGGCAACCGCTGACTCATCGCCATCAGGTGCAACATAAGCGTCAACGTCAGATCCGTCATCGGTCCTTTACCCGAGCCAGCTGCTCTCGAGCCCAATACCACCCGATACTGGACAAAGTCCATCCCCGCCTCGATCGAAGCCATCGCACCTTCACTCGACTGAGCTAGCGACGTCGACGCTTCGGGCAAGAACATCGCCATGAGGTAGTGGTGATGTTGCGTGGACCACTCCAGGGAGTTCAGTATCGACAAGACGACTTGCATCGCGAACGTGTCCTTGGAGAAGGCGAACAAGGAGTCATCAGAGTGTGTCGACCGCGTCGAGACGAGCTTGATCGCTTCGAGGGTGTCGATGGACCTTGGGGGCACCGAAGAGCTTCGGAACAACGCTTGCCATTCGATGGCAGTCTTGGCCTCCTGTAAGTGGTACAGCACTATTCGTCAACGTCGCTCAAACCGCCATGGGATCACAAAGTTAGCGCCCACTCACCCAAAGATCGTCGCGACACGGCAAACTCGTCTTGACCGCATCGACGAACAAGCTCGAGTTCTCCCTCCCCCACATGGCGGTACCCATCGAGTCAAAGATCAAAGCCCCAAAGCCCAACCGCTTGACCTCCTCGCGGTCGCGCCACCGCTTCCATCGCTCTTCGAGCGAAAAGGAGCGTTCGTGCGAGTCGTCAACGTGGGTTTCTTTGAACCAACCCTGTCGACGTGCGTAGGTGATGGGCATCGATCCCGAACCTGCCAAGCATGACACATTAACACATGAACAGATGCACCAAAACAGCCAGCTCGCCGCTACTCACCCTGTGTCCTCTCCAAATCCCGCTTGTTCCCACTGACATACCCCGACATGAGAATGATCAACAAGCTCTGCTGCCAAGCCACGGTCTGCAACATGCGATTATCGGCATCCCCAACGACCTGAACCATCCTCCTCGCGGTCTCCAACAATGCCTGGGCCCAGACATCGGCGCCGAGCAACCTCTCGTGGGCGTAGCGGGCCCCGACCGAAGCGACGGCGAGCAAGAGGAACGAAGGGCATGTATTAGGATCAAAGGTCGGGCGATGGAGGATCGGGAGTGTTGATTGGAAGTGGGTGAAGTAGTGTTGGAGAAAGAGGTCGAGTAGTTCCAAGCGAGGGACGAAGCGTTCTTGCGAACCGATGGACCGAACCTTGGCGATCACTCGGGCACGCGTCGCCGCCGTGAGAGGCGGAACGATCAAATTCGGTGCGGGACGGCCCGAGACGGTCGCAGCACCAGGTCGAGGGGAGGCCGCACGCGAGCAATAACCCGTCCCTCGTGCCGCGGCAGGCAGTAAGTCCTCGGTCGCTTGCACGGGTCGATAGCTCAGAGGCCACGGATCACTCGATGAGTGCGCGAGATGGGATGACCGCGTCTCTTCCTCCAAAGCCGAGGGAGCTTGCAGGGGTGGTGTCCCCCGGAGGTTCGACAACAGTGTCCCCGCCACCATCGACGAAGTGGAAGCCAGAGGGCCGAATCTTGACTCCGGCTCGGGCGATTGTCTCGGCGTATGCGAAGCGAGTTGCAACAACGTCTCCGCCGCAGCCGAGTTGAGGCCCGAATGGAAGGCACCACTCGAAGCGCTACCCGGCGTCGACTCGTTCGTCTGCGTCGCCCCCGTATCACCACCGTTGATGGACGCATCATGGTCCTCGGTTTCATCGAACGGTAAAGCAACGAGTGGCAAGAGGTTGTCGGATTGCGCCTCCCTCATGTTAGAATGCTGAGGTTGGATGCTGTGGCCCAACAATCGAGCCTCGAGCTCGACCGTCCCCGGCGAACCGATCGATCTCGTCGACCCACCATACATTTCGTTGGCGCCGTCGCCACTGCTGCGGATGTCGGAATACGCCTCGTGGTTGGGACCGGTCAAGTCCGCGGCATCCGCCATCAAAGGGGACGCGTTGAGCACGTCCCAGTTGATCTCGGTCTCGGCACTGGGCCCGGTGATGAGGTCCGAAAAATCGGCGTTGCCCGCAGGGTCGCTGCCGCCGAGCAACCCACTGCCACCGTTGACGTTGCTCGTCGAAGCCCGACCATATGCAGCCGTATCGAAAGGCGACGCCGACGGAACAGGCGAGGAAGGCGCAGACGCGGGATTAGATTGTTGTCCCGCGCCAGACACGTTCGAAGGGAAATGCGAGAGATAGGGAGACGAGGGTCCGCTTCCGACTCCAACCGGAGTTGTGGCGGTCCCGTAGTAGTGACCCGCTTGAGGGCGATGGAGGAACGAATCGGGGGGTCGAGAGTAGTAGTGCGCCGTCGCATGCGGCGCCCCAAAGCCAAGAGGAGAAGGAGCTTGCTGGAACGACGAAGGAGGAAGAGCACCATGGTGGGATTGATGAGCCGAGGGAGGTCGGATCGGGACCGAGTAAGGAGAAGCGAACGAGTGAGGCGTCGGCGGTTGCGACGTCGCGGGCTGGGCGCTCGTCGAGGACGCAGACCAGCTTCCATCGTGGTGTGGTGATCCGACCGAAGCAGCTCCCGTGAGGACGCTCAACGAGCTGCGCGCATGCTGGGGCGAGCCGACAAGCTCGGGGAGATGGTCGTCGTAGTCGTCGTCGTCGTCGCATTGGTTGCTACTGAGATCGGAGCCCGTGTCTTCCTCCGAGAGCAGGTCCGACTCGGGCGAAGCGCGGCTGGGTGGATCCGAGCCAGTCTTGTCCCGACCGTAGGTGCAAAGCGTATCGGCCCTTCGGCATTTGATGCAGGGATCGCCTCCGTCGCAACGAGTCCTATGGAGGGGAGTAAAGGAGACCAAGATGCCGGATGAGGCCCACCTTCGGAGACAAAGTCGTTCCGACCGTCTCGCGTCACTAACCTCATCCGGGTACACCCGTCGCAGACCCTCATGACCCTCTGAAACTTTTTCTGCGGGGGGTTCTGCGTCTCCGACTGCCCACCGGACGAGAAAGGGGCCATCTCGTCCTCCAACTCGGACTGCGCGGCGGCCCTCTTCTTGGCCGAAGGCACGGACTCGCGCTTGTTCCTCGACCCAGACGAGGACAACGAGCTTCCGATGGGAGCGTTATTCGCCGAAGAAGGTCCACCGGTCGGGTTAGGCGTCGATCCCCGTGATTTGGTGGGCTTGGGCGAGGACGCCCTTGAATCGGATGCTTTGCTCCCCGAGGTTCCGGGCGCTTTGGCGTGTCCCAGCTCATGCCGCCTCAGAATGTCCCTGTATTTGAGAGGGCGAGCATGTCAGCCAGCACGAACGGGGGCGTGATGATTTCGAAGCGTATGAGATGCAGTGAACAGCTCTTCGCGCTCGCAGTAACGCTTCATCACTGAGAGAGAGCGCGCGCGTTTCCAAGGTGTTTCCAAGGGGAGCTTGTGCGGGGCGGGCCGCGATCTGGAAAGCCACAGCTCGTCGAAGCGGGCGAAAAACGAGTGACGCACCTCCTGGCGAAGCCCTTGTTGCAAACGGTGCAGACAAAGTCTTTGACCGTGCTGTACAGAGTGAAGAGAACACAGCCATGGCATATCGAGTGTCAGCGATGTGGTAGTGCTGCAGAGGGTGGGGCTCAGGGTGGGGAGGCGGCGGATCTGACACCTCCCCCCGCCCCCCTCCCAGCTTCCCCCGTGCCGCATGACGCGGTGAACAGACTCACGAATGCCTCGCCTGTTGATGCCTCGACAGATGTTCCTGGAGACGAGGACATAGCTCAACAGGTCAGCTCAAGTCGCTCGATGCCTCGACGCTGCGGATTGGCGTCATCAGGTCGGCCTCCTCGTTCGCTCGCTCGCCCGCCCCACCCGCCGCGCCGTCCTGGCAACGCCGCCCCACCTTTCGGCGGGCACCACACGCCACGCCCTCGCCCTCGCCTCGCATTCCGCCGTCGCAACGACCGCCAACAAAACTCGAACTTGGCCCACGTCCTGCATCGACTCGGGCACACCAACGTCCGCAACCCCAGTAGAACGCTTCCTCTCAACTCACTTGTCGCGTGTATCGACTCCCACATTCCTAATACATCGCCCCCATCGCCCCACACGGATCCGCATCCCCATCACATGCACCATGCGCACAAATGGTCGATTAACCCCCACCACCACATCGCGCGAATTGAGGAATAGTAAAAACGTAAGGACTCAATCAGCGGGGGTTTCAAAAAACGAAGGCAGAAAAAAAAACCGCCCGCCCGAGGCTGAGCGCCACATTGGGCTGGTTGAAAAACAAACGCCGCCGCCGCGCGGGGGAAGGGAAGGGAGGTGACGGACTGGACGAATGAAGGGGTGGAGGTGTAGATGGTGATAGCTTACGGGGCATTGGAAGGGCCTGACGAGCTCATCCGTGTTGTTCATCCTTGGGCTCGACGCACGCGAGCAGAGACGCAGAGAGAGCAAAGTCCCCGGAGTGTCCGTAATGGATGGACGTCGACGCGAGCGATGCCCCACGCCGCTCAGCGAGGGAAATGAATGTGGGAGGCAGAGGGAGAGGCTGGGAGAGGCAGATCGAGCTCGCGCGCCATAGTCCGCAAGGTGGGGAAGTTGGTCAGCAGTGGGCCCTAGTGGGCCGGCGTTTTTTGTTTTTACTAATCGTGCCCAGCCTCCGCCATATCATTGCTGCTAATCGGGCACTAATCAGGCAATTGAAACGTGACCTCACGAGTGGGGCGCCTGTGCCTCCTCTCCTGTGCGAAGTCACGACTCGACCGCTCCGCTTGAGCCTGCGTATCCGCACTGGGACACTCGCTTTCATCCACCTTCTTGGACTCTCGAATATCCGAGGATGACTTCGGTCTATATCGCACGGGATGAGTACGACGATGACGATGACGAACAGCAATTCGATTCAGCCGGAACCTCGTACACGAACGGCGCGACCGCGAACGAGGACGCTGGCGATGACGCTGAGTACGACGAGCAAGACTACGAGCAGGGGTACGGCGAGGAGGAATACTACGAGGAAGAATACTACGAAGAGGAAGATGCAGATGTCATCCCGGAACCTCCTGCACGACCCGTCAAACCTGTTTCGGATGTGGACGACTCGGTCTATTACGATCATACCTCGTTGATGAGGTGTTGGACGTCCGCCCTGTCCGATTACAAGGTGGATTTAATCTACCTATACTGGACTCCTGCGTACGCTAACTTCGGCCCTCCTGAGCCTCCCACAGTTCCTTCATCCTTCCTCTTTCCTTCCCTCGACCGAAGCCCCTCGATCCAAGCGGGCCAAGCATCTCGCTGCACCACTGTGAGGATACTATCCATCCATCTCACCATGAACAACATTGATTAAACACTATCTCCCGCTCAACAGATGGTATGGCCCCCTCCCTCTCGCCGGCACAAGCTCAACCACCGGTCGATCCCCCTCCGTATTCTCCACGAGCACGAGCACCACCACCAACACGAACGGCGGTCCACCCTCGTACCACAACATGTCGGCAAACCAAAAAAGGAACGCCAAGAAACGTGCGAGGAGGGATCGATTGACCGCTCAACAGGCGACACAAGAAGAGGAGATTTCCCCTTTCATCGGAGGTGAGGCCCTCGAGGGTGGGGGTAAGAGGAGACGAGTCGGTCCTCGAGACGGGAGTCACGACGAGCCGAGTTGGACACCACAATCGCCGGGCTTTCAGAGAGATGCATCTGTGGAAGCTAAGGAAGCGGAGGAAGACGAGGAGGTCGGGGAAGCGCAAGAAGCTAGGGACCTCGAGACGGACGAGGGACTGACGGGGCCATCCACACATCCACCGTCAACACTCACACGGGATTCGACACGAACGAAAACTTTTCCTACTGCAGCCGGGCCGAGTCTACCTTCCTCTTCTTCCCTGTCCAACGCAGCGTCATCCTTTCTCCCTAATCTCACCGAGCCCTCACCCTTCACCTCATCCCGCTTACCGAAGAACCAAACCCATCCGTCAAAAAAACCCACGACTTTCCCTTCCCCGCCCCCGATCGTCCCTCTCGACCCCGAAACCATCACCTCAGTCCGGGCCGAAAGGCTTGAAGCCGCACGCCAAAGAAAAGTTCGACAACTTCAGAAAGGCCCATGCGAGGAAGTGGCGGAAGTCGAGGGGGAGGATGAGAGCGAGCAAGGCTTGTTGCAGAGTGCGCTGTGGGCTTGGTATACGGCGGGGTATCAGACAGCATTGTATCATGCTGCTGTAGGAGTGGCCGGGGCAACGGAATGAAAACATAGTTCTTGCCAGATGCTCCGCAGATTCGCCTTCGCTCGGAATGACTTTACGAGAGACTTAGTACTAGCCTGCTTCACATTTTCAGGGTATCTAAAACATACTCGGATCACTTTCATTATCAACAAAGGAGATGCTTAGTGCACTAGCGCTACAATCGCGCACGCTCTCTACAATTTGGCCTTCAACCCTCCCTGCGGCCTCGTCGCAAAAGTCGGCCCCTCCCCTCTCGCAACCTCATCAACGATTCTATCCACCCAATCAATACACCACTGTGCCCCATCTTCACTCGTCAACCACTCCCCACCTTCCCCTAATTCCTTCTTCGCCTCCTCCTCGAACGAAGCTTTCCTCAACCCAAAGACATGCGAAATCACTTGGGGTTCAACACCCCCCTGAGCTCGGAGACACGAGATGGCGATCAAAGAAGTCAAGATGCGACCGACTGTGGAGGTGCTTTCACCCGGGGAAGAAGACTGGACAGGAGGATCGGCTAGTAACGCGCCGTAGTGGGAATTGAGGATGTGGACGGGGAGGTCGGGATGCGAGGCCGAAAGGATCGAAAGTAGTTTTGTGGATTGGGGGTCGTAGATCGAGTTCCAGAGCGCTTTGGCGCGGGATGAGACAGTCGAGGGGTCCTTGGGCTCACTGTGTATGCATATATAGGTTTCGTTAGTGTTTGAGATGAGTCAAGTTGATGAGCTTGCTTGCGAAAATCCTTGACGCACCGAGTGGGGGTCGTGCCGAGACGTTCTTGGATCGACGCCGGAACGGCGGAACGAAGTGCAGCCAGGTTGTTGATCGACTGGAAAAGAAATCGTTAGCAAGTGAGCACAGCACAACTTGGTCGGGGTCAAGCGGGCAAAGGACATCTTGTCCGAGCGCATCCAGCCTGCCCCGGGACGATCAGAAAAAACTGGGGGTAGAACGCACGCGCGGTATCCCGTTGAAGCTTAAGGGGAACACGACAGTACACATCGAAAGGTGAGCAATTAAGAACGAGTAGGCCACTCTAGTTCTCGCTCACCTGATGCACTTGAGGCCGACCTCCCTCATCAACTGATGTTCAAATCGCGATAGCCTTGGGGGTCAGCTTACAACAAGAAGTAGTCTCTGGGATGAGCAGGCATGATGAGACCCACAGCGGCTGTCCTGACTTGATCAACCTCGGTCGCGTCCTTGGTTGCGAAGGTGTACAGGTGCTTGAGCGAGTCCGGTGAGTTGAGCGTGGTCAGTGTCGCTGACTGTATGCACCGAAAGGACATCCCGGGTATCGATGAGTACCCCCATGTTCTCCATATTGAAGCCAGAACGGTACGACTGACCGACAATGTCAACCACGTGTTGGATCCTACGCCCTTCCCCTTCGCACTCGACCTCAACTCTGCGAACAAGCGATCCAGCGAAGCCGTCGAGGGGGCCGGCAACGGTGCACCCCTAGCAGCACTCGAGCCGATCAACGTCTTGAGCGACTGAGACAACTTGATGGGCGGCATATCCGGAGGTCACACAAGCTTAAGCCCAAGTTACGGCAGAGATAGGGCTTTCCGAGACGAGGGTTTTCGGTTTATACGACACCGACTCTAGGGAAGATCAGCCCGATGAGCCCGGCCGCGCCAAAGAGGTCATTTTAGCCACAGGTTTCAAAGCTAGCCAAGTCCAAGCGGGAAAATTGATGAGGCGCCGCGACGTTGGCAGAAACATCAAAAGTGGGGGCCACACCCCCACTAGAGTGAGCGTTTGTCAGCGACTGCCTTGAGTTAGGTACCTCGCCTCTGCGAGTCTGCGTACTATTCGCGGTCAGATTAAGACGGTCGAGAAGTTGTCCTGATCGAGTCCAACGCCGACGCCAGCCGCGCCGGCACTTCTAGCGTCAAGCCAGGCAAGCGATAAAGGCAAGGGTGTGCTCCTCCTCCGGAATGTCTGCCCAAGATACGGCAACAGCAGTCGTACACGGTGACTACTGAAACCGGAGGAAGTGGAAAAAACGAAAGAAGGTTTCCTACAACGAGCTAGAGACAAACGTTTACCCCGATCGTCCCCCGCCTTGATTCCCAGGGCAGCGGATCACGATAAGCCCCTTGGTCTTCCTTCCCCACAAATCCCATCGATCAGTCGCGCCTTTCTTCGCGCGCCGAAGGCGAATTGCGAATTTTCCTCTCTTCCTCCTCGTCCGGTCGAGGGCGCCTCTTTATTAAGGCAGAGATGCCGCGGTACGCCACATGACCTGCCGTAGCTTCCCACGGTTTTGTTGATCAAAAGGCACATGGGCCAACTAACCCAGCTGGGTTAAGCAGGGTAAGTCGTACCTGCTCCCCCACCTTCGGCTTGCGCCCCCTTTTTCACCGTCCGCTGGAAGATGGCGCGGTCTTTTGCGTGACTTTCCCCAATTTCTGGCTTAGAATACTTGGCCAGACGTACTTGTTTTTAACAAAAATAAATAAATAAATAAAATCTTCTGCCGGTCTACGACATTTCAGGGCTGAGCGATTGGTGTACCAAGTCTGTGCCATTGCATAACTCGCTCGATGAGGCGACAGGGAAAACGTTTCTTCTTCCTTTTTAGCGGCCCTCATTCCCCCTGAGCAGCCGGCCACTCTGCGTACGTATTACGCCCGGGCATTATCGAAGTGGGGTTTCCCCTCGCTCTCCGATTGTTGTTGTGCATCTTCCCGTTCGACTCTGGCTTTTGCCCTGTCGACTTGCATCTTTACCATCTCACTTCCTGACTCTTTGCCGCTGCTTCCGATATTCGTTTCGACGTGCACCTGACACGTCGTCTCGTCGAGTTTCTGCAAAAACTCGACCTCGGTTCGTACCATCCATCTCTGTTGAGTTCCAAAGCGACTCTCCGCCTCAATTCGACGAACTCGGGTGTCTGCCGAATCGATCAACGGCACCGGCGTCCCAGCTCGAGCGTCGACGTCAGCATCGACGTCACCAGCACGTTCGCTCGACCGACCGCTGTCACCGGCAGCAGCGACTCGAGACCAACAACATCGACACAGCTACACCACCCATCTGTACACGACGTCGAAGATCTCCAAGGTGAGTTGTAGTGGCTTTACTCTTCTTTGTCGGCGTTTTACGTGGGGTCTTGTCTTGGGCTCCCATTCGCCTTCGATCCATCTCGTTCAAGTTGCTTTCCGTGGCGAATGCGCGCGAACCAAGGGTTTGTGATGCTGCTTGCCCTTCTGTCGGTCGGAACCTGGCTTGGGCTTCGGATTGTTTTTTGGTTATTTTTTGTTTGGGTGATGCGTCGGGGTGTGGACTGGCCTCGAGGCCGTGCACCCCCCCGCCGAATGCAGCAGCTCATTTGCGTTGCCAGTCGGCTGTTCCCCCGCCCGTCGTTGGCCCTACGAGAAACGCCCCACGGCGCGCACCGCGGCAACTCGCCCAGAGCGGAGGGTGCCACGGCGCGCATCTGCGACAAGCTCAGCCGCCGATGCCTTGCCGCTGCGCCTGTTTTGAGCCCTTTGGGACTGGGGCTATCGTCGTTGTTTCTCGCGTACAACGTCTCGCTTGGATTCGACCTCAACTCACGCCGACGACGTTTCACCCTTGGCTGCAACACGCGTTTTGTTTTTGGTCACGATAAGATCCACCGACTAATGGAAACATTCTCTTCGGTCTATCGTCCCTGAACGACGCAGTTGGCTTGCAGCAAGAGCTCCTCGAGCAGCGGCATTACCGTGCCATCGTCATTCGTTGACGACCACTGCGGGCTCGCGACGAGCTCACCATACCAAGATGACCGTGAGTCTCGAGCTGAATTACCCGAGCCTTCGTGTGGTTTGAGGTTCATTATGCCCGTGAATTCGGGGCGAACGATGCTGATGTACGTGATCCATGTCGGATCATCGTCGTCCAACAGGCCGCGAGACCGAGCACGGGCTCAGCCTCGGCCCAATTCGGTTCGTCGGGGCAACTGCAATCTCACTCGAGCGCAAGAGGCGTCGAGTCCGACGCGGCCGCTGGTGCCTCTGGTGCCCAACCTGGCAAACCCACGACATTCAAGCCCGACTTATCAGCAGCTTCATCGTCCTCGTCCTCGTCGTTCACCAACAAAACACCCCGCTTCGTTTCGAGGCACTGTCATCAGGACAAGGTCAGTCTCTGTCACACACACACGCACACCCCTGATCGTCGTCTCGTCGACTTGCTTCGGCCAACTCCGGCCCTGCACCCGCGCGTGGCCAACAACCCCCCTATTGCAACGAGTCAATTGAAACACCCATTTCGTGAGAGCCACGGACCCGCGCGCGCGACTCAGCTCGGAACCCAGTGCGGTTCCAAACGTGTACGCCCTTGTCGCCCTGTCGCTCGTCGCCCGCGTTCCGACTTGGAGCCGACTCTCGATCGAGGGAGATCGCCAACAGGCTGGCCCCACCTCCGAGCCGAGCCCCGATCGGTCCAATTTACAGCAACTGATCACAGACATCACATTGACCACTTTTTCCCCTGAATACAGAAAACTCCCGTCACCCAACCCCGCATGTTCTGCAGCAACACCGATTGCTCCTTCAACTACTGCGACAAGTGCATCCGCAAACAGTGAGTCCCCCGCATCCGCTTCCCCCTGTCGCCGGATCTGGCACCTCCGTATCGCTTTTTTCTCTCGCGAAGGACCGCATTTTCTGCACTGCAAATAAGAACGTTGTACTTATCCGAACGTGCCTATGACTCCTAGCTATACCTTCATTCCCTTCGTCGCCAATGCTTTGTTCGAATGTCCGGCATGCCAAGGAATCTGCAGCTGCGCTCGCTGCGTCAAGGCGCGCATCCGCAACAAAAAGGTGCGATCTGCGCCAGGTGGAAAACGACTACAGCACCATCCCTTGGGAGGCGGGCATCACGAAGATCACGGCGACGAGGAGAGCGATCCGCCGACCAGCGGCGACGACGCGAGCGCTCAGATCACTTCAAGGAAGCGCAAGTCTGCCAAGGGAGCGAGCGCCACGCAGGGCCATGGACCTGTTCCGAATGGCTTGGAGCAAGATTCTGGGTCACAATTTGGTGCTCATGTCGAATCATCGGGTGCAAGCGCTGCTCGTCAATCGCGCACTCGCAGACGGGACTCGGTGGGGGCGAGCGATGACGAAGAAGACGACGACGCCGAAAGTGATGTCCCCGCGAACATGTACAACGCAGCATTCGGTCACTTCCCAACATACTCAATGCCGGAAAGTGCTCCTAGCGCTTCCGAGATGATGCTACCCCAACTTGTGCTCGGAACGGGCGAGGTCGTCGACCCTAACGTCGCTCCCTTCCACGGCGCGCGTGTTCAGGCGACTCCAGCGGAGTACGACGGGTTCTCATTCGCCGCCTTCTCCATCGAATCTAACGGTGTCAAGCCCTGCCCGCCTACACTGCCGAGACCTACCTCGTCATTCTGGCAGATGGAGGCACCCGAGCGCAAACGCCGGAGATTGAGCACGGGTTCGGCCGGCTCCTCGGCGCCGTCGGTGTCGTCTCTATCCTCCTTTCCCGACTCGGGGTCCCGGTCCGGAACAGGCACGGGCTCGATCGACTCGTACACCTCGATCGACTCGACATGCTCAAGCCCCGAGGCGACGACGACAGTGTGCGAGACGGAAGCCACGACACCTCCCGTCTTCCCTGAAGAAGACAAGGCCGGCATGGACGACGACCTCGACTTTTTGCTCTTCAGCCAAAGCACTTTTTCATCTGTCGCCGGTCTGGGTGGACTCAGCTCGACCTTGACCACATACCCGACCATCGACGGGGCGTCACCGATGCGTCTCGCTATACCCACGGCCGACGAGATGACGAATTCGATCTCGCTCGACTCGTTTGCGCCGGCCAAGCTCGGTTCCTTAAACGACTGGGGCACTTCGGCGTCTTCCAGCTCTGGTCTCATGCCGATCCACCACCGTATCCCCTCATCGTCATCGGCGTCGACGCTGCTTTCGACGTCTACCGACTCGTTCGCAGAAGCCCCTGATGCTCAGACCTCAGCGTCCTCGGTCATCTCCTGGTGCGATGAACTGGAGCTCGACTTTGGGCCGATGACAAGTGATGCTCGCCGCCCGAGCTGCTCCTTCAGTGGCCCATATCTTCCGCCCCATCATCACCACTTTTCGACTCGGGAAGAAGATGAGTTCAGTTGGGCCACCAACGGCGTCACTTCCTCGATCGATCACGGCGCGTTCGTCCAAGTCGATGATTGGATCAACTGAGCGGAGGCTTCTCTCGATGGTCGAATCACGACTCTCTGGTCACGTACAATCTTTCGCGTGTGAATAAGTGTACAAAACACCATCGTGCCCGCCACTGCACGATGGTCCTGGCTGTGTGTCTCTCTTGTTGAATGAATCTGAACTTGCGTCTTTACTTCTGTTTTGCTCTTCCTCGCTTCGCCTCCATGCTTATAGATTCCGGCATCTGTCTGCCCGGTATTAGTTTGACCTCGTCCAAAATATGCAAACCTCTTCCTCTTCCAAGACCTTGTCGTTTTTAAAAGTTTTCGCTTCTTCTCCATCGTTTGCAATCGTCCTTGGAAGTAATCCTTTGGTAGTCCTGATCTGTCATTAAAGCAAAAGACAACTCGATCTAAACTGTAAAAACTTTTCAGACCGTTCGGACAGAGAACGCAAAACATTGTATGTATCTGAGCACCAGCTGCGACTCACAAATGGTCGGACGTGTTCAGAACTCACTGCCTTGGCGGGTGTAGGACTGAACCGGGGGAAGACATCTTTCATCTCAACTCGATTGCATCGGGGTTAGTGATTTCGTGCACCTCGCTGGGTGGCTTGGAGCTCTGTTTAGCGTGCATGGACATGGACCCAGCCCACAGCTTCTCAACGTGGTTAAGTAACATGATCATGGTGATGGCGTCGAGCACCCTCGTTCTGCGCCTCAGGTTCGCCCGCGCGGCGCTCCAGGCTCGAACTGAGCCCCTGTTTGGGTACGCTCGCCGACAGGGTCTCGTTGGCTCAGCTGCCTCACTTGAACGGCATGCACGTCTACGCACCTCTACGCTCGTTCGGCGACTATCGTTCACTTCCTATGGGATGAAAGGGGCGGCCGGAAGTCCCAGTGCGAGTCGGTCTCGTCGAGGGCAGTAGAACGACTCGGACGAGCGGTCCCCATCTCGCAGCCACATGTGACCGGTTGAAGTGAAAGACAGGGAACGCAAAGCATACATGAGCTAATGATAAGAAGAAGTGCGCTCGCGATTCAAGGTCGTCGCCTGGGACCTGGACCGCGGCCAAGCGAGCAAGCTTCAAGTTTTCGATGGCTTGGGCATCTACTAACGAGCGATGTGGCGAACCGAGACGTGCCGCCGAGCTCGATTCTACTACAGGCCTTTGAAGCGGTACATGGGCAAATGGCAGGACGCCCTGGGGAGATCCTACCAGAACGCACCGGAAAGAGCCTTGGGCGCTGTACATGATCTTTTGCGTGATTTAATGGACCATGCGAACAAGTGCAGTGCGGTCACTCAGGGGGTCGGTCCGGGCCAAGGCAGAACCGCACTTAGCGTTTTGGTTGCCGGGGTTCCGCTTTCGCCAAAATAACGGAGTGCGGCACTGAACATTCAAGGGTCCTAAGTCGTACATTTCGCAGTAAAATACTCTGGTCTTGGGAGTAAGCACGATATAATATTTACTGTAAGGCATCCCCAACGTGGTAAATCGCTGTGATGGCTTCTACAACGCTGTAGACCAGATCCGCACGAGTGCGCCACGTCGCCAGCGTTCGTTCGCGCGGCTCGCCGAGCCACCCCACGCGGGTGCTCTCTCGACTCCCTCCGCTCCAGCTCATTCTTGTTCCGTCCGCCCCCTCTTTGTCCCCTTACGCAGCTCTCCAAAAATGACGAGGTTCAGTATCGGTGGGTTGGGTGTTCGACGACCCTTAGGCCAGGCCACCACAAACGTCAGCAACCATCTCTCCGGTGGCTCCGCACACGGCCAGGCCCACGCGCATCAGCACAAGCGACACGCCTCGACCTCGTCCTCGTCGCCTCTTTACGGTCCCGGATCCTCGTCTGCACCGTCTTCCGGGAACGTCAATGGTCCTTCGGTGGTAGGCTCGACGTCTACGGCTTCGAACGGTAGTCGTCGTCGATGGCCCCTCCGCGCCGGAGCGGTGATGCTACGTGGTCCCGGTCTCCTCCTTCGCGCGCCGACGCGTCTGCTGCTCGCCACGCCCCGAGGCGCCTACAAAGGTCTCCGTAGAGCAGGCATGGTCGCGGCTCCCGTCGTTGTCGCAGGTCCTCAGAGACTGTTTGGTACTTCCGCTAGGGCGAGAAGGTTGCAGCAACGACAGCAGCAACAGCAGGTCGAGAGGGACGGGGGGGTGGAGGGGGACAAGTTGGGGTCGACCGGTGCAGGGGTACAAGGACAGCCGCATGGGCCTCGTCAGAGCTTTACGAGTGAGCTTGTGTGTGAACAGTTCACAGCCTTCTTTCGATATGCTCACTCAACCACTACTTCTCTCCAGCCCGCCTCCGCCAAAGGTGGTCCTCGACCGAAACGCGCTGGTACCCGATCCCGATTTCGCTCGGTGCAGCCCTTCTCGTCGCCCTCAGCCTCTACAAGAAACAAGACGGGCTCTACAACGACCTCGATTCCGACTCGGCCGACTCGGACTCTCGCTCCGGTCGTCGTAAGCCCGTTTCGGAATCGCAAATCAAAGTCCAAGGACCGTGGCAGGTGCACGTCATCGGGGCCTTACCCCTACGATCCATTTCGAGGATCTACGGCATGTTGAACAGCTTCGAGTTGCCCGTCTGGTTCAGGACGCCCGGGTATCGATTGTACGCTTGGTTCTTTGGGGTCAATTTGGACGAATGCGAACCGAGCGACTTGAGGGAGTACAGGAGTATGAGCGAGTTCTTCATGAGGAGGCTCAAGGATGGGGTCAGGCCGATTGCAGATACGGTGCTGGTGAGTGGGGGAGGAGCGTCTAGGATAGGACAGAATGGTAGAACTAATGTTCTTTGTCGCATCAGGTCTCACCCTCGGACGGCAAAGTCGTCAACTTTGGCGTCGTTGAAGGCGGTCGAGTCGAACAAGTCAAAGGCTCGACCTACTCTCTCGAGGCCCTACTTAACGGCACCGGACCCGCTTCCGACACGCCGACGACCAAAAGTCGTCGCCCCTACGTAGCTCCTGAACACCCACACAAAGCCGAGCCCATCTCGGTCAATGAAGAAGAGTTCGCCAACATCAATGACATTTCCTATTCGCTCGGTGAACTGATGGGAAACCGACCCATCGGACCTGGGTCTTCACCCTCCTTCACGACGGAGGATGCTTCCATTTCCTCAAGTGAACAACACCTCGTCCCACCCCAAGGCCCCAAGCGGTCCCTCTCGACGGACGCCAAAGTAGCTCTCGAAGTCAGCTCGTCCTCGTCGAACCCTACGAACCCGAAACAAGGCCACAAGCTCTTCTTCACCGTCGTTTACCTCGCCCCGGGTGACTACCACCGCTACCACTCCCCTACGAACTGGGTCGTGGAGAAGAGACGTCATTTCGCTGGCGAGTTGTTCTCCGTCTCACCTTGGATGGCGGCCAAGTTGCAAGATCTTTTCGTGCTCAATGAACGGGTCGCGCTGTTGGGAAGATGGAAGTACGGATTTTTTTCCATGACGCCCGTAGGAGCGACGAACGTCGGATCCATTCGCGTCAATTTCGATTCAACGTTGAGGACCAATTCCCCTTTACGTCCCATCACTCCCGGAACGTTCTCCGAAGCGACCTACGCCAAAGCTTCGACCTTGTTGGGCGGTCAACCGTTGAGGAAGGGGGATGAAGTCGGGGGTTTTTGGTTGGGTTCGACGATCGTTTTGGTGTTTGAGGCACCGGAGGACTTTGAGTTTATGATCGAGAGGGGGGAAAAGGTCAAGATGGGACAGGCGTTGGGGGAGGTTAGGAGGAGGAAGCAGGCGTGAGGCATGGGAAGGGTCGGCGAGCGCAGGAGGGTGGCCATTTAGCTTGGGTTAGTTCTGTGGCGTAGTTAATTTCGGTTTTGCGTACTATGCTTTGGTGGTATCGACTGGAGTACCGTGAGGATTGAGCGTTAGCATTACTTTGAACAGGGCTGGGGTGGGTAGCGGGTCGGTGCTACCGGGCGGCTTTCCCAAATCGAGCGCCGAGACTTTGCCGAGGAGACACAGGAGTATTCGGGCCATTCTCCGAGCGGAACGGAACGCGAGTCGACCCTACAAAAAAATGTATGGGCTACAGTTGATGCCGTGCTGCCGTACTGTCATGCCATCCGAAATCGAGATGCCGAAAAAGTTGATTCGACAAGCCGAAACTCTTCAGTCGTGAGCGATCGGCGTTGTCTTCAGCGCGTCGAGTTGACTCACCGAGCCGGGCGCGCACCGGAAAAACGGTCGCGCGGGGGAGAAGACGATCCAAGACGATCGGCTCCACTACTGGTCTCCCTCTGCTCTCTCCGTTCCGTCACTCACTCCAACGTCGCCCACCACCACACCACGATGACCCGATTAACGCCCTACCTCACGCGCGTACTCAAGACGCACAGCAGTCGATCGTCGACCTCGCTGTTGCATACCCGTCAAACCGGGATCCCGCTCGTCGCTTCGTCGCTCAAGAAGAAGTCGTCGTCGTCGTCGTGTTTTAGCACTTCGGCGCTGCTCAAGGAGAAGCATGCCCAGACGACGAGTCCCCCTATCGTTGGCTCACCTGTGACGGGGCAGGATTTGATGACGGGGGAGATGCTGGTGGGCGCAGATATCGATGTAGGTTATCTTCTCCCGTTCGGGGTTGGCGACAAATGGGGATCGATTCGGGGACGAGATGAGACGTCGAACCCCGAGTGTGTGACTCGTCGTGCTTGCGATCGGACCTTTTCTACTACTCCTACATGCACACTGACGCTCGACTGTTTCCGCCAGCCCTCGGCGCTCCAAGTCGAGCTCACGTCGTCGCCCAAGACGATCCCTCCCTCCAACCAGTTGCAGTTCGGTCGCACCTTCACCGACCACATGTTGACCATCCCTTGGAACGTGCAATCCGGGTGAGACTACCTTTACGGCCATTCCGGGGAATCGTTCAGGTGGTGGCGGGATCGTACCGGACCGACGAACACGTTTTGCTCTGCCGCCGCGCCGCGTTCCTCGTTGGCGCGGGCCCCACCTCTCGGCAAGCCGGCCGTCGCACGCCTCGAGCCGTCGGTCCGGAATTTCCATCGCCCCCCCCCCCCCCCCCCCCCCCACACTCGGATCCAAGCGCCCGTATCCTCGCCATACCCCGCCAAAACAACCTACTAAAACTCCGTTCATCCTTGCACAGCTGGGGCACGCCCAAGATCGTCCCTTACGCACCCTTGCAATTGGACCCGTCCTCGACCGTGCTGCACTATGCCCCTACATTGTTCGAAGGCATGAAGGCGTACAAGGATGAGAAAGGCCAGGTTAGGTTGTTTAGGCCTGATAAGGTGCGGTTTGTAGCGTGGCGATCAGGAGGCAATGGGATGCACGATGAGGTGTGGGCGTACTGAGGTTGTATGTTTCTCGTGTGGGGTGCAGAACATGGAACGTATGACGAGGAGTGCGGCGAGGTTGGCGTTCCCCGTACGTGTTTCGGTCCTCAGCGGAATCATCTCTCTATCTCATGGGGTTCGTATTGAACCCGCAACCTCTTCCGACCCCAGGACTTCACGGGCGACCACCTCACGACCCTGATCAAGAAGCTCGTCGACGTCGACTCGAAATGGGTCCCTTCCGAACAAGGCACCTCACTCTGTACGTTGGTCGCGCGGGATTGCGATTTCGGCGACGAGTACGAGAACTGATCATTTACACCTTGTCGCGGCATGGTCCAAAGACATTCGCCCTACGATGATTGGTACACAAGCTGGGTTGGGCGTTGGCGCTTCGACTGATGTTTTGCTTTTCGTCATGTGAGCCCACGCGCCATTTCTGTCCAGTAGCAAGTTCGCCGAAATCTGACTTTTGGTGTGTCCCTTCTTCCTGGGTGACAAGTGCGTGCCCCGTCGGTCCTTACTACTCGACCGGGTTCAAGCCCGTCAAGTTGCTCGCGACCGCCAAGGACGTCCGTGCTTGGCCCGGAGGAACGGGTGGTTACAAGTTGGGATCCAACTGTACGCATACGCATTGCCCGATATCTCAAGATATCAAGACTCTGCACTGACTTGGCATGTAAATGCTTTCCCTTCTAGACGCCGCCGGTGTGGTCCCCCAACAAGCCGCCGCCGCTTTAGGTTACCAACAAATCCTGTGGCTCTACGGGCCCGAACACCAATTGACCGAAGTAGGCACCATGAACCTGTTCGTTGTCCTCTCCCACCCAGACGGGACGACCGAACTCGTCACCCCTCCCTTGGAGGACATGATCCTTCCCGGCGTGACACGAGATTCCGTCTTGGCGTTGGCTAGGGCACACGAGAAGGGTGAAGCCAAGTTGGAAGGCCTGCTGGACAAGTTCAAGGTATCGGAGAGGAATTTGACGATGCCGCAGTTGAGGCAGGCGAGTAAGGATGGGAGTTTGAAGGAGGTCTTTGGTTCGGGAACGGTACGTCCTTCTCTCTCCCTTACGCGAATTACATCTCCCCTTCTGCTATAGTCATTAACTCTCTCGTATCCCCCCACCGATCAGGCCGCCATCGTATCACCCGTATCCGGGATCGGGTACGAATCCGAACTCATCGACGTGCCCCATGGCGAAGATGGTCTCGGTGACGTTGCGAGGGTCATGCTGAGGGAGATTGTCGGACGACAGACGGGCAGGATCGAGAGTGAGTGGAGTGTGGTCGTTTAAGAGGGGAGAGGACGCATATGAAGGAGAGGGGGGGGGGGGGTGGATAATCTGGTATGGAATGCAATTCTTTAGAAGAGGACTATGTGAGCGATCAAGAAGACGGAGGTATAAGCGGGGTGAGGTTTCGGGGACCCAAAGCATCACTTGAAGCAACGACAGCGTGCAAGGACGACGGAAAGTCGTCCTCGTGCCAGTAGACGGGCAAAGCCGATTGATTGCGAGCAGACTTCCTCCGCTAGCCGAGGCACGTTCTTCGTCCGGTCAGGTCCTCGACTCTGTGTTGGCGTTCAATCCCCATCTTCCTTCTTCCGATTCTCGCGCTCCAACTACCGGCATCTTGTCGTCTAGTCTTTCTTCGCATATTTTCTGTCAATACCGATCGCTTGCAACGACTTCGGCTGTGCCCGTCGTGGTTCTCATTCTGACTCGGCAAAACCCGACGCGAGATTAGCCACGCTCAGAACATAAAGAGTAGAGCTCTTGCTCTCTACCGGAACCCGAAAGCTCGAACCGACAATGCAAAGGGTGTCACTGCTGGATACAAGAAAGTAATACAGAACGGCGCAGTTGTAAAAAAGGAGCAAAGACGTGACAACGAAAGAACTGCGACCGCAACGGCAGGAACAACACCACCTCCCAAGGAAAGCCCCGACTCCCCGGTACTCCTTCCCCTACTCCAAATACTTCTTCCAAAACCCTGTCGACCCATTCGTTCTCGCCCTATTGTCCTCCTTGATATCCAACAATTCGCACAACAGATCATACACCTCAACATTCTCAAACGCCGGGATCAACGTCATTTCCTCCTTCTCCAGAACCCCCTCGGCACGTTCGCTGAGGACGGTCCGTTTGATGAGGTTGGGGTTCTGTTCGAGGGTTTGAGATTTGAGACGCGATGCGAAGGGGCCGTGGGCGATGAAGATGGCTTGCATGTCCGGGTCGGCGTTGTCGTAGCCATGATTTCTAAGCGAGCACAAAACCAAAAAAAAGAGGTCGGCATGGCGAATGAGTGGTTGACTCGCGAGCAGTTGCAAAGTCCTCCAGAACTTCACTTACCCAGCAGGCGTAAATTGGCCCTTCATCTCGACCTCAAATTCATGATGATTCGTGATCGCCCACCCAGGATGAGGAACGACGTAAATCGGCGCGATACGCTGCAGAACCATGCGAGTAAAGTCCCACCTCAGTTTCGAGGTTCATCCTCGACCTGGGTAAGATTGACCACCTGACCTACCTCGTTGCCTGTGAAATGCCATCTTTCGGGCATGTCCTCTTGGGTGTAGACGTTGAAGCCTCCCTTGGATTCGGTCGCGGCTTGACGGAGTTTGGAAAGCATCAGATCCGCGTCGATGTCGGGTTTGAACCGCAGACCAACGGATGGCCATCCTAGGCGCAGAAAACCCTGTCAGCTCATCCCCTCCACCCTGAAACCTATGCCACCATCCACCACTCACCTTCAGCGGTCAAGATCCCTTCGAACCCTTCCTTTCCCAGAATATCATCCAAAAACACCAATCGCTCATTATGCGTGCCCGTCATCCCATGATCGCTCACGAACACCACGTCCACCACCTCCGTCAAATTCCTCTCCTCCAAAAGTCCCGTCAGCCCTTTCGCAAAATCGTCCATCTCCAACAACTCGTCTTCCAGCGCTTTGGAATCAGGTCCGGTACGATGGCCTTCTTGGTCAACTTCGGGGGCGTAGGCGAGGATGAGGTTGGGGCGGGAGGTATGCGGGAGGTCGAGCCAGGAGGCGATTTGCAAAAGCTTGCGCGAGTAGTGGTAGTGGTCATGAAACGCGTACCACCGAGTCGGTTTGGTGCCATCGGCCATCATCGGAGGGCCTGTGGTGGTGAAGAACGACTTGTCAACCTGACGATCCAAGTGCTTGATTGAATGAAACTACTCACTTGGCCACATGAGAACGTTCGCCTTCAACCCATTCTTGACGGCCGTAGACCAGATCTAAACCCGTCCACACAGCAAATCATCAGCCTCCACTCTCGACAGTGCCAAAGGCTAAAACCCCCGAAACGTACCGGTTCCCCGCCCCACCATTCCGGACCCCAACTCTGTTCAGGTTTGGTATACACGAACTCCTTGCCCAAATTGGGGTCCCAGAAATCATTCGCGATGATCCCATGGCTCGAAGGGTACAGGCCCGTGATCAACGAGTAGTGGTTCGGGAACGTCAACGTCGGAAATGAGGGTTGGAGCGATTCGGCGCGAAGTCCTTTTTTGGAGACGGAGAGGAGATGGGGTGTGAGGTTGCGTGTGAGGTAGTCGGATCGAACGCCGTCGAGCGAGACGAGAATGACCGTTCGATCTGAATCGTGCGCCAAGTCGAGGGGGTTAGCTCGTCCCCGACGTGCGTACGATGCCTTGCTCAGATGCGCTCCTTCGCTTGCCCCACTCACCGAACCAATGCGTGCCATTCGACCTCCACCCACTAGTCTTCTCCTTTTCCTCCTTGGCCGCTCCGCCATCCCCACCCGCCCAATGGGGCGTTTGCTTATCATGCGCCAAGCGATTATCGCCGACCTGCGCGAACGGCACATCATTGAAATGCGCGTCCTCGGGTAATGGGTTCTTGGCCAGCGCAGGATTGGACGAGAACGTTCCCGGTTTGAGTTCGGGATGTCCTTTGTAGTAGTCCGAGGAAGGGTAGTTGAAGTGGTAGGCGTAGGGTGAGGCGGGGTGGAAGAGGAGGATCATGAGCAGCAGCACGACGATCGAGAGGATCGAGAGCAGCACCGTGCGTAGGGAGACCTGTACCCAAAGATCACTGTCAGTCTCACCCTCAATACAAGATGCAGCCCCTCCGAACACGGGTGCACGGGCCAACTGACTGCGGCGAGCCAAGACCGGTCCAGCGTCGGCGAGACTTGAGCCGCCGTAGGATCGACATAGGCGTGTCCGACCTCCTTGTCATCGATATCCTGTTCGTACACGACCAAATCATCCCCTTCCCCAGCCCTAAGCGAGGTATGCTCATCCTCATCGCCGTCGTTCGAGCTGGGATGCGACGTCCTTCGCTGACGCTGGCGCGGCGAAGTCGGGGGCGATGCAGGTGATCGAGGCACGGCCAGGTGCAGAGACGACTCGTTCCCATCCGACGAGGGGATCACGGCAGAGTATTCGCCTCGTGACATGCTGGCGGTGCGTGACGCTGTGCTGAGTAGGTGTAAGAGTGTGCGGCAACTCGGCGAAAGGGCCAAGTCGGGAGACATTTGTCGTCTTTTGTCGTCCGGTCCGCCCCGTCGCGTTCATTATCACCGACGCGTCGGGACCCACGATAAACCAGGCGCGCGAGTTCGAAGAGTCGCGCGAGACATTGCTATGGTGTCAATTATGGCATGTTACGGTCCATGCAACGAACTCCACCTGGATCGATAATTTACGTATTGTCTCAAAAAGACTTAGCCCAAGTCTCGGTATAAGAGACGACCGAGGCAAGGATATTGCGTCGCGGACTCGCGGAGTCCGATTCGCCGGAGCTTCATGAAGCAGGATGTCGGCCGTCGACTGCTACGGCGGCGCGTTGCCAAGCGAAGTCGAATCGACGTGCCACGAGTCGCCCGCTCGGACGCTCACCACTTTCGACTTCAAGCTCACAAGGTACACGACCTAATCAAGATCAAAGCCGTACCTTCTTCCGTTTCTTCTCCCTTCCTCACACCTCTCTGTGCTCTACGGTTCCGTTTTCCCTCCCTACGGTCGTCGATCGAGGCCCTGCACCTGGATATATGCACCCCCACTCCACTGGCTCTCTCTCTCTTCGCGACCTCGAACCGCGATGCACCTACCCCTCCTCATCTACGCCATCGCGACAACAGGCGCCTTTGCGACCTCCTCCGTAGCCTCAATACAAGGCGGGAGCACGTAAGTCGATCCTGTTCACGCCTCTCGAGTTCACATCAATAAATCCCACTGACAGCGGCCTTCTTAACCCCTAGATGGCTCTGCCCCGTTCTCGAGAAAGTGTGCAGGTGCGTTGCAGCACACGCGCGCGCGACAGACAGGCTCGCAGGACGGCTCCTGAGCGCGACGCGCCTACCTGCGGGTGGTGCTCTCCCGATCTCGGCCGCTCGATTCGGCGCGAAAACTGATCCTCCTTAAAACGCTACGTTGTTGAATTCCAGGGAATGTCAATGGACATGTCAACACGGACCCAATGGGTTCGCCCAAATTCGCAACAGCGCGTACGTAATCAAATCAAGGCTTTGATCCTTCGACGTGACCAGAGAAAGGAGGCTCCGTCGGAATTGACCTACTTTCTCCTCCTTTATGTCCGATAGTGAATTCAAGGACTGTCTCGCAAAGCACTGCGACTTCGGTGAGGAAGGGCTGGACGATTGTTATAGGTTGGACCAAGCCACGGCGTGCGTCAGGCAACGGTGCCCACCAGGACCTCACTTTGACTATCTTGACGTCTCGTGAGTCCATTCGACGACAGGCGAAAAAAGCGATTGCGGTGGGCTGCGTTAGGTTGAGGCTCCGCGCTGATGCGAACATGTATGGATTCCCACAGATGCAATTGGCAAGAATGCCGATGCGCCTGAGCAAACGCTCTTTAGACCTCCTCGCACGACTCTCGTCGACGCGTCTGAGGAACTCGAGGGGAGCCTCTGCCGCGGCGGACCGATTTCGATCGATCATTCGGAACTTAGACACCCCACCGACTCGATTCATATATTTCGATATCATCAACACGTCTGGTTGTACCGTAAGATCATCTGTTGGAAATTACGTTCAAAGTATGTTGTAACATGTAGTATATACTGCCCATACCCTCGTGCGCCGGCTCAGACTTCCTTGCGGAGTGGCTGCCATCAAGATGTAATATCTGAGGGTGACGATCCCCGGTCTCTCTCTTTCTCTCTCTCTCTCTCTCTCTCTCTGATCTATCGACAAAGAAACGCCTTCGGCTCGATGATTCCGCTCGGAAGATGGTTCATTGTCACGTAGATCCGAACAGCTTGCACAAGCTTGAACACGTCCCGACAAATGTGCTCGAGCCTTGCTTCACCCCACCTGCACAAGCGCAGTGGAACCTTGAGTGTGTCGAGCCGCCAGAGGGGCTGGTAGTCGACGCTCGTTGCCAAGTCTCGTTTCGGATTACTGCCAAGCAGGGGTTCACTCTGTCCATGTAGCTCCTTACGTAACCGCTTCGATCCGTGTCTGGTGCTGAACGGTGTCACGAAAATGGGAGCAATGATCGAGAAACCTGAAGAAATCTTACCACACTTCTTGGCACTGGTCTCCACTAAGTTGGAGTCAACCGAGGAATTTCCGCGGCGTCGACACCTTGTGTAAAGCTTGTGGTGTCCCACCTGACTCGTTGGTGGCCGTCTTCTCCAACGAGTGGTGAAGCAAAGTGAGAGCGATGTTTGTGACCCCTGCGCCGTGAAAGTCGGTCAAGCCTCAGCTTCAGCGCGTTGGCCCACCCGCTTCGTCAGCACCTCAGAGCTGCTGGGAGCGCGTCTGCTCGGCCTCACATGCCAGAGTCGAAGCGCCGGGTCTAACTCTGTATCGGTCTTACACGCTCCTCATCCTGACCTCCGACCCATTCTCTCGCGAGCATTGTGCCACTAGATCAGGTGGACTCGACGTCGCGTACCCGTTCACCCCCATTGCAGCTCGGCTCGTGCTCGACTGAACTCGGATCAGCCTTGGCTCTATGGGCCGCCGTTTGGGCAACAAATGGATCTGCGCGCCCGGGGCCTCCGCGCGCGCAGAAATATGGATATGCGCGCGCCGCCGAACGCTTCTGCGCACCCGCGACTCGCCTACCTCGTCTCCGGTCGTTCATGCGCGACACACCCGAGCTCACGCGCGGCCGCCTTCTTCCACACACACCGCCCCCACGTCAACCTTGTCCAGTTATTCCCCGCTTTCATAACGACTCTGTTTCACTCAACAGCCTTCAACTGCCATCATGAGAAAATTAGATGGCATCATTCTGACTTGGGAGAGGGAGTTGGCCGCCAAGGGTGCAGGTACGTTGCAAGCTGAGCTGGGAGCTCGTTGCCGAATCTTTGACCCCTCCTGATTCAGGCTGGATCAGACTTCCAGTGCTGATGTTTGATATACGATTCTGCTGTTGCATACCAAGACTCTTGGCCAGGAGCACCGGCGCAGGATTTGTCAGGCCTCCCCGACAAATAATTCTCTGGAACGAGTCCTACTACTAACTAGTTCTCTGGAACTCAATGGAGCCAGCTGAGTGCCCAGCCTTGAGCCTCGAACGCTTTCAACAGCCACACCGCCAACCCAATACACCATAGCAATGTCACTATTTGCAAGTACATCAAGACTTAGCAATCGGAGCAAACGCCCTCCTGCCATGAAAATGAGATCGACACCGCGGAGTAAAAAGGCAATCCTCCTCCGAGTCGGTGTCGGTTGTCGCGCAGGGAAAAAGCTGCGAGCGAATCAGAGCGCCGCGAGCGTGTGATAGCGTTTCCGGTCGCGCGCATCTGCGATTCTGCGAGCGTGAGAACTGTTTGCGAGCGCGCGTAAGCAGCTTCCGAGGCGCGCAAATCGTAAAGGGCGGGGAGTGCGGGGTTCGGAATTTAGCTATGAAAATTGAAAAAATCAAAATTATTTTTCCGATTTTCTTTTTGTTTTTGGAAAAATGCCAAAAAGCGCGCAGATTGAGTAGATTGCGCGCGCATGAGTGCGCTGGAGCGCGTGTAATACCCCCTCCGTGCGCGGATACGGTGGGGCGAGCGAGTCTAACAGCGAGCGAAACGCGCGTGGACCGCCAATAGGGGCCAGAAACAGATGTTTTTCCTGAAAAGCGCGCAACTCCGACGGATTCAGAGCGCGTTAGAGACCAAAAGTGCGTCCAAGGGATGCAAAGCTGTGAATGACGCGCGTATGAAGGCCCAATGGCGCGCAATTGCACGATTTTCGGCGCGCGCACAAACGAGTCGTAACGCGCAAATGGCCCCGCGCGCGCAGATCCATTTGTTGCCCAAACGGCGGCCCATATGGCTCGGCCTTCCGAAACGCGCGCGACGTGACCAACCAACCACCCGACGCCAGCCGCAGCCCACGCGACGCAGCAGACCACCGGCCGACTACGGACTACGCACCAGCGACCACCGACCACCGACCACCGACCACCGACCGCCGACCACCGACCACCGACCACTCGCGCTTTTGATTCAACTCCTCCTACCCCTCCCTAATTCCCAATTCACATCAACGGCCGCAATGGGTTTGTTCAAACGCAAGTCGTCGACGGGGACCGACTCGCCCAAGCCGGACAAGGAAAAGGTCAAGTGGAGCCACAGGCCAGCGAGTGAGTTTTGGGCGAGCTGTAGACGCCAGGATACTGTGGTATTGTTACGCTACCTTGCAGAGTCCGATATTGAACCCTGTTTGGGCCTTTTCGCGCAACAGACACCGCTTTCAAGCAGCAGCGACTCAAGGCTTGGCAACCGATTCTCACACCGGCGACCGTGCTGCCGACCTTCTTTCTCATCGGCGTCATCTTTGTCCCCCTGGGTGGGGTACTGCTGTGGGGGTCCAACAAGGTCAGTTCGCGCGAGGCACGGATCTTGTGGTCATCATCGCAGCCCCGTAGCTTTCGGTCGACCGGCTCGGCCTTCACTCCACCTCCACCGACTGACGCTCTCTCGCTCTGCCCTCCATACTTGGACAGGTCAAGGAATTCACAATCGACTACACGCAATGCGAGTTCAAAGCCCCCAACACGACCTTTGAGGCCTTGCCCTCCTCGGCGTACAGCTACCACCTCGGCTCGTCGGTCGACACGGCCCAAGCGGTCGTGCCGACTTGGCAGTTCACTCACGACGAGACGCGACCGGTTGGCCAGAGGAGTCTGTGTCGGTTGCAGTTCAGTTTGCCCGTCGAGTTGACTAGACCGGTGTTTATGTACTACAAGAGTGAGACTGCACGGCTAATTCTGATTCCGCGACTACAGCACTGACTCGGCTCGGGTGGCGCGGGTGGCGCACAGTGACCAACTATTACCAAAACCACCGACGCTACGTCAAGTCGATCGTATCAGGCCAACTCAAAGGCGATGCCACGTCCGCCTCGTCGCTGTCCGGAGGGGACTGCAAACCTGTCGATGTGCGCGACGGTCTGCCCATCTACCCGTGCGGATTGATCGCCAACTCGTTCTTCAACGACACCTTCCTCCCGCCCGTGTTGACGAACCCTTCCGGTGCCGAGGGCAACGTCACCTACAACATGACCGATAAGGGGATCGCGTGGCCGAACGAAGCCAAGAAGTATGGTGTGACCAAGTACCAGATCGGGGGTGCCGTCCCCCCTCCGAATTGGGCCGAGAGCTACCCCGACGGATACACCGCATCGACGGGCTTCCCGGACCTGCACGACGATGAGCACTTCCAGATTTGGATGAGGACCGCGGGTTTGCCGACGTTCAGGAAGTTGTACTTTAGAAACGATGAGGAGAATATGGCTGCGGGGATCTACGAGCTGGACATTCGAATGAGTGCGTTTCACGCTCGCTTTTTCCTTATACGAAGACTGAACTGATACTCGCTTTCGAGAACAGACTACCCCGTCGCCCCCTTCAGCGGGACCAAGTCGATTGTGTTCTCGACCGTGTCCTTTATCGGCGGACGCAACCCTTTCCTCGGGTACGCCTACATCGTCGTCGGTGGCGTGTGCATCATCTTGGGCTTGGCTTTGACGTTGAGACATTTGATCAAGCCGAGGAAATTGGTATGTTTTCGCTTTCGACTTGACGTGGAAGAGCTCGGAATGAGGTGCTGATTGGCTTTTCTCGTGGCACAGGGTGACCCTCAATACCTCAGCTGGAACCGAGCTGGACCCAACCCGGCCTCGACAAAGTGATCCCACGCCCGCTCACCGACTCGAATCGTCGCCATCCTTCAACCCAGACGTTGGCGATCCTCCACCCTTCACGACAGTCCCTTTCCGCCCTTGCACCCCTGTCCGCGTCTTAGTCTGTCTGTGTGTGCTTTCCTGTTTGTTATCCTCTGCTGTTCCCGAACGATCCAGGACCCTTTCCCCCTTGCTCTTTTCTTGCTCGTTCCGACCTGTAATATCATGTCCGATTCCCATTTACCCATTCCCAACCCCAATCCGAAAATCATTCCTTCACACTAAAAACCAAAACCCAATTCCCCATCGCGACCCCAATCTCCCTCTCCAAAGTCCACCCGCTCTCTTCCGCCAAACGACCGAGATGATGAATACTTCGAAGACCAATCCCGGACGATCCGGGGCGGGAACGAATCATGGTGTCGAACTTATTGGGGTCAGAGAGAGGTTCGGGGGATCAGTCTTGTCTTTCTTAGGCAAGGGAGAAAGATTGAGGAAAACGTACTTTTTCGTCGTTTTCGGAAAAGTAGCCTTGGTCTGATTTCATAGGTCCGTATATTAAAAGCTTCCCGTAGGGTCTCATCTGCGGCTTGAGGCGTTGGAAGAGGGCCGTAGGACCTTGTGGACTGAGCACCAACAAAGACGTCCGGTCCGTCAATTCCACTGCAGTCCCCTCGTTGCGATCAGCGTGCAAGTTCGACGAACTGACCAGGGAACCATATGGATGAAATTATGACCCAACACCAAATCCCACCCTTCCCCACTCTCCCCGCCACCCTTTGCACCGTCGGGCCTACGATCCGCTAACAATCCCTCCCAATCCTCCTCCACGAGCAAATCCAACCTCCTACACCTCTCAATCCTCTTCCCGCTCCCCAAATCCACCCCTTGCGTTTTTTGATCGACCAACCGACAATTAAAAGTATCACATTCCGTAGGTTGGTAAATGATACTCCTTCCATCAGATTTCGTCCCCTCCTTCTCCTTCGACGAACAGTGGGGAGGGAAGTTCTGAGCGTAAAGAAGAATGTGAGTCCCATTCCCGGAGGCGAGTTCGAGGATCCTCGCGGGCTTTTTCGTAGGGCGTGGTGGGTCTTGGAGGGTAGAGAAGAAGGGTTCGAAAATGGGGACGAGGTTCGTCAGGACGCGGGCCTCGAGGCCTGAGAAAAGAGGGATTGAGTTAGTGAGACGTAGTGGGGGGGGGGGGGGGGGGGGTGGGGGTTGTGCTCCGGGATTGGTTAGACAGGTGGAAGGCTTACCTTGTTGATAGGTCGGAGGAGCTAGTGTCCATGGGTATTTGGGACCTTCTTCCTTGCTTGCGTGGGTCGGGTCAGCGTGCACAGCTTGCGACGCTGGATCTTGTGGGGGTGAGGTGGTAGAGGAGCTCATTGCCGTCGGGGCCGAGGCAAAGGCGAAGGTCGGCGCGAAAAGCCGAAGCGGAAGGTAAGGTTTCGAGGGACTGGGAGTTGATCCAAGATGGTCCTTGACGGCGGACTTCCCCTATGTCAGTAAAGGAGACGGGGAGCTCTTGCTGAGTGTTGTAACACTAGGAGAGAACCGCGCTGAAGTCGGCGCCCGCCCCGCCGACCGGGTTCGCAAAGGCCAATGACGGCGCCCGGCTCGATCACTAATGTCCCACCCCACAATCGACGGCCCGTGCAGGTGGGGAAAAAGAAAATCTGCATCTTGAATTCTCTGGGTGTGGCAGACCTTAGAGAGAGGGACTTGAGTTACGATCTGTTACGAATCGCATCAAGAGAGCCGCATGCGATGCACAAGGTAGTAGGTCACGTAACAGCCGCCGGCGCCGGGATGATGACCGCTGAAAGCAGAGACGGCTTTCTCTCGGCGATCAAAGCAATCAGCCATGGCGAGATACCGGCCGGAGTTGGGCCCATCTCCGGCGCATGGAAATTGCTGTCAACAAGCACTTGGTAAGGTTCCCGAAATTCTGGAAATATCGAACACGTATGAGATCGGGGGACCAGGTCGAAAAGAGTGCAAGCTCGATCCTTTAAGATAAAGGTGTGAGTGTTCGCTTCTGGTAGCGGCTCCGGCGTCGCGGCAGCTGGGTGGGACCCCGGACTGCCGCAAGAGAACTGCGACAAGACTGCGACGCGCATGAGCTCGAGATGAGCTCGAGATTCGCGACGAAGCTCTTGTCTTCCTCCTTCGCTACCCCTCGGCGATTACTTCCTCTACTTATTGTTTAGCTTACCAGAAAACCTCTAGGAACGGTCCTACTTGTCCTTGTGAGTCTTCTCTCTCTCCACTTTGCGCCTCGAATCGGAGACCGGCGGCTTCAAAGAGCCACGCTCCGAGAGCTAGAATTGACTGACGTCGTCGAGACTCGCTCATTGGCCCCACAGAAACCTTGCATTCCCGCTCGTCGACCTCCGCCTTTCATCTTGCTCTCTCACACAGAATCGCACGATGAGCTCGATCAAGAACCGACTGAGGTCGAGTAGCGAGTCTGCTTACGAATACGACTCCAACTTTGGTGATGACGAGACCCAGGTCAGTTTACACTTCATCGTCGACGTCCTCAGTTGTGGGGCGGGCTGGCTGGCTGGCTGTTGCTGGCTGGCGCGCCGGTGTGTGGGGAGCGGTCGCTGCTGCCTCTGCCTGCACCGCGGGCTCGGGGAACTCGGCCTCTATCGAGTCTGCCGCAGTGCGCTTGCGAGCGGCGCGCCCGGGTCCGACTGCCAACACCTTTCATCAAGCAGCGGTGGTAGTGGTGGTGACACACCGCCAGGGGCCGTGGTGACTACAATGCATTGCTCGTGTACCTAGTGCCTAGTCTCAATCGGTACTGCCTGCGGACCAGTCACTGACATCCGCTTGACCTCCTCTCCATGTCCCATCCCTTCTCTCGCCTCCCACCTCCCACCTCCCACCTCCGTCATCGCCGTTTCACTTCTCCCACGCCCCCTTATGCCTCTGCTACATCTTGACCGCCTCCTCTCGCTCCTCTCGCCCGTTCCTCTGCCCGTTACTCCTCCGTCTCGGTGCTGTCGTGCTCATCGTCGCGATCACGGTCACCGACGCCGCTGCAGTACGCTGCCTCGTCCGGTGAAGACTCCGACTACGATGAAGGTGACAACGACCGCCTCTCGCGTCGCGCGTCGACCTACTCAACCTCGGACGACGCCGATGCCCACCTCTCGCGCGTCGACGAAGCCATGGACACTTTGAATGACCTCCACTCGTCCTCGGACGGCAAGTGGAAGAAAGCGCTCAAGCACCGTTCGGGCACGATCGTCTACGTGACGAAAGAAAAATCGCCAGCGGGAAAGCAAAAGAACGGCAAGCCTTTCCTCGCGCCCGTCTTCAAGGGCGTGTTGGACATCAACGGCTTCAACCCCTCCGAGGTCTTTGCCGTCGTCGGTTCGCGCAAGCTCTGGGACGAGTGGTACAAGGAGGTGAGTACCACGATTCATTACGAGAAGAGGTCGAAGGTCTAATTTCGCTGCTCCGTTCCCTCACGTCATCAGGGCAACCTCGTGGAAAACTTGTCCGACTCGTCGTCGTTGACCTACATGTGAGCATCGCTCGTCTCGTTCGGAGCTTACCCTATCCGGACTAATCTGGGTGCGTCAAACTCGTCCCAGGTGCATGCAGGGTATCGCCGGGTCATCGTGAGTCGTACTCGCAACTCAGCGATCTATTTCGCCTGCACAGATTCTAACCTCTCCCACTTCGTTTGTTCTCAGCACGCGTGATCTTTGCCTCGTCGAAAAGGTCGCCGGGAGCCCCACGGGGACCATCTCGTTCGTCTCGACTTCGGTCGTCACCCCCAAGGTCCCGCGTGTCTCGGGTCGAGTGCGCGCTTCGATCGCCCTCAACGGTTGGGTTCTCGAGCCCATCGACGGGGGAACGCGTCTCAATTACTAGTGAGTACCCTGGCCTTGTCTAGATGCAGTGCGTCCTCACTGACTTCCGGCACCCTCGACGTCTCACAGCCTGCACGTCAACGTCCGCACTTTTGTGCCCGCCTTTGCGGCTCGCAAATACCTCGCCCGTCGCCCGACGTGCATCGCCGCGATCGCGGCCTATCTCGAAAAGAATGGCGCCCCCGCCATGGTCGAAAGCGGGTCTGGTGGCGCCGTCGCGAGTGGGACCCCTCGTCGTCGTCGCGATTCGACCGCGTCCAAGCGCTCGTCGCGTTCGACCCGCACGACGGGCTCCAACACCTTTGCCGGTCTGCCCGCGCACGTCGCGCTCGACACCGAGGCGGCAAATCACGGCGACATCCAAAAGGCGATCAAGTTGGTCAAGTCCGTGGCCGGTTCGCGCGATTTTTCGCAGGCCGTCGACGAGAAGGGGACCAAGATCCTCATGAAGAAGCGCGACGACGACGGGTTGCCGACCGTCAAGGGTGAATGGAACGTCGAGGGCGTCACGACCGAGCAAGTCGCCGGGACGATCCTGTCCGAGGCCGCTCGTCGGGAATGGGACGTGCGCTTCAGCTCGTACACGCCCGTCGCCCAAATCAACGGCTTTGACCAGAACGAGCTGCTGGAACTTCACAAGGGGATCCACCCCGTCGTGCCGGCGCGCCACTACAACGTCATCCGCGCCGTCGAGCGCGAGGACGTTTCAGGCGAGAACGGAGACATCATCGTTGTCTCGCGTTCGGTCAAGAGCCCCACCGAAGAGGTCAAGGGTCCCAAGGGGTCGAAAAAGTCGCAAATGGACGTCATCGGCTTCCAGCTCGAGTCCGCCGGCGACCGCGGCGTCAAGATCACCTCGGTCGTCCAGCTCGATTGGCAAGACGAGGCCGCCAAAGAGCTGACCCCGGCGTTGCGTCGCTTGCTCCTCGGTGAGATGGCTCGCATCCCCCGTGCGATTACGACCTTCATCGACGACTACGGTTATGCGCCTTACTTTATCCGCTGGGGCGAAGGACCCGCCGCGCTCGTCGCGGACGGCGAAGACGGGGCCGATCTCAAGTCGGGCAAGACGAGCTTCCGCGTCTCGGGCGACGGCAAGGGCACGATGAAGAATGGCCAACAAAAATGCTGGCTGCAGTGGAGCGACAAGATGTACGAACGTGGGCTCGACCTTAAGCTTGAACCCGCGGGCGCGGCCGAGATCGCCAAGGTCGATGGCATCGATCGGACGCTCGAGTTCATTTGGTCCGACAAGGTCAAGGACGGGGTCACGATCAGTTTGACCCGCTCCAAGAAGGGCGATGGTGCCGATGACGTCTTTGTCGGTGGGAAGCGCCTCGACGCGACCGTGCAGATGGAGAAGGGCAAGGCGAGCAAAAAGTCCGCGCCGGCTCCTGTCGCCGGGGCCGCGGGCGGCAAGTCGGGGGGTAAGTTGTCGCGCGAGGCCAGCAACGACGATGACGAGGAAGAGGAGGACGAGAAGTCCTCGCGAAGTGGGAACGACAAGGTAAGTGAGGGGAGTACTCTGGCACATTGTACGTAACGGCTGGTTGACCAATTCCCTTTTATCACTTGCTTTATCAGGCCGCTGCGGCCGGAGTCGGAGGAGCTCTCGCCGGTGCCGGTGCCGCCGTCGCCGCCGTCGGTCGCAAGGCCGCCACCCCCATCACCCCTGCCTCGCGCTCGGCGAACAACTACGGTCCCCAAGCCGGTGATTCGAACGACCAAGCCGGTGGTGACACCCAAGTCAGGCAGCGCGGTGCCCTCCCGCCCGACGCGATGATCATCCTCACCGATGACCTCTACTTCACCAAGTCACAAGTCATGTTCATCGGCGGTGTCGGCTTGATCGCTTTCCTCTGGGGCAAGTTCGCTTAATCCCCTTTCGCCCGCATAACGTATAACCTCAAAACGACTCCGTAACTCGACTACGACATTCCTTCGGCTCGCTTCCCCATATTGTGTGTGCTTTTATTTCTTGCGTATTGGTAAAAAATGATGTTAATTCCTTTTTCAGCTGGAATTGTCTTAAAGCACCTGTCTCTCTTTACCATATCTCTCTCGCTCTGTTTTCATTATATCTGCGGCTTGATATCCAATTTCTCTCCCAATCTCTTTCGGCCGCTATCGCCCTTCGGTGACCGTCTGCTTCCCCGCGCACAGAGAGCCTTACGGCAAGTAGCTGCAAGATACTTTGTCTCTACCACGAAATCAGGTCAATCTGATGTCCGTGGCTCTAAGATAACGAAGACTCGAACGCTTGGGCGACGCGAGCGGTTGGGACAGCCCCTAACCAGCGCCGGCAGGGTCGCACTGGGGCGTTGGTAAGCTGCAACCATGTCCGGCCGCCGCACTAAGTTGGTAAGCTTTTGGGATGGTCGAGAAGAGGTCGAGTTTTGCTCTCCCGTTGATATCACCATCAGCAAATCGCGCCATTCCAGTCCGCCGTGTAGAGAGAGGAGGGACCCAGGTCGCCCCACGCCGCGATCGTCAGGTCTCCACCACCTTGAGGGCTAGACTCAATCTGTACTTGAACCGGGGCTAGCTCTCCGGGGCTAGTGAAGTGATGTCCAGAAGCGATGTGAAAGTTTGAATGCAATATAAAAGCAAGTCATAGGTGAGGTGATGCTACACCACGGGAGGCGTTTCAAGAGCTAAATAAAATGGGCCGAATGAAGCATCGTCGGCCACTGCACCGCCGTCTTTGGCATTGCTGCCAGGTGTCGACTCGTCCGCAGATGCTTTACTGCGCTGTGGTGAAAGAAGGTAAAAGCAAGGGAATTCACTTGATGCAGAGAAGTTCCCAGCTCGCTGTCAGTACAGCACTGCCCCCGGCTAACCAGGGCAAAAGGTGGGATCATCATCACGTCTTCGTCGCCGAACAAGCTGGTAGGGTCCCTGGCGTCTCAAGGAGCTGTTTGCGGACGGCAAGCGGCGCTGCTCGATCCCGCACCGGCCACGGCGGGCGCTGACCGAAACGACGTGCGACACCTGGCGCGTCGGCGAACTCCCTCTCGACCAGATGCCCGCTTACCTGTTGGAGGTGCAAAAAGTCGTGACGGCCGCCGTTCTTAGTACGATCGCAATCCCGGACACGATGGAGTGCGACCACCCGATGGCGCTCGATTTTCGCTCGGCGGCCGTGCTCGCTTCCGAGGCCTACGCGGCACTACGACCCCTCGTGTGCGCCGACGTCGAATCGACCCGGGAGCTGCGACGCTACGTCGGGCTGAGGTGGCACAATCCGGTCTTGCCGCGGGGAGAGGTGACACACGATCCACAATCGTAGGACCCCGACGTCATCGCCACGGAGCAGCCGCCTGCGCTCGTGCGCGAAGGTCACGTGTTGCACTCCTTTGTGGGCCTCGAAGTCGACCTCAAAACGGGCAGCCTCGCGATCCCGCTGTTTGTTCCGCGTGGGGTGAGTTGTCGGTGCCTGTCTAGTGAGATGTAAATCATCTCCCCTGTGGCTAACTCGTGGCTTGGGTCCCTCATTGTGCTGCTTTGCTTCGCAGATCGGCCACTCTTATCATGCACAGACCCACTTGATCCAATGCGTCATCCGGAAGGCGCAGCGCGACCTCGCGCAAACCAACTTGGAGCGAAGAGCCTCCGGACTTGATCCCTACCCCGACATCAACGAGATCTGGCTGATGAGTGAGTCCTCTTCGGCCCCACCTAAAGTTCTTTCACCTCCAGGACCCAATCCCGCTCCGCTTTCACGCGCCACCCTAGAGTCTCGAATCGAGCTAACCCCGGAATGATGTCCTTGCTCGCCCAGACGCTCACAACAAGGCGAGTCGAATCCTACACCGCGACGAACGATTGCGCGGTATGGTCCCTCTTGTCAGAACCCAATCATACTGATTCTCTTCTAATTCTATTTACTTCTCATGCCACTATTCCACTCCTACTTTGCACTCCTTCTTTAGCCTATTACCCTCTACGCCGGATCCCAGCGCCTGATCGAAACTCGGTTGACACGTTGGCTTGGGTTGAAGTCGCGCGCCTCGCGGGCACTCGTCTCTCTTCCTTCTTCATCCATCTTCCATCCTCGATCTTGCGCTCGTACTCAACCCCTTGAGTCGGGATCCAGTCCTCCATACTTCTCATACCTCTGGAGCATCAGCAAAATGGGCACTCGGCGCGCACCGCTTAAAGGCGCTTAAGCCCCGCTTAAGGACGCTTAAGGACGCGTAACAAGACGTCCTTAAGCCCCGCGTCTTGTTAAGCGTCCTTATACGGGGCTTAAGCGCCTTTAAGCGGTGCGCGCCGAGTGCCCATTTTGCTGATGAGGAGTACCTCGAAACGCACGCCGACGTGACCGACCCAACCCATTTCCCTCCCCACCGCTCGATCCTCTTACCCCGGCAATTCTTGGGACGGTACCGCTTCTACGCCCGAAAGAGGCGCTGGAGAATTGGAGTAGTCCCCACCCAGGTGCACGGCGGTGAGAGTGCGGGGCCGGAGCGGAAAAAAAGGGAGGGGAGGCGGTGGTCGGCGGTGGTCGAGTATCAGTTTGCTTCATGTTGTAAACCGAGCAAATTGATGAGATTGAACCTGCATGACTCACACCGCGGAGTGCAATCGGCATTCTCGAGGAGAAAGGTACGGGCTTTCGAAAATTGGTCACCGAAAGGCAACCTCCTGAGCTCCTGAGCTCGATCCCGTTGGGCTCTTTCTCCCGAGGTGCTCGCGGAGCGGTCCTTATAGGAGACCCACTTCCTTTTAAAGGTGATTTCGGTCCCAAGGCTCTTGGAATCATACGCTAGAGACACTGCAGCATACCGGAACATATGCAGAAACAAGGGCACGGCATCGCTGCGCATTTTGTCGATTGACTGGACCACGCAAGACGGGGAACACAGACTGGAACTGAAGGGTAAGGGGGAGCGAACAGAAAGAATGAGCAAAAGCTATCCGCGTCCAAAACACAATTTATGAACTCGGCTCGATCATTATCGGCATCGCTATCGAACGTCAGCCTCCCGCCCGGGCTCTTTCCACGAGCATCTTCGGTAGCTTGATAGTTCATGGAACCTTGCATTGTACGACCATATTTGTCATTCAGACGGTGCTCTGACGGATATGAGCGCAACGAAACGGTCCTCAAGACGGGCAACGAAGACTACGACCAAGCGGAGGGCCTGAGTGCCAACGGTCCCGCACCACGCTCTTCGTAAAGCCCTGGTGGGCCCGCCAGGCCCTAAAACGTCAACACCCTTGCTCCCCTTCAGAACCTCTCCCTCGATCGACTGGCGACGATCCTCAACCCGGCATAGATCTTGCCCGGTGGCGAACCGAGGATCAAGGCGCAGATGGCGTCGCGCGCGATCTTGATGTTGGAGTAGGTGCCGAGGATGTGAATCTTACTATGGGACAGCGCACGCGGTGAGGAATGGAGTGGGGTCAGAGGACCGTTCTGGTACGTTGCTCCGCGTAGAAGAAGCCCAACTTACGTATCGGCCAAGACGACCCTGGTCCTCGACGCATTCTCAATCACGAACCTCGTCTTGCCCTCGTGTCCAGCAATACGCCCGATCGCACGACTCAGATGATCGCCATGGAGGGTCTTGACGTCCTTGATCTCGAATGACTCGACGTACAACTCTTCGAGGCGGAGCAGAGCGATCGCATCTTCGACTGCGAAACCTAGGGCGTAGGCGGAGAGGAAGTCGGAGGCTCGGGTGAGGGAAGAAGCGGAGGGGGTATGTTTCGAGGTCTGCGCGCGCACGGGGGTGGAAAGCTGATCAGCCGTGGCTCCACCAGAGAGGAGTCTCCGTTGCCTTTGGACTGACCTTCATCTCGACGCATTTCTTGCCAACGTTCATCCTAACCTGCAACCCACACTCCTCGACCAAAGGCGTATAAATCTTGATCCAATCTCTTTTGAGGGGCGTCATGCGATGCGGCGGGATCCCGATCTTCCTCCTCTGCGTCAAACCCGCTTTGGTCTGATGGGAAACGGCAGGGAAGGACAGGGCGTCCGCTCCGGGGATTTGGGATATGGGAGTTCGAGTGACGGGGGTAGGCAGGGAGAGGGACGAAGGGTCGATCAGTACGGAGGAATCGTCTTCTTCCGGATCCGCTTCGGGATCGGAGTCGACGGCCATGGCCGCATCGGCTTCTTGCGCTCGTGTGTTTTTCGATCCAGCGTTGTTGACTTTGACGGGGGCGACCTTGGTGTCGTATAGAGGTAGTCGCTCGGAGAATTCGGCGAGGATGGAATCGGAAGCGATCGCCGACGCCGAAGGAACGGCGTTCAGATCCGAGGACGCATTCGGTTGGGTGGGGAGGAACGTAGGGACGTTCTTGTTTGGTTTGTTGGAGGCGGAGGAGGAGGAGGAGGACGAGGCCTTGAGGGCTTGTTTCCTCGATTTGGAGGACGAGGCCGACGCGGGCAGGAAGTCCGTGTCGGACATGGCAGGAGAGCTTGCAGAGGTAGAGCCTTTGCTGTGTTTCGATAAGAGAGGTTCCTGTGTGTCTTCCAGTGCTTCTAGGTCGAGTGCGTTGCGTTGTATTGATCGCGGTGAGTGCAAGTGTGCAAGTGGAGTGAGCAAGCCGAGCCGAGTCGCGCGCTGCGCCTGCGAAGTTTCGCAACCCCGGCGTGATGACCTCAATTGCGCGCTTACCCACAGCGGCGATCGCTAATGGAATGGCCCATTGTTGAGCTAGTGCAGGAATTGACCCAGCCGTCGTGCGCGCGCGCGTCCATGGTCCGCTCTCCTCGGCCTGTCGCTCACCTGACCTGGCCGGCCTGACCTGAGCCAACCTCAGCCAGTCATTACCAGACAGCTCCAGACAGCGCCTCAGCCAGCCTCAGCCAGCCTCAGCCTCAGCCCGGCCAGGCTATAGTCGCCAGCTCGCTCTCGGCAGTCTCTCGGCGCACCGCCCGCAAGGTCGTCCTCGATCGATTCGGCGTGTCTCGTCTGCCTTCCGCGTATCCTCCAACACGTCCTTTGTGCGCATCCCACACAGAGACCCGCACGGCCTACCTCCATCGGCCTCCTACATCTCCGGCTCCCAGTCTGAGCTTCTCCCCCAGGATCACTCTACACCTCTCCGACGTCGACCTCTGTACGCGCTTCCCCGATCCGGCTTGATCGAATCGTCGTCGTCAATCACGAGCATCACCCCGTGCATCCCCATCCAAAATCCTCGATTATGGCCTCGCGTCGCAAGGTCCTCTTGAAGGTACGCATCTGCAACACGCAGAGTTCCGCCTGGGTACCTATCAACTGACACCGAGGTACGGTGACAATGACGAGCAGGTGATCATTCTGGGTGATAGTGGGTACGTACACCGATCGTGCCTCGTGCCGCGTCCTTCGCTTCGGCTACGGCCAGTTCGAGGTCGCATCTAGGTGTCCCATGAACTGCCCATCTCAGCATAAACACTTTCCCCGCCTGCAAGCTCAATTAACTCCATCCCGTCCCTCGCTGCAGAGTCGGCAAGACGTCGCTGATGAACCAATACGTCAACAAGCGCTTCTCGAACCAATACAAGGCCACCATCGGCGCCGACTTTCTGACCAAAGAAGTCATGGTCGATGATCGACTCGTGACCATGCAGGTGATTTACACGCACAAACCACTTTGGCAGATGAGAAAGGCGTGGGACCGGTCCGAACTCGGAACGGCAACTGACCTTTGCCCCTTGACCGACTCTGACTTCCGACTTAGTTATGGGACACGGCCGGCCAGGAGCGTTTTCAATCGCTCGGCGTCGCCTTTTACCGAGGTGCGGATTGTTGCGTCCTCGTGTACGACGTCAATTCGAGCAAGTCGTTCGAGACGCTCGATAGTTGGAGGGACGAGTTCTTGATTCAGGTTCGTTTCCGTTGCCTCGTTCACGCAATGTGGGAATCAGCACAAAGGACTGGTCGGAGAGCTGATTATGTGGAATGGGGCGATCGGACAGGCCTCGCCGAGAGATCCGGAGAACTTTCCATTCGTTGTGATTGGGAACAAGGTTGATGTCGAGGAGGGTAAACGGATGGTCAGTCCTTGCCCGCGTAACCTCTCCGGCACCGACCGAACCGCAAGAACTCACCTTTTGAATCACTGGCCACCCCGCGCGACAGGTCTCGCAAAAGCGAGCGATGACGTGGTGCCAATCCAAAGGGAACATCCCTTACTTTGAAACCTCGGCCAAAGAGGCGATCAACGTCGAGCAGGCGTTCCAGGCCGCGTGCAAGAACGCGCTCTCGCAAGAGTCCGAGGCCGATCTGTAAGTTCAGAATGCTTTTTAAGAGTGATTTGGCGGGTGAACTAAGCTATTCTGGAGTTGAACTCGGAATAGGTATTCGGACTACCCGGACGCGATCAAGATCAACGCGCACGATGCGGACAAGTCGAACGGCTGCGCTTGCTAAGTCTCCTTTGGTCGTCTCGGGGTTCTTTTCCTCCCTATGCCCATTCCCTATTGCTATTCGTTCTGGTTTCTAATCTCCTCGGACCCTCGCATAATACTCTTTTACTGGCCTGCACCCCGGGTGGTGTCTCTTGCGCCCGTTCCTCCGAGGCGCATCCTCTCCTTTTCCCTTGCTCCCTTGCTTTGCTTCCTCCCTACCTGGCGCTGTGTTTCTCTTCTTCTTTCCCCCATGTCGTTTCCTCCCCTTTTTCCTTTTCCTAGTCGTTCCGATGTAAGTTCAGATACTTTTACACCCTCCTGAAAAGCCCGATCGATCCGTCCGAGAGAGTGCGCGGATTCGGCCGAGCGAATGGCGATGGCGCGTCCGTTGGCTCGGGCTCGCACGTCGTCGCCACCTGCCAGCTGCCCCGAGGCCGCACGCGCGCAGAGAGACGGGGGCGAGAGGGGGCGAGAGGACCACCAGCCAACTGCAAGCCAGGCCTAGCCAGGCGAGACGAAGGCCCAGTCGGGTTCGGGTCGATGACACCGTACGGGTTCCGCTCACCCCTCTACTCTACTCACCCCTCCCTTGAAACTGCTCCAACGCACGCTCATCACCTCCAACACTTGATAGCGTCTGTTTTATCGCGTCGAGTCTCTTCGGGAAACCTCCACAGCACCTCGGACGACACCAACTCACCACACCCCACCGTCCCGGACACGAACCAGACGACATGCCGGCCCCGCAACAGAGTTACGACATGTTGGCCAAGGTGATTTCACACGCAAACCTCACAGCTTTTGAGCTTTGTCCTCGATCGAAGAGGGGGGTGACTTGGATTCACGTCGACGTTGATGTCGATCGTCGGTCGGTCGTCGGTCGGTCGTCGCTGTTGGAAGGAGGAGGCTGTTCAGGGCTGGCTGTTCGGCCGTCGCGTTGGCAAGGTCCCAGCCGCCCCTTGCGTCGGCCCAAGGAAGGGACCCGACACGCGCGGGGGTGTAGCATACGGCATCTCGACTGTGGTAGGAGGAGTGGGGGAGGAGTGGCGTTGGACCATCCTCGTGGTGTTGGCGGTGGCATAGTGGTCCTGTTGCGCCGCCTCCTCCCGCAAGCCGTGCACCGAATGCCAAACTAGACTGAATCGAACTTGCACTGACCACCTTGCCAACGCGTTACCCCTCCCCCCCTCCTCCCCGACGCGTGTCTTGTAGATGTTGTTGATCGGTGATTCCGGTCAGTCTTTCCCCCCCGCTGGTGGACGTGGGGTGTTGTGAGAGGCGAGGGCTGATGAATGATGAGACTCTTTCCCCCCTCCCGCTCGAACCGCTTTGCTCGCATCACACGTCGTTCGTCACCAAATGTTCGTGATCGTCAAATCTGCGCGCTTTCATCTATTCGCAACGTCGGACCGCTATCGCCCGTCTACCTACACGATTCGAAATTATCGGCGAAAACGCACGCCACGCTGCACGCGTCTCTCCCGTCGAACGCTTCACCCACAACCGATGACCAAACCCCACCTATTCTCCCCTCCGACGCACCACACTATTCAAACAAAAACCAGGTGTGGGAAAATCGTGCCTGTTGCTGCGTTTCTGCGACGACGCGTGGACGCCGTCCTTCATCACCACGATCGGGATCGATTTCAAGATCCGTACGATCGAGCTCGATGGCAAGCGAATCAAGTTGCAGATCGTACGTCACTGTTCAAGAGGTTTACTCCTCTCGTGGGGGTTTAGGAGAAATCTGGGGGGTGGGGGGGAGGGGGAAGACCAAAAAGTCTGATACCGAGAGTTTGTATGTCGCTTGTTGCGCAGTGGGATACGGCCGGACAGGAACGCTTCCGAACGATCACGACCGCGTACTATCGCGGCGCGATGGGTATCTTGTTGGTTTACGACGTCACCGACGAGAGGAGTTTCAACAGTCAGTTTTGGGACTCGATGCCTTTTCCAAAGGAATGCCTTTTGATGGGGAGTTCTGTTCGTGCTTTGCACAGACATCCGAACGTGGCATTCGAACGTTGAACAACATGCGAGCGAGGGAGTCAACAAGATCTTGATCGGCAACAAGTGCGATTGGTCCGATAAGAAGGTGCGTCCGTTTAGGGAACGGGCGAGTCAATAAGCAGAATCGATGTTGATTTCTTCCTTGGGGCGGTAGGTCATTACGGAACAACAAGGCCAAGAACTCGCAGACGAGTTGGGCTTGCGGTTCCTCGAGACTTCGGCCAAGACCAACATCAACGTCGAGGAAGCCTTTTTCGCTTTGGCCAGGTCGGTTCATTCCCCTATATCTTACACACTGTTGGGACCACCCACTCAATAGCCTGCTTTCCTCGCTTGACGCCACTTGCAGGGACATCAAAGCGCGATTAATCGACACGGTCGGTACCGACGGCGCCGGAGGCTCGAACGGTGGCAACGGCGGGTCGAGCAACAGCGTAGGGTTGAACGAAGCAGGGGGACAGTCCAAGAGTGGGTGTTGCTAGATCGACGAAGGGAGGGAGAGCTGTGTGCTGAGGTATCGGTTGGGGGCGGAGTTTTGAAAGCGACGGTTTCCCTGCTTTTTTTTCTTCGCGTTCGCGTTCATTTTTCCTACCTTCTTTGATTTTTTTCCCCTTCTTTCTGTTCCTATTTTGCCTCCTATTTTTCTTTGTGTGTTTTCTTTTCTTTTTTTTTTCGATCATGATGGTATGCCATTCCCGAACTCGTTCCTATTCGCATCTAACGTCGAAAGGACTTGCAGGCCGAGTTTTCGTCGTCGTCGTCGTGAAGTATCTTCGTCTCGTGGTGTAGACGACCATTCTTCCAGAAGAACTTCTCGCACTGGTTGGGGCGAACGACTGCTGATGTATTACCTCCCCCGTGCGAGCGGCCAGAGAAGCGGGCGTGTGCACGCGGGCGACTTCACACCAGCAGTGCGTGGAGCGAACGATGACGTTGCGCCTTCTTCCCGGCCGAATGCGCGCTGACGAGTGGGGCCCGCCGTGCGCCGAGGTCATGTGCGGTTAGGTTTCCTCACCACCACACTACGCACACAAAGTTTTGCCAACAGCCTGTGAGTGCACACTTGGTCATGATGTGGCTTGATGATGGATGATCCACCTAGTAGGGTGTGCTTTCTTCAACGTAGCCCCCCTGAGGCGGTGCTGGATGCAGCGCTTATCAGGTGGGCGGGTCGGGACCCCGACTTTTGAGCGAGTGTACATGCCGTAGCGTAGCGTGGTTCATGGACAGCCCATATCTGTGGACCAAAGACAAGCAACTGACGCGGTGTACGACCCCTGACTGTTTCCCATCGTCGCTTCGGGCTCTTGCTCCGTGTGGGCTCCCCCTCGCCGCCCGTTCTTGCGCACTTCTTCCGCACGTCGACGCCCTCGCTCGCCCTCGCCTGCCCGCCGCGACTACGGTCGATCCCGCTCTCTCTTCCTCCCTCCTCTCGCTCGCTCACTCAACTCCTCCCCCCCCCCCGCCCAGCCCCTGCCACCTCCCACCTCCCACACCACCTCCCACACCCCACAGCAACAACGATGGCCTCCGCTCAAGCCAAGTTCGATTACTACATCTCCCAAGTCGACGTGAGTGTTTTTCCTCCCTGCTGCCCTGCTTGCTGACCGACGAGAGCGATCGCAATCGTCGTCATTTCACCTTGCTCCCCTCGGCCAAGGTCCTTTGTTCGAACTGTGCGCTGATCCCTTGTGTGGTCTCCTTGTCACCGTTCACAGAAGGAGGTAGGTGGTTGAGCCCTTGGTCGGATCACTCTTGAGAGTGCGGTAGCTGACCTGGTTCCTCGTACACTTCTCCCTGCCGTCCGCTTCGGCTCCGACTCGGGCTCTCCCTGCGCCTTTTCCACACCGCCTCGTCTCGCTCGCCCTGCGTCACATCCGCACCCGGACCCTCGCACGGCCTCCCAATCCCGAATCGCACGCCGTGAACGTCGTCACCGCTCGCACAGTTGTCCAAGTACCCCAGTTAGTTGTCCCCGCTCGTCCAAGTCGGCAAGGCCCAGAAGACTGACCCCCCCCCCCACCCCACCGGCCCCGCCTCCCTCCCTTTCGCGCAGCCCTCAACAAGCTCGAGCAGCAGTTGAACGTGCCCAAGGCCTACGCCGTGCTCGGCGTCGGTGCCTTTTTCTCCTCGTTCATCTTCTTCAACATCTTTGCCGGCTTCTTGTCCAACTTGCTCGGATGGGCCCTCCCCGCGTACCTGTCCCTCAAGGCGTTGGAGACCCCCGGTCACGATGAGTGAGTTGTCGCTTGGGGTCAATGGGCCGGTGGTGGCGGCGGGGGTGGGATCGCCGCCGGGGAGCTCTCGGAGCTCGGTCGGCGATCGAGTCATGGCGCACCGCAAACGGAAAACTGACCCCGTCGGCGCTTTCTTCTCGCAAACAGTGACACCCAATGGCTCACGTACTGGGTCATCTTTGGCGGCTTCAACTTTCTCGAGTCCATGTCGAGCGTCATTGTCGCCTGGTCAGTTCGCCGAGCCATTCGACTCGGGGGAACGTCATTGGTGCGGAGCGGAGAGCTGATGCGCCTGGGCGAGCTTGGTCTAGGTTCCCTTACTACTACACGTTCAAGACCATCTTTATCCTCTGTGAGTTGGCCTGCGCTGGCTGGTGCAAAGAATGAGGCACTGATCCGTCTCTCGACTCCGTGCAGACTTGATCCTCCCGTACGCTATTCGAATCCCACCTGGAGACCGCGCAGGAAGACGTGTGAACTGACTTTTGCCTGATGTGATTCCCTTCCGCAGCTCGACCCGCGGCGCGACCGTCGTCTTCAACAAGGTGCTTCGACCCGTCATCGCCAACAACAAGCCTGCGACGTCGACCACGCCCGTGGCGAACCCCCAATAAGCCCCAAGTCCCCCGCACCTGTTGTGAACCCAGTGCTTTGATGATCGACCGACCACCCCTACGACGATGACGAGATTTCGGGGGAGCCGAACTGGAGGATGGATCGAACCAACACACGCCCTCGCTCCCTTCGTGGATCGTTCTATCCCTCCACGTCTCCCTCTTCCCCACCTCTTTTGATATGTCTGACGAAACCCCCGCCGAACCCCCTTCCTCCCCCCTTTCTTATGCGTTGCCCCCTACCTTACCCCCTCATCGCGGCTTCTCCCCTTCTCTTTCTGCCCCTCTGTGTCGTCCCCTCTTCTCTGTGTGTGACGTGTGCCAGTGATTGTGTGCTATTTGATGAATTTCCCTCTCTCTCTCTCTCTACTTCCTCGTCAGAGGTATGGGTACTAGGCTGCAGTAAAGAGATCGAGTCATGGACAATGAATGGACCCGGAGGTTATTGCCCGTGGATTGCCCATTACTGGGGGGTTTGGGTGAATATTTGCTGCTTAGAAGGAAGTGTGAAATCGTGTGGTCATTTTCAGTTGCCGATGAGTAGGCAGTTTTTACGATCAGCCCCTTCTTCATACCGAAGCACGTTCAGACGATGAGTGACACGGTGAGGGTGGGGGTGGGCGAAAATAGGGGGCCGGAGGGGTCACCGGTCACCGGTGACGCGTGAGAAAGCTCTCGTGCCTTTCAATCGAGAGATTGATTCGAGCTACCGATTTTTTTGGGGGGTGGAGAACTAACGTTAAAAAAAACATCAAAAATCGCATTGCGAGGATTATTTCAAAAAACGGGAGGAGACGATTCATTGGGGGGTACATCAAAAGGAGGGCAACAAACAATCTTGTGGGGCCACCCCGAGGCGCGTTGGATCGTTCTTCTGACCGACTCCTATTATTCCGCTCTGCGCTTCTTTTCCCCCTCTGGTCCTGGTCCCAGGTTCAAGTTCGACGAGATGAAATCTTCTTTGTACCATTCGCGTTCGCACCTCCTTGCCGCATCAGATCTGGGATACCTGCTCACGACCAAGCGGGAGCTTCTGGAAGAGCGCAAAACCTTGTTCGTGATTTTTGAATGTTGCTTTGTAGTCGAGGCACAGGGGAAATGAGGCGTGCTGACGAAGCGGATGAAGTTGAAAAGAGTCGTAAGACGTGGACGAGGAGGTACAGACGAAAGAGGTGAGGATGCCTTGGAACGGGGTTCTGCTGGTCGGCGACGCAAACCCACGACTGCTTCGCCGCTGCTCGATGCTGACTCGAGCGAGCGAGCTGCGTTCGTCTACGTCGCTGCAACTTCGACCTATTCCAAAGCATCATCAACTCTTTCGGCTGCACATACCTGTCCACGTCATGAGCCTCATCAACGTCATTTGCTTCGTCAACACGCGTTATCGCTGCCTGCCGTCGTGCCTGGGTCACGACTGAGCGGCCATAAACGACCACCGCATGAACAGGGCTTGAACAAGGCTTTGCCCTGTTCCATCATCAGTTCCTGCTCGACAGTGGATAGGCTTGCCCAGATCTGGTGCGGGAAGCGAGAAAACGTCAATGGTACAGCCAAGTCTTCATCTTGTCGAACTTGGACCTGGGAACAGAAGAAGAGGCAAGAAGCGCGGAGCGGAATGATAGGAGCGGGTCAGAAGAACGGGGGCGTGCACGCCTACCCGACCACAGTGGCCACAAGCGTTGAACCTTCTTGCCCGGACGTTAGGCCCTCACCTCAACGCTGACGCCGAAGGCAAAGCCGAGCCTTCCGATGCGCTTGACGTCCTGCGTCAAGAAACCGGGACCTGTCCGAGTTCCTACGGTGACCCAGCATGTGGCGCTGGAACTTGAAGAAGTGCAGGCCTGCCTGTCTTGCGTCGCCGTGCGGTTCGGGCCACTACACATCTCGCTCGCCAAATCCACCGCAGTCACGAGTCTGTGCCCGGGGGGTTTTCCATCTCATCTCAGACTACTACCACCCTTTGGTCGCGAGCGGTGAGAAAAAGGGGACGGACGAGAATCGGCCATCTTTGCCCGCCGAAGCGGTCATGGCCGCGCTGCGTCCCGCATACCTCGAACCAACACGCCTGGGGGGCGTCGATGACCATCCGAAGATGCTCCGCTACCAAGGGGTGATGATATTCTAGCATGGGATGGAGGACTGTGGTGTTCCGGATCCCGTCGGAGACATTCCGGACATAGCGGGCCCCGTCAGGAGTCATTTCGAGTCATTTCGGGTCATTTTAGCGGGGTCTGCGGTACTCGGGATCCCGTCGGAAGCAGCGGTTGTAGCGGAGTCGTCTCGATCGAAGCAGGGTCGAGTTCCGAAGTCGTTTCGACGGCCAAGTCGGGAGTCGATTCAATTTCCACTAGTTTCGGCGGAATTCTTAGCGATTAAGCGGTCCCGGATAAACTCAGTGCTTCGGTGACTCGAGGCTTGACTGTCAGCGACGAAACATGTGGCGGGATTTGAATGGAAGACCGGGCCGGATGCGCGGATGAAGGGGAGAAGGGGAATGAAAGGAGCGCAGCGGTTTGAATGGTCGGAACGTTTAAGGGGAGTTTGCTTCTTGTTCTTAGCTAGACCACTTCTAGGATCCAATACAGCATCTTAGCTGGTTCTCACTTTCTGGGTGTATCACGTCTCGTTCGGCCTCGTCTCCAGTCTCAGCGTTTCGTTCTGTACTCGGTCTCGTGCCTCGGTTTGGGCCCCTTTTCTCTTCCCTGTCTCTCGGCCGTTCCGGTCTCTTTCTCTCGTCTCTCGTCCCCCTCGTCTTCGGTCTCGGTCCCGTCTTTTTCCCGTATCATTTCATATCATCTTTGGTCGACCGCTTTGCTATACCATAGGACCCAAGCACGACGTCGTGGCGGTGGCGAACTTGGCCATCGAGGGGTCGGAACCGTGCGGCGGTGCAAGGCAGGCACGCAGGCCTGCACCTCTTCCAGCGCCATAGCTTGCTGGGTTACCGTAGGGACTCGGACAGGTTGCGACTTCTTGTCGTAGGACGTCAAGCACCTCGGCGGGGTCGGGCTTTGCCTTTGGCGTCAGCGTTGAGGTTCAGGCCTGTCGTCGGTCGAGCGGCCACCGGCGCCCCCAAAGAAGAAAAACAAAGGAGAGGGGGTCAGCGCGCGCTTTTCGCTCTGGGCAGGCGATTGAAGATCGCGAGCGCGTGCCGGGATCGTCCTAGAATTGAGCGCCGAGCGCCGGGATGGGGCTGGGATGGCGTCGGGATCGTTTCGGCAGAGCGTGCACTCCCAAAGCACTACCCGAAAAAACCCCGTTTTTTTGCTATGGGATCATACGCGGCCGTGATGAGCACCAAGTTGTAGACGGCTTGATGGGACGAAGGATGGGTTACGTAACCGCCTCATTTGTCATAGAGAGATTGACCTTAGGACCTGGTTCTTTGATTGGGATAGCAAGGGTGCAGTCCCAGTCGTTGTAAGGCGTCGCTCCGCCTACGCCTCATGACGACCTCGAGCCAACCTCAGCGGCCTCACGCTTGCCCTCGCGCGCGGCGCCACAGCGTCTCTTTACCTTAGTCCTTTTAGTAGTCTTTCTTCGCCTGCGAATACACCGTTTGATCCTTTCTGTTTGGACTCGGGACCAGTGAGGCCCGAGAGCGATCTCGTGCCTTCAGAGGGGTAGGTTGCAGCAGCAAAATGGCCACGCGCGCGAACCCGCTTAAGGATTCGCCCGAGATTACGCGCGCTTAACAGCGCTTAACGGTGCATAAGATGTGCATAAGGACGCATACGCGCGCGGCTGAATTGGGCGAACCTCATAATCCGCGCATAGCCAGCGCTGCGATGACTCGCCCTGCTTAAGGATCGCTTAACGCGCGCTTAACGTTTGACCTCGCTTACACTTCGCATACGTAACTGCGAAGCCTGTACTTGCACACGAGCGGGCGGATTGCTTTCTTGACCCCAACAAGTTTCTGTGCTAAAATCCCATCAAAAGGCGCTTCACTTGATTTTATTCAATGAGGCTAAGGAGCATATATTCAGGAAGTAGTTGGTCTATATAACACCGTAATTTCTACAAAAATAACTTTCCAGCAAAATCTATGAGTCCGCCACTGGAGGCCGTCGAGCAGGCCGCAATGTGCCCTGCAATGCTTCACGTAATAGATTTATGGTGAAATGACGCCCAAGGTGACGAAAAACACGTTGATCCTGGGCGAGATTCACCACAAACACCCCATTCCATTGATCCATCACATTCCGAAAATCCAGGTCGGGTGCCAATTCCGCATGGCCTAACAACGGCTGAACAAATGCGGGGCGAGCCATCGACGTCGCAGTCGGGCCAACCGTTTCTGAGGTTCTTCTGTCGTCTGCGGCGTCGGCGAAAGAACTCTTGGCGAGAGCGCTGTTGTCTAAGAACTTGGAGGTGACTTCGTTCAGCAGCCGATGACGTGGGTAGTACGCGGTCGAGCGGTCGGGGCCTGTCGTGAACGTGCAAATGTGCTTCGAGATTGCGCACATGGTGGAATGATCTCTGACAACCAGCAATGTTGCATCGGAATTGTCTCATTTGCGAACGAGAGCCTTCATGTTCAAGCGACATCCCAAAGGCCTGTACGACGAGTCTACTGTCAGCGAGAGTGGACTGAAGCTGGAGGAAGGCAAGGGACGCGCGTAAACACAGCCTGAATGCAGGCGTATTTTCTCGAAATGCGCTAAGTTGTCCAAAACTACGCCGCGCAGCTGGCGCGTGGCGGCGCGACGTGGCAGCATAGGGGCCACTGCATATGTTGGCGCACGCTAAACCGCGCCCTAAAAAAACACCGAACAACAAATGCGACGTGTCACGCGCGCTCGTTCTGTTTACCACCTTTTGACTCCCTCCCTCTTCCTCCTCACTCACTCACCGTCCCTTCCTCGCCTCTCGTCTTGTCTCGGTCGTAGCCCTTCCACCCAGTGCCTGTCCAGCGATCTGTTCACATGTCTTCTCGACCTTCTCGAACGAGTGCCACCGCGTCTGTGCGCCTTGCTACAATGCGGGACCGCGACACGCCGGCGGACCGACGGGAGAGGGCGCAAGCCCAGCAAAAACGAAAGGCGGCGAACACGAAGGCGGCCGACAACAAGCGGCGGCGACTCGACGTCGCTGTCGGTGTGAGCCAAATCAACGCAGCGAAGAAGCAAGACGCTTGGCAACGCCACAAAGCCGCAAAGGAGCAGAAGGAGAAGTACGTGCAAGTGTGATCTCTTAACTCTACTGTATCTTTTCTTGAATGTAGGTGAACTGAGGCCTCGCCCGTCCTTGTTTCCAGTGCAACCCCAGCAGCCCCTGCACACGCGTCCAGGCTTGCGGTGACACGCACCTCTTCTCTTCACACCGTTCATGCAGATACCACACGTCAGCTTTTCCGTGCACAGCAGACTTCTGTTGAGCCATACAGCGACGAAGATAGCGGCGACGAGGACTCCTATATCGATCCTGCTATAAAGGGCCTTGTGTTGGGTGGACAAGCCGAGGACCCCTGTGACTTTTCGGACAACGGTCAGGACGAGGCAGACTCGGACGAGGGCGAAGACTTAGTCGGACCCACGGTTGTGGATGGCGCCGATGGGGCCGCAACTGTCGCCATTGTCAACAAGGTAGCGACCAGCATCATGGACGATGATGACGAAAGCGTCATTCCAGGCGTAGTGAGTAGCATTCAAGCAGGTTTCGGTACTTGCGTGCAGGCATTCAATGGGTCGTATCAACACTTGCAGACGCCCCAGCCCAAGGCTCAGGCTCTACAGTCCTCAATCGCCGGACAAGCTTTAAGACGCAATCCACCGCAAGGTAGGGTTGCCAGTCGTACACCAGGCTCGTCTTCGTCGTTTGCGAGATCGTCGCCCCTGGTCAAAAGGAACCTCGATGTCAATGCCCCCTACGACGGGGCGCACAACCGCAAGCCAATAGATCAAGAGACTTTGGATTCAAAGCCCAACCACCGACAAGCATCCGACTTGACTCTAGAGCAGAAGATGGTCGCTGGCGCCTGATTTCAAACTATTTTCATGCAGAATATTTTCGAGCTGCTTACAACATCTTTCTCCCTCAGGGTGGGGTCGACATGAACGATTACTCCTTCGAGGCCGAGGATGATTTTCAGAACGACCTTCTATACGAGATCTTTGTTAAGATCGTCGCCGGCATAAGGAAAGAAAAATCTGCTGCTTTCCAATGGCCAAAGGGAGGCCTCGACCCGAACGACAATGATCATCGCGAGCTTGCATTCGCTCTTTTGACTCATGCATATGCCGGCGTAAGTTCCTCAACTGTTCAGCAATGTCCATTTCAAACTACCAATCATATCGTTACATTCTTGCTATGACGGATCAGGTTCGGTATGCCATGCAGGTCCTTACGCCGCCCTCATCGCTCCCCGAATCGTCCGACGCTGGCAGAAATGCGAATGTGGCGAAGCAAACCGTAGCGCTCTGGCACGAGTTCTCGGCCACTCACTATCAGGGTCCCGTCATGGCCATACTGCGTAGGCGTCGTAGAGAAGGCTCTGGGCCTTTTTACTCAGAAGCTATGCAGGTACGAGTCACCAATCGAGTACAGAACAGCGTGGAAGTAGCACTCCTCGAGGAGTATCGAGGGCCCGGGGTTTCTAGGCGGGGAACCAGTGACGAGATGAGGATCACAGCCCAACGGGCTTGCGACTTTGAAGAGTCTCTCTTCACTTGACTGTAGTATATGAGTGTAACATAGGTTTATAATGACAACAGATCAGGGGCTGCGAAGATAAGACTGCCTAAACAGCCGCTTAAAACACGGTCTGTGGTTCGGATAAAGTCGCTTTAGGACCGCTTTACGCCGCATAAGAGCCCGTACGGCAACCGATTTTTGGAAAATCGCCCGGCCAAATTCCAAAATCGCGATTTTTGAGAAAATCGTGATTTTGTGGGGATTTGTGATTAATCGTCGGAGCGTTCGGCACGTTGACGATTTCTGGCCTTCGGAAAATCGAATATCGTCTCTCCAGCCAAATCCGAAATCCCACCTCTGGAGTGGGATTTCGAGATTTTCGGAGCTGGGACCCTCGTACCCGGAGGCGACTCTCACTTCAAGCATGATCTATATGTGCAATAACATCATATCTTTCCAAAACCTGGAAACGAGCCTAGTCAACGTAGTATACTGGGTCATTCGCCCAGAACTACCACTGTGAGTTGTAACTTGAGAAATTGTGATTATCACTCTCCGGGGCTACCTGCGGCCCGCTCGGTGCAGGTTGCCCGCAAGTCGCAGCGAGAGAGAGCGAAAGGCTGCGAGAGGCGAGGCGCGCCGATGTTGACGCGTCGCGCTCTCACCCTTGTGAGCCACTTCCCACTTGCTCGGTCATGAGCGCCGCCCAATCGTAAGAGGGCTTACGGACCGCTTTGCGTATGCAAACAAAGCGCGCGAGGAGTCTTAAGCGCGCCGTAAGTGCGCCGTAAGAGTCCCTATCTAGGGTACACTTAAGCGACACTTAACGCGCGCGCGGCTTAACGAGTGGTTAAGGGCGGTTAAGTATACTTAAGAGCAGCTCTAGGCCGCTTAACGACTGCTTTACGAGGTTCCGCGCGCTTACGCGCGTTTGGCCATTTTGCTGTTGTGCTCCACGCCGCACGCCGGCGGTGCGCTCTTCCGTCGGCATGTTTTTGTCTCTTTAGAAGCAAGTCGCCCTACTTTCCCACTGTTCCAGCCTCAAAAAAAAGATAACATCTCGGCTGGAGGAAAAGGAGATACAACAAGATCCTGCTATAATTACAAGGCAGCGCTTCATCCACCTAGCCGAGGCCCAGGAGTGTCGAGTCCGCGTAGAGGTCATTTCATCTCAAGCAACTCATGACTTACTACTGGCTCATCATTTGCTCCGTCGAACCTCTCGCCGACAGTTGTCGGAATCCCTTCCAGATCGCTTCCATCGTCTGCTGCATCTCCACAGACGACAACTTCATGGGGAACATGAGCGTCATCTGATCCAGCGCTTCGCCCAGCTCCCGATCTACATCACGGATCATAGCAAAGAGACGTTCGCGGTACGACGAGGACAAAAAACTGTAGCGAGCTCGACCCCAGAGAGCAGCCCGACCAAGCATGATTTGCCTCCCCGGATCGTCGCCATTGTACTTGCTGATTCGCTGCCGTCGAAATTGGAAAAAGTCCCATGCAGGATCCTCTGGTTCGATACGATGGGCCAGAACTTGAAAGAAGCAATACACGGTCGATTCGAACGCATGGACGAGCATATAATGAGGAATCTCGTCGCAACAAGGCACGTTGAATCTGTGCCATTCGAGCACGTCTCGCGGCGCGCTACTCTCCGTGACGCGGAAGCGGCCATGCTCCTCCGCCCCGACGGCGACCGACTCGCCCGGAGTGGCCACAATGCCGCCATCCCAGTCGATGAGAACAAGGTGGCCTTCATATTGAAGGATGTTGCCGAGCGAGAGATCGCGGTGGTAAAAGCCGAGGTCGTGGAGCGCGGTCAGCACCGTCAAGAGTCGGACAAAGACGTGAACAACTTGGGCCAGAGGCAGATCCTGCTCCTCACGATGACGCCGAACGAGCGGTCGCGGCAGAGGCGTCGGATTACGCAGAATGAGGAGCTCGAGCGTGCGCCGGGCCCGCTCTGCTGGGGGGGAGGGGCCGGCCTTTTCGAGCTCGGTGGCGCCGTCGCCACAAGCCGTCGAGGCGGATGATGGCAGCCGGTCCTCGTCGATGGGCTCGCAGACAGGGGCCGAGAGTGCGGCCCGGGCTTCAAGTGTGGCGAGGTGGTCGTACACGTCAGGTGAGAGTGCACCCGTGTCGTACGCGTCATTGATCTTGCGCAGCACACCCGACTCGATGCCTACGAAGCTTGGGCTGACGAGCTGCATCTTCAAGACGAAAGAAGGCGAACGGCGCGAGGCTGTCGAGGCCGTCCCCGACGAGCTCAGGCTAGGTCGTATGAAATGAAACACCGTCGTACATCGTTCGGAAAGGGGACGTCCACCGTCCGTCTTCGCACAAGACACGAGCTCGATCGGCTCTTCGTCCTCGAACTTGACCGTGCGCCCGACCGACGACCCAAAGACTGACGTGAGCAACGACACCGCCCTGACTCCCCTCGTGGGATGACACTCGTAGCGGAGAACAGGACAGTACCCGGCCGAGTAGACGTCCAGGTCGAGCAGGACCGCGAACACCGCCGCCAGCTCGCCGAACCCCTGACCCCAGCAGTCCGGGATGGTCGCGATCCGACACGTCTCGTGGTCGAGCACGACCAAGTGTGCCTCGTCGTCGTTGACGGCCAGACCCGGTGCAAACAGTCGAGTCGGTTGCGCAAGCACGTGCTCGACGAGATCGAGCACGACCCTGACCAAGTGTGGGGCAGATCCCCCCTGGCTACCGCGTGGACGATCTGCGCGAGGAGAAGCACCGAACGCACACGCCACCAGAACGCGACTCCACAACAAATGCATCGAGCTCGAGTCGACGTCAGGACATGCCAGGAAGTGCGTCCACTCCTGCCTCTCCTTGGATGACCTTGGCTCGGTCCCAATCTCGGACGCGTGATCGGTGTGGACCTGGACCCGAGCAGGCCGCTCGGCGACGGCCATATCGATTTTGAACTGTCGCCGCCGCGGGTGCCCCGTATGAGCCTGCCGCACACGTGTGCCAGAGAAGCGAGGATTTTACTTAGTCTTCATGCGCCACACCCGCAGAGAATGGTCGATTGTCGAACAAGGCCCCCGCTGTCGGTGGTCTGCACTCACATGTCGTGCCACGCCGTGCATCCAGGTCGACTGCCACGTCGAAGCGGCCGTTGTCGCGGTCGGGCGGCGGTCGTGGACTTGCTTGAATCGGGCGTGGAGCTCTTCTTGCGCATCTCCATCTTGGCCAGAGCGGGCCTTCCTCCCTGACGTGCGAGCGCGCTGCGACATCTGACGAAACCGCAAAGGGTCCGTTTGGAACACCTGCTCGACCAGGTCCGAAGCTGAGCACAGCGCGAGGCGGGGCACGATGATGTCATTCAATAAAGCGTGGTCGTCAACGTGATTGATCCCGTCCTTGAGCGCCTCGATGACTTTCCTCGCAGTCGAAGAATGCGGGCCCGAGTGCGACGATGACGATAGTGACGATAGTGACGATAGTGACAATATCGGCGACGGGGACGATGGAGTCGACGGGGTCGACGGGGACGACGGGGACGACGGGGACGACGGGGACCTCTGTACGCGACCCTGTCAACGGCGAGAGATGATGTCACGGGGAAAGGCGTCAGCGCGACCTCATACACCTTTGCTTTCGCCTCATCACTGGCTCTGGCACCGGTATGGGTACTAGTCACTTGCCCTTCTGACGTGTCTGATCGCGTGGACGGATGGATCGACGCTCGTGGTCGCGCACTCAGCACCTCCGTTGGGGCTCATGCGCGCGTCACGGATTCGCTTGCTCGGACGCTCGGGAGTAGAGCCAGTAGAGCCGGTGCGAGCTCTCGACTTGGACAACATGGCGTTGAGATGAGCAGCGCCGGAAGGGATGAAGACACGAGACGAGAGGCGGTCAGCGGGCTGGATCTCACCTCTGGCCTCCCGAGCGGCGTAGCCCTACAGGTTGCCTGCCTGCAACCCGGGTTGCCAGATGGCCCGAGGTCCGGAGGACTAGCGCAACACGGAGGCTGGTGTGGCCTTCAACAAGTTCATCTCATGTACGTGCGAGCTCGTATCGGGGTGATCCAATCTTATAAATGCTGCCATTGTGTATAAAGCGTATTCGGAACACACATCGTCAATTTCTTCTTTAGATTAGTAGCGAGAAGAACATCATTATTAGCGGAGGGGATAAGGTAGCATTGATGGACGTGATTAGGTCACGTGCCGTCTCACCACGCTGGTAGAACGGAGCGAGCCGTAGCGAGCCTGAGCGCGAGCGAGCGACAGCGTCTGACAGCGCTTTTCCCCTCCGATGTCTCGATCACAGTCCTAGTCTCACTACTTTCTGTTCCCTTACGCTTTCGGTCATATATCTTGACTCGAAGCCATCCGACCATACGATATGTTGCCTCTCCTGTCTGCTTCCAGCAACGCGTCAGCGTTTGCCGCTCCCACCCGTGAGACGCGTCCTCGTGTCGTGATTGAAGTTTTGTTAATGTCTGCTGACCCTACTCCTCATTCCTCGCTGTTACCGCCGAAGATGCTTCGGTGCAATCGACCAGCAGCCCCGAAATGGGGTCTGTACTGTCGTCTTCAGCGACCGTTCAGACACAACAGCACCACATTTCTGCTTCCAGCATCGCGAAGATGGACGAAGCACGACGCCCGCCTCAAGGCCGACCACGTCCAACTCGTCCAACTCAACGAGTCATCGAATCAAAGAGGTTCAGAATGAGATCCGAGCCCTCCATGATGTCGTTCGAGCGCTGCCTTTGACTTCGCGCCTGTCATCGTCGCAGAAGGAGACCCACGTGCTCTATAACTTGCAACGTCGCCTCGAAAAGATGCAATACTGTTTGCGGGATGGGGCCGCGCCGTTTCGACCGTACAACCCTCCCCGCTGCCGGGTGGGCTGCACGATGACGGTCTGGAGACCATGCGCCAGTAGCGATTCCTCCTCGCGAGCGTTGAAATGGCAGCTGCGGGCCGGTGACAACGGAGTGGGGAGGAGGATCAGTCGTCTTTGCCACCAAATCGGTCGCGGCCGCACTGCGCCCGGCTTACCGCGAATCCACACACGGTGGGGCGTCGATGATGACCCGAGGATGTTCCGCTACCAATGGATGAAAATAGCGAGGGATGGTGTGCAGCTCCCCGGGCGCAAATCCGTGACGGCGGCGGATCCTGCCAGCGACGTGGGGGAACCTCGCCGCGATGCACGGCACGCAGGCCTGCACCTCTTCCAGCCCCACGTGCTGGGTCACGGAAGGAACTCGGACCTGTCCGAGTCCCTTCCGCAAAACGTCAAGGGCATCGGCGTGGAGGTGAGGAGCTGTCGTCGGTCATACAAACGAAACCAAAAAAAAGGAAGCAAAAAAAAGAAGGGTTAGCGCGCTTGCTTCGCTCGGGGCGGGCGATGGAAGATCGCGACTGCCAGACCCGCCGGCAGCCTAGCCGAGTGCACTAGGTGCGGGATGCCTACTCACAGTTGAGCAGGAACTGATGGAACAGGGCAAAGCCCTGTACATGGTCCTCCATGGCTGCGCGCAACCCATGTACTGCCGCAGTGACGCGTGCTGTGGCAGTGGGGAGCGAGCGGCCGGCGACGCCGCAGGGCAGGCGTCAGTACGTCAGTGCCGTCGGTGGCTCCCTCGTCGCGGGAGCAGGGGCCCGCCCGCGGTGCGATATGGTCGACGTGACGAGGTAGGCAACTTACCGTTCTCGGGCGCGGCACCGACCTCGGCAATCAGCTCTTCGTACGCCCGGATGTCTGCGACAAAGTCACTGTCGCAGAGCAGCAACTCGAAAAGAGCGGTCGCCAAGCACGAGTGGCCGAGATTCGGGAGGCCGATCGGCAACCGCTCGTCGACTTCACGGAGCGCACGAGTACGCTCGTTGCGTGCCATGGGGCGGTGAGCTCACAGCTTGAAGATAGGCGAGAGCTTGCTTAGAGTGGATGCAAGTGGTGTTGGACCCGTAGCGTGGGCGTCGGTACTCGAGGGCAACGTGTGGAGCGAGAAAGGGTGCGGCGCCGTTGCTGCGGCGAGGGAGCGGTCTCCTGAGCGGAGATATCCCAATTAGCGTCCCCGACCTCTGGCCGCCGTGCACATCGTTCGGGCTTGCCAAACTTTAGCTCATCACGAGATCTTAAGTCGATATAATTCTCGCTGTTCAAAAAAGAAGACAACTGCAATACAATACGTGGGTTCAGTTTCAGGCGTCATCATCGCGATGGCCGATTCGGCTACGCCGGTGTATCTACCTTCGTACACCCCTTTGCAAGGAGCTCGAGGTCGAAGGTTACGAAGAAAATAAGGTCGCGGTGCAGCTGATTGCCTTAACGGTCGTCATACCCTGACTCCTCTCCTTGGACGGGTGGCGCCTCGATGTATGCGCGGGTACCCACCCCACGCCGCTGCTAGCCCTCCACACGTACGCATTCGATTGTAGATATTTTTATCATCGGTGACAGGAGCATCTGTATCCAACCAGTAAGGCTGAGATAAATTCCAGTTTAGGAGGTCCTTCTACAACACAGCACATTGACAATCTAGATTCGATCGGCACGGAAAAATCAATCTTTGCCCAGGGTTTCCCCGCGCGCTCGGGGGCGAGTTTCCCCACATCACCCTCCCACAAGGAAACGGCGGGGCAGCGCAAGCAAGGAGAACAAAATCCGGGAGGCGAGGGGCAAAGCAAAACTTCTGAAGTTCCGAGCGAGCAACAGGCGACGTTGCGAGAATAGTGTCGACATTGGCCAATTGGATCTCTCTGCTCTCGCCTAAATCCTCCTCATTATTTAGTATTCGCGCGCGGGACAAGCACTTAAGCTCTCGCGCTTGCGCTCTTTCTCATTTTGCTTCACTGCTTCTAAAACTCACCTGGCCGCATCGTCTATCGCCTCCGGGACCTATTGGTTCGGGGGTTCAACAGATTGTAAAGTCTTAACGAGCTGCGCCCTTCATTCAACTAGGCCAAGATGGCCCTTTCTGATGTAGTCGCAGAGACGGTCGTCCAAGCGAGCGGGAGAAGTCGACGAAGCGACTCGGGCAGGTTGTCGATGCGAGGAGTAGGGTCGGCGACGAGCCTCGAATGCGGGCACGCAGAGTCGACGTTGAGCAAATCGCCAGCCCAGTCGTGGCGGTAGACCATGTGCGGCGATCCTATGCGATCAGCTGCGGACGAGCCCTGATAGCATTCAAGTCGATAGGGAAAAGCCCCAACGCTGGGACCTTCAGCGCGCGTAGTTCATCGACTTGTCATTGCGTAGCGCCATCGTCTAGCACCCTCCGTGCCGTGCGCCAGAGACATCACGCCTTCTTGTTGGCCCGCAAACCACCGCGTCCCGAAGGATGTGTGAATGACGCGCACCAGCCCGCTATATGCCTAGGAAGATCTTGATGGTCGTAGCGACGAGCAGGAGCGAAGACTGGGATTGACAATTGGGAGCTTTGCGACCCAAGCTCCTGGATGTCAGTCGGCTGCAACTGATGATGGAGCAAGTCCACTGATCGTCTCAGCATTCCCTTGCGACAAAAGCAAGACACTGTATAAAGACAGTTGGGGCGCGGTTGGTGCAAAGGACGGCAAAGGGTCTGCTGAGAGATATGCGATTTAGCTCGTTGCCCAACAAGGGCCCGGAGCAAAATGCCCCCACAAAGAATTTGCAGGGATCCAAGTGCAAAGTACACCGTGCAACAAGCTTGGGTGTATCGAAGCACTTACCCCGAGCTACTCTAAGCGAGCCACGTCGAGGGTTTCATAACGAGCTGCTAGCAGCTGTGAACGTCCGGCAAGATGGAACTCTCGATCAGCGACCTCGTCAGCTGGGAGGTAGTCTTGGGAGTGAGGAACGCACCTGTCCCTACAGGTGGTGAACGCAGCCGCAGAAGCTGGTAAGGAAACGTCGACAACGCAGTGAAGGCCCGAAAGGGAACGTGCGTTGCGAGTGCCGCCCGTGAGCCCGCGTGTGGGAAGCACAGCTATAGCATCCACGGGGGAGAAAGGGTCCGTGCGCGCGAGCCCGAATCGGCGCGCCAAATCCTTGCAGTTCACATCGAGAACAGTGCCACAGGCCACACTGCTTCGCCTCCGATTCGATGCTGTGGAGGGGAGCTTCGAGGTGAGCAGTCAGTCGGTTATCCAAGCTCGACGAGAAGATGTGTTTAAGATGTGTACAGGCATATTTCAGGACCTGATGTTGAACTATAGGGTAAGTCTCCAGTTCGCTCCTACACTATGAACGGCGCCTCCGCAATCCAGTTTCTAGGCCTGAAGTTGAACCGTGGTTACTTTCGAATGGCTGGACGGGCGAAGTCTGTTCCTCCAACCGCGGTCAACTGCAGTCGACTGCGGTTGCGTGGATTTCCCGCAGGGGAAAAAGAAAAAGGAGCCTAATTTGGACGAACGGGGAGTCGAACCCCGGACCTTTCACAATCACTAGTAAAATGCGAAGCGAACATTATACCAACTAAACCATCCGCCCTTGATGTAGGTAAAGGCTAGTAACGCCAATTCATCTAAACCAACAAATCACGTGACGTGCTAGTATCGACGCGGGCTCCCGCAGCGACTGGCAATCGCGGCCTGGTACCGGTTCACTGTCGATCGACATAAGAACACCCCCTTGGCAGCGGTGGTGGCGGCGGGACGACTCAACGTGCCTCCCCGGATCGGCACCAGCGCACCGCTCGAGGCGATCATCCCCAAGCCCGTGGCCCGCTTCGCAATGGAGCAGCGCCTTCCGGACCCGGTGCTTCCACAACAAGCGAGCCAGTATACGCTGCTGAACACGGCTCGACCCTACACAATCCGTCGCATCCGCCGGGTCCTTAACGCGAAGGCCTTTATCAACACGCTCGGGCTCAAGGGACCACCGCAGCCGGACGATCTCAGGAGCTTCTGGAAGGCGGTCAACTCGAGGGCACTGACGGCGAGGGAGAGGGAAGTTTGGTTCAAGCTGATTCTCCGCTTCATCCCGACGCGCAAGCTCCAGCACGAGCAAAAGCACGACACTTCTCCCGCGTGCCTCGTCTGCGAAGCGCCGGTGGACGACACCGATCACTACTTCTTCGGCTGCGTCGACTCGCGGAACGTCTGGACCGCGGCGAGGGGCGTGCTCTGCGACGAGCTCGGATGCGACACGATCGAGGACGCCGAGTACACGACGCTTCAACGACTCTTTGGCCTCCCCAAGCTCAAGGCCAAGCTCAGCGAACAGGAAGGCGCAGGCAGGACGATCGAGATCTTCACGGGGATGGTCTTGGAGATGATCAGCAGTGGGAGATGGAGGATGCAGAAGCACGGGACGAGGATGGAAAGCCTGGAGCGGAGGAGGGTGGTACTGGAGGAGAGGATGAAGTTGAGGGCGGGGGGAGCAAGGGGCGGGCGAGGGCAGTAGAGGCTGGGTTCGATTTCCCCCCACCCCATCCCACACTCACACACCCCACATCACACATCCTCTTACAAAAACTGTATACTAAATATATTTTCTTCATCTTTCTTTCTTTTATTACAGGTCTGCCTCCGTTGCTCATGGACCGGCTCGCGATTTGGGATTGACTCGACGGTGGCTCGCGCTCTTTGGCTTCGGGGTTCTGAGTCAAGGGAGGGATCAGCAGACACAGGCAGAAAGTCGGCTTTGAGGGGCCAGGGACTGCTGAGGTGGAGGTTTTGAGGGGCCTCCACCGCGTCTTGTTGTGACCGAGCATAGACTTGGGATTTCGCGGGTCAGGGTAGCTGCGCAGTCGCCTGTCTTTGTCTCGACCGAGTTGGGAAGTGGCGGCAGGGTGGGCCTCTTGTCGTTAGTACGCTAGTTGTTTTTTTGTTTTCTTTTTCTCTCTCTCTCTCTCTCTCCTTCTCTCTCTGATTCGTCTCCTGGGGGGAGCAATCGCTTGGCTGGGGTACTTGACTCCGAAGTATCGGATTGGTGGACTTGGCCCGTTTCTCGCATCATGCGGGCGGTTTGTGTTATCATCGTCGACTTCCATCTAGTTTTTCCGTAGGCCAATCAGGCGGAACAGGAATTGGGGGTAATATTGATGAACAGTTTCTACAAACAAAAAAAAGAAGGATTGCAATTTATGAGCCCCGATAAAAATTAAAATAAAAGCTGGAGCCGAGACTCAGCCAAGGGAGGACATCAGGCGCTGTCGGGGTGACGAGTAGCTGGGGCTTGGCTGCGGCCTGTCAGTCCCTGGGGACCTCTAGCTCTGGCTTCGACCCCCTCCCTTGGCCCCTCGGGTGTGTTCCCCTCCTCCTCCCCTCCTCTCTGTCTTAGTATTCCTGGTTCTCCGTGTTTCCAGTCGTGAATTTTTGTATATTCTCCCCTTTTCTTTCTCTAGGCGCTCTTGCCTGGTTTTCGAGTATCTTCGCTCCCGCTCTTGGGACGTGCAGCGGCAGCAGTACTCACCGCCCGTTGGAGTCCGCGTTAGGTGCTCGGCGGGTTTTCATCTGCGCAGCGCTCTTTGCGCGCAGGGGTTTGACTTTCACCCAACTGCTTGCCGTCGTTGCTTTGTAACCTCTTCTAGCTCTTTTTGTAGCGGTCCCAGCCAACCCGAAGGATTGCGATTTATGAGCCCCGGTAGTACCCCCCAAAAAAGAGAAACAGGTGCACGTTTACCATGTGCTGTGCTGGACGCAGTCACAAGGCGGAAAGTATCCCATGAAGAACATGACTCGGAGCGAGCGGATTCACCGAGGCGCGATCCGACCGGTTGATCGAGTCGGAGCCCCCGGGTCAAGGCCGTTGAGCCAATCCTTGCTCTGTCGCCTGTCCGTACTCGTCGATCACCGTTCAGTTCGCCTTGGAACACAGGCTTGCGGGGAACGCGTGCATGGCGGGCGTCTAGCGCGCCAGGACCACACCGTTATTTCGGACGATGATAACTTGCGGTCGGAGCTTTCTGGCAGGTCACGGGGCTAGCCGTCCGACAACATCGATGGACCAGGGACATGCGTTGGTTGCCCAGCAATGGACTAAAAGCGTGGGATGTTGCATGGAACCAAAATCCGCTGCCTGTGAAGCCGTGGTGACCCCCAGAAGCTTCATGGCAAACTACGAGCTCGAAGGGCCGGGCATCTATCGCTGCGTTTCTCGGAGGGCTAAATCGTTAGCGGAATTAGGTTAATCGCGCGTATAGCAGGGCACTTTGGTCCCGAGAATGGCAACTCTGGTCCCACATCGGAGGCGACTTTGGGATCACATCGGAGCGGACTTTGGGATCACATTGATGCGGACTTTGGGGGCCCGTACCCATGTCGGGGGGTGGGTGGGAGCTTAAAAGCAAAGCAGTCTCTGACAGATTCCAAAATATGAAGCTCGCGCTGTATCGGCATCTTAGGAAGCACTTTTGGGGCCCGTTTGCATTCCCGACTCGGACCGGTGACTGCGGTCTACGAGTGATGTGCCGCTCAGAGTCGTGCATTATTTTATGTAGATGTAGATTGGTCAGAAAGTAGCATCAATGTATTTGAAGGGACACACCAAGCATCCTGTCGGAGTCAGAGCGAGCTTGGCGCATTGGCACCGCTTTTGGCGCTCTTTTCAACATTTGCATTAACTAGTTTGCATTAAAAGATTGAAAAGGCCGACCAAACGGGCCAGAACCTCGGTTCACGGCTCGGTTCCGGCCTTCCCCCACCTGCCGCTCTCGGCTTCGCGGCGCATCGCTTGAATGGACGACCGCCGTGATCGGCGGCTTCGACCTAGATCGGGGGGAACAACCTTGCATCGAATCTAGGTTTCTGCATCGCACATCCAGAATCAGCATGGATCGGCATCGGGGAACCGGCCAGGAAATTCAACTTGAGGGTATTCAACGATATACGTGGTCACGTCGGAGCGCATGTGCATTGACCTGCTGCTTCGCACCTTCAAGCTTCAGCTCGACCTCAACCGCACCAAAAGAGTCAAGTTCTTCTGTTGTCGCGCGTCGACCTATCACAAATGAAGCTACTGCCTTGCCTCTACGCCGTCGTCGCGCTACCGCTCGTGCAGCTTGTCGCGTCGGCACCCGAACGATACGCGGGCGGCGCCGTGCAAGGTCTCCGAGTCGAAGCTCGCGCCACTGTAAACGTGACCCTGCAGTGCTTCAACAATCAGTTCCGCGACCCCAAGAGTGCGTTAGATTTCCGATGCATCAATAAATTCGCTGAAGATGACCATAAACGTACTCGGACGTCATGCAGCCAGGGAATGTATATTTTGCACCGCCGTGTTCGGACCAAATGTTGCAACGTGCACCTCCAAGCGGCCGACTGCATGGTAGGTGGGATTCGTGGGTTCCCAGCCTCTTGTCCACTCGAGTGACCGCTTAGTTGGAGTCTTCGTTCTACAGCATGTATGGTACCCCAAATGGGAAACGCTGTGCAGCGCCTCGCTGCCAGTCGGGTCAATGGCCGGGAGATCTCGGTGAGCCACCACTCCCCGCGGCGGCCGAGGCGAAAAGTCTGTGCAACCACTGACGCTCCTTTCTGCCGTCATCGCATCACTTTCTGCGGGATGTTTATTGCGCTCTCAAGGTATGTGACCTGACCCCACAGGGGGTTCTGCTCGCGCTCGCTCGTTGACCAGTCTCGTGAATTCTGTGTTGGCGCAGGCGAGTTGTGCGTGCCCTGTCCCGACCCTCTAGCGCTCAAATGCAGTATCAAGGGTGTGTCGACGGCGTGCCGTCGCGGGCTCCTCAGGAACGGTATTTGCGCTTTGGTCACTTGTACGGGAGCGACCTATCCCTCGGAGTTGGGTCAGTCCTTCGTCCACCCGAGTCTCTAGAGGTCACTAAGACCGGCGCAATTGAAACAACATTGACTTTGGCCCCGAGACAGGCAAACTGTGCCTGCGCTGCCCCGACAAGTGGGCACTCACGTGTAACGCGACTGGTTCCTCGTCGTGTCGTACGGCAGCACCTTGTCGAATGGAACGTGCGTCCCCTTGTGCCCGGCGCCTCGGGTGCTGGCTCAAAATGGTCCGTCCCGGCTCTGTTTGGACCTTTCGTTCCTGGTGCGGAACCTGAGTAGAGCGCCGAATCGACGTTTCTGCTAGGTCTCGAATGTTGCTCGGATGTACGTGCGACCTCGTGCGTGTCAAAGTGGGAACCTTTGTCGTGTCAAATCGGCTACGAGGTCAAGAACGGCATTTGCGTGGCCATCACTTGCACCTTGCCCAACGTCATGTCTCGGGACGGTCAGTGTCGCCACGTAGCTCGAGTCACCTTGTGTAGGAATGATATCACTGACCATAATACCCACTTGGTGAGACCAGGCACGGGGTGCTGCCGCGATCCCTACGCTGCCGAATGTTCGAGTCGAACGAATTCGACATCCTGCGTCACCGGTTACATCGCCGTCAACGGTGTTTGCATCACGTCCAATTGCACATTGCCTTCGATTCTTGCTCAAGATGGTACGCCGCGATGACCTCTCACACCCCTCTCTTATCTCGGGAAGGGACTAATATCTTCGCCGGTGCTGTGCGCCAATAGGTATTGGATATTGCCGTGACCCCTATGCGGCGTCCTGCTCCGATCGATTCGCCTCGACATCGTGTGTTGCAGGCTACATGTTGGTCGGAAAGGCCTGTCAGCAAATGCGATGCCCGCCGCCCGGCATCTCGGCCGATGACAGTGAGTGATCCGAGTTGCAATCAACCGCTCACCACTCCCCTAAGCCCTAAAGCACCGACGCCCCCTGTTCAATCAGACGGCGGGTGTTGTACAGACCCGCACGCCTCGGCCTGCTGGAACATTGGCCAGCCGAGCGCCTGCAACCCCGGATGGGAATACCTCGGTGGGGGCTGGTGCACGGAGATCTACTGTCAGGCGCCCAATCCTGTCCTGGCCGAAAATGGTGAGTGCGGTTTCGTTCTCTCGCGCCTTCCGGAGTCAAGTGCTGAAATCTTTTATAATTTGAAACAGGCGCAGGCTGCTGCTCGGACGCTTTGGCGACTTCTTGTTCGGACCCCAACACCCCAACAGAATGCGTATTTGGCCACAAAGTCATTAATAACGCGTGTACGGCCGTCGTGACGTGCATCGAGCCGAACCCCGTCTACTCCGCCGATGGTGAGCTCACTTACCCTTGGTGGTTCTGGCTGCGAGAGGCGCGACTGACACCGGTGAGCGCTCGGCCCTTGTCACCCATACGACAGGCACCGGTTGCTGCGTCAACGAGTTGGCCACGGCTTGCTCGACCCCGACCTTCACCACAGCATGCAAAGGCTGGTATATTGCGCGGACGGATGGCAAATGCTACAAGACCCATCCCTATTGAGTGAAACATGTCGCTGGACGCCCATCGGGCGCCATGATACATTTTCCGGGTTGTAAATCTGTACTGAGAGCTCAGAACGGTCAATTTCGGGTGATTGCTCTTTCTGTAATACCGACCGAACGCCGCTGGACTGAAGTCCATTTAGGCAATCAACATCGGCCCTCGAGCGGCTCGGTGAGAGGTGTCTACATGATCTGTAAACGCTGATTACTCTGAAGTCACGTTGGTGACCTGTAAATGCAACCCGTATTTAATCAGTCGCTTTCATGCACTACTAGATTTTCATCTCGCCCGGATGCTCACCGAATCTAACAAACGTGGTTGGCCCGATTCAGCCTGCGCAACTGGACGCGAGGCGGCTGACGCGGTTCGGTCGAAAGAATTGCCCTTCCCGGCGGAGAGTTCTCAAATTCGTAGTCTTGGCGACTCGCAACCTTGCAGACACCTTACATAGGTAGTTCGCTTGCAGACACCTTGCATAGGTAGTAACTCGTGATCGAGAAATCAGAGCTGGTGAAATCCACATTGGCCGCCTCTCTCGCCCATTGAGGCTTGATTCATCTGTCAAAGTCTCAACTTCGGAAACTGCTCGAGCGACGTAATCGCGGTGCTACCGCCAACTCGGTCGCTCCTTCTCAGCCTTTCGATCTCCGTTCCACGCTCCCAAACTGATACGCGGGTCATCGAAGGCGGCGAATCATTCCCTAGCGCTTGCTCACAATGAGAATCTCGATGCTGCCCTCCAAAGTCATTCTTCTACCTGCTCTGCGTTCCGTTTCGGCGGCGTCTATCCCACCCGAGTCAATCGCGCGCGCGCGACAGGTTGCGCACCTCGAGCACCTCGATTCCGTCACCGCGGCGGTGGTGAATGCGACCGCCTCGAATGTCACCTGCAAGGCACCTGCTGTTCTAGCTCAGGATCGTGAGTTCGGGTTCCCGTTCCATTCAGAAGAGTATGCTCGGAGGATCGAGCTAATCACCCTGCACCTACCGCGACCGGATTCATGTGCAGGAAAAGGCTGCTGCGCCGATCCTCACGCGACATCATGTTCGAGCCAGTCCAACTCTACCTCGTGTGCCGACCGATACGTAGTGGTTAATTATAGATGTGAAATGATTCGATGCGCACCTCCGCGCGTTGCTGCCGACAATAGTAGGTCAAGAAAGATTGATAAATTAGAAGTGATTAGGGAAAATGTGAAAACTCATCTGCTCGATCACTTTCTCTGCGGTAAACAGATGGCGATTGCTGCGTGGATTCTCACGCGACGTCTTGCTGGAACCCCTGGCACTCGACTATCTGTGAACTTGGGTGGGAGGTTCAAGGTGGGACCTCATGCGTGCGCATAACTTGTCGCACCCCTTACTCCGTGCTGGCAGACAATGGTAAGCTCAGCTCTCCGTTCAAACGGAGCTTCAAGGCCCCCGACTTTACCGCTCACCTCTTTCGTGTTCCAAACATTGACGGGATGGTTACACAGGCCGTGGCTGCTGCTCGGACGCCTTGGCGCTGTCCTGCTCAGACCCCGCCACCTCGACCAATTGTCGCTTGGGCTACAAACTCGGCAACGGTACTTGTTCCACTATCCCGTTCTGCTTTGTACCCAATCCGGTCGTATCAAACGATGGTAAGTCTTCCGCTTTCGGGCCCACCACGTTGGCAGGTTCGTTACAATAATCTCTGTTCTCGGCATCACTTCAGGCAAGGGCTGTTGCTCCGACCCTATGGCTACGGCGTGCTCTGAGCCCAATAACGCCACCGACTGCGCAAAGGGATACTTGCGTCAAAGGGGTGGCACTTGCTGGGAGATTCCTCGATGTCTAAACCCGATCACTTCGGCAGATGGTGAGCAGTTCAGGTTCTTGGTGTTCAGACTCAAGCTTCTTCGACTACCGACTCATCTGCCAATCATTCGCATTCCATCCGCAAAGGTGTCGGTTGCTGTCAGGATCCACACGCTACAGCCTGCTCAGACATATGGAAGGCGACTGCTTGCGAACAAGGTTACGAGACGGACCAGAATCATGTATGCACTTGGACACCGAGGGCAACGTATGTTCTACCGCGCCGGATGAAGGACCATAGAAGCGCTGTGCAATATTCTTCCAAAATCAGCCACGACAGCCGAACATGGGTAAAACAATATTACCTCTACTCGTTTGTTCAAGCCGCTCTAAGCCCCAATAGACCAAACTGGCAAAAGCTTCCCCCACCAAGGTGCCAAGGTCGAAATGAGAGATCAGAGTGACGATGATAATCCTGGGGCCTACTGCAAGGGTGTTCAGCTCTCTTTATATGGCGGAAATGATATATATATATATATATATATGAATAAAAGATCCAGTACACAATAATTAAGGCCACGGGGTGTCACCAGATGTTGCGGTGCTCTGCTCTGAACTTCTGGCGCAGGTCACACTGTTCCGAGGACCTTCGATCCCGCAGCGGGGACACCATACGTTGATCTGACGACCCACGTCAGTGAACACAACCTGCTCCGGGTTGCTGTAAATCAAGACGTAGACAAGGCTGCGAGAGTAGTTAGCCTCTCTGCGTGGGGGATGAGCGGAGCACGCGGCGCTTACACCTAACTCCATGATGCCACATTGCCTGCAAATACTCAGATTCGAGTTCTGACCAGTTTCGACTGTCTGTCTAAACTTTCTCTCTGGGTCAAGTATTTTTCAGAGTCCTACATGGGCCCCCCGAGACTGCCCACCTGGGGCCGCCGTCAATTTCGACGCCGCGCGCGGCTGTTGGTCCAGGTTGCCAGCAAGGGGCCGCGCTGGAGACGACTTATCTCCCCACCGACCGATTCGAAGCCTTGGCGCATCGCTTGGATACTCCTTGTATGCTGAGATCGACAATGATGGAAAATTACGCCGTATTGTTCGAGCTTTATCAGCCTAGTTGCTCGCCGTTTGTCCCCCATGGTGTTTTGCCACATACCGTCGAGGCGGCTCCTTTGCCGAGTTTAAGATTCACGAGAGATCGGCGCCGCATCGGCGATAACAGCTTAACAGGTGGCTAGCCACTACATTGCTTTTCAACTTCCTCTATTTCCTTACCGCCCACCGCACTGGTTTGGTCCCCAGATCACGTACGACAATTGTCATAGGTCCAGCATGGATTCATCAAGATGCAGTTATCAGGTTTGCTTTCATTGACAATCACCTTACCGGCTCTGTATCCGATCTTGGCCGCCCTTGTGAATGGCTCCGACCGCCTCGACGAGGCGCCCAGGGCCCATCGAGCCTCCTGTCACCAGTGAAGCATACGACTTGACCTCGCGCGGTTTTAGTCAACACCCCAGACTTGATACAGTCCCAGAAGTAGAATGGCGTGGAAAAGGTCGACATTACAGTAATGCCGATCCTTCAGTGACCGATAATGCATCCGAGTTGGTGTCGTGCGGGATCGGCGGATGACCTCCGAGTCCGCGGTTACTCGCGGCGTTGAACGTTGAACTCTGACTTGCGTAGGTCTGAGGGTTGACTCAAATGTGAGAATACACGGCTTTAGCATCCTGCACCATGCAACCTGACTCATACCGGAGTCTAATCGAGTCCGGAGAGTACTCGGATTTTGAGGAAGATTCGGCACGTCGGGTTGAGAGCGCGGCAAACTCCGAGGCGACGGGCCCGGCATTTGCCGACACGGACGGCTTGCGAACTAGAGTAGGTGCATGTGCACTTTGCTTCATAGAGCTTGGTCTGGTCTTCTCACAGGTTCCGGAAAATGACGCTCCGAAAAATGATCGATTGGGGAGATTTCTTGCATAGCAGGACGTGCAGCCTAGCTCGGCCGGGTTCCGAGGGCTTTCGCATAGCAGGTTCGGGCCCGGCGTTGAGGTTGCCGAGGGCTGATTGGGTCAGCGGCTCGCGTCGCGAATTTGTCAGCTAAGAGTCAGCATACCGAGCGATTGTCGTCATCGTCATTCACCTTCGCACCGACGTGTCTCTCTCCTACTTTTCCTCTCCTTCACAACCCATTCCAGCTCCCCTGCAACAACACACCTTCAGCTTAAGCTCTTCCACTAGACTTCGCACGTCGTACCCACACACACGTAAATCTCCCCCCTATTTCTGCCGATCTCCAATTCGCCATGTCGTCCTCCGCCGATTTGCTCAGCCAGCCGGTGACGTTCCACCAGTCGGGCAAGCAGTCGCCCAATGTGTTTCTCAAATCGGCCATGACCGAGAGGTTGTGCACCTACGACCAGGAAGATCTTGATTCTCGAGGAAAGTAAGTCTGCGGATCCTTTCAAGCTCCTTCACGCTCGTTCGGATTCCGCCGAGCGATCTCGGAGGATGGCCCAGCGACAAGAGCCCGGCCTGCGAGTGTCGGGGAGCTGTCTTTCCGCCCGAGTCCCGGATGTATCACCTAGTGCAGCCTCAGAGTACTGATTTTTCTTCCGCTCTCGACAGGCCCACTCCCGAATACATCAAGTTGTACGAGGAATGGGGCAAGGGCAAGACGGGTGTGATCGTGCTCGGCAACATTCCCGTCGATCGAGAGGGCCTTGAGGCTCAAAAGAATGCCATCATTGACAAGCGCTCGGTGAGCTCATTCTCACCGAATACGATACCACAGCAGTGTGCTTATCCCCCTCGCTGCTTTACCAGCCATGGGATCCGGTCGAAGCTTTCAAGCCCGTCATTGCTGCTGCCAAGGCCCATGGCTCGCTCGTCATCGGCCAGTTGACCCACGGTGGTCGACAAGTCTCAACGGCAGTCACCTCGCACCCCATTTCGTCGTCCGACATCCAGCAGCCCCCTGCGATGGGTATGCAGTTCGCCAAGCCCCGACCGGCGACAATCGAAGAGATCGACGCCCTCGTCGAGGCGTGGGCCTACGCCGCCGAGGTTTTGTACAAGGCCGGGGCCGATGGTGCCCAGTTGCACGGTGCTCATGGGTGAGTGCGGGTCTGCGGATCGTGAAAGTTTACAAGTGCTCAAGCCTTCTGTCTTCCCTGCCTCCGCGTAGCTACCTTTTGAGTCAGTTCCTCTCGGCCCGAGTCAACAAGCGAACGGACGACTACGGTGGATCGCTCGAGAACCGTTACCGTATCGTGTCGCGCATCCTTGCGGCGATGCGTGAGCGCGTCCCCCTGGACAAGTTCATCCTCTCGGTCAAGCTCAACTCGGCCGACTTCCAAGAGGGAGGTTTCACCGAGGGCGAGTCCAAGCAGGTCTGCCAATGGTTGGAGAGGGACGGCGTCGATTTGATCGAGTTGAGTGGTGGAACGTACGAGGGTTCGGGCTTCAAGCACCGAAAGGAGTCGACGAAGAAGAGGGAGAGCTATTTCCTCGAGTTTGCGGACGAAATCCGTGAGTATTGCCTCTGCGCGTTACATATCACCATGGCAGAAAAAGCTGACGCTGCGCCGATCCTTTGCACAACCAGGCCCCGTATTGAAGACGGCCAAGCTCGCCGTGACGGGAGGTTTCCGATCCCGTCCCGCCATGGAACAAGCCCTTTCGGACAAGTCGTGCGACCTCATCGGTCTCGCACGCCCCTTGACCGCCGAACCCAGCTTCTCCGGCGATCTCATCTCGGGCAAGACGACAGCAGCCAAGGAGAACAAGGTCGACCCTTCGGTCCAAACGGTCACCTCCATCTACCAGATCCACCAGATTGCGAACGGCGCCGACATACCTGATTTAAGCGATGCCAACACGGCGGAGCAGACGCTCAATAAAGCTTTGGGCAAGGATGAGAGTCAGGATGCTAAGCACCCTGAGAACTAGAGTTGTCCATCTTTCCTATTTATAGAGTCGTTTCGAAGAGGAAGCGCTTGTGCAGATTTATATATACGATCGAAGTGGAGTAGACGTGGATGTGATGCTTCAGACCTTCATGTGCAGTGATGAGATTGAGAGGAGAGCTGATAATACAGGGACGGGAGGTCTACTGATTGCAAGATGACTAGACGGGTTGCGGTATGGAGTACAAGTGCGGTGAGTTCGTAAGTTGGTCATATGTCGGGCTGGGAAGGCCTGGTAATTGAGGACGGAGCGTGGATCATGCCTGGAGAAAGAAAACGGTTAATGGTTTCAGTTTGGGTTTACAACGCATGTCCTGAAGAAGCGAGACTCACATCTTCATCGACGACCTCCTTCCGAATGTAAAGATCGATGATGCCAGAGAAGGCGGCAAAACCCAGACCTGATCGTAATCGCGGGGAAGATGTTATTAGTATACGAGGTCGGCAGGGAACTGCAAAATTCTGTGGACACCTTACCGCCCAAGACCATAGCCCTCGGCCCCGAATTCCGGCCCAAGACGGCACCCGAGATGGCTCCGGCGTACAAGGCGTTGTAAATATCGTTCTTTGCTCGGTACTGGAAGAATCACATCCGACGTCAGCTCGAACGCTTGCCCTAATTGGTGTTCATTCGCGAGAATCCAAGGACCGACTCACTCCTTCGACGACACACTCCGTCCCTGCGTACAGAGCACCGACCATACCGAACCCTTTCCCTTGCCTCCACATCCCCTTCCCCATGTCCTTGAATATGATCTTGGCCTTTTCGGAGGTCTTCATGCCGTCGTATTGCGCGGCTCGGAACGGGTCTTCGAGCGTGAACGACGAGCCCATCAGCGAGAAGAAGGCGCCGATACCGAAGCCTGAGAGCCAGTGGAAACGCAGGAGTCAGTACAAGTCAATGTTCCCTACGGTATCAGCATCAGGTCAGATTCCGAGCACGCACCCATTGCACCACTGATCCCCGCCTTGGCGATCGGAGACTCGATCCCAGCCTGGACCCATCGCATCTGCTTCATCTGGAACAGGATCTGTTGCCTCTCCTCCGGCGTCTTGGGTTCGCCCGTGGGTGAAGGCTCGTAGCCTGGTACGACAAAGGGCGCGGTGTATTCCATCACGGGTGGACGGTGGACGGTGTGTGGTGGGGTGATGGGGTGCGGAGCTAGCCGGAGTCGAAGCCGGAGTCCCGCGTGCGTGTCGCTTGCGAAGCTCTCGGAAACGACGGCGAGCCGATCGATCTTGTTGCGGAAAGGCTTTGGAACGAGCGCGGGTGGCGATTGCAGCTCTCCCTCTTGGCACCCGCCTCTCCCGTACCAAACACGGATAGCCCCCGCACTCTCTCTCCGTCACCTAAGGTCAGTCTGGATGCTCCAGGATAGCGGAGTTGACGGTCTCGCGCGCCCTTCGCAGCCGGGAGTGTCGCACCTCCCCAGCTTACGAGCTCACCAGCATGGCTTTCACCTTGACAGGGATTCCCAAAGCAACCACACAAAGCCTGCATCACTTTCAAATCGAGTCCAAACCAAACGTAATCAAAACCATGTCGCTAGCCCAAGCTTCGACCTCAAGCTCCGCCTCGACCCCTATCCCGGACCTGGTCCTTCCGCTCTTCGCTCGATCGATCCTGGACCTCCTGCACGTCTGGCCCGCGGTGCGCATCGCCATCACCCAAGGCTGGGCCCCATCGACAGCGATCACCGTCCTAGCCGAGGACGTCGTCGACCTCTTTTACACCACCGCTTCGACGGACGATAATCCGAATGGAGAAGCCCTTCCCGACCCCACCGACGTCGAGGATGTCCTGTTGCATATCCTCGCCAACGCTTTCAACTTGACCTTGGAGGATGACTCCGAAACTCAAGTTGCCAAGGACGCGATCAAGATTTGGCAAGAGTGTCTGAGGAGGGTCGTGGGTGAGCTTTCGGGGAAGGTGATCCCGCCACCGAGTGGGGAGGAAGGCATCTTGGAAGCGTTCGAAAAGGCCGCGGTCAAGGCTAAAGCGGAGGATGGGACGGGGGTATATCGTGGTGCGATGCGGCAGGGGGACGAGAGTAGTGATGAGGAGGATGGGGAGGGGAGTGGGGACGATGACGACGAGGATGGAATGCAGGTCGATGGGGATACAGAGACGGGCGAATTGATCGATACGACACCAGCAGCAGCTCCGAGGAGGCAGGAGCCGGAGATCGATGAGGATGGGTTCCAGAAGGTCACGGGGAAACGGGGAGGGAGGAGGTGAGATGGAAGCATTGTAGCTTGACCTTGCGCGGGATGAAGAGTATGCAAGAAATGCCGAAGTTGCCAAGTGAAGTGGATGCCATGGCTGTACTCGGATCCACAAGGTCGAAAGCATACATTTGACGGAGATCTGATACAAATGTTGTCAACCAAAGGCCGTGCTCGAGTGGGCGCGGGGCACGCGCCGCATCGAGCTCGGAGTGCGTGGGAAACGAAGCGAGACACTCGGATTAGACTCTAATAGACTCTAGGTATCTCAGTACTGTCTTCAGCCAGGACACCCGTTCATCCCTCCTTCCACTTGAGCTCGCGCAAGAAGTTCGCCAAGCTCACAGAGAGACCGGCGACACGCTGGCTTGGTCCCCTAGCTCGTAATTTGTGTGGTACAGCGGGTTCGCAGCATTAGTCAAGATAAAACGATAAATTTTGAAGACCCACAGTGAGACACTCGGATCGCTAAGTGCTCCGCCACCTCATTTTCTCCCACTTGCCATCGACTCGCTGGATCCGGGTGTCGAAGCTTTATCCCCAATCAATAGTACGCCACGCTCTTGCAGCCGCAGGTGTCGGAACAGTATCGCCATCTGCGCGTAGAACCTTCCTCGAGATGTAAATGCTAGGCGTCCCAATCAAACCTCTGACTGGCTGTCGCAGTCAAGTACAAAAACCCACGTTCTCGAGACGTTCCGAGCATCGTCCCAGCATGATCTTGCGCATTCACTGTGAGAAGGGCGAAAGCGGCATGGAGTAGCCTCAACAACTGTGGAATCTCTGCCTGGACATACTGAGATCCCCATACGAGCCTCGTAGTGGCCAACTCACTCGCACGGAACTTTCTTCTTCGCAAGCCGTAAAGGTGTCTGGGGCGCTTGCCGCTTGTCAGACTGGACATGTGGTTGAAGCTTGCCTTTGAAAGGCCAGTTTTGCGGACTGTGAATCAAGGTCTCGAGTAAAGTTCTTTGTTATGGTTTTGCCTGAATTGGCCAGAACAGCGACTCACCTGGGCTCAGCCGAGACAAGGCTGACGAGCACGAGGAGGATCAAGACGAGTGAGCAAAGTCGAGGCGAGCTGGTCACTGTTCGGGCTGAAGGACGTCTAATGTGGTTCAGGCCATCGATGAGTATGGTGCGTGTCACAGCCTGATGATAGCGGATGGGCTGGAGGCCCATTCTGCTGAGCGTACGTTCGGTGCAGAACCGCACTACGCGCGGCGAACAGCAAGATGAGGGGAAAGAGGAGGTGAGGTCTCACGTGACTTACCCAAGCACTTGCCCGATAGCATATTGGCATGACCTAGATCCCTGGTGAGCCATGTGATACGTCCGGGCTTCACTTGAATTTGGAGTCGCGAAGAAGTCCATATCTCACTCCAAGCTGACCGCAGCGATGAGGCGCAAGTGAGGTCCCTTGAAACAAAACGCCTCCTATCCCTCGATCTGCGACGCTTTTGTTTCCCTATTATCCGGCTACTGGGCTACTGGGGCCGTTTCAGTAACAATTTTGACTTCTTTCATACGGCTAGACAATATCGGCCGTCAATCATGGACTCACACAGCAAGTCCACAATTGCGTATTTCAGGCCATTTCGATCTGCAATTCTGACCTTAATTCGCTTTTGTCAGTTGTGCGCGTCTCCTTCGCTCCCCACACACGTCATCGCGCCTCCGACGACCTCATTTTGGCCCTAACTGGACGTTGCTCTCTTTGCCGACATGTCTGATTCTGCAGGATGGTCGTCGACCGAGTCAGGTTAGTCTCACTACGTGCTTTGATGTAGTACCTCGATGCACTCGCTGACGCGTCGCCGCTCTGCTCGCCCACCTCACTCTTCCCCCCGTCAACTCGCTCCCATTCATCCCCATCGCACCTGACACAACTCGATCCAGATCCCGGAATCATGACCGGTATCCTGCACGAACTCGGCCTGAAATCGCTCGACGTCGAAGAGCTCTACGCGCTCGACCCGTCCCTGCTCTCCAGCTTCGAGCCCCTCCATGCGCTCATCTTCCTCTTCAAATGGATAGGCAACAAAGAACCCTCCACATCTGGAGGATCGTACGTCGAAATCCCGGATGAGAAGGGGTACTTTGCTCATCAGGTCATCAATAATGCGTGCGCTTCGATCGCGTTGATCAATGCGGTTATGAATTTGGGGGAAGACTGGGAATTGGGGGACGAGTTGGGCAACCTCAAGATGTTTAGTACCGGGCTGGGGGCGGAGGATAAAGGCTGGACGATCTCGAACTCGGAGAAGATTAGGCAGGGTGAGTACTGTGGAATATGGGCGTGGGGCGCGAACGGATGGGAAGCTCGCTGAATCGGTTCTCTTCGACGTCGCTTCAAGTGCACAACTCGTTCGCAAGAGCGGACCCCTTCCATCTCGAAGAAAGTCGAGCACCGACCGATGATGACGACGTCTACCACTTTATCTGTCAGTCTTCCGGATACTCACCGGGGGAACACCCTTGCGTCCGCCTTGACACTGACGCCGCCTTCGATCACCGCATGACGCTTTCACTGTTGCACCGGCTATTCCGACATGATCGCATCAGGCTACGTCCCAATAGGTGATACACTGTACGTGACTCGAGCCATGTTTGATGTCATTCGAATAGTCAACTGAGTACGCCTATCCCCGATGACCGGAACAGATACGAACTCGACGGCCTCAAACCGTCGCCCGTTTCCCACGGCGTCATTCCTGGCGGGAGAGAGAAGTGGGCGATGCATGCCAAGGAGTACGTCCTCAACCTGTAGAAGAAACCCATTATTACAAACTTATACGGACTTCCATTCTCTCCTTCTAGTGTCCTCGAACGGCGTATCTCGACCCACCCTCCAGGCGAAGTCATGTTCAACCTCCTCTGCATCACCTCGCGGCGCCATCAACTTGAGCAAAAACTGGCCAGATTGCAAGGTTCCACCTCCGACGGAACGGTTGGGGATGATTCGGAGTGGGAGATGAAGGAGAATTTGAGGGAGATTGAGGAGAGGCTGAAAGGGTGGGAAGTGGAGAATGAGTTGAGGCGACATAATTACGTTGGGTTGGTGAGTCGTCACGCTTCCTTATCGAGGTTTTCAAGTTGGTGTTGTGCATTGCTGATCAAACGTCGCACGTCTTGTTCGTTTATGACTCTCAACAGATCCACGCCCTCTTACTCGAACTTGCTAAGAAGGGAGAGCTGACCCCGGCGATTGAAGAGGCCAAGAAGACGATGCAGAAGAAGATCGAGGAGAGGAGGAGTAAAGGGCAGGACATGGAACCGGACGAGTAGAGAGTCGAAAACGCAATGCGTTCTGCAAAAGACGTGCTTTACAATCTTCGAGCAACCTATACCACGAGAAGAATACTACACAAAGAGACTTGTCCAAGATATACGGTGTTCGTGTGGCCGGAGTGCTCCAACGCGTTACCACGCCCTCCATGCCCGGATCCGATCTTGGACCGTGCTCTCACCTCAATCGATGACCAACCTCGCGACTTACGAGAGGGCGTGGCATTACGGCCGTGCGTCACTGATCGGGCTCGAAATATGGGATCAGACGCTGAGACCGAGCAGGCCTAGAATGATGTAGAGTTGAATACGCCCAGGCCGAGTGAGAGTGGAGGGTGTGGTACCCGAGAGAGTTCAGGCCGAATGCGAGCTGCCGGCAGCTTTGACCTCGACTCAGGAGGCAAACCCCGATCGCACTAGCGCCAATTACAATCGCCCGGTCGTCGTCGATCCCGCCGTCGCTGAACATCGCAGCCGTGGACATCAATCCCTGAAGCTCTGAAAGAGCTGAAGGTTTCGTTTCGAAAATTGGGCGGTTCCAGCCCAGAATTGGTGCAAATCTCAAAGTGTCTCAGAATTCGGCCCCTCAGTCCTCAGGCACAGCTTCCCCGCACTTTATGAAAACGCGCGCGGCGTTGTTCGGCCTAGCTCAGGGATCAGGCCTCAGGAGACAGGGACCACGGAGTCACGGACCCGGCGGCGGGGTCGCTCTTGGTCCTTGACTCCTTGGACCTCGTCATAAAGCATAGGGGGGCGAGGGGGGGCCGGTTGCCATAACGGGGCGGGAGGGCAAGAACTAAGAAAGCACAGGTTTCACGCCCTTCGAGCCACGTCGCTTTCGAAGCTTCGCCTTGTCATTCGTCACTCGCACACGGCCCGACCCACCCTGCACACTCTACACTTGTGGGCTTGTCAGACTCTGCAATCTTCTTGTCATCTTAGGAGCGCGGACCTAGTACCCAGACCTACAGCATCCGGACCTGACACTGGCCAGACCTAGCACCCGGATTTAGCCTGTCTTGATCCAGATCCCCGAACTCGAGTCAAATTCTGCTGCTGATTGTGCCCAGTTGCACGCTTCTCGAGCCAACATGTCTACTTTGTCGCACCTTGTTCACCTTCAAACATTTGAAGCGCCTTCTCAGCTGAATACACTTGATGAGTTTGATGAGATCAGGTTAACGACACAAGTTGGCCCTCGAGCTCGAGAGCAGCCAGTCGTACTACACAGTTACTATGGTCCAAAGGATGGTTCAGGGTCGACTCCGCAAGCATCTTTGGCTGTCCTCAAAAGCTCGGTGTCTCTTCATCTCTTTCTCCCTACTTGTCACCACGCCACCTTCATCTACCTCTTCCGCGACAAGCAATGACTCCGAACCCCTCTCTGACCGACCGCCTGCCAACATCATACGACGCTCTAGATTACAAGCGAACTTCCCTCACCCACGAAGACGTTCAGAACATTGTCGAAGTCTGCAACGCCTACCTGACGACCTTAGCCAACATCGTCGATCATCGCTCGGTTGCCGATTTCGTTCGTCTACAGAAACCGGGGAACTAGCATAGCAAGAAAGGCCAAAACGAGGCTACCGTTTAGACCGGTGCCGCATCTGGCCGGGAGGTTCGCCACGGTTCGGCGCGCGCGCGCGAAGTTTTTCACGGTGTGGGACCTCGAGGAGCGTCCATGACGGTGTGGGCACTTGAGGTGAGGTTGGTCACCGTGCATTCACTCGGTCCAAAGGTGGCAATTTGGTGCTCAGGTTTTCAGATTGTGCCAAGGTTGTCCAACTTCAGTACGAGGTTCTCCAACTTCGGCGTCAGGTTCTAAAACCTCGGTGATAGGTTCGGTAACTTCGGAGTCAAGTTCTCCAAGTCCTTGCCGAGGTTGCCAATGGTTCAAGACCAGGGCTCGGGTTGCGTACGGTTCGCTTCGTTTACCAAGGGTGGAAGACCGGTTGAAAGAATTCGCACTCACCCTGGCGGTGGACACGGTCATAGTACACTATACTGTTGGATTATTTTTATATTGGCTGTAGCATAGGAGTTCTGGGTATGCAAAACTGAGTAGTAAAACAGAAGATCTACAGAAATACAGTGTGCAGTATGGCACACGGCAGAAGCGACGTTCGTTCGTCTTTGACTGATAAGCATCTGTGTACAGGCTCGAGTGGCTCTAAGCTCTCCATAGGGCCCACGGCACAGTACAGTGCTGGGGCGGCTGAGATGATGTTTCTTCTGTTGGCGATGGACCATGTCTCGGATATCAGAAAATTGAGTTGTTTTGCTGCTAGTGAAGTATTGTGGCTGGAATTGCTGCGGTACACGTTTGGTTGTGTTGTCATACACTCGTAAGGTAAGGTGGAAGAACGTGTGCACATACGGTGCGTGTCTTTGCTTGGCTTCCCCTTCGACAAACCCGAGTGCGACCGTTCCGAACGGGACCCACCGCCAGGCTTGATGGCCTCGATCGACGATTCGGAGGCGTCCGACTCGTCGTCCGACGATGTCTCATAGTGGTCAGAGTATTCAACGGTTGGGTAGCAAGCGCCTTTATAGATTGATTAGGAAGAGAGCTTGGGGGCACCCTGCAGTCAAATGAGCGCGTTCCCCTGGGAGTCAGCTGCAGTACGCAAGAGCCAAACCCAGCAGGTGTCGACTCGAAAATTGACATCGCGCCAGCGCTGCGCCCGCGACTGACTGGTTTCGGCAGCATCGATGCGTGGCAATCCTGAGGCGAAGGGAACAGATCTTCGCAAAGCATCTTCTTCGTCCACCTGGCCTCCGGCCTCCAGCTTCCGACTCCATTCCTTGCGCCAGAGCAGCTCGACGGCGTGCGGGAGAAGTATGACTCGGTCATCGAGTCGCCCCTTGGGCCTTGGTCCGAACATCGCGGCCATTCGGACGCCGATGCCGATGCTGACGGCGATGCACAACAAGTCCGCGGAATGGTGACGACCTCGATCAAAGACTGGTCAGTACGCCCTATAACGATTTATTGCGCAGGAGGGCCGGAATTTTATCATTAATTGGACCGACTTTCCTTTCCTCTCCAGAAAACAGCGTAGAAAGGGTTTGTCCCATGGGTCGTCTCGACAGGAAGCAAATCCGTGCGCTCGACCTAGAAGTCACCCTCGCATCTCGAGCGAGCAAGGTGTGCCGATTCTGAGGGATTACACAGAGATAGGACTGCACATCATAGTACCCTACCAAATTCCGACAAGCTGATGGGGTCTTCATGTGATCTAGGGTCACCTGCAATGACGTCGCGTGAGAAATGCTCCAGTCTTCGAAGCTCTTTTCTTGCCGTCGGCCGTGTCGGAGGCATGGACATTTCGATGAAATCAATGCAGCAATCTTGCTCCAACCTTGCCAATGCATTTTTTTTTCTCGATTCCACCTGTTGATAAGAGACAGTCTTCGCTTGCGAGTGTGATTGTGAAGCTTTGGAGTAGTTGATCTGTCTGCGGAAATTCGACTGAGGTGAGTATAAATAGGCTCCCTGTCGTCGGTCCGCTCTTCTCCTTTGGCCAATCACTCGCCGCTCGCTCACCCGCCCGGTACCGCTTTCCCCGTCGCGATCTCGAGTTGGACCTTTCACGCAGACCTCGGTGACCTAGTGATCAACGAACGTATATCGCGCACACGACCCACTTTGAAGAACGTCGCGTCGTCGTCATCGTCATCATCGTCATCTCGCTGACGACTACGTCGCACCACCTTGCTCTCTAGGTCGGCATCTCGGTCCACATTTTGCGGACATTCGTTCCAAGCCTACAATAAGGCCTTTGATCACCCGTTACAGACCAGTCGTCGTCTTCTTCCGATTCTCACCCGCCATTCGAACACCTGTGGACGCTCGTTCAAGCCTGCTCGCGGCCATGACTCGATTCGCTCCCACCCAGGTGCTGCGGTGCCCACGCCCACGTCCCCATGACCACAAAGATATCTTAGCCCGAACCATCACCTCCTTGTAAGTGCTTCACCGCTCTGGCTACTCCTCGTATGGTCGTGGCGATACCACGTTGTGCGACCGAGACTCGCTGTGGTGATGGCCCTGCGGGAGCTGCACTTGCGCTGACGCTTTCGCTCGTGTCTTAGTTCCTCAACAGCGATGTTACAGGTGGGAAACCTCTGTTCTGTTTCGAGCCCATCTATGACAATCCCGGCCTCTATTCGTGCAGGGTGGGATGGCCGAGCGATCAAGCTCCTAACCAGAAGCATGACGTCATAGCCTGGCTCAAGCTTGATCAACAATCACCTTAGATCTCATGTAGATCATAACCCTTCTCATCCATGCATCGCCAACAAAGGTGAGTACATCCCATCAAACTACTGGTGCGCTTTCACGTTCCTTCCGAACCGTGGGATGGCGTTGATTGCGTCGCACCATCACCCGCTCACCATCACGGTCTTCCTCCAATCGATGACACACCCGTGTGAGTGAGCTTGTGCTGGCACACTGCACTGCTGATTTGGCTTGCTTCACAGCACTGGATTGCCTTAGGATGGTGGAACGTTCAAGTCCGATTCATAGAATCGACCTCGGCTGTCGGAGCTTCGCACCCTTTCTCGTCACGCTCGAGCTCCTTTCCAAAACACCCGAAGGACTGGCCCTCCTCAATCTCTGTCCTTGCTCAAGATGATATACTGACACACTATCATGATCCACCCCATTCCTGTCCCGAATCCAGACCCGACCGAGTCAAAGCTTTGGCTTAGCACAGCTGTTTCTGATGATGATTAAAGTCAGTGAGTCCACTCAAGTTCATGGCACTATCGCTTGTGGTATAGTAAGCGAGTGTGGGCTGGGTTTGCTAGTTCCTGTGCAAGGCGATCGATGCCTCTCAATTTGAAGATGACCGTGCGAGTCCCACTGCTGCGGTTTGAAAACCTCAGCCGAGGTGAAAACTTTCGCCGCAAAGTTGTGTAACTAAAGTTTAGCACTATGAGCTCAAGTTCTAGACCTTCGCTCAAAGTCCCTCGCCCAAGCCCCAAGCTCCAAACTGTATTGTTCAAGTCCTATGACCCTGCCCCAAGTGTCGAACCTCGAGGCAGAGTTCTCAATCTCAGACCCAAGTCCCCAACTTCGCCCCTAAGTTGAGAACCTCGCGCCCCAAGTTGAAAACTTCGCCTTCAAGTTCAGGCCTACGGGCACGGTTCCGCAACCTTGGGCCCAAGTTTTACCCGGTTCCCACCCCTGGCACCTGGTGCCACATGGTGTAGGGGTTGCCAACTTCCGGCGGTGGTGCGGAACCGTGCGACACCGGTCTAAACGGTCGCCTCGTTTTGGCTTTTCTTGCTATGTACGGCGAAGTCGCACTGGCTACGGCGGCCGGTGAAGTCGCCAACATATGGCTTGTAGGCCGAATCCGAACCATTGATCCTGCAGGGGGAATCGTGCCAAAGAAGTAAGCGAAGCCACGTGTTACTGGAGATCTACGCTAGCGCTAACCAAGATGCCGCAAACTTCTATACATGCCCCTGAACAGCCAGCAATGGCGCCTTGAGCGAGATTGCGTCAGGCCTGAAGATCTCGACCGGGAGATTCGACTGGAGCTGTTCGAGTCCGACTCGGAGGTCGTAAAGTTTCGAAATTGGCTCCAAGGAGAGGTGTCTCAAGCCCTTCATCAGCACTGGAAACTTCCCAAGAATCTTCAAGGTGAGCCGCTTGCTGAACTTAGGCGGTGTTAGGCGTGCGAGCAGGGTGCTGATTCTGCTGCTGCTTCCCATCGGCTACTTTAGAACTTGCGGAATTGGCATCGCCATTTGGGCGCAACTCAAATAGTGCATACATCGACCACCGTGTGGTGACCACAAAAGAGTGAGTGCGCGTTCTCCTCACCTACTAAGTTCCCGCAGAAGGGGCCAAACTAACACTGGTTTCACAATGGCATCCTCTGCAGCTGTTGGAATCACGTCTTTGGCCGCGACATCCCGTTCCCTGCCAGCATCAAGGCCTCTATCCCTCCTTGGCTGGGGACGAATAGTGAGGATCCGGCAAGGGAAAGGGAATATTTACAATTTTGGAAGGAGCTGTTGCAGCTCCGCTTTCAAGGAAAACCGACGGAGCTGGCCGCGCCGACGCCCTTCCCGGTTTCCTTCGCAGACGACCTGAATCGACAAAAATACGCACACACAATTCTGCAAGCAGAGGATGTGTGTGGGATTATGTGCAACGTACAGATCCATGTGTACGAGGACAAGAGAAAAGAGCAATGGATTGAACGCTATCAATTGACCCCGGTGGCAGCCCGTATCCATATTATTGTGGGCCTGCCGCCCGAATTGCGATGCTTGGGACGCCTCAAAATTCCGGACAGACTTCATCGGCCATTCATTCCCCTGTGAAGAGGTGTGCGTACGAGGCCGAATTCGAATTGGACTTTGCCGACCTCACTAATACGGGTAAGTGGAGACACCGATGCGCCTAACACTAGGTCATAAGTCAACCTGACATAACCCTTCTTCACCCCCGTCTGACTTGATCTTTTTGGCTGCTCTTTTTCTGACTTGATCTTCTTGGCCGATGAAGTCTGTCGGGAATTTTGAGGCGTGCCCTGGCAGCCAACAAGATCAAGTCAGACCGCGACAATAGCAGCACCGACGAACACGAAATCGGCATCGCGGGCTTCGAACAGTTGGGCGCCTGACCAATCTACTCGCTTTCTAGTACATAGCTCATTTTTACCAACTGGTATAGAATTGAGATGAATGCCCTTTCGATGTTAAATTCGACCGCGCCGCGCTTGAGAGGTTCAGGGACTCGTCGCCGCCCCGCGGTGCGTCAATCTTCTTCGTCCGGAATTATGGCTAGACTCGGTCGTAGTCAGTCAACAGTCTCAGACGGGGGAGGCCCCACGTCGCATCATCACGCCGCAGGCTGCCGCAAGTCCTTTCAAAAAGATGAGACAGAATCGACGTTCGCGCCCGGAGACGCCAGCTGCTGCAACCGTTGACGGCATCGTAGCGGAATGTCTGTTTCCACTGAGCGGCTCACTTGCGCTGCCTGCTACCACTAGTAGGGTCGAACGAACTAATCTATCCCTCTACGTCACGAAGGCGTGATGTGAGCTAGCGGCCACGGGTGATGTTCCGGCGCGGATCCGGAAATCGCCACGGGCCGGTGGTGTCGTCAGTGATCTGCGCACTGGCGATGCTTTGAGATTTGCAGTCGTTTTACAAAATCCTGGTTAATCTTCCTATGCCGTCCCTGCCGAGTTGGAGAGCCGAGTCAAAATTTGCCCGAGCGGCGATCACATGTGGGGCCCAAGATCGAGCTCGGGATCCCGGTGACAATGATCGCATCACGCAATATCGCGCCTTCCGCCTGGTGGAACAGCAGCATTGGAACAGAGCTTTACTCCGGACGTTTACCTGGCCACCTAGTGCATTCGACCCCTTGCACCTCTCAAATTTCGCCTCGTTCAACGATTCGTCGTTGCTGTTCAATTCGATCGATCGCCGGAACAAGCGCCTGAGCCTTGCCATTTGTGCCTTGGCGAGGCGCGGCAAACGTCGGGAGCGAACCTCTTCGCAATCGCAGCTCGCGCGGCCGCTCTCCTTCAGTTCGATCGCCGTCACTCGCGACCTTCACAACTCGCCCTCACGCCAGACCGTGTCCCCGAGATGGATCTACCGACTCCTCCATCGCAGGCCCACATCCCCGCCTCGGCGTTCCCGGCCGCGACGCCCCCCCACGCCCAGGGTGCGGCTGCGATGGGAACCCCACCGCTAAGCCCGTTCGAGTCCCCGAACGTTTCGCGACCGCCTTCGCCGACGACGGCGGCCTCGTCGACGATGCTCTTTGACCCCTACTCGCGATCCAGCTCGAAGAACCGGTTGCTCGATCACCACGAACGTTCCCTATCGCGGGGGAAAGATCCGGCTTACAAGCTGCAGCTGCAGAAGCAGCAACGCTCGCGAGCGTCGGCGTCACTCCTGTCCAAGCTCGTCGCGCTCCTGCCTTCATCGGACACGGCAAACTCGACCGGGCCGCACACGAGGGGTCGGCGTCGCAGCATTTCCCACGAGGCGGCGGGCGAAGAGATTGAACTGGGAAATCTTCATGTCGTCGGCGCTCCGATGACCTTGCACTCGACTGCGGCCTCCCTCCGAAGCGTCAAGACGAGTTCGGCGACGCACTCCGCGGCTCGGCAAGGATGGTTCACGCGCGACCGCGCACAGCTCTACATCGCCTTTGCCATGATTTTTATGGTCGGCAGCAACGATTCAGCGACGGGAGCCAAGTGAGTCTCGTGCCCCTCCGCCGCGATTTGCGCATCTCTCCCCTTGGAGAGGAAGGACGGCAATAACTCTTCTCTATTCGCCACGGATTTCTAGTCTTTCGTCGATGCAGGAGCACTATGGCGTATCATACGATGAGATTTCAATCGTCTTTTTGGCCAACGTTGCAGGGTAGGTTAAATGGATCACCCCTCCCTTGATCGGATCCATCAGTATCGTGCGGGAGCTGACTGGAGAACCGCCCCCTCTCCCTCTCCAAACAGGTACTTCATATCTTGCGTGTCGTCGTCATTCCTGTCACACAAGCTGGGCGCACGTTACGCCCTCGTCTGTGCCGCCGTTGCATGGTCCATCGGCTGCGCCATCCTCATCGTCCGGCCCCCGTTCGGTGTCTTTGTCCTCAGTCTGGCAATGCTCGGCTTCGGCGGTGGAATGTACGACGCGCTGCTGACGACGATCATCAGTCACGACGAGAACCCGGGTTAGTCCCTGCCCCATGCCCACTCAGAATCGAACGTATCACTGACGCCCCCGCTCTCTGCCCCGGCAGTGCTCATGTCGTGGATGTACTCGTGCTTCGGCTTTGGCGCGGCCGTGAGCCCGATCGTGATCGGCACCTTTGTCGACAAGGGTATCTCGTGGAACCTGTACTACTACATTCCCACGGGTCTCTCAATCGTGTTTGGGCTGTTGGCGCATATCATATTCCAGGGTTACGAGGCGCCGCTGGACGAAGCCGTCGTGCCTGCTGCCGCCGTCGCGGCTGGGACCGAAGACAACGCCCCCCACCCCGGTCCGAGTGTCGGCGAGATTTTTCACGGTCGAGCAACGCTGTCGGCGACGGCGAGGATGAGGCGGGCCTTGTCACTCAAGGTGGTGTGGGTTGCCTTCTTGCTGATTACGCTGGCGTTCGGCACAGGCGACACACTCAGCGCGTGGATGACGGTCTACCTCTCGACGGTCAGAGCCGCGCCCGAAGCGGCTTCGCGCTACATGCTTTCAGGTCTCTGGGGAGGTGGGCTCAATCCAGCCTTGACAAGTACGGGTCTGCATCGAGAATCTCCAAGTGGCTGAAAACTTTACCCTTTGCCTTTGCAGGCATCGCCATTGGCCGCGTCGTTGTGCCGCTCATCCTCTCAAAACGGCTCGGGGAGCGCACGTTCGCGATTGTCTTGCTCATGCTCGCCGTGTCGATGTTGGGCATCGCGTGGGGTGTGCGCAACTACAAGATTGACGCAGTCGCCCTCGCCTTTTTCGGCTGCACGATCGGTCCCGTTACGCCTCACGTTCTATCCGTCGTGGGTGCTCGCGTGCCGCCGTCGCTCAAGGCCTCGGTCATGTCGCTCACGATCGGCGCCGGTCTCGTTGGCAGTGGTGCGGGTCCGTTGCTGTTCGGAGTCATCGCCGGTCGCGGCTGGTTGGGCAGTCTACCGGCCGTGTTGATCGTAGCGTGCGGGACCGCGTGTGGAAGTTGGATGCTCGTGCCCAAGAACACGAGAAGGGAAGATTAGATGCGCCGCCGCCGGTTCTCAAGTTTACTTTCAGAGCTTTTTTTGCAATCATAGACAACCTGTATATTTGTCCTTCTTCTGTTGCCATACTTGAAAGGCCTTCCATTACTGTATGTGCCAAATGGTTGGCAAGGAAAGGAGCTTCGCCTCCAACGGACTTGGCCGAACTGGGCCTCGTTCGCCCGTTCGGTGCCAACGGCGGCAGACCGCATCGTGACTTCCGAGCCTGATCGCCCCGTCGACGAGCTGCCGAAGAGTGCCGCCATCGCCGAACTGGAAACGAGGGGGATCAAGCTCGACCGTACTGGAAAAATACCCCGGCGCGCTGTGTTCCCTAGGCAGGATGAGCCCGAATGAGGCGGCGATGCAGCGCTATCACGAGGGGCTCACCAGCGGCGGTGTGACCCGTCGCCGAATCCCTCGACTCGATCCAATCCGATCCGCTCGATCGATCGATTCCGGGAACGTCAATCTATCTTCTGCTTCGAAGTAACTGGAAAGGGGGGGGGGAGGAGACAAATCCCAATACTTAAACCTAGAACAATGGTGCGGAACTGGTTTAGGTCCTGATCCACTCCGCTGGACGGCACCCCAAGGTGTTGTTTTTTAAGCTTGAGCCGTGCGAATTGGGAGCCGTGCGAATTGGGAGCCGTGCGAGCGAATTGGGAGCGGTTCAGTTTTTTCTTTCCTTTTTCACTCTGGAGCCTTTACGTAGCTCAAGGGAATAGATCGACAAAGTCCCAGATGATTTCCGGCGCTGGCAACCTGGATAGGTACGAGCGCGCTTTGGCTATCGAGGGGCCGACAGAAAGGAGGTTGCCTCGCGGCGTGAGCGAGCGCGTTGCGCAGGTGACGCCGGCGATCGAACTTGGTCTGCTGGTACGAATCGCCCCTCTGCTCTCGATTCCTTTTATTCAGCCCGATTGCTCTCTTTGGTTCTCTTCCTCTTTCCACATCCTCGTCTGATCGCAGCTTGAAAAACTCCCCTCACTTTCCCGCAGCCGCCGAGCTCGAACTTTCACCTCGAATCGCACTTCTCCGGAACCCGATCCCGTCTCGATGATCAAACCTTCCCAGGCCTCTGGCCGTGATTCCACCCAAATTGCCAGCACTTCGGGTGCTGATGCTATTGCTGATGTGCACTATGCTACGGGATCGGAATCCTACCACCAAGACGATGATAGGAAGGGTGCAGGCGAGCAAAAGCTCGGTGTCCCGGCCTCGTCTTCGTCGTCTGAGCACATGGAGGATAACTCGACCAAAGTCTCTACCCAAAGCCACGCTACCAAGACCTTCGGTAATACCTTCTTCTCTCGAGACCTGGGGCGTAACTGCGTTGCCTTTGCGATTGTTTTCATGGTCGGGTTCCACGTCGGCGCGACGGGGCTAAAGTGAGCACCGCCTTTTACCCCTGTTCCGTTCCGGGGCGCGACCTTGCGCTGATCTCCGTCGCTGACTTTTCCGAGCCCGGCCGACTTTGTTGGCTGGGACGCAGTCTTTCCCTCATCCGAGAACACTACAATTTGGCCTACGAGCAAGTGTCAACGATTTTTGGGCCCATGATTGTGGGGCAAGTTGTTTGTTTCCAGTTGTTGACAAGTCCACTTGGGCTGCACTGAACCCCTGGTTTCTGGCGCGGGGAACGCCGTAGATTTCTTTTGGCATGCGGTGCTAGCCCTTACCTCATCCAACATGTTGGCCTCCAATGGGCACTCGTCGTCTCATGCACGACGTGGTGTGTCGCGTGCATCGTTCTCGTCGTGCAGCCGCCTTTTCCCGTGCTCGTCCTCGCGTTTGCAACGCTCGCCGCCGGGGCAGGTTTGTACGAAGCCCTTCTCGCCACCGTCATCAGTCACAACAAAGACCCCGGTGCGTACTACAGAAGGCTTGGTGACCAGATTTCTGGCACCCTCTATCTGACTGACCCATGTCGAATGCAGTCATCATGTCATGGCTCTACGCCAACTTTGCCGTCGGCGCCGCCTGTGCCCCCATCGTCGTCGGAAGTTTCGTGGCCCACGAGATCGGATGGAACAAGTTCTACATCGTACTTCTCAGCCTATCGCTCGGCCTCGCGGCGTTTGCGCATCTCGTTTTTTGGGGATACGTCTCTCCGTCAGAGACCGTCGCCAAGGAGGAAGCGGACCCAGCCGCGACGACCGATACAGAGTCTCAGCGCCGTTCCGAAGCCGGGGGCACGCTGGACTCTGCTTCGGTTCTCAATGTTGTGAACGATAGTGCCAAGGCTGATCACCTTCTTGCTTCGACGACCGCGCGCCTGCGCCGTTCACTCCGACTCAAGATTGTCTGGCTCGGCCTCGCGCTGCTGTGCCTCGCGTACGCGACGACGGACTTGCTCGCGGCGTGGACGTCGACTTATCTCCTGGCCGTCAAGCACGCATCCAAGCCGGCGTCCAAGTACTTGCTCTCGGGCTACTGGGCGGGTCAGTGTCTCCGTCACTCATGTCGTTGTATCTTTCTCCTTCTTCTCTCATGTCTGACAAATCCTCGCACTCACATGACTGCGATCATACAGGAGTCGCCTGCGGTCGGGTCGTGCTTCCTTGGGCGCTCTACCGACGTCTCGGGGAGCGCCTGTTTGCGAGCGTACTACTCACGATCGCTGCTTCGATGTTGACGATCATGTGGGTCGTCAAGTCATACGAGCTTGACGCCGTCGCCCTCGCCGTTTGCGGCTTCGTCATCGGTCCCATCAGCCCGCACGGTCTGTCGACGATCAGCTCTCGGGTCCCCGCTGCTCTGCGCCCTTCGGTCGTCGCCTTCACGCTAGCGTGCGCCGTGACGTGCGGTGGGATCGTGCCCCTGTCTTTTGGCTTTGTTGCCGGTAAGGGGTGGCTGTCGAGTCTGCCCAGCTGCTTGATTTTCATGTGCGTGCTCGCGGCCGGGGCGTGGCTCTTGCTGCCCAAGACGCACGAAGAGGTCTTGATCTCGGAGACGACTGCAGTCTAGTTGCACCGGGCGCTCCAGGTCTTGTCGTGTCCCTATTTTCTCGTCGATCGATAGCCCTCTTTTCCCATGTAAATGCTCATTCTCGTAGCTTTTCTGGTGCTGAAATATTGGACGACCATCTGCTTCAAGAACTCTAATTGAAATGATCTCTTGTCAGGCTTTTTCCACGAGATCTGTATCCGATTTGCTTTGTGGGAAAATCGAAAGTGCGAGAAACAGAGCGAAGCCGACGGCCCAGTCAAATTACCGAGATGTGCCTCGGAGCTCGCTCCGATGCAGCCGCCGGCTCGGCAAGATGAACAAGCGCACATATTGCGGCAAGGTGGGAGCAATCAGTGTCGTGGTGTCTAGGTGACGCGCGCGACTTGCAAAACTCACGGAGAGGAGCCAATGCCGCCGACCCGGGACCCGGCGAACCGTGCAATCAGCCGCGGCTGGGCGCTTGCACATCAGTGAGACCGCACCGACGGCTTCGGCCGCGCTTGTCCGAAATGCGAGCGGAAAACCGATTGTTAGCTCGGGTATTTAACGACAATTCTGATCGATCGGAGCAGGAAAAGAGAATATCAGCCTCTATACTCTTTCCCCAGCCCGCGGCCTTTTCTCAAGTTTCTGCCTCCCATCACTTCATCGCAACCCGCTGACCAAGAATGCTGTCGGGTCGATTTTCCAGAATGCGTCACGCCGTGATGTCATCCCCATCCTGTGCTTTGTCACGGGTTCCTACCACCTCTTTGGATTTCGTTTCTGAAACCGTCAACGACGTTGAACTCGCCGAGGTGATGACCGATCACGCACGTCCCGCTCCTGAAACGCGCGCAAGCACGATTTCAACCAAAGGATCCGAGCACCGTGAGCACCCGTCCACTGGTTCGGGCGCTGCCAGGGCCAGCAGGAACTGGCACATGGCTCGCCGATGTGTTGCGTTCGCGATGGTATTCATGGTGGGCATCCACATTTCGGCGACTGGGCTCATGTGGGTGTTTCCGGCTCGAAAGCAGTGGTGCCCCGAGCTCCTGAGAGTTTGGCGCCTGATCGCTGACCCCCGCCTCCGCGCGCGATCCTGGCTCCGCTTTGGCGGAAGGACACTCTTACCCGCAGTATCTCGCTCATGCAAACCCATTACAATCTTTCGTACTCCCAAATCTCGACGGTCTATCCTCCGATGATTGCAGCGTAAGCACTTGCACAAGTTTTGCACCAAGCCGTGCCTACATTTTTCGTCGAGTTGCGCGCTCATGGATGGTGACCACTGCACCCTTCGTACGTTCCTTCAGTCACGCCATCGCCTGTGGAGGCTCCTCCTACCTCTTGAACGGTATTGGTATGCGATGGGCGCTGACGTTTGTTGGAATCAACAATGATCCCGAAAATGATCAACAAAAGAAGAAGAAAGGCTGGACCAGGAGTCGAACCTGGGTCGTTTCCATTAATCGGAAAAGCTTTGACCTCTAAGCTATCCGGCCCCTGATATCAGTGCAAGGTCTACTAACACCTTCAATACTTTCCCTTAGACCTTTGCACTGCTGCCAGGCTATTGCAATGCGTCGACTCTAAGTCCCAATTGGACTCTGTGTCAAGCTTCTGCGGCAGCTCCGGCAGCTATGTGCGGCGTCATTCGGAAAGATTTACAAGAAAGGTTCTATAATAGATCCTCACACTTCCCTTTAGAACCTGCTTTGGCATCTTGCTCTACAGCATGGTTCGGAGACAGCCGCCCCCTTTCTCTTGTTAACCGACAGACGCTACCATGTTGGAATCAACAAATGATTCCGAAAATGGTCAACAAAAGAAGAAGAACGGCTGGACCAGGAGTCGAACCTGGGTCACTTCCATTAATCGGAAAAGCTTTGACCTCTAAGCTATCCGGCCCCTGATATCAGTACAAGGTCTACTAACACCTTCAATAACGTTCGCCTACGTCGTGTGGCGGGCTCGTCACTTCACCTCACCTCACTTCACTTCACTTCACTTCACTTCACTTCACTTCACTTCACTTCACTTCACTTCACTTCACTTCACTTCACCTCACCTCACTTCACTTTACTTTACTTCACTTCACTTCACTTCACTTCACTTCACTTCACTTCACTTCACTTCACTTCACTATCGCCCTACTGCAGCCTTCGATACTCGAGTTAACAAGTGATACACCGACAAGATGTCTACCGGAGACCCTGGGTCCCCACTGCCGGCACCGCCACCACCGGTATCCGCCACCAGCGTCCAGCCCCCCCGCGACCGGATCCCGATAAGCTCGAAGAAGACGCAAGTCACGGGCCCCGCCACCGCCGCACCCAACTATGCTGCCGCTGCGAGTCAGATGGCGACTCAAACACCTGAACAACAGAAACAACAACAACAGCGTGCCAAGGCTCTGGGCAGCCTCCTACAAGCCATGGGTGCTGTACCCGGAAACCGCATGGATCGCTGGGTCCAGGCCATCTACTTCGCCGAACTCTACCCCGTCGCCACCGCCACATCGCTGAAATTTTCGGCCTTGAACGCGAACCGGTCCGTCGAGAACATCTTCGATTACGCCCTTGAAGTGACTCTGTCTCACCAGAGCGCCTCGCGAGCGACTCATGCCGACAAGATCGATCTCGTGGCCTGCGTCACGAGGCTGCTATCGCCCATCTCTCCTATCTGCTTTGAGCCTGGAGTTCCTCTGCCGGACCATCTTGCGGCTTATCAACCACAGATCTTAGGCGTACAACATTCATCAATCCTGCGTAATGGGGCGGCTCACCATCGCGTTACGGTTGGGTTCGTCACCGGCGAGGCACGTGACGCGGCGCTCACGACGCCCCCCGCTCTCACTTGGCGATCGGCGAAGGCCCGCTTCGCGAAGTCTCACAGGTTCCACCATAACATGGTCGAGCTTCGAATCAACGTCGGTGTTCAAGGAGTGCCCTCCATGGATGCCATCATCAAATCGTTCCAATCACTTGTGCAAGACCTGTCAGGCAAGGGACATTCATGCCAACTTGTGCAGGTTCTGCGCGTTATCAGCGTGGACAACGCCTCGGCCTTCGCCCACGTTGCCGGAGACTACTCGGCTTTCCTACACTTCGATGACGACTCCCTATTCCAACGCCCCAACACGACCTTGAAGGAGATTCTACCTTCGAGGATCGACCTTCCCACTCGAGGCATCCCGGTTACCGCCCTTCGCCATGACTATGAGAAGGAGGCGGCTTGCGGTAGGTGCCACTTTGTGGGTCACGTGGGAACCTGCGGACTGGATCAGGAGAGGAAGCGGAAGGAGGCTCACAACGGCATCATCAACAGCAACAAAAACACCATCACCCACAACACCAACATCGCGGAGGCCGAGGCCCCCATTCCTGTGCTGGTTGTTAACAGGATCGCATCACAGAATCACTTCGCCGGGCTCGAGGTCGAGGAGGGACAGGAGGAAGAGGTAACTGGCCAGGGCGAACAGGGACCGGAGGAATCGGGGGAGGAAGACGCTGGTGATAAGGCGGATGACGAGGACTCGGAGGACTCGGAGATGGAATCGGAGGCGGCCGCGAAAACGGAGGTCATCAAAATTGAAAGCGAGGACGAGTCGGTCTTGGAGGACTGCAGCGGATCCGATGGAGAGGTGATTGATGAGAATGAGGTGATGGCGGATGAAAGAGGTGAAACGGAAGGAGAGGTGGCTACGGAGATGGAGGAAGAGGAGGTGGCGACGGAGGTGGGCGATGTGGACGAAGCGAGGGGATCGACGAAAGCGGAGAATGCGGAAGCGACGGACTTAGGGGAAACGAACAGGCTGGACAATGACGACGACAGCGACGCCACAGCAACCGCCGCCACCGCTTCCCGCGAATCGACGCCGCATGAACCAACCCCACCTCTGTCACCCGAAACTCTCGCCAAGTCGCTACGCGAGGGGGAGGAGTGGGACAGGATCAGAGCTAACTGGGTTGAGCAGGCACGACTTGAGCGGGACCAAAGCATCGAGAGGAGGCTCAACGCTGAAACCCCTCTGGTGCGTCACAACTTTGCCACGTGGGACGAGGACGGTGAGATACGCTCCATCAACATCAGGGGGACCGCTGCGAAGTTCAAGAAGCAGGTGATGAAGAGGTCGCAGACTGCGGCGGACCTCAGTGACCCAAGTGACGAACCGACCGACGCCAAGCGAGTCATCATCAAAGGGAAGAGCCGCGTCGTGGTGAAGGATGGAATAGAGGGGCGGAGGGTGACGAGGTCGATGTCGGCGGCAGCGGCGATGCAGGTCGAGGTGACGAAGGTGGACAGAGGGAAAGGAAGAGGGGTAGCTGAGGAAAAACGATGGTCCGACCACGAGCCCGAGGACGATGTCCTGCCCGCCCTTCCCCTCTTTGAGGACGTCACCACCGCCAAGAGCGCCTCGACCTCGACTACCCATTAATGATCAAGCACACCATCATCACCTGGAACGTAAGAAGGGGCATGGGGGTCCCGGAAAAACGACGTAATATCTACACCTACCTTTCCACATTCAAAGCTTCCGCGATTCTCTTACAAGAGCATTTCATCAGACCACAATTCTGGCAGCTCATCAAGGACGAGTACGAGGGCAAGCTCTTCATCAACCAGCACTGCCTGACCCTGATCCCGGCCGACTCGCCCCTGATCGACGCCGAGCTCTTGCGCACCCACTCGGCACTCGACGGCCGGCTCCTCGTCACCTCCTTTCGTCTGCGGGGCGACATCAAAATTCTAGAAATCAATAACCTCTACGCGCCCGTTGACCCAAAACAACGAGCAAAATTCTTCGACAAACTGATCCTCCACAAAACACAGAAATCCCACCTCCGACTCCTTGGCGGCGATCTCAACGACTGCCCGCGCCCAGAAGTCGATCGGCGGAACCAAAGTCGGCGCGGCCACCACTGGCCGATTCTGATGGGCAAGCTCGACTCGGCCTACACGGACTGCATCCGCTACAAGCACCCCATCACCCCATCTTTCACTCGACCTAATCCCAATCGCAAGCGACCCAACTCCTTCTCCCGGCTTGACTACTTTCTCCTACAAAGAGCTCACCAAAAAAGGCTCGACCAGGCCTCGACGATCTACGACTATCCCAAGGATCTTTCCGATCACCGACCGGTCTTGATCGTACTGGCTCTCTCAGACGATCTTGATGCGGCTCTCCCACAGCTCAGCCTACCTACCACATCCAACCAACTACATCGAATCAATACCACAACCTTCAAGACGGTGGAATTTCAGCGGATGATGGAAGGATGGTTGGAAGGGGCAAGCGGGGAGGATCCGGTGCGAGAGCTTGAGGAGGTTCTGGAGGCGTGCAGGGACAGGGGTGGGGAGATGGCGAGGAGGCTGCATCGGGAGCGGACGGAACGGATGGAGTATTTGGTGGGGAGGGTGCAGGATCTGGAGGCGTTACCGGTATGGGGGGAGGCGGAAACGGCAGAATGGACAAGGACGTCCGAGGAACTCAAGCGGGCGGTCGAGGAGCGCGCGCGCCTACTCCGGATCCGAGCCCACGTCCCCGAGATCGCTTCCGAGGAACGACTGTCGCGGCCGGTCCACGCCAAGCTCGCGGCGCGGAACTCGGACTCCAAGATCACAGCACTGCGCTTGGGCAACGGAGAGCTAACGCATGACATTGATGTCGCTCTTGACCACACGCAGGCGCATTTCCAGCGCCTCTACCACATCGAGCCTCGTGATCCGGAACGCGTCGACCGACTTCGGGACGAACTCCTCGTGCCGATCAGGGCGGCACGGACTTGCGACGACCCGCGCTCAGATCCGCTCTTTCTGCGCCGACTCTCGGAAGCGCAGATTGATCTCCTCCAGCAACCCATCACCGAGGACGAGGTCGTGGCCGCGATCGGGACGACGCACCCGGGGCGATCGCCGGGCCCGTCGGGCGTGCCTTACGAACTCTATCAGACCGCACCGGAGGCGTGGTCCAAGGTGCTGACCAAGGCCTACAACGCGATGATCGAGCGCGGTTCACTCTCTCCCAAGCAGGGCCAGGGACTCGTGCGCCTCATCTTCAAGCGCCACAAGAAGAATGCCGATCGCGCCGAACTCTCGTCGTATCGCCCCATCACCCTGCGCGAGTGCGATTACAAGATTTTTACCAAGGTCTACGTCGCCCGATTGAACCAAATTCTGCCCGATCTCCTCCCGCCGCAGCAGCACGGCTTCGTCAAGGACCGCCGATCGGCCGACGCTGCACTACACCTTCGTCTCCTGATCGAGGAACTTGGCGCGCGCAGGACCGAGTTCCCCGCGGCCGCGCTCTTGTCTCTTGACCAATCATCCGCCTACGACCTCGTCGAGCATGACTGGATCTTTGCCATTTTCGACGCTCTGGGCGTTCCTACCACCTTTCTTCGCGTGCTGAGGATGCTCTACTCGGGTGACTCGACCTCGGCGCGCTACATCATCAATGGGTTCCTGACGGCGCCGGTGCGACTGACGTGTGGGCTCGGCCAAGGGGACCCGGCGTCATCGTCGGTCTGGGACATCGTGTTTCAGCCGTTCCTGGATGCTCTACACCGTCGAAACATCGCGCTGAATCTCTCCATACCTGCACTTCATCCGTACCCACAGAGCCGCGCCATTACATCACTTGCATTTGCCGATGACGTTGTCGTCGCCGTCGCGGGCTTGGAGTCACTCAACTTGCTCGATGACCTGGCGCTCGACTGGAGGCATGCAACGAATGGCCGGCTCAACACGGACAAGACGGTCGTCCTACCGATTGGACGTCGCTGGGACCCTGGGGAACGGCCAATCGTCGTCAAGGCCGCAGGCGAGTCGCTCGAGTGGATCGGCCTCCCCTTCGACCCCAGCGGCGACACCGAACTCGCCTACGCGAATCTCATCGAACGGCTCGAGGCGACGCTGGAAGCGGTTCAGCATCGCTGGCTCACGCACCACACCCGTGCCTTTTACGTCAATTGGTACGCCATTCCCAAGATCCTGCATTTCCTTGCAGCCGACATCCCGCCGCCCGAAGTCGTCAAGAAGCTCGATGACATGCTCGTCGATTTCGTCCGTGGGGGCAAGGGCAGGACCAGCTACGGCAGAGACATTGTGTTCACCGCCAAGAACAAGGGGGGACTCGGGGTGATAAGGATGCGGGACGTTGTGGACGCGGTTGCGGCACGGCTCTGGGACGTTCTTCTCGGCGGTTCCGGCGCGATTTGGCAAGGACTTGCGCGCGCAGCACTCCAGCGAGCTCAGCCCGACCTCGACCTGGCCACCGATCTCTGGCCACATCCATCCACTCCCATCCCCAACGACCTTCATCCCCGATGGCACGCCGCACTGGGCGTTCCGAAACTTCACGACGTGCAGGTCAACCCGAGGGCCTTGACCACCGCGAACCTGCTCGCGCTGCCCACCCTGCTCGGCAGCCTCCACACCCCCATCAGAGGGAGACAGACCATCGACGCGGTTCATGTACCTGACTACCTTCGTCTCCAGGGCTACCCGAAGGTGGCGGATCTCTATCGGCGCGAGTTGTATGCGGGTGGGGGGTTTCACCTCTGGACGCCGCCGGCGGATGTGCTCGGCGACAACAGCGAGTACGATCGACGCGGGCTCCCGCAGCGACTGGCAATCGCGGCCTGGTACCGGTTCACTGTCGATCGACACAAGAACACCCCCTTGGCGGCGGCGGTGGCGGCGGGACGACTCAACGTGCCTCCCCGGATCGGCACCAGCGCACCACTCGAGGCGATCATCCCCAAGCCCGTGGCCCGCTTCGCAATGGAGCAGCGCCTTCCGGACCCGGTGCTTCCACAACAGGCGAGCCAGTATACGCTGCTGAACATGGCTCGCCCCTACACAGTCCGTCGCATCCGCCGGGTCCTGAACGCGAAGGCATTTACCAACATGCTCGGGCTCAAGGGACCACCGCAGCCGGACGACCTCAGGAGCTTCTGGAAGGCAGTCAACTCGAAGGCACTGACAGCGAGGGAGAGGGAAGTTTGGTTCAAGCTGATCCTCCGCTTCACCCCGACGCGCAAGCTCCAGCACGAGCAAAAGCATGTCACTTCTCCCGCGTGCCTCGTGTGCGAAGCGCCGGTGGACGACACCGATCACTACTTCTTCGGCTGCGTCGACTCGCGGAACGTCTGGACCGCGGCAAGGGGCGTGCTCTGCGACGCGCTCGGATGCGACACGATCGAGGACGCCGAGTACACGACACTACAACGACTCTTTGGCCTCCCCAAGCTCAAGGCCAAGCTCAGCGAACAGGAAGGCGCAGGCAGGACGATCGAGATCTTCACGGGGATGGTCTTGGAGATGATCAGCAGTGGGAGATGGAGGATGCAGAAGCACGGGACGAGGATGGAAAGCCTGGAGCGGAGGAGGGTGGTACTGGAGGAGAGGATGAAGTTGAGGGCGGGGGGAGCAAGGGGCGGGCGAGGGCAGTAGAGGCTGGGTTCGATTTCCCCCCACCCCATCCCACACTCACACACCCCACATCACACATCCTCTTACAAAAACTGTATACTAAATATATTTTCTTCATCTTTCTTTCTTTTATTACAGGTCTGCCTCCGTTGCTCATGGACCGGCTCGCGATTTGGGATTGACTCGACGGTGGCTCGCGCTCTTTGGCTTCGGGGTTCTGAGTCAAGGGAGGGATCAGCAGACACAGGCAGAAAGTCGGCTTTGAGGGGCCAGGGACTGCTGAGGTGGAGGTTTTGAGGGGCCTCCACCGCGTCTTGTTGTGACCGAGCATAGACTTGGGGACTTCGCGGGTCAGGGTAGCTGCGCAGTCGCTCTCCTGTCTTTGTCTCGACCGAGTTGGGAAGTGGGTGCGGGGTGGGCCTCTTGTCGTTAGTACGCCAGTTCTTTTTCATTTTCTCTCTTTCTCTTCTCTCTCTCATTCGTCTCCTGGGGGGGAGCAACCGCTTGGCTGGGGCACTTGAATCCGAAGTATCGGATTGGTGGACTTGGCCCGTTTCTCGCATCTTGCGGGCGGTTTGTGTTATCATCGTCGACTTCCATCTAGTTTTTCCGTAGGCCAATCAGGGGGAACAGGAATTGGGGGCAATATGATGAACGGTTTCTACAAAAAAAAAATCAAAAAATCCTTCACTTTCGAAATCGCGCCACCCACCACCTTCGAAGCTACAAGTGATACATCAGCCTACATTAGCATGGAGACCGGCGAGACCGGCCCACCCCCACCATCGGCGTCCGCGGCGACGAGCGTCCCGATTGGGACAAAGGAGACGCAAGTCCCTATCGCCGCCGCGACCTACGCCACCGCCGCGATTCAAAAGACCAAGCAGACTCCCGAGCAGCAGACCCAACAACAACACCGTGCCAAGGCTTTGACCCAAATGTTCGAAGTCATGGGTGCTGTACCGGGCAATCGCACCGACCGGTGGTTGCAAGCCACCTTCGCCACCGACGAGTACCCTGTCGCTACCGCTACATCGCTCAAGTATTCGGCTCTCAACGCCAATCGATCCATTCGAAACATCTTCGACTTTGCTCTCGACGTCACTTTGACCGTCCAAGGCGCCTCGAAGGCCTCTCCCGCGGACAAGGCCGATCTGCTCGGTTGCGTCACGAGACTGCTCTCCCCGCAATCGCCCCTGTGCTTCGACGCCGAGGTCACCCTTCCCGAGCACCTTGCGGCGTTTGCGCCCCAGATTAGGGGTATCCAACACTCGTCTTTCGTCAGGGCCGGTGTGGTCAACCACCGTATCTCCGTGGGATTCGTTTCGGCGAAGGCACGTGACTCGGCGCTTACGGCCCCACTGGCGCTTACTTGGCACTCTGCAAAGGCTCACTTCGCAAAGGCCCACCACTTCTACCACAACATGGTCGAGCTGCGTATCAACGTCGGTGTCGCAGCGGTCCCATCCAGGGATGCCATTGTTGACTCTTTTAAATCAATTGTCACCAAAATCACAGCCAAGGGACACCGTTGCGAGCTGGTACAAGTCTTGCGCGTGATCCACGTCGATAACGACTCGGCCTATGCGCACTTGGCCGGCGAGTTTTCGGCCTTTATCCGCTTCGACGACGACGCCCTTTTCAAAGCCCCTAACAACACGCTGAAGGAGCTCCTACCGTCGAAGGTCTCTCTAGCCACTAGAGGCAACATGCATACGGCGGTTCGTCACGACTACGAACGAGAAGCGGCCTGTGCTCGGTGCCACTTTGTGGGGCATGTGGAGACCTGCGCGCTGGAACAGGAGAGGAGGCAGAAGGAAGCGAACAACAACACCGGAAGGCACAACAAGTACCACAACAACCCAACCAACACCAACAACAACAACAACGACACCACCAACACCAACAACACCGACAACGACGCTTCCGAGGTTGTGGCCCCTAGCCGCGCCCTCGGAACCGACCAACTCGAATCGCGGAACCGATTTGCGGGGCTCGAGGTCGAAGGAGGACAGGAGGATGACGTCGAGGAGGAGGATGCAGGAAAGGAGGGCGAGGAAAAGGAGCAGGTCGAAGAAGGAGACGAGGATACGGGCGCCAAGGCGGACGACGAGGATTCGGACTCGGATGGGAACGCCGGAGCGGGCATCGACAAGGCGGGAGGCGACGACAAGGACGACGACAAGGACGAACAGGACGACAGCTCGGAGGGAAGCGAACAAAGGGAGGACGAAGGAAACGATGGGGATGACGTGATGAAAGATGGAGCAGAGGAGGAGGACGAAGGGACGGAGACGGAGGTGGAAGAAGAGGTCGAGCAGGAACAGGGGGTACAGGACGACAGCATCATGATCATCGACGACGACCAAACGACGATCACCACGGTTTCCCGCGAGTCGACTCCTCGGAGTCCCTCGTGGCCTCCACTATCTCCTGAGACGTTGGCAAAGTCGCTGCGCGAGGGTGCGGAGTGGGACCGAGCTAACGCCGAAGCTGCTGCACGTGTCCAAGCAGAAAAGGAGGCGATCATCAACGCCCAACTCGACGCGGAGGAACCGCTCGTTCGCCACCAATTTGCAGAGTGGGGTCAGGAAGATGGACAACTGCGATTCATCAACATTCGTGGCACCGGCTCCGGGTCGAACAAGAAGATGAAGAGGTCGCAAACGGTGGCCGATCTCAGCGATCCGAGCGACGACCCGGTCGATATCAAGCGCGTTCTGAACAGGGTTAAAGGTCGAGCAGGAAAGGAGGTAGCGGGTCAGGGGAAGAGGGTGACGAGGTCGATGTCGGCGGCGGCGGCGATGCAGGTCGAGGGGGCCAAGGCGAAAGCGGAGAAGGGTAAAGGGGTGGAGGAGGAGAAGCGCTGGTCCGACCACGAGCCCGAGGATGACATTCTCCCCGAATTCCCACTCTTTGAGGACGACACTACCGCCAAGAGCACGTCTACATCGTCTACCCAATAATGATCAAGCACACCATCACCAGCTGGAACGTGAGGAGGTGCATGGGGATCCCGGAAAAGCGACGCAACATTTACACCTATTTATCAACATTCAAAGCATCCGCCATTCTACTACAAGAACACTTCATCAAACCGGAACTCTGGCAATGTATCAAGGACGAGTACGAGGGCAAGGTCTTCATCAGCAAACACTGTCTGACTCTGATCCCCGCCGACTCGCCCCTGATCGACGCCGAGATTTTGCGCACCCACTCGGCACTCGACGGACGAATCCTGGTCACCTCCTTTCGACTTCGAGGCGACATCCGGATACTCGAGATCAACAACATTTACGCACCAGTCGATACAAAACAACGACTCACATTCTTTGACAAACTACATTTCCACAGGACGCAGAGCACCCACCTTCGACTCCTCGGCGGCGATCTCAACGACTGCCCGCTGCCGGCGATCGATCGGCGGAACCAAGGTCGGCACGGCCATCACTGGCCGATCCTGATCGGCAAGCTCGACTCGCCCTACACCGACTGCATACGATTCAAACACCCGCTCACACCATCTTTCACTCGACCCAACATCGTCCGCAAGCGACCAAAGTCCTTTTCACGACTTGACTACTTCCTTCTGCAGCGCACCCACCAAAAGCGACTCGTCCAAGCCTCGACGATCTACGACCACCCCAAGGACCTTTCGGATCACCGACCGGTCTCGATCGTCCTAGTTCTCTCGGACGAGCGAGGAGACGCGGCTCAACCCAACAACAGTTTACCAACGACATCAAACCAATTACATCGTATCAACGCGGCGACCTTCAAGACGGCGGAGTTCCAGGGGATGTTGGAAGGATGGTTGGAAGGAGCGAGTGGGGAGGAACCGGTGGGGGAGCTCGAGGTGGTGCTGGGGAACTGCGCGAAGGAGGGTCGGGAGCTGGCGAGGAGGGAGCATCGGGAGCGGGTGGAGCGGATGGCGGTCTTGGTGGGAAGGGTGCAGGATCTGGAGGCGTTGCCGGTGATGGGGGACGAGGAGACGGCCGAATGGACGCGGACGACGGAGGAACTTAGGCGAGCGGTCAACGAGCGCGCGCGCCAACTTCGGATCCGAGCCCACGTACCCGAAATCGCTACCGAGGAACGACTGTCGCGGCCGGTCCACGCCAAGCTCGCGGCACGGAGTTCGGATTCCAAGATCACAGCACTGCGATTGCCCAACGGAGAGCTGACACATGACATTGACGTCGCGCTTGACCACACACAGGCGCACTTTCAGCGCCTCTACGATCTCGAGCCGCGCGATCGGGACCACGTCGAGCGACTTAGGGACGATTTCTTGGCGCCGATCAGGTCGGCGCGCACTTGCGACGACCCGAGCTCGGACCCGCTCTTTCTGCGACGACTCTCGGAAGCGCACATCGAGCTGCTGCAGCAACCCATCACCGAGGACGAGGTCGTAGCCGCAATCGCAACAACACACCCCGGTCGATCGCCGGGTCCATCTGGCGTGCCCTACGAGCTCTATCACACAGCGCCGCGGGCGTGGGCCAAGGCGCTGAGCAGGGCCTTCAACGCGATGACCGAGCGCGGCTCGCTTTCACCGAAGCAGGGGCAAGGACTCGCTCGCCTGCTCTTCAAGCACCACAAGATCGGGGCCGATCGCGCCGAGCTCTCGTCGTACCGGCCCATCACCTTGCGCGAGTGCGACTACAAGCTCTTCACCAAGGTCTACGTTGCGCGACTCAACCACGTGCTGCCGGACCTGCTCCCACCGCAACAGCACGGCTTCGTCAAGGGCCGCCGATCGGCGGACGCGTCATTCCACCTGCGACTCTTGATCGAGGAGCTGGGCGCGCGCGGCACCGAGTTCCCTGACGCGGCGCTCTTGTCTCTTGACCAATCGTCGGCTTACGACCTCGTCGAGCACGAATGGATCTTCGCCATCTTCGACGCTCTCGGCGCTCCTGCCGCCTTCCAACGCGTTCTGAGGATGCTCTACTCGGGTGACTCAACCACGGCGCGATATATCATCAACGGCTTCTTGACTCCGCCGGTGCGGCTGACGTGTGGGCTCGGCCAAGGGGACCCGGCGTCGTCGTCGGTCTGGGATGTCGTGTTCCAGCCGTTCCTGGATGCTCTGCACCGTCGAGGCATCGCGCTGAACCTCTCGCTTCCTACCATTCACCCCTACCCACAGAGCCGCGCCATTACATCCCTTGCGTTTGCCGATGACGTCGTCGTCGCCGTCGCGGGCTCGGAGTCACTCAACTTGCTCGACGACCTGGCGCTCGACTGGAGGCTCGCAACCAATGGCCGGCTCAACACCGACAAGACCGTCGTACTACCCATCGGGTGTCGCTGGGAGGCTGGCGATCGTCCGCTCGTCGTCAAGGCCGAGGGCGAGTCGCTCGAGTGGATCGGCCTATCTTTCGACCCCACCGGCAACACCGAACTCGCCAACGTGAATCTCGTCGCACGGCTCGAAGCGGTGCTCGATTCGGCACGGGACCGAGGGCTCACACACCACACCCGAGCGTTCTACGTCAACCGATACGCCATTCCCAAGATTCTGCACATCCTCTCCGCCGACATCCCACCGCTCGAGGTCGTCAAGGAGCTTGATCGCATTCTCGCCGACTTTGTCCGCGGCGGCAAGAGGAGGTCGTGCTATGGCAAGGACGTCGTCTTCACACCGAGGTTCAAGGGGGGTCTTGGGGTCATGCGGATGCAGGACGTCGTCGACTCGGTTGCGGCACGCGTCTGGGACGTGCTTCTTGGCGGTTCGGATGCGATCTGGCAGGGACTTGCGCGCGCGGCGATTGTACGAGCCCATCCCGCCCCCGACTTTGACTTGGCAACCGATGCGTGGCCTTGCGACTACACTCCGATCCGAACCGATCTACACCCAAGATGGCAGGCCGTGCTGAAGGTACCATCGACGCACAATGCGCAAGTCAAGCCGAGGACGTTGACGCTCGCGAACCTTCTCGCTCTTCCGATCAAGTTGCACACCCTTCACTACCTACCGGGAGCACCAGCTGTGTCGCGACCACCCTACGACGCCGACTATGCTGCGTTTGCCATTTACGCCAAGGTAGCGGACCTGTTTCGACGCGAGCTGTACCCGGGCGGGGGCTTTCATCTCTGGACGCCGCCGACGGATGTGGTCGTCAGCAACAGCGAATACGATCAACGGGGCCGCCCACAACGAGAGCACATCGTGGCATGGTACCGACATGCGATCAATCGATTGAGGTTCACACCAATAGCTCAACCGGTGGCGGCAGTACGAATCAACGGGCCTCCCCGAGTCCGCCCCACCACGCCGCTCGAGTCGATCCTGCCCCATCCGATCGACCCGCCGCAGCGCTTTCCGAGACCGGCTCTCCCAGACCAATCAACACAATACAACTTGCTCAGCATGGATCGGCCATACACCATCCGTCGCGTCCGCCGAGTCTTGAATGCAAAGGCCTTCACCGACACGATCGGTTTCAGGGACTCGCTGCAGCCCGACGATCTCAAGGGATTCTGGAAGGGGGTCAACTCGAAGGCATTGACGGCGAGGGAACGCGAGGTGTGGTTCAAGCTCGTCAGGAACTTCACCCCGACTCGGAGTCTGCAGTTTCATCAAAAGCACGACGACTCGCCCGCGTGCCTCGTCTGTGGAGCGCCCAAGGACGATCGGGAGCACTACTTCTTCGACTGCGTTGACTCTAGGAACGTTTGGATCGCGGCAAGGGGCGTGCTCTGCGACGCACTGGGGCTCGACACGATCGACAACACGCATTACACGGCCGTTCAACGCATGTTCGGACTTCCGAAGCTCAAGGCCAGTCTGCGCGATCAGGAAGGAGCGGGGAGGACGATCGAAATATTCACCGGGCTGGTCTTGGAGATGATCAGCAGCGGGAGGTGGGGGACGCAGAAGTGGGGGACGAGGCTGGAGGGTGTTGGGAGGAGGAGGATCATCTTGGAGGAGAGGTTGAAGCTGAGGGCGGGAGGAGCTTGGGGGAGGAGAGGGCAGTAGAGGCTGGGTTCGACTTTCCCCCCACCACCACACACACACACACCAAATTCTCGTGACATCATTTTCTCCTACTGTACACTAAATAGCTCGCTTTCCTCTTTCTTTTGTTACAGGTTCACCGTTGCGGATCATGGACCATCTCGCGATTTGGCGTCGACTCGGTGTGGCTCGCGCTCTTCGGCTTCGGGGTTCTGAGTCAAGGGAGGGATCAGCGGACACAGGCAGAAAGTCGGCTTTGAGGGGCCAGGGACTGCCGAGGGGTAGGTTTTGAGGGACCTTCACCGCGTCTTGTTGTGACTGAGCAGAGACTTGGAGCGTCGAGGGTCGTGGTGGTTGCGCAGTTGTGCTCTTGTCTTCGTCTCGACCGAGTGGGAAGTGGCTGTGGGGTGGGCCTTCTGTCGTTAGTACATTTCTTTTCTTTCTCTTTCTCTTTCTCTTTCTCTTCATCTCTCTTTCTCTCTCTCATTCGTCTCCTGGGGGGAGCAACCGCTTGGCTAGGGCATTTGAATCCGAATCTCGGATTGGTGGACTTGGCTCGTTTCTCGCACTTTTGCGGGCGGTTTGTGTTATCATCGTAGTCTTCCATCTAGTTTTTCCGTAGGCCGAAACAGGGGGAACAGGAACTGGGGGCAATATGATGAACGTTTTCTACAAAAAAAAAAGGCGCCCCTAGCTCGCGAGAGCTGGAGGTGCCTCGTCGCTGCGACCCGCGATTTCAGTCCGTGGGGGTTCTTCAGCAGCACGGCTCGGGTCGAGAAGCTGTATCGCGACTCGACGCGCTGGGGGGCAGTCGTTGCAGCGGCCAGGGTCACAGTTCCAACCATCAAGTCCGAACTCCTTACGCTTCCCGAATTGCTCTCGCTTCCGCCTCGCCTCCCTTCACTCTATGCTGAAGGTGCCCAGCACGCATATGACGATGCGGACGCGGTGGCGAAGTTTGCGCAGATCGCGGACCTGTACTGGAGGGACGAAGGGAAGGGATGGGCTCTGGTTGGTCATCGACGCGGGTTCTGGCAGCACTCTAAGGAACCCGCCCTACAGCACGAGCACGTGTGGTCGCGCGTGGGTCAGTTGCTCAAGGCGAAAGCGTTGCTGCCCAAGACCGCGTTGCGACCTGCTCGGATACCTCTCAAGGAGGCTCCCCGTCCTCGGTGCTTCAACTTCTTTGGGCTCTCCCGACCTTTTACGATTCGCAAGCTTCGTCGGCTTGTGAACAAGGTGCGGTTCCCAGGGAGGGAGGACCGTGTCAAGCGTTTCCCTGATGGGACTTCTCAGAGCGATAGGAAGCGCTTCTGGAGATGGCTTCATGACCGGTTCGCGTCTGCTGTCGAGCAGGACACCCACTGGCGGTTCATGTACGACGTGACGCCGACGCGCAAGAGGCAGCATACTCAGGGTCATGCCTCTTCGCCGACGTGTCTGTTCTGCGGCAACGATGCAGCGGTCATCGAGACGGTGTCCCACTACTTTTTCGAGTGCGCGTACTCGACCAGCTTCTGGGGTGGGGTGCTACGCATTCTGCTTGACAAGCTCGGCATCGAGGATACCGACGTCGATCCGTCGACGTTCACTCCGGAGCAGCTGACTATGGGGCTCCCCCTTTTGCGGGGTCGTGGGAGAACGACCTCGAAATGGATGTGGGTTCGGCTGGCCTGCGCGATCGGTTTCCAGCGGCTGCACCTGCTCCGCTGGCGCGTTCATCAGCGGTTCGAGCTGGACAACGTCGTGGCCCCTCCCTCGCTTCCCAGTGCGCTCAGAGCGTTCGAGCGAGATTTTCTCTCTCGAGCGGGTTTTGTGCCTGGGGTTCGAGATTGGGAGGTGTGATGACCGAGTTAAGTCCTTCCTTCCCATTTTCCTCCCTTCCTTTTCGGTCAGAAGCTGACTGTCTTGAAACTTGTTGCGCAGTGGAAGGCTGCGCACCTCTCCCTCTCTCTACTTTGTGCAGTAGCGGTTTTCGTTCTTGGATGGATCGGCAAGCCGGGTCGATCGTCGTTGCGTTGGAGGCTTTGTGAAGTTCTCCCCTCTCTTTCCCCTTTCTCCCTTCCCTTCCTCTTCTCCTCCCTGTTGCTCGGTTGTTGACTACGCTTCAGCCACTTCTCCTTTTATTCCTAAGCCGTGTGTTGGATTCCGTCGAATGGATCGTTCGTTCGCGTTGGTCAAGTTCTACGGCATGGATCGGGAAGAAAGGTCGCTCGTTTCTTGGTCAATATCCTCGCGTCAAGGCGAGGCTCGTTTCGTGGTATTATTGGATCGTTTTCGCTCGGCCCCGACGGCTCAACAGCCAGCACTCGAGACTCAGCCAAGGGAGGACATCAGGCGCTGTCGGGGTGACGAGTAGCTGGGGCTTGGCTGCGGCCTGTCAGTCCCTGGGGACCTCTAGCTCTGGCTTCGACCCCCTCCCTTGGCCCCTCGGGTGTGTTCCCCTCCTCCTCCCCTCCTCTCTGTCTTAGTATTCCTGGTTCTCCGTGTTTCCGGTCGTGAATTTTTGTATATTCTCCCCCTTTCTTTCTCTAGGCGCTCTTGCCTGGTTTTCGAGTATCTTCGCTCCCGCTCTTGGGACGTGAAGCGGCAGCAGTACTCACCGCCCGTTGGAGTCCGCGTTAGGTGCTCGGCGGGTTTTGATCTGCGCAGCGCTCTTTGCGCGCAGGGGTTTGACTTTCACCCAATTGCTTGCCGTCGTTGCTTTATAACCTCTTTTAGCTCTTTTTGTAGCGGTCCCAGCCAACCCGAAGGATTGCAATTTATGAGCCCCAGTAAAATAAAAAAAAGTGGTGTGTGCTCGGCCTCGGGAGTCTCGGCGTCGGTGCGGGCACCTACAACAGCGTGCTGACGGCGTTCACAAGTCACGAGGAGGACGCAGGTTGGTTTATGCATCGGCTTTAGGGGGTCCAGGGCGCTGACCTGTCTTTGAACCGTGGCAGTGCTCATGGGGTGGCTGTATGCAAGTTTTGCCTTTGGCGGTGCGATCGCCCCTCTCATTGTCGGGGGTTTCGTCGCCCACGGCATCGGGTGGAACAAGTTCTACATCATCCTCCTGACCTTGTCAAACCTTCTGGGTGGTATTTCCCTCGTTTTAGTGGGCGAATGGGAAGTATCGCTGGACCAGAAGGCCGGCTCGGCACCTAGTACTACTAGGCAACCCGAGGCCGAGAATGAGAGCGAGCATCTTCGACCTGCTCCCTCGGCGACGGCGAGGCTCTGCGAGGCCCTGCACCTCAAGATCGTTTGGATGGGTCTCCTCTTGATCGGTCTCACCTACGGAAGTGCCGATGCGCTCGCGGCTTGGACTTCGAGCTACTTCCTGGACGTCAAGCATGCGTCCAAGTCGGCTTCCAAGTACCTCACGTCGGGTCTGTGGGGAGGTCAGTGCTGACATCGCTTTTGGCCGCGGCGTGCTCATGATGGAGGATGCATGATGCCCAGTAAATGGCTTTGGCTAACCCCGAGGCAAGATCACCTCGCGCGCACAGGGATGGCGGTGGGCCGACTCATCCTGCCCTGGCTCTTCCGAGGTCGCGTAAGGGAGCGAACTGCCGCAATCGGCACCTTGACGGTCGCCATCGTAATGTTGACGGTCATGTGGTTCGTCGAGTCGTTCAAGGTCGCGGCCGTCGCGCTCGCCTTTGCCGGCTTCTCCGCCGGACCCATGACCCCGCATGTGCTGTCGATGGTGACGTCCCGACTGCCCGCTACTCTCAAGGCTTCGGTCGTGTCCCTCATTCTCGGTACGGCCGTACTGAGCGGAGGTGGGAGCTCGCTTCTCTTTGGTCTCATTGTCGAAAGAGGGTGGATCTCGACCCTGCCTCCCTGCTTGATTGTCGCCAGCGCCTTGGCCGCATGTTTCTGGGCCTTGGTTCCTCCGAGGTGCGCCGCGACCTCTTCAGCTCAGTAGATTTTGATTTCTTCCATTTCCTTCATTCTCTTGTAGATCTTTCAATTTTTTAAATTTCGAGTCGGAGTTTGTAATAGTGACGCCGGTGGTTCTGATAGCGATAAACATATTGCTCGATTGCGACAATGTGCGCGACCCGGTCCCTGGCTCCTTGTTCCTCGTCAACCGCATCGTCCGCTCGAGCCTGTTGCGATTGGCCGAGTTCGGGATGAGCGCAGGCAAATTGTTGAACACGTCCGCTGCGGGCGTACTTGACTACCGAAACCATCACCGGTCGATCCTTTGACACGTTCTCGGTACCGGAAAGATATTCCATTCGGCACGAAGATCGTGCTGAAAACCAAGCGACTCTGGATGCGCTAAAGAGCCAAAGCTGCGAACGGACGATCGACGGACGCTCTCTTCGCCGGCGCTCGCGCGCACCGGCGGACTGCACCGCGCCGCACTTCCGAGGCCAGCACTGGCACTCAGAGCAGCTTTTCTCGTATCGTTGCCTGTTGTCTCTTTGTTCTCCAGATACGACTCTCCACTCGCCAACCATTTTTTCGGAAAGTTCGGATCACCTCCACGCTCCGACTAGCACATCGCACCGCGCTTCGTTTTTCACCTTTGTGGTTGCGACAATGCAAAGTATTCGCAACAAGTTCTCCAATAGCACAACAGGAGTCTCTCCAAGTACTAGTAGCGGAATAATGAAGAAAAAAGGACAAGTTTGCGTCTCTTTTGCGATGATGTTCATGCTAGGCTTCAACATCGCCGCGACCGGTGCCAAGTGAGTCCCGGTAGCTGAGACTCGATTCGGTCAGAGCCGAGCTGACGCGCGCGCCATGTATTTTCCGAGCCAATAGTGTTCCCTCCATCAGCGCGAGTTTCCACGTGGCGTACAGTGTCATCTCAATGTTTTTCTTGTCCTACGTGACTGGGTAAGTTTGGAGCACTCTCATGAGCGAAAAGAAACGCGCCTCTGACCACAATCACCTCTCGCGCGGCGTCCCATGCAGATTCATCACCACTTGCGTCGCGTCCTCTTACGTCGCCCGCGAATTTGGGGTCCGCGCCACCCTGGCTGGTGCCAACATCCTGTGGATATTTGGATGCCTCATCTTTCTGCTTCAAACCTCGTTCGGCGCCTGTGTGCTCGCCTTGACTTGCCTCGGGCTCGGAAGTGGCTTGTTCGAGCCGACGATCGTGACCGTGGTTACGCAGCAAAGCACTCCAGGTCGGTCTCTGCATTCGAGCCTAGTTCATATGATTTGAGAATAAAACAATATGGGTGTTATGGGGGACTTGCAGTGGTTCTGTCTTTCCTGTACAGCAGCTTCGCCATCGGTGCCGGAATTTCCCCGCTCATCATCGGAGGCTTTGCCGAGCGCTCGATCCCCTGGACAAATTTTTACTACTTTCCGGTCACGATCTGCTCGGTGCTTGCGGCGCTCTGCCACATCGTCTTTCAAGGCTATGAGGAGAAGTTGGGTCAAGACCACGCACCGTCGGCGCACCGAATGGCGACCTTTTCTTCCACATACCCCGGCGATTCCACGACGAAGTTCGGGCGACGTGCCTCGTTTGGATCGTCGGTCATGTCTGCGCCGAGCCGGTTCGCCGGGCTCGAGATAGACCGCAACTGCGTTGCAGGGGGACACAAATCAGACATTTCGGCAATGGGCCGCATCGGTAGAGTGCTGCGCCTCCGCGTCGCGTGGATCGGCTTCTTTCTCGTCAACCTGTCGCTCGCGACGGGCGAGCTCCTCGGCGGATGGGGCACAACCTACTTTCTCGTTTTCAAGGAGGCTCCTCCAGGCTCCTCCAGGTTCATCCAATGCGGATGGTGGTTTGGTGAGTGACTCGCCAAACCTCGGGGATGTCTAGTACCGAGGCTGACACTGAGTCAGCACCCAACCTCTTCTGTGGCACAGGCATGGCTTTGGGTCGCTTGGTCCTACCCATTCTTTCACCTCGAGTTTTGGGAGAGCGTCTCTTCGCGATCGTCCTGCTCGCCTTTGCCTCGTGCATGATCACCGTTATCGGCGCCGTGCATTCGTACAAGAGCGACGCCGTTGCTCTCGCCTTCTACGGCTTTGCGTACGGCCCCATCGTTCCTCACATCCTCTCAATGGTCAGCTCTCGGGTGTCCACGGACCTGACAAGCACCGTGATCTCCCTTACTCTCGGTGTGGGGGTGCTCGGTGGCGCGGCCGCCCCGATCCTCTTTGGTGCCATCGCGGTCGATCATGGTATGTTGAGCGTGTTCCCCACTTGCTTGATTGCGGGCACGTTGCTCGGCGTTTTCGGGTGGCTCTTGGTTCCGGATCACGAGGACGAGCTTAAATCGACCTTTCACTAGACTCGCTTCGGTTTCTGCATAAGGTCTTTGTTGTAATAGAGCCTCATAAAATTCATCCTCCGTGCCAAACGCCGACCGCTTCCCCAAAAATGTGTTATAAGGCATCCTGGTTGCCGAAAGTACACCAAAAGTGAAGGCATTCCCACACGGGATGCATGCACCAAATTCTCTTTCGACAAAATGCACGATTGGGTGATGTCGATCCGCAGGAGAGTACGCCTCTGATTCCATGCCGTTTTTTTAATAGCCTTTTTAGACCATGGAATGCCCTTAAGCTGCCTCAGGGACATGATCAGCCAGTGGTCAATCCAGCACCGGGCGCCACTGACGCGGCGATCCCGTTCACGGACATTTGTCAACGGCGGGGGTCGATCGGTCGATCGGTCGGTCGTCGGGACGATCTTCGATCACCCATCGTGTTGTGGATGTACTTCGATCACCCGTCTACATTTCTTTTCTTTCTCTCTTTCCCTTGTCCACACGTTCGTCGGAGTAACTTCCTGCTCTATCCTCTATCCACCGGTCTTGCAACTCTACCACAGTTACCATCGCCATGCAAACAGTTCGCGAAAAGCTCGCCAACGGCCTCGAGCCCATTCGGCCGAGCCGACGCCGTTCGAACATGGAAATCGCGCGCATTTGCCTCTCCTACGGTATGAATTTCATGTTTGGTATCAGCGCCGCAGCAATCGGATCCAAGTCAGTCGGCGCGCATGCTTACGATGTGCAGCAAAAGTACCAAAACTGAGCACGCGCCCTCTTGCTTGTTCTGCTACAGCATCCCATCCATCAGCGCGCAGTACCACGTTTCGTTCGCGCTCCTGTCAACCGTATTCTTGACCAACCGAGTCGGGTCAGTCCGATCAAAACCCCTCTCTTCTCTTCCTACTCACACCTAAGGGACGAACGACGGCTAAACGCTCGCTTGAAACGTACGCGCAATGTAGATTCTTCCTGGCCTGCGTCCTCTCGTCGTACTTGATGCACAACTTTGGCGTGCGCGCGACGCTCATGTGTGGCAATGCGTTCTGGGTCATGAGCTGCCTCATCCTGCTCCTTCAACCTTCGTTTGCTCTCGTCGTGCTCGCGTTCACGGGCATGGGCGCTGGCACTGGCCTCACCGAACCGGCGATCGTCACCGTCATCACTCGCGAACAGAGTCCCGGTGAGTTTCAAGAGACTTTCCGCGCGAAAGCCAAAGAACAACCCATTTACCCCTGACCACCACCCTGCTCCAATGATCACACCCAGTCCTCACCTCGTGCCTCTACAGCTCCTTCGCCTTCGGCGCCATCTTTTCCCCCCTCATCAACGGTTCCTTTGCCGATCGCAATATCCTCTGGACCAACTTTTTCTACATACCCCTCGGGCTCTGTGTGCTCCTTTCGATCGCAAACGTTTTCATCTTCCGCACCTACGAAGCCGATCTATTGAAAGCCGAGCAAGAGGAACTGCGCCGCCGCACCGTCGTCAATTTTGCGATTCGGTACCCCACGCGTTCAGAAACCGAGGGTCAAGATCGACGCAAGTCATTGTTCCTCTCTACCTCGGCGGTCAAGAACACCCAGAACACCTATCCTGAAGCCCGAGAAGACGGCTTGACACGTGAAGCGACGCATTCGTCCTCCACATCGTCCAAGCCCAATGCGACGGCGCTTTTGCTGCGCGTGTTGCGCCACAAGGTGACCTGGATCGGATTTGCGCTCATCGTCTTGACCATGTCCGAAGGGGAGACTCTCGGAGGGTGGTCGACGACGTACTTTCTCCAGGTCAAGCATGCGCCCGCGGGGATGTCAAGGTACATCTCTTCGGGCAAATGGACAGGTGAGTCGTCCTGGGTCGGTATCAGATTTTGTCAATTCCGACAAGCTAACCTACAGCCCTTCTCTGACCACAGGTAACGCCATCGGCCGCATCCTCTTGCCAATTCTCTTCCTTCGCCTCCTCGGCGAAAAGACCTTCGCGATCGCGATTCTCCTCATCGCCTGCGGCATGCAACTCATCGTCGCCCTCCTCCCTTCTTGGAAAGCCAGTGCTATTGCTTCCGCCTTTTTCGGCTTTGTCATTGGACCCATCATCCCCCACGTCCTCTCGATGGTCGGGTCCCGCGTCCCGAATGATTTGATGGCTCCGGCCATGTCGTTGATGCTGGCCAGTGGAGTCGCGGGTGGTGCATTGGGACCCATGTTGTTTGGTGTTGTGGGCGCGTCCAAGGGGCATTTGAACGCTCTGCCGTTCGTGGTGATTGGGTTGTTGGGCCTTAGTGCTCTAGGGTGGTTGTTCGTCCCAAGAAAGAAGGAAAACGGTGTCGTGGCAGTCGAGGTAGACTTTCAGTAGGCAGGACGGGGTATTTAAAAGAGGTCGCGTTATTTCTGTGTTTTCAGGTGTCTGTCTCACCCGCTGCAATTCCGTATTTCGTTGTTATGTGCCATTCCTTTTCAGAAACCCTCCTAGGGATCAGAATTACAACACCCCATCCAACAACCTCACACTATCCACGACCTGCCACAGCTGTTCCTTGTTCTTCTTACCCGGGCCACCGGCGGCACCCGCAGGACCCATCGACGATCCCACACCACCCGCTTGAAGTCCACCGATTTTGGTCAAAGCGTGCGATCCAGGAAGGTGGGAAGCGTGCGTCCCTGCAGAAGGTTCATCATCCTCGGATCCACCATCGGTCGAGGTGTTGTTCCCACCGTTCGCACCGCCTCGTTGCATAGCCGAAGGCGAACCGACCATCTGTTGCTCCGCGAACGACCCACCTTCTAACCCCGCCGACGAAGGCGACTCGATCGACAATTCGGGGAAGAGTTGATGCCGAAGGGCCAAGCTCTTGGGTGAGATTTGGGCGGCGCCTCCTCCCCCGCCTGCAGTGTTTGCTGTGTTGGTGGTCGCGATCGAGGTCGATATCGCCGAGGGTTTGTTCGTCGGACCACTCCCCGTCGTCGGTGTACCGACCATCGAGCTCCCCCTCGATCCATTCGAAGGATTGTCCCCATTCGTTGACAAAGTCGCCTGCCCCGGGATCGAGGCCGATGATCGAGCATGCGCGACGTCAGGGTGACCTTGAGGGATCGCGACGGCCGAGGGGTCGATGAGGTATTGGTCACGAGGTCCTCCGCCCGGGGTAAGAGCGTTCGTAGAGAAGGAGTTGGAGCGACTGGGTCGGTGCGAACGGGAGCGCGAGATAGTCGAGGGCCGACGCGAGGTGGAGCCGGATCGAGAAAGGGGATGTTTGGAACGAGAGAGGGAGGAGGTTCCGGCCAGTGTGGTCGACGAGGAGGACGATGTCGATCGCACCGGGGCGAGTTTCGGATGCGATTTGCCTCCCAGTCGAGGTCGTTCGGGGAACTTGGGCATCGTTGTCGGCGGGGCGGTGGTGGCTTCGGGCTCATCGACGACCATGGCCTCGTCATCGGCTTCGATCGCCGCGTCCTCTGCTTCGTCGTCGCCCTCGGTCATGTCCGAATCGTCCGAATCAGGAGGCAAAGCGTAGGATCTCTCAACCGCGCCTAGTCGAGGTACGACCAAGACCGAGGGGTTGATGTCGAACAAGCCGAGGAAATCGTCGGTCGTCAAAGGCCGTTGCTCTTCATCCTCGTCCTCCTCGTCGACGTGATCGTGTTCGAGTGGGGGATCAAGTAATCGCACCGCTTTCACCGGATCGAACGATTGCTCCGCCTTGACGTCCCCTTCCCCTGCTGGCGGATCGTCCTCTCGTACCTCCCTCCGCACTGGCCTTGCAGCGTCGAAAATGGACAACTGTTCCTTCGTGATCGACGACGTCCGTATCCCTCTATCCCGATCGGACCGTACCAATCCCACGACGTGGGCGATGATATTTTTCAAATGAGTCTGAAGCGGATCACACAGCCCCTCAAAAATCAGTCAGAAGCCCCTCTCTCATCTCGAGCTCCGTAATCCAAACTCACCTCGACGGCCCGAACGCCCAACAACCCGACCCTCTCGTCGACGACCCCACCTCCGACCAAGCCCGATTCGAAAACGACCAGCGTCATTCGATCCCGCAACCCATCGACGTCGGGCAACAGCTTGGAGGTCGAACAGAGCAGCGAGTCTTTGGCCGACGAGGAGGCGATGATGCGTTGATATTCTTGCGTGATGGCTGAGATTGGTTGGGAACGGCCATAGATCAGTTTTCGTAGCTCCTCTTGCCCACGATGCCAATCAGCTCACCAGGATCGGTCTTGCCACCCGTTCCGCCCCCAATCGCGTCGACTTCCCCCCTCCGCTTGCCTGATTCCAATGCCGCGCCGAGCGTGCTCAACCGGACCAACTCCTTGTCCCTCTTGCGCTCCCTCTCCCTCTCCGATTCCCTCTTGGCCAAAGCACTCGGCACGACCCCACCCGCTTCCTTGATGGCCTGCAACTGCGCTTGATCCTGTTGTTGCAGCAGAGCGGCAGCACTCGTCGTCGAGGCCGCGGTGCCCGTCACGCCGGTCTGAGTAGGCACGAGAGCCTTGATCTCCCTCCTTTCGCGCTTCCCGAGGGACATGACGAGCGTCTTGAGTTTCTTGCGTAGAGGATCGACATCGGAGGTGGAGCCGTTGTTGGGAGGGTCGTTGGGTGCGCCTAGTCTTCGTTTGACCTGGAAGCCGGAATGGCGCAGCGTCGACGGAGGGACGGCGATGCGCGTCGTGTTGTACAGGATCGACAGGAGCAACGCGTTGTGAAGTTGGACTATACACGGGACATTGAAACACGTTCAGTTTCCGTTTCTTCGGTGTACGTGTACGCGACCGATGCCAAGACGTTACTCACGTGCCGTGTCGTGCTCGCCTGGTTTGCCCTTGCCAAACACCCTCTCAAACACGCCCTGCAACTCGTCGCGGTTGATCTGACCGCTCATGAACTCGACCAACGAGGTCCAGTACAGCTGACCGAGGTGGGGAGGGAGCAGGTCCGCAAGTTTGAGCTTCAAGGACAGCAGATCGGCGCGCTTGGGTACGGTCGGTGGTGGCGCTGGCGCTGCGGAAGGGGGTGGTGGAGTCGACGTTGCTGTTGCTGTTGATGTCGATGCGGTGGCTTGGGTCACGGATCGGAGCAGTGTGGGGAGGGTGGCGGGAGGAGGACATGTCGCCGAGGCCGTGGCGGTCGTTGTCGGGGCAGCTATCGAAGAAGTGGACGGGCTCGGGTCGACGAGCATCATCACGACGACCCCTTTGGGGACCGAGATGGGAGTCGGTGGGTGGAGCAGAGACAAGGGGCGATCGCCGCGTGAGCCGCGCACATCAACCGCGTTCCTAATCGCCATTTCATTTACAAGCGTGCTTTACACCAATTCTCGATGTCAATCTCGCGGGCGCTGGCCGTTCGCCCGCGGCAAAGGACGCTCGCCATCGACACTGATCACAAAAGTTTGGGCATGCAAAGATAAATCATCGCTGCTTATTCCATGTGATCTTGCCCTGATAGCCACTTGTACTCCTGTGGAGACGCGGAAAGTATCCTTCTGACCACTGCAGTGGGCGCCGACTCATCGATGGCCCGTGGGGCCCGACTTTTAATCACTGCAACTCAGGCTCAGACGTCTGCCAGTGGTCACTTGGCGCCCAGAGTCAGCTCTGCTATCCGATAGGACGATAATAAAGCTAATCGGACAGGGAAAGAAGACCCGACTATGCTGGGATTCATTCAGGCGCTCGGCGTCACGTGAGATGATATTCTCGAACTCGATCCATTTTTAGAACTGCATTCCTCAAGGTGAAGCCACGAGAACAGAACTGAAGCAAAGACGCAAAAAAGAAAGAGAAAACCTATGCATAGACGTGCAAGTAAAGCAATCCCCTCACACGCTTCCATCCGACTCAGAGCGGCTCCGAGTCCGGATTTGGTCCGGGCAGCCTTCGCGCGACAGAAACCTTCCGTAGTTCATTCAGATTGGCCAGAGTCCGCTCGCACCTCGCATCGAACCTCTTCCCTCCTTCTCCTCCTCCTCCTCCTCCTCGTGACCGCTCTACCACTCCACCCCTACCGCCACCATGTCCACCCCCTCTGACGCTCCGACCTCCTCCCAAATCTCGCTCACCGACCTGACCCTCGAACAACTGCACCAAGTGCGCCAACAACTCGATCAGGAACTGCAGCATCTGACAAACGCGTTCCAGGAATTGCGGCTGGCGCAGGTCAAGTTCGCGGCCGCTTTGGAGAGCTTGGATAGTTTGAAAAAGGCGAATCAAGGTGAGGGTTTTTGTGCTTGGAAGAGCTAGGAGGGAAGGGAGGTGGGGCTACGGTCAACTAGCGGAGAGGGGTGGGGGGTCCTCTCCGCGTCGAGCTCGATTCCAGAGGACTGCTAGGAGAGCCATGCACCACCTACGATCAAAGCAATACTTCGGATCGCACCATGATCACTAACAAGCACTGCTCATCCACCCCCACCTTGTGACACCGCAGACAAGAACATCCTGATCCCCCTCACCTCGTCGCTCTACGTCCCGGGCAAGATCAAGGATCCCGAACACGTGCTCGTCGATATCGGAACTGGATACTACGTTGAAAAGGTACGAATCCCTCACCGTGGCAACCACAAACAGAGCGCAGCCCTCCGACACGAGCTCAACCTCAAACCCCCCCCCCCCCCCCCCTCGCTCTCTTCTTTCGCGCAGACAACAAAGCAAGCCAAAACGTACTACAACCAAAAAAACCTCACCCTACGCTCAAGTCTCGCCACCTTGCAAAGCCAGATCGAAAAGAAGGAGGACAACATGAGGGCGGCGATGAGTGTGTATAACCAAAAAGTCGCACGGGAAGGAGGGGCGCGAGCGGCGCGAGCGGATGGGGGGGAGGATAGATGATTGAGAGATTGGTGAGGCGAGAGGTATAGGCTAGGAGGTTTCATTTTCGCATTTGCATTGTATGGAAGGATTTTTACAAGATCTCCAGGATCGGTCTCACTGCTCGTCGCTTCCGAAAGTCGTGAGGGAGCGCTAGAACGTTGTCACAAGCTTCGGTGTACCCATTACAACGCGACGTAAAACACAGCAAACAAGTATATGCAGAACGAGAAGGAGCAGTGAGGAACAGTTGGCAAAAAAAAGAACAAACACTTTACAAGCCTAATCAGGAACACAATGTGATACGAAACGCCTATCGTGTCGCCCCCGGTGCTCCTCTCGTCCCTTGACCACCGGCACCAGGATATACATCCACCGCTCCCGTACCCGACGTCGATGCCGTCCCCGCTTCGACGTCCCCGCCCGATCCCTGACTAGCCCCGGACCCGAAACCCAACCAACTCCAAAAACCACCACCTCTCCCTTCTTCGGCATTCGAAGTCGATCCGGGGAACCCGACGTTCATTGGCAACTGGCCAAACGGCGTCGGACTACCCCTCGACGTTGCCAAGGGGGTGTTGTACGTCCTCGAAGGGAAGAACGCCCCCTGTTGCGTCGGGTGATACGATTGGCTTGGGTGGAAGTAACCCCCACCACCCAGCGTCGTCACACCGCCGCTACTCCTTCCCCCCGAATTGGCGAACGCATCTTCGAGGATCGTCTCCGCCACCCCAGGTGCATACATGTGCGGATCGATCGGATGATACGCCGGTGGATCTTGCGCCGCTGCCGCTGCCGCTATCCCGACTCTGCCCAGACCTTGACTTGATTCTCCGCCTGATCCACCGCCCTCTTCGGACGTCGATCTCGACCCGTACGTCGAATGCGATGTCGTCGAACCGACCTCGTCATCGTCCATCGACGGACTGCGGGGTGGCGGTGTGCTGGGGAAGCGATGCATCGAGTGGAGACTGATGTCCAACAAACCCGGTGTGGGAGGGTTGTGTAACCGAGCGCGTTCTTCGTCGTACTGATCCTGATCGGGGTGAATCGAGCGTTCAGAGTCCTCGATGAGAGCGAGGGGCGATCGATGCCCGGCTTCAATATCGTACGAATGTGACGACGATGATTGGTGCGAGACGTTTCTTGAATGTCGCAACGGCGAAGGTCGAACAGGTTGAGCCGGTCGCGTCGGAGACCCCAGAGCCGCGGCCGCCCCAGCGGCCGTCGAAGGATGGCCACCACCGACGGTCGAAGCCGATCCCGCCGACAACTCGGCCCCACCGGCCGCCCCGTTCCTCCTCGACGAATGCTGCCTTCTTCCACTCGGCCGCGAACCCCCTTGCACGCGCGACGAAGGTCCTGTCCCGCTACTCCCCCCCGTGAACCCACTCAACAAACCCCGCGCAGCCTGTTGTTGCTGCTGCTGCGCAACCGCACTCTCCAACAGGATGCTTCCCCGCTCGCTCCCGTAAGCGGGGGGAGGAGCGAGCGTGCCCATCATCGGCGCCAACCCCCATTTCTTGACATTGGCTTCGATGAACACGAATCCAGCCTGCCCGAGGTTGACGTGGACCGTGCACGGCCCGTCGGCGCCGACGGTCGGGAACAGGTTGTGGCGCGTCAGGCCCGTGTAGGCGTCTTCGAGTTTCTTGCCGTTGCGGGTGAAGAAGACGGTGCCGCTGCGGGGGCGGTAGCCGATGCCGAGAACGTCGCCTTCCCGTAGTGGTGGGCCGTACGAAGTCGCGGTGAAGGGGTACGAATGCGATTTGAAGCCGTCCGCGGAGAAGTAGCCGACCGAGTATTTGCTGGCGCCTGTGGTAAGATGCGAATGCATCGAGGCCAGAAACAAGGGTCAGCAGCCGACTCGCGTGTGATACCACGAGGTCTCCACACTGACTGACCTGGCATTCTAAACGAAGGGTAAGGCTTGGTCGCGAGGCCCAGGGCAACGTTCGTCCCCTCGGGTTTCTCGTACATCTTGCATTCCCAGTAGTAGACCTCGTTGATCTTGGGCAGCGGCAGATTGCTCTGCACACAACATCCTCCCCCTTCCTCGGGAGCCATGCCGACGCCGTCGGAAAGGAACGTGATCTCGGTGCGCGATTGCACGATCATGGCCGGGTTCGACTCATAGTCTGGTTCGAACGACCATGCCGAGATGCCCTTTTCTTGGATCGAGAGGAATTGCGAGAGCGTAATGTCCGTTGGTTGCGAGTTGGGTGGGTACTGCGTTTGCCAGACTATAAAAAAAGTCTCCCGATGCGTCAGTATCAGCAGCAGCGACGGCTAATCGGAGGAAATCCGTCGGCCCACAAAGGTTCCCTCACTCACCTTTGGCCCTCGTGTACCCGATCCCGACGTTCTCGTCGACGTCCTCCAACCACCGCTGTTCTATGCCCGCGACGTCGGCTTCGGCTTCCCACCGGTCCTCGTGTTCGAGGTTCGTCGGTCCGCCTTCGCCGAGCGGGAGGGCGATCGCGCCTCGTCTTCGACGGACGAGGATCAGAAAGACGAGAAAGACGAGCAGCGAGAAGAGCAGCGACGTGAGTAGGATCAACAGCGGAAGTAGAAGTCGCAAAGGCTGTGAGGCATCAGCAGGGACCATTGTGTGGAAGATCGCACACAGGGAGGATGGATGCGGATCGTCGAAGGAGGAATGGTGGGATCGCATCGGTAGGGATATCCAAATTGGGAGACAGGCGCACGCGCGCGGGACGGGGTTGGAAGGGGGCGTAGCGGGGGAACAGACGAGTAGTGGCCGGCGTCAGTCATCGTAATCGGACACGGCAAGATCCGCCCACACACAAGAGGTCACCCACATCTTCTAGCTGACCGTCGCCGGGCATCTGGGGCGATTCGGGGTCGGACGGAATCGTGGGCAGGTCCGACGAGAAGGGAAGCGACGCGGTGCCACTGCCACTCGCCTCCCAGCCCCGGCCCCGCGCATTACTGAGCCCGGCTCCACCACCGCCACGCTGGCGACTACGCTGGCGACTCGCCGCCGCAGCACCATTGCTTCTCCACTGCGCATCGTCAAACAGTTGTTGCTGTCGTTGTCGGAGGTACTCGACCGCTTCCTTTTGGCGGGCCAGGATCTGCGCCTTGTCTGAGCCGCTGGCCTGACCCTGCTGCTGCTGCTGCTGCTGCTGCTGATCGCTCGAGGCGGCGGCGTTGACGTTGACGCGGCCTCGGCCTCGGCCACTGCCACCATTCGGGTAGGGCCGCGTGTTCCAGGTCGACAACATATCCTGACTTTTGTCGTCCGAGTCGTCGTGATTGATCACTCTTCTCCGTCGACGCGTCGTCACAGTAGGCGCCATGCTCGCCCGCGTTTACACGACTTTGCTAGTAGATGGTTGGGTCCGGAGGGAGGATGAGCAAGCCTGGACCGGAGAGCGTGAGGCACCGGGGCAGGGAGAAAGGCCGCGCCGGCGTTTGTGGACAATGGCGACCCATTAGGTCAAGCTAAGGAGCGAATTCGCTCGGTTTCTAATGTGAGCCCGCGATCGCCCATTTGTCATGTCTCACTTTTTGGGTCGCGCGCCCCCGTACGTCAGTTTTTACTAAAAGTCACTCGGCGTGTGTTCCATACCGATCTAGATTCGATACGGTGGGTGGGCTGGGTGTAAATTCACAACCCGTACGGGAGGCTTGTAAGGTTCTTGCCTTACAGAAGGTAGCGAGGACGGTCGTAGATCGAAGGTGGACAATTTGCGCAGAACAAACATACGCGACAGGGCTTAATCTCCTTGGAGCCCTCGGGGTCTACCGCCCGAGATAGGGACGAAACAAAGAAGCCCCAACAACTGACCGGAGGACGTCGAGCTTCGAGGGGGAAGGGACATCGGCGCACGGGCCTCGGCCTGGCTCAAGTGGGAAGCCCTTCAAGTTGGTTCCCGTCTCCGAGTCTCTCTCTCTCTCTCTCTTGGTAGTTGGCTTCTAGCTGAAACCCAGTATAAAATTCCAACATGTACTATCCACGGCTCCGTCTACGACTGTCCTCGCTACCTTCTGTAAGGCAAGAACCTTACAAGGCGGCTCGAGGGCCAATCGGAAAAGTCTACATTTTTCCCTGCAAGAAGTAGAGCACTGCGGACAAAAAAGGGAAGGAAACAAAAGCGCCAGGTACTTTTGGCCAAAACGGACCTCAAAATGTATTCCCGTACCGATTCCAAGTCCGACTATTTCATCGCGTCTATCCGTCAGTCCGAGTTAGGAGCTAGGCTTCGCTTCGACTTTCAATTGCCGACTATTCTGAGGATTTTCTGGGCTACCATATAATTAGCGCTGGTCTTGAGATCTGTTAGATAAAAGTAAAGACGAATATAACCCCACCTCGTCTGCAGTGTCGAAGATCCGAACGGACGCCGTTTTCAAGTGAGCGGAGCACCCAACAAGGTCAATCCGAGTCCTTGATAAGAGGGACATGCTTTACAAGGATCAGACGGCAAGAGTATCGATTCTTGTGCTTCTGGGCAATTGAGGACGAGAAGTGCTTTGGGACTGCGGGGGGACGAAATCGTGACCGATGCGGCGACCACTGAAGATCGCAACATAAGGACTCGGACTCGGAAGGCGCAGATCGGTCCCACTGGGACCTGCCATTCAGCGTGTCATCACTGCCCGCTACCGACGACCTTTGCATCGAAGCTCGCCAGAACAGGAACTGGCACGAGTTGTGCTTAGTGATGCGTATGTCAAATTGTTATGCACTTGACTTTTCCATCATCATCGGCATCGCCATTGATCGGTAACCTATCCCCGGACGCCGGCGCTTCTTCTATGGGCCTCCACGGTACTTTAAACATTCATCGAGTCTCCAAGTATGACTATAGTCATCATTCAGAATGCCTCTACTTTTATTGAAATTCATATAAAAAAACGAAACAATGAATAAGCGCGCAAAGAAACGGGCTTCTGCTGCCCAAGTCTCTCTTGAAGTCAGGCCGTTGCGAGCAGGGTGTTGTAAAACCATCCTGGTCGCCATAACCAGTACACCAAAAGTGAAGGCAACTTCAAGAGATGTAAGCGCTGAATCCTCTTTCAACACAGGGGCCCCCGCACCCCCACCGCGACAGGCATTCCATAGCTACGTGTACCAGGTAAAGGTGCACTGGCTATACCGCGGAATATCGAATTTGGTCTAATATTGGGCAACAAGAAAGTACTATGACAATGTACCATGTGTTCGTCGTTTCTACCTTCCTTCTTATTTCATTTCTTGTTTTGCTTCCTTGGCTTCCTTTCTTCTTCTTTTTCGCGTGGCCGGCGACTCGGTGGCAGCCCAGAGCTCCAGAGTCCGAGCATCACCAGCGATCAATGACGGTTGTTCCACCCGAGCGACAACGATTGAGCTAGAGCAAAGAGAAGCGAGCGAGTGAGAAGCAGAGCAGTCACGATTCGGGACGATACCGGCTTTGTCGAACCCCCATGCGAGTCTCAAACCGTGACCATAAAGGATCACGGATCGGCGCGTGTGCATGGCTCAAAAGAGGTTGATCCAAGCCGATGTAGATGAAAGAAGAAGAGAGAGAAAGAGGTGTGGGAGGTCGTCACTCACTTGCGGGTAGGACACGCGCGCCCCTGAGTGGACGATTCATATTCATGTCGCCGCGGCTTCCGTTCTTCTCCACCTCTGCCGAGGGCAGCCCGGCACGGACCTGCAGCGAAATCGCGGACAGGGGGCCGCGCACCCCACATCGACATCAGCGATCCACACCCATGAAACACCCCATACTTTGTGGGTTCAGCTCGTTCAAGTCTCAAGACGCAATATCATCTCTGAAGATCACCCCAAAGTTGAGATCGCCGCGATCGATGGAGTGGTAGCCGCTCCAGCAGCTTTATTCGGACTGGGCAGATCTCGCTTCCACCTCAATCGAAATCTGGAAATGGAGAGCAAATCCGGTGCGCTTCAAGACAATGAGCCAACAGGTGTTTTTATACTCGGAGGTTAATCTGCTGCTGTCCAAACGAGGACGCCACCACAACGCCCAACTCTGCTTTCCGCGCGCTTCCGCCTTTCCCGCGCAGTAGGTACCGCCCTCCTCGCTTCGCGCTGTTACCCTTTCCCTTCTCGTCTCTGGCGCTGTGGCCTGGACTCGAAAACATTCGCTCTGGCCTCTCAGGTCCCAATTAGTACCATTATTTCATTTGGGCATCAAGCACCACCTACTTAATCCTCAGGATGTCCCCGCGTTTCCACCGCCTCTTCTGATCAAGCTCCCCAGCTTTGTAGCTCGCTTCTCTCTGTGCTTTCTGGACCTTCAATATCGTTAAAGGTCACATCCTTTCTCTTGTAATTCGTCCTAGTCTCTCTCGAGATGGCCTTTGAGCATCCCTCGACTCGTCCCTCGTCCCTTGCCCCTCATCTCGAACCCCTTCGTCCGGCTCACCCCTCCTATCTTTGACCTTCGTGATAAGAAGATTCGACTTGCAGACCATACCCTACATTCGTACCTTAGTGCATAACTCTACGGCAACCTCACTCTCTTCACCAGGGAACCGGCGAAAATTTCTTTCATGATCTCTCTCCTCCGTAACAGTGCTTACAAGGCTTTCGAGCCCTACATCGACTCGGAGGTCCCCGACGACAAGTTCCCCGCGTTTCTCGAACAAGCTCAACTCTACCTCGGCGGCCCCGATCGCGACCACACCATCACGAACAGGCTGCGTGCTCCGACCCGAACCGGCACCGCGGCAGCCTATGCGAGTACATCTTTCCAGCTCTGTTTTATAAAACGATCCCGCTTTGCAGGCCCAGTGATATCACGCCGCCCTCAAGACCGAAGCTCGCACTGGCATGCTCAGCCTGTATCATGACGACCCCACCTGGGTGGCCGACCTCTCCGCCAGAGCTATCAGGACTACTTCCTCCACCAAAGTCCTCAGGAAGCCGAGGCTACCCTCAAGCCTCGCTCACAACACTCTCAGCAACATGGCAATTTGACCGTCTAGTACCACGACCGTCACGACCCGGGCCTCACTTCCGTGTGCGTCGTCACCACTACGCTCCTCTCCCCCTCCAAGAACGTGAACAACGCCTCAAGAACAACCTCTGCCTTAGGGCGATGGAGGTGGCCACCAGCTGAGCTTTTGCCCGGCCGCAAGAAGTAGGAGGGACTCGTGCCGGCAATGCCACTTACTTCATCACAGATGCCGCTGCGACCTCTAGCACCTCTAGCACCTCGAGAAACGAGAGCGTCCTCTCATGCCGCACGGGGACATCACACACGCGCACGGCATCAGTGGGTCTCCTTCACCGTTCAAGATCACTCTGGTATCCAAACTCGACACACAATCCTTCCATCATTTCGAAGTTCTGCCCCTCGACTTTTGCAGGGAGCCTTCAGTCTCAGGCGCGACTTCGGGTGCGACTCGTTATTCTATTCATCCATGACTCTTTCGTGTCTAGTCATGGCCTCGTCCACCGCCCTCACTCGCGCCCGATCCCAGTCTTTGTCATCGATGGCCGCCACGTCGTCCACGTCACCCACTTTCTATGCCTCACGATCATGTTCGGAGGACACTCGAGAGTCATACAGGCCGATATCACGCAGTTGGGTATCTACCCTCTGGTGCTCGGCACCCTATGCGCAGGTCGCTTCAACTCTTCTACCAGGTGTGCAGACAGTACCTTACTTTCTCATCCTCGCAATACACCCTTGGATCCAACCCCAGTTGATGTCAGGGCCTCCCACTCGTACACTCGGCGGCCGGCCTCGCTCTGGACGTCCCCGTCGTTTCCTCCCACGCCTTCGACTCCGACGCCTTCGATCAAATGCTAGCTGATGTGCCCTACTTTTGGCCGGTTCAATCGCGATCCAATGCACTCGCACTTGTTCTCGACCTCAGAGGAGCCTCTCCGTCAGTGGTTCATGTGGGTCCACCCAACTCCGCCGAATACCTCGATGACTTGCGAACTGCGCTTCCTTCGCAGTACCCTTGCCCTGTACAGGCCTTCCCCAAGGCGCACGTCAACACTTTCTCGCCTCATCGACCCTTCAATATCGCCATCGAGATAGAAGATGGCAAGCGATACCCTTTCGGCCCTCTCTACCCTCTGACCGATAAGAAGCTTCAAGCACTCTCGACTTCAATCGACGAAAATCTCGCCAAGGGGTTCATCCGGCCGTCGACTTCACCGGCTGGCGCTCCTGCTCTTTACGTTCGCAAGAAGGACGGATCGCTCCCACTTTGCGTCGATTACAGCGGACTCAACTTCGTCAGCCTCAAGGTTTGAGGCCCTGCCTTTCATTCCGGAAGCGCTCGACCGACTTCGCTCCGACAAATTATTCACCAAGCTCGACGGTCGCTCAGGCTACAACCTCGTTCGAGCGGAAGACCGCGTTTCGCACACGTTACGATCACTCAAATGCCTCGTAATGACATCCAATCCGACTGACGCAAGGATTTTAAGCTATCTTGGGGGATTGAGTTTTTCAAGCTGCTCGACATTCGACCAAACCTTTCTAACACGTTCCACCCCGAGTCAGATTGCCAAACGGAACGAACGAACCAAATTTATCGAGCGCTGCCTACGCCAGCGATTAACGTCAAGGCGATGGGAATGGTTTGCCCCCCCTAGCAAAGTTCTCCTACAGCAACCCTTTTAAATTGATCATACGCATGACTACTTTCTTCACCTCTCGTGGTCGTCACTCAAGGCGTGGAGTCTCCTGTTCCCGACGCTCGACAACATCTTGCTGGCCTTCACAACGCCCAACAACTTGCCCAAGATCAGATTCGTCGTTCTCGGTAGTCTCTTGTTCGCTATGTCCACTTGCCGACGTGCTCGCACGCCTCCTCTTGTGCTCCGCCAACAAGTCATGCTCAACCGACGCAACATCCGCACCACGAGTCGGCCTTCCTCGAAGCTCGACTCCAATAAGCTCGGACCTTCTGGACAGCAAGCGCATCATCAATCCCGTGGCCTACGAATTGGATCTTCCTTCGACGATGCGCATCCATCCGGTCTTCCATGTCTCTCTTCTCGAACCTTATCGGCCTAACACTCTACCGTCTCGCCAGCAGCCTGTGCCGCCGCCATCGATTTCAACGACGGCCAGGAGGCCTTCGTCGTCGAAAGGATTCTTGACTCTCGCGTTCGCAATGGCTCGCTTCAATACTTCGCCGATTAGACCGGCTATGGGCCTCCTGATCGCCGACTTCGATGATGATGATTCTCTCGTCCTCGACTTTCATCACTCGAGACCTCCCGAATCTGGCGCCAACTGTATTCAACACCCGGCACTCGACGCTAACCCGGGGTTTACCGTCACGGATGGGAATTCTGCAACTCCCAACTTTGATCTCCGCGCTCCTCCGCAGTCCTCCGTATTCCTCCGCGTTCCCGCCAAATCTACCCCGCCCTCTCGCGTTGCGCTGCGCCCCCTCTGCTTCTTCGCTACGCTCTCGCCTCGGACTCTCGCTCTCGCCTTTCAAAGCTCAGATTAGTACTACTGTTACATTCTGTCATCATGCACCGCATACTTAGTCCTCAAGATGTATCCTTATTTCCACCGCCTCCTCTGATCTAGCACCCCAGTTTCGTAGCTCGCTTCTCTCTGTCCTTTCTGCAGCTCGAATCTTGACAAAGGCCGCATCCTTGCTCTCGTAACTAGGTCTTGTCTTTCCCGAGAGGTCCTTAAATTATCTCTCGGTTCGTCCCGGGTTTTTCGCCCCTCGTCTCGAACCCCTTCGTCGGGCTCACCCCTCCTATCTTTGCCCTTCGTGATAGCTGCTCAGCGGGCGAGGGCCACAGAAGAGTTGCTCGAGGTACATACTGCTCGTATATGGGCATGCGTGACTGTGCACTTGCGTAGCACGGTCATCTAAACAATTTGCACGGGTGGGCATTGTCATGCACTGTCAAGCACGAGGCTGCGTACGCTGAGAGGCGTCTCGATCCAGGGCGATTCGAATGGTTCGCAGCGAGGCGCCGAGACTGCACGCCGGGGCAAAGGAGTGCATTGCTGTGCATCCACGTGCACGCGTCTGCAGTGGTATTCCTGAGTGTGGATGAGGGTTCTATACGAGTATGGAGTGGATTCGACTTCACGTCAGCCTGTTCTAACGATGTTTGGTTGCCCGGGGAGCCAGAGCCTCATGTGCGCTTCAATCGATTCACGTCCCCCCTCGCACGTTCCTGCCGTGTCTCCTGCAGACATGCTCACTCTGTCGCCGACGCGTCATACTCTCCCGCTGATCACTCTCATCAACGTGGTCCTCGCCCTCTTCCCCACATCAATCGACGCAGTGCACTTGGCGGTGGGCGAAGGAAGACGTCTCGGCATGATCCGCAATCTGGCCTTCATTGGCAACGAGAGTGCATGGGGGCTGCCAGAGTCAATGCTTGCTTGAAGCAAGTGGAACGTGGGTAGCCATCGAATGGGCTCAGACGTGTGTAGTGGATTAGATGTTGCAGCTCAATGATCCCTCACTCGAGTACCACGGCGGGTCCCGCCATCAGTGAGACCGCCCCAAAGTGGCCATTACTCATCCTGAAACGATTTTGGCGCGGCCGAAAACTCCTGCTGACCTTCCCATGCGTGCATGTATGGGCGCGCGTGGGCTGTCCGATGATGAGAGAAAATGCCAGCACCTCGGAAATGCGGAGGCGGTTAAATTCGCCGATGATATTATTTCAACAGGTTTCCAGGGGTGAGACCAGGTGAGCCCCGCGAGTACACGGCAGACCGGGGTTCAGTTTTAAAGTTTTAATCCATATATTCCAGCTAGTCTTGTTTAAAGACAGAATCTAACAAATTGAAGGCGTGAAACATACCCGCCTGGCCTCCTCAGCGATTCGCCATCGGCCGGCTGGGCGACCTCGGCCTGCCAGGCTGAGCGAGAGTGGGATTGACCGGGAGGAGTCAATCGACTCCGGCAGTTAATCGTCGCTCCCGGTGCCGGCACTAGACTCGGAGCCGCGTCGAACCTCTACTTGCGCGTCATTCTAGCCCACCTTGACCTCAGTTCGGCCTTGTACCTGTCACCTCTGCCACGACCATGTTCGGATCCACGTCCAAGCGATTGCAAGGCGTCCCGTTTCGACGTCAGCTGGCCGTGGCTGCTGCTGCCAGGTTCCCCACACGCCACCACGGCCGAGGACGCGGACTTATCGCCATCGGCATGACTGGTGCCAGCCGTTCCGTCTCACGCCGGCCAATGCACACGACCTCGCCCGCGGACGCTCGACTGGTGCAAGGGCACATCTCCATCACACCAGGGGCGACGATGCAACTGCCCCCTACGGTACCCATCCCCGTCGATCCCGGCACTCCGTCGGCAATCCGATCGACGCGTGCCCGCCGCGGTGACGTCAGCGGTGCCCCGGCTCAAGGTCAGATCCCCGACGCCGGCGCCGGCGCGGAGGGCGTCGCGAACCCGAGCGGAGCCAGCAGCAACAGCAGCAGCTCTGGGATTTCCGGGGGCAAGGTTCTCGGTGACAAAGTGTCCGCGACCACCGTCTCCCCACCTCCATTGATGGGCAAGTCGCCGACGCCCGTCTCTCGCAAACTTGACTCGCTCGAACACCAAGGGCAACCGACGCGCGGCGTGGACTTGGGTTCGATCGTCGCGTTGGATCTCTTTCTTCTCCGCACCTTGGGTCAACTCTCTTTCGAAGCCGGCTCGGGAGGGCCGACCTACGCCAGTCTCGACGAACTGATCAGGCAGAGTCGAGAGCGGAGTGGCAAGGTGTTGGATCTGGACCTGCAGTACGAGTCAACGCCTGCGATCGAGCGAAGGGTTTCGACGACGGTTTCTTCAGCGGGGGCCCTCGCCGAGTCCGCTGTAGGTGGTCGTCGACAGGAGCGACAGGAGCGACCGGACGAGTCGGAGTCGACGGCCCAAACGCAGAGTGGGATCGTGACCGTCGCGCACGTGATGGGGGGCAAGCAGCCAAGGGTTTCGGTCTGTTCGGGCTTTGCGATCGGTAACTCGGAAACAATCGTCACGTGTGCTCATACATTGGAATCGGTGGGTATTTTCCGTTTGATCTATAGACGAGCGTGACTGACGGCTTGGGCCTTTTTCCACCGCAGATTTCGCGCAACCTCGACCCTTCGGCACCATCCGTCTCGCTTGTCCTCACGTCCTCGGGCCACGTTTTCCCCGTCCTCTCCCTCCTTTCATCTCTCCCCGCCTCGGACCTCGTCCTTCTCTCGATCCCCTCTACAGCCCTGCGCAACCCGTCGTACCGACTCCCACCCAAGCCAACGGACAGCTTCCCGCGTCTTCGATCGCTCCCCGTTTCTCCTTACCCTGCCACGGTCGGGACCCGGATCGCGAGTCTGGAGTATTCGAGTCCCTTGATGGGGGAAGGGAAGCGACAGGTCTTTGGATGGAAGCATGGTTTGGTCGTCGAGTATCGCGATTCAATGGGCCGCACGGCCGAGGTCAGTTCCAGTTGGTGAAGGGGATATTCTAGTCGTGCTGCGTCACCATTGACTCGGTGGTCCCTCTCTTCACCCAGACGGGCACCTACGACGAGCTCTCTTTTCTCCGCTTCTCGAGCCTCCCCAACCCCGGAAGCTCTGGGGGACCCATCGTCGACATTGAAACGGGTGCCGTCGTTGGCGTGGTTAGAGGAAGCACGAAGGCCTACGGGGATCGTGAAGAACGAGGGTGGGGGACACCCGCGGAGAAAGTCTTTGAGGTGGGTTGCTCAAGAGCCCCGTGGAGGAACCACGAGATGCTGATGCATCGTTTTGAAACCCGTTGATTCTCTCGCAGTGGTTCAAGTTGCCGGGTTTCAAGTCGAAGAAGGATACGAGGACCGTTGCTGCTACAGAAGGAGAGTCCAGGATTCAGGAGGGGAAGAAGCTTTCGAAATAGCTGCTGGGTTTAAAGGTACGGATGCATGGCTTTGGAAGATCTCGTTTCGGATGTACATACATGCATGATTGTAGGTCTCGTCGTCGTTTAGTCTACAAGCACTTTTGCTCTCTTCCTTTCTTCAGGATTAGTTCCTCACACTCGTGGTATCCCATCGAGAGTGATGCCCCTTCGGGGATGCAGTGGGCTTGTAATCTTCCCCTTGTCCGAGCATTTGCACGAAACAGCCAACGGCGGGGCAGATGGGTTTTTAGGCAGGCCGATTAGAGCTAGCCTGTTGTACATGAGCTGTGGCGGGTATACCTAGGCTTGCGGATGTCGACTATCGCCAGAAAATCGTCCGAGATCTGCCGCCGTCAAGCCATCAATCGCGGCGTTCTGGTTCCACTCTGCCGGGACGGTGCGACGGAGGCGCCGTATGCAAGGTGCGGGCACCACCAATTGGCCAGAATCTGAGCAGAGTGGGGTCAAGTTTACGCTTCGATTCAGATCATGCCTTTCCCAGAGTTCAGTGGGCCTCGACGGACGATCAACACACCTCGGGGTGTCAAGCCGGACCTCGTCCGGATCTTGAGCCCCACATGATCGTCTCACGGGTAGGTTTTATCTCGGGTCCCCCATTGGGCAAGGACGGCAGTGTCTGCATTGCGTATTCATACGCAGGTTGACTAGGCGTCCATAGAACTAATGTGAAGAAAAGGTCACCGGGGCCCCTGAAGTAGTTTTTTAAATCACAACCTTGCACCATCGCGAGTGCGTAGGTCACGCACTGCCGGCCCGCCTCGATTTCCGGTGTCGGCATAAATTAGTCCGAGAACATCATTCCTGGCGCCAAGTAGTTCGCGGCACGCCAATGACGCCACCGTGAGGGGAGAAATATCATTTAATTCGTTACATCACAGTAGTGGGAGCGAGCGACGCCTTCAGACGGATCAAATTGTTTGGAATTGAAGCGGATACATCCTCCGCCGCGATACCCACAACTCCGGCTCCAGGGCTACGCATTAGATCAGATAGATGCCTATCTATATCTACACCTCCTATAACTATCTTTCATCTATCTATATGGCCATAGATCATAGATAGATAGATACGCTTGGACGTATCTACGCAGATATCTAAAGCATCTGCCAGGGATACACATTGAGGAGACAGGTTGTCCATGGTCAGAGGGGATCAGGTATATTCAAGAAGCATATCCGCTTAAGTTTCCAAGATCTTATCAAGTCATTGGCTTGGCTCCGAACGGTGGCGGTGAGACAGAGGCCGCCCTCCCGGCTGCCCGTTGTGCCACGGCCCACAACGTCACTGGAGAATCCTCGCGATCGACCTCGCTCTCGCAATGTTCGCCGATTGAGGAGCTGGAACTCTCAGACACGGACGAAGAATCGTCTTGAGCGCTACCCAAGTATGCAACAGAGTAAATCTTCGTTTCTCCCATGTACATAATAAACCCTCAACAACATATTTTCTCTCTGTTTCTCTGTTTCTGCTCCTTCATAGATTTTTCAACCGAGTCCTCTAGCTTTCCCTCATTTGCACTTGCTCTCCATCGTCTGTCAATAGAATACAAGGCACGGCTGCCGTTCTGCCACTTCGTTGAGTTTTTCTTGCGGCAGCTGGAGAGATCTTGTCATGGCTGCAAAGCCCTTTTGTGTCGAGGACAAGGGAACGAGGTCCGCCCTGTCATATCTATACACGCACATCTATGCATGCCTCCACACATCTAGTCATCATCTATCAAGTGGCGTATATCTACGTAGATATCTACTAGATATCTATCTTTCATCTATCTGTTGTGCTGTAGATGACAGATAGATAGATAGCCCGAAAAAAGGCAAAATTATAGATAGATAAAAGATATCTACGCGCATATCTGATCTAATGCGTAGCCCTGCGGCTCACCGAGCAGTTCCGCGCGCTCTCGCAGTCTACGCCAGCGACGCTCCCCCGTTAAAGCACTTTCTACGCTACCAATGCCTCTCAGGGGGTATGCTCCATTGCTCATAATGCTGCTACTTGGTCACCAATCACAAAACAAGGCTCATCGACGTTGGCGGTTGCGCTGCTCAGCCGACGGCCGACGGCCGGTCAAATTCAACCGGCCGAGCGACTGGCGCGCTAGTGCGTTGGACGGGTGCCTCCTGAATTCGAGCTCAACCTCGCATCCGGTCCGGGCTCTTACTCGTACCACACCCTCTCCTCCCGTTCTACGACCGCCCTTCTCGTATACCCGAAGAAGTATTGGATCCACCCACGCCTGTTCGATCTCAGCCACTGATCACGTACTACTCGGTGACCAGTGATGCGCGACTGTGACTTATCCGTGCGCTCTCGCAAGTGCCGAGCTTGGTCATCGATTGGGTATCTCTGCCGGTTCCCGGCTGCTTTGGTCGCATGTGTCCTGCATATCATTGCTGACCTACTAATTCGCTGGCTTCTTTCGCGTCGCACGACCCAGTTCTAGCCCTCTGCTCTCGGCTCACTCCTGGAAGGGCTGCTGTCAGCCGTCGGGTGCCAGGGGCCCCTGGCTCGAGGTCTCCATATGGCTCCAGTCTACCTCCTTTCGCTGTTTCGCGTCCGGTCCGGTCCCGCGCAATATAGACTCGATGGATTGTACCGTACACTCTGATGTGAGTTATGCACCGTCGCTGTAACATGCCGTGTAGGGAACTGCGAAACTCATGCTGGCTCTCGTCGAAACTCTCCGCGACGTTGCACCCGTTAATCTCCTCGTGACGGAGTGTGCCCCCCCAAGCGACCGTGATAGGGTTCACCGCCTCCAGCTCGCCAGTGGCACCGGATACGATCCCCAATTCGCCTATCACATTGAAATGGTGCGCTATCCACTGTGAACCTCATCACATGAAACGGTGAGCTTCCCACCGGACATGTTGGAAAATCACTTTCCGCCGCAGCCAAGGCTTCAGTGTGGTAGCCGACGGGACTTTTGATCGTCGCTGAGCGAACAGCATTCACTCGATCGCTTCTGTACCTGACCTTTGCAGATCGATTCTACAAGAGTCCGGAACAAGCCCGCCTCACCCTGAGTCAACACACCGCGACCACTGATCGTGCCAGCGGCGAGGTCATTCTGACCCTTCTTCTTGTAGATGCGGCACTGCGTGGGCCAGGCAAAACATAATCGAAGGAGCAACGGTGGATTCAAACCAACCCCAAGGAACAAGAGAGTTGTAGGAGGTGCTTGTTCCGAATGCGACAATTAACTTTCAAACCACGTACTATCTGACCTACGCAGTGCCCCATCCGCAATGTCAAACGCTAGAAGCGGCCGCGACACATGTCCGCACATGTGCGGACACTTGATTATAGGTCAATACATGACGATATCGTATCTTTTCAATGTCGTAGGACAAATAAATAAGTATTCCTAGGTTGATCCTGCAAGAAGAACATGATACGATATGTGCTGCAAGACTTATGATGATTTCAAATTATCATGTGCGGACATGTGTCGGTCAAGTGTCCGCACATGGCGGTCTGCGATCCGCACTTGGCCCAGCAAAGTGAGCTCCGCCTCTCGGTAAATGAACGCGTCAAGTCGCGTCTTGACCACTTAATTGTTCGACGCGTATCAGTCAGGACCGCGCCGCCGCACGTTTCAGACCCGACTTACTGTAGCAGTTGTTTGGCGTGGCAGTCGTCTCGCTATCTTCCACGAGGAGTCGGACTTCGAAAGCTTCAGCGCGGCCAAGTCGGATCAAATTCTCAGGTCAATGGAGTTGCGAAGTCGCCGAATTGCGGTTGACGGCCGGCCCCAGACACGTTCAGCAACTCGCAACACGCCGAAGACACCGTACGCCAAGCCAGCACGCACGCAACCGAGCTTCGAGCATCACCCGACTTTGAAACCCATATCAGAAGCCTCCATCGAACTTGACGAGCCGCTCGCGGGTCGGCTAGCTGCGGATCATGACAACACATCTGCTGCTGAGGCTGGCGACCATCTCGCGGCCATGTCGACCGGCGCGGTGCCGGCCACACCTTCATCGTCTACCTTCGCAATGCAAGGAAAACACCACCTGCCACACAGTATCAAATTTGATCTAAGCCGTAGTGTGAGCAAGAGCGAAGCCGGCCAAGACGGTGGCCACGATCATTACGACGATGCGGTTACTATTTCCAGTCCGATCCTCAACAACGCGTTCCCATTTGGCGCCTCTACATCTCCTGTTTTGTCTTCAATAACGAACACGCTCGATCAGACGTTGAGATCCAAAGGTATCACTTCCAACACCGATCTGGGTGCACCGCTGCCGCAGAGTACGATGTCGTTATTGCCTTTAACACCGAAACTCTCGCTCCTGAACACTCAATCGGCGGCTCTTCCGCAAGAAGGCGCGTCTCGGACTTTGGCATCCCTCAGTACCACTCGTGACTTTCCTGAATCGATTGCGCTGAGAATTGATGGTACGTCTTCAAATTTCCGACCCAACATCTGTACATTACTCTGAACATCGCTGATATCATGGTGTGGCGGGCTCCACTTGCTCAGTTTCGACCGTCGATGCACGATCTCCCTCCGGCCACTTAGTGGCGGGCACGGCGGTGCGAATGACGCCCTCTGTCCCCATCAACTTCACAGCAGGAGCATGTCGTTTTGTTTATCTTCAGCATGTGCTCGACGAGGTTGCTGACGAGCTCGGAATTGCTCTGCAAGGTATGCAAGACAATCATAGAGTGATTCACCTAACGACTTGCCTGCAGATCGCTGACGAACTCCTTCCAATGCAAATCTTCAAACGACTCCTGCTTTGATTAGACGATTCGGACGACGATTTATTTGCTCTTCAATTGACGCAATCAAGGCAGCGGAGCTCATCCGGTCATGTCGAATCGTGCAGCACGACGGGGCGCCCGGCTGACCGCTCCACAAAACCGAAGGAAGCTTCCATTTCCAAATCGCGTGCCAAATCTTCGGGCCGCCCATCGAGCGGCGCGGCGCGATCAATACGACCGAATCCTCTTTCAGTGAGGGCGCTCAACGAGTGGACGGAAGAGAAGTCGAGATGTACGTATTTGACTGCTCAAGCGCGGATCTGCCAGGTAAAACCTACCCGACTCAAAGCGGTATCTCTCTTGCCTCACAGTTCTTGCGCTATTGGAAAAGCCCCAATCGTCTGGCAAGAACTACCGTGTACCTCGGAAACGGATGATCGCCGACTTAGGGAAGCCGGAGTCAGAATTAGCGGTGGCACCAGCCTGTGCCAAATTCGGCATTCGCGCAACCCAAAGCTGCCGACTCCAAGTCCTTATCCACATCTCACGCAAGCTTGGGATTATCTCCGCCGAAGGCAGTGTCGAGCTCGACGCCGCTCGAACTCCAAAGCAGCACGATTGCCACACTCCACGAAGACTTTTGGCTTCGATCTGAGCAGCAATGCAGCAAACGGACTGGCATTGTCCAAGGTCCATGGCACAACCATTCCTGCTGGCTTGATTCGGCCTTGGTTGGCTTGCTCTCGGTCGCTACCGGGCTGAAAGAGTGGCTAATGCACATGGACTGCCTCTTTATCACCAACCCCTCCATGTGTGCCAAGCTGGAAATGGAGGAGACATTCGCACTTCAAGGTCGGACACTGGCCTTCGAGATCTGGAGCCTCATTCGCGAATACACGCAGCTAGCCTACGACTATGATTCGAAACCCGTAAAGGATGCATCCGATGCGTACTTCGAGCTGCGCGAGCGGATTATCAGCTTGGTGATCGTCTTATCAAATGAACGTAAGAGTGATTATAAAACTCCGCTCAAGCGAGGGGAATACAGCAACCCATGGGTCAGTCGATCAAGATTCTTTTGCTTACCCTAAATCCACATTGGGCTGATCGCTCTTGTCGTCCGCAGAGCTGGCTCGTGTCGCTTTACACCTTTACGGTCGACCACATACCAATACCAATACCGCGGGATCACTTGCCAACCTCGTCGGCCCGAGTTTAGATCGAAACCCACTTTCAGCGAGCCGGTTATTGCTCGGCTTGTCAGTGCGTACAAATTGAGATCTTGGCAAGACGACACTTCATCGTCGACTGGCCCGTCCTACTATCGAGCCTAAACCTTAGCGAGCCAACTCTGTCGGAGGTATTTGGCTCACTTGTTGGGCAACCAGCAATGGCGGACGTAGAGAAACAAAATACTGGGCGTCGTTATCACAAGAGCGATTGCATCGGACGCTCTTATACGCAGATCATTTCGATCACCTCGCTTCCTCGTGTGCTTGTATTCAACATCAACAACCAGTATCCTCGCCACGAGCAACGCCCGCGTGAGCTTCGCTTGGCTGTCTCGGGCCAGATGGAGCTCGTCTGGTCTCTTCGTTCAGAGGTGCGCCACATTCTCAGCGGTGAGCATTTCGCTACGGATGCAATCGTCAGTTACGGGGAAGAGGCGGCTCGCTACCACTTCGACGCAATGCGCGGTCATCTCGCTTATCCAACCGGCAACAGGACCACCAACGGATTAGTGACTATGTTGTTCTACGAGCTAGAACAAGAATCACATGACTTGCTACCTTCGTTCAATGCGCTGCTGGACCAGCAATGGCACGAGCTGTGGGGCCTATACTACGACTCCGAGGCTCTCGCCGACCTTCCATCCGAAGTGTCGACAATGCCTCCAGTGGACGGGTCCTTTGATGAGGGAAAAGGGGTTTGGAAGATGCAAGACGCTTCCGTCTTGTTCGAGGGCTTCAAATCGGTGAGTTAGAAAACCTTTGATGTAGCAATGCTAAAAACCACTAAGCGTGATAGGTCTGTCTCAAAATTTGCAGCGTTGTGATCTTCTGGGCCAGCTTTGTAGTAGTGGGCGCTCCTGCCAATGATACAACTTTAGAGACATTTTCATGATCCACTTCAACTCTAAAAGTCTAGTTAGCAAAGTCCCTATACAAAGTGAAGTCAACAGAGTAGCAAGTATGTCTCTTCTTTGAACTGCTCGAGATTCTCAGGCGGACTCGGAGTGCGGCCGGATGGGTCCGCACTTTGCTGGGCCAAGTGCGGACCGCAGACCGCCATGTGCGGACACTTGACCGACACATGTCCGCACATGAGGCTGCGGTCCGCACATGATAATTTGAAATCATCATAAGTCTTGCAGCACATATCGTATCATGTTCTTCTTGCAGGATCAACCTAGGAATACTTATATATTTGTCCTACGACATTGAAAAGATACGATATCGTCATGTATTGACCTATTATCAAGTGTCCGCACATGTGCGGACATTTGTACAACCTCCGCTAGAAGCACCGCGCCGTTGGCACAATCGATGGTCGCCGATTCGAAATTTCAGCGTGCACTCCTTGCCCTGGTTAGCGAAGACAGGAATTCCACGCCGGACAATCTGTGTTTCAACTGAATGAGGGGGCCGGACATAGAGGGATTCTCGGACCCTGAATTGAGACCCCAAGGGTTCAGCTAGACTTTAGATGTCAGTGTAATTCAATACAAAGTTGCAACACAGCTCCTTCGCCAACCGACATTTTTTTTTTTTGTAAAAAACGTTCATCATACTGCCCCCAATTCCTGTTCCCCCTGTTTCGGCCTACGGAAAAACTAGATGGAAGACTACGATGATAACACAAACCGCCCGCAAAAGTGCGAGAAACGAGCCAAGTCCACCAATCCGAGATTCGGATTCAAATGCCCTAGCCAAGCGGTTGCTCCCCCCAGGAGACGAATGAGAGAGAGAAAGAGAGATGAAGAGAAAGAGAAAGAGAAAGAGAAAGAAAAGAAATGTACTAACGACAGAAGGCCCACCCCACAGCCACTTCCCACTCGGTCGAGACGAAGACAAGAGCACAACTGCGCAACCACCACGACCCTCGACGCTCCAAGTCTCTGCTCAGTCACAACAAGACGCGGTGAAGGTCCCTCAAAACCTACCCCTCGGCAGTCCCTGGCCCCTCAAAGCCGACTTTCTGCCTGTGTCCGCTGATCCCTCCCTTGACTCAGAACCCCGAAGCCGAAGAGCGCGAGCCACACCGAGTCGACGCCAAATCGCGAGATGGTCCATGATCCGCAACGGTGAACCTGTAACAAAAGAAAGAGGAAAGCGAGCTATTTAGTGTACAGTAGGAGAAAATGATGTCACGAGAATTTGGTGTGTGTGTGTGTGGTGGTGGGGGGAAAGTCGAACCCAGCCTCTACTGCCCTCTCCTCCCCCAAGCTCCTCCCGCCCTCAGCTTCAACCTCTCCTCCAAGATGATCCTCCTCCTCCCAACACCCTCCAGCCTCGTCCCCCACTTCTGCGTCCCCCACCTCCCGCTGCTGATCATCTCCAAGACCAGCCCGGTGAATATTTCGATCGTCCTCCCCGCTCCTTCCTGATCGCGCAGACTGGCCTTGAGCTTCGGAAGTCCGAACATGCGTTGAACGGCCGTGTAATGCGTGTTGTCGATCGTGTCGAGCCCCAGTGCGTCGCAGAGCACGCCCCTTGCCGCGATCCAAACGTTCCTAGAGTCAACGCAGTCGAAGAAGTAGTGCTCCCGATCGTCCTTGGGCGCTCCACAGACGAGGCACGCGGGCGAGTCGTCGTGCTTTTGATGAAACTGCAGACTCCGAGTCGGGGTGAAGTTCCTGACGAGCTTGAACCACACCTCGCGTTCCCTCGCCGTCAATGCCTTCGAGTTGAACCCCTTCCAGAATCCCTTGAGATCGTCGGGCTGCAGCGAGTCCCTGAAACCGATCGTGTCGGTGAAGGCCTTTGCATTCAAGACTCGGCGGACGCGACGGATGGTGTATGGCCGATCCATGCTGAGCAAGTTGTATTGTGTTGATTGGTCTGGGAGAGCCGGTCTCGGAAAGCGCTGCGGCGGGTCGATCGGATGGGGCAGGATCGACTCGAGCGGCGTGGTGGGGCGGACTCGGGGAGGCCCGTTGATTCGTACTGCCGCCACCGGTTGAGCTATTGGTGTGAACCTCAATCGATTGATCGCATGTCGGTACCATGCCACGATGTGCTCTCGTTGTGGGCGGCCCCGTTGATCGTATTCGCTGTTGCTGACGACCACATCCGTCGGCGGCGTCCAGAGATGAAAGCCCCCGCCCGGGTACAGCTCGCGTCGAAACAGGTCCGCTACCTTGGCGTAAATGGCAAACGCAGCATAGTCGGCGTCGTAGGGTGGTCGCGACACAGCTGGTGCTCCCGGTAGGTAGTGAAGGGTGTGCAACTTGATCGGAAGAGCGAGAAGGTTCGCGAGCGTCAACGTCCTCGGCTTGACTTGCGCATTGTGCGTCGATGGTACCTTCAGCACGGCCTGCCATCTTGGGTGTAGATCGGTTCGGATCGGAGTGTAGTCGCAAGGCCACGCATCGGTTGCCAAGTCAAAGTCGGGGGCGGGATGGGCTCGTACAATCGCCGCGCGCGCAAGTCCCTGCCAGATCGCATCCGAACCGCCAAGAAGCACGTCCCAGACGCGTGCCGCAACCGAGTCGACGACGTCCTGCATCCGCATGACCCCAAGACCCCCCTTGAACCTCGGTGTGAAGACGACGTCCTTGCCATAGCACGACCTCCTCTTGCCGCCGCGGACAAAGTCGGCGAGAATGCGATCAAGCTCCTTGACGACCTCGAGCGGTGGGATGTCGGCGGAGAGGATGTGCAGAATCTTGGGAATGGCGTATCGGTTGACGTAGAACGCTCGGGTGTGGTGTGTGAGCCCTCGGTCCCGTGCCGAATCGAGCACCGCTTCGAGCCGTGCGACGAGATTCACGTTGGCGAGTTCGGTGTTGCCGGTGGGGTCGAAAGATAGGCCGATCCACTCGAGCGACTCGCCCTCGGCCTTGACGACGAGCGGACGATCGCCAGCCTCCCAGCGACACCCGATGGGTAGTACGACGGTCTTGTCGGTGTTGAGCCGGCCATTGGTTGCGAGCCTCCAGTCGAGCGCCAGGTCGTCGAGCAAGTTGAGTGACTCCGAGCCCGCGACGGCGACGACGACGTCATCGGCAAACGCAAGGGATGTAATGGCGCGGCTCTGTGGGTAGGGGTGAATGGTAGGAAGCGAGAGGTTCAGCGCGATGCCTCGACGGTGCAGAGCATCCAGGAACGGCTGGAACACGACATCCCAGACCGACGACGACGCCGGGTCCCCTTGGCCGAGCCCACACGTCAGCCGCACCGGCGGAGTCAAGAAGCCGTTGATGATATATCGCGCCGTGGTTGAGTCACCCGAGTAGAGCATCCTCAGAACGCGTTGGAAGGCGGCAGGAGCGCCGAGAGCGTCGAAGATGGCGAAGATCCATTCGTGCTCGACGAGGTCGTAAGCCGACGATTGGTCAAGAGACAAGAGCGCCGCGTCAGGGAACTCGGTGCCGCGCGCGCCCAGCTCCTCGATCAAGAGTCGCAGGTGGAATGACGCGTCCGCCGATCGGCGGCCCTTGACGAAGCCGTGCTGTTGCGGTGGGAGCAGGTCCGGCAGCACGTGGTTGAGTCGCGCAACGTAGACCTTGGTGAAGAGCTTGTAGTCGCACTCGCGCAAGGTGATGGGCCGGTACGACGAGAGCTCGGCGCGATCGGCCCCGATCTTGTGGTGCTTGAAGAGCAGGCGAGCGAGTCCTTGCCCCTGCTTCGGTGAAAGCGAGCCGCGCTCGGTCATCGCGTTGAAGGCCCTGCTCAGCGCCTTGGCCCACGCCCGCGGCGCTGTGTGATAGAGCTCGTAGGGCACGCCAGATGGACCCGGCGATCGACCGGGGTGTGTTGTTGCGATTGCGGCTACGACCTCGTCCTCGGTGATGGGTTGCTGCAGCAGCTCGATGTGCGCTTCCGAGAGTCGTCGCAGAAAGAGCGGGTCCGAGCTCGGGTCGTCGCAAGTGCGCGCCGACCTGATCGGCGCCAAGAAATCGTCCCTAAGTCGCTCGACGTGGTCCCGATCGCGCGGCTCGAGATCGTAGAGGCGCTGAAAGTGCGCCTGTGTGTGGTCAAGCGCGACGTCAATGTCATGTGTCAGCTCTCCGTTGGGCAATCGCAGTGCTGTGATCTTGGAATCCGAACTCCGTGCCGCGAGCTTGGCGTGGACCGGCCGCGACAGTCGTTCCTCGGTAGCGATTTCGGGTACGTGGGCTCGGATCCGAAGTTGGCGCGCGCGCTCGTTGACCGCTCGCCTAAGTTCCTCCGTCGTCCGCGTCCATTCGGCCGTCTCCTCGTCCCCCATCACCGGCAACGCCTCCAGATCCTGCACCCTTCCCACCAAGACCGCCATCCGCTCCACCCGCTCCCGATGCTCCCTCCTCGCCAGCTCCCGACCCTCCTTCGCGCAGTTCCCCAGCACCACCTCGAGCTCCCCCACCGGTTCCTCCCCACTCGCTCCTTCCAACCATCCTTCCAACATCCCCTGGAACTCCGCCGTCTTGAAGGTCGCCGCGTTGATACGATGTAATTGGTTTGATGTCGTTGGTAAACTGTTGTTGGGTTGAGCCGCGTCTCCTCGCTCGTCCGAGAGAACTAGGACGATCGAGACCGGTCGGTGATCCGAAAGGTCCTTGGGGTGGTCGTAGATCGTCGAGGCTTGGACGAGTCGCTTTTGGTGGGTGCGCTGCAGAAGGAAGTAGTCAAGTCGTGAAAAGGACTTTGGTCGCTTGCGGACGATGTTGGGTCGAGTGAAAGATGGTGTGAGCGGGTGTTTGAATCGTATGCAGTCGGTGTAGGGCGAGTCGAGCTTGCCGATCAGGATCGGCCAGTGATGGCCGTGCCGACCTTGGTTCCGCCGATCGATCGCCGGCAGCGGGCAGTCGTTGAGATCGCCGCCGAGGAGTCGAAGGTGGGTGCTCTGCGTCCTGTGGAAATGTAGTTTGTCAAAGAATGTGAGTCGTTGTTTTGTATCGACTGGTGCGTAAATGTTGTTGATCTCGAGTATCCGGATGTCGCCTCGAAGTCGAAAGGAGGTGACCAGGATTCGTCCGTCGAGTGCCGAGTGGGTGCGCAAAATCTCGGCGTCGATCAGGGGCGAGTCGGCGGGGATCAGAGTCAGACAGTGTTTGCTGATGAAGACCTTGCCCTCGTACTCGTCCTTGATACATTGCCAGAGTTCCGGTTTGATGAAGTGTTCTTGTAGTAGAATGGCGGATGCTTTGAATGTTGATAAATAGGTGTAAATGTTGCGTCGCTTTTCCGGGATCCCCATGCACCTCCTCACGTTCCAGCTGGTGATGGTGTGCTTGATCATTATTGGGTAGACGATGTAGACGTGCTCTTGGCGGTAGTGTCGTCCTCAAAGAGTGGGAATTCGGGGAGAATGTCATCCTCGGGCTCGTGGTCGGACCAGCGCTTCTCCTCCTCCACCCCTTTACCCTTCTCCGCTTTCGCCTTGGCCCCCTCGACCTGCATCGCCGCCGCCGCCGACATCGACCTCGTCACCCTCTTCCCCTGACCCGCTACCTCCTTTCCTGCTCGACCTTTAACCCTGTTCAGAACGCGCTTGATATCGACCGGGTCGTCGCTCGGATCGCTGAGATCGGCCACCGTTTGCGACCTCTTCATCTTCTTGTTCGACCCGGAGCCGGTGCCACGAATGTTGATGAATCGCAGTTGTCCATCTTCCTGACCCCACTCTGCAAATTGGTGGCGAACGAGCGGTTCCTCCGCGTCGAGTTGGGCGTTGATGATCGCCTCCTTTTCTGCTTGGACACGTGCAGCAGCTTCGGCGTTAGCTCGGTCCCACTCCGCACCCTCGCGCAGCGACTTTGCCAACGTCTCAGGAGATAGTGGAGGCCACGAGGGACTCCGAGGAGTCGACTCGCGGGAAACCGTGGTGATCGTCGTTTGGTCGTCGTCGATGATCATGATGCTGTCGTCCTGTACCCCCTGTTCCTGCTCGACCTCTTCTTCCACCTCCGTCTCCGTCCCTTCGTCCTCCTCCTCTGCTCCATCTTTCATCACGTCATCCCCATCGTTTCCTTCGTCCTCCCTTTGTTCGCTTCCCTCCGAGCTGTCGTCCTGTTCGTCCTTGTCGTCGTCCTTGTCGTCGCCTCCCGCCTTGTCGATGCCCGCTCCGGCGTTCCCATCCGAGTCCGAATCCTCGTCGTCCGCCTTGGCGCCCGTATCCTCGTCTCCTTCTTCGACCTGCTCCTTTTCCTCGCCCTCCTTTCCTGCATCCTCCTCCTCGACGTCATCCTCCTGTCCTCCTTCGACCTCGAGCCCCGCAAATCGGTTCCGCGATTCGAGTTGGTCGGTTCCGAGGGCGCGGCTAGGGGCCACAACCTCGGAAGCGTCGTTGTCGGTGTTGTTGGTGTTGGTGGTGTCGTTGTTGTTGTTGTTGGTGTTGGTTGGGTTGTTGTGGTACTTGTTGTGCCTTCCGGTGTTGTTGTTCGCTTCCTTCTGCCTCCTCTCCTGTTCCAGCGCGCAGGTCTCCACATGCCCCACAAAGTGGCACCGAGCACAGGCCGCTTCTCGTTCGTAGTCGTGACGAACCGCCGTATGCATGTTGCCTCTAGTGGCTAGAGAGACCTTCGACGGTAGGAGCTCCTTCAGCGTGTTGTTAGGGGCTTTGAAAAGGGCGTCGTCGTCGAAGCGGATAAAGGCCGAAAACTCGCCGGCCAAGTGCGCATAGGCCGAGTCGTTATCGACGTGGATCACGCGCAAGACTTGTACCAGCTCGCAACGGTGTCCCTTGGCTGTGATTTTGGTGACAATTGATTTAAAAGAGTCAACAATGGCATCCCTGGATGGGACCGCTGCGACACCGACGTTGATACGCAGCTCGACCATGTTGTGGTAGAAGTGGTGGGCCTTTGCGAAGTGAGCCTTTGCAGAGTGCCAAGTAAGCGCCAGTGGGGCCGTAAGCGCCGAGTCACGTGCCTTCGCCGAAACGAATCCCACGGAGATACGGTGGTTGACCACACCGGCCCTGACGAAAGACGAGTGTTGGATACCCCTAATCTGGGGCGCAAACGCCGCAAGGTGCTCGGGAAGGGTGACCTCGGCGTCGAAGCACAGGGGCGATTGCGGGGAGAGCAGTCTCGTGACGCAACCGAGCAGATCGGCCTTGTCCGCGGGAGAGGCCTTCGAGGCGCCTTGGACGGTCAAAGTGACGTCGAGAGCAAAGTCGAAGATGTTTCGAATGGATCGATTGGCGTTGAGAGCCGAATACTTGAGCGATGTAGCGGTAGCGACAGGGTACTCGTCGGTGGCGAAGGTGGCTTGCAACCACCGGTCGGTGCGATTGCCCGGTACAGCACCCATGACTTCGAACATTTGGGTCAAAGCCTTGGCACGGTGTTGTTGTTGGGTCTGCTGCTCGGGAGTCTGCTTGGTCTTTTGAATCGCGGCGGTGGCGTAGGTCGCGGCGGCGATAGGGACTTGCGTCTCCTTTGTCCCAATCGGGACGCTCGTCGCCGCGGACGCCGATGGTGGGGGTGGGCCGGTCTCGCCGGTCTCCATGCTAATGTAGGCTGATGTATCACTTGTAGCTTCGAAGGTGGTGGGTGGCGCGATTTCGAAAGTGAAGGATTTTTTGATTTTTTTTTTGTAGAAACCGTTCATCATATTGCCCCCAATTCCTGTTCCCCCTGATTGGCCTACGGAAAAACTAGATGGAAGTCGACGATGATAACACAAACCGCCCGCAAGATGCGAGAAACGGGCCAAGTCCACCAATCCGATACTTCGGATTCAAGTGCCCCAGCCAAGCGGTTGCTCCCCCCCAGGAGACGAATGAGAGAGAGAAGAGAAAGAGAGAAAATGAAAAAGAACTGGCGTACTAACGACAAGAGGCCCACCCCGCACCCACTTCCCAACTCGGTCGAGACAAAGACAGGAGAGCGACTGCGCAGCTACCCTGACCCGCGAAGTCCCCAAGTCTATGCTCGGTCACAACAAGACGCGGTGGAGGCCCCTCAAAACCTCCACCTCAGCAGTCCCTGGCCCCTCAAAGCCGACTTTCTGCCTGTGTCTGCTGATCCCTCCCTTGACTCAGAACCCCGAAGCCAAAGAGCGCGAGCCACCGTCGAGTCAATCCCAAATCGCGAGCCGGTCCATGAGCAACGGAGGCAGACCTGTAATAAAAGAAAGAAAGATGAAGAAAATATATTTAGTATACAGTTTTTGTAAGAGGATGTGTGATGTGGGGTGTGTGAGTGTGGGATGGGGTGGGGGGAAATCGAACCCAGCCTCTACTGCCCTCGCCCGCCCCTTGCTCCCCCCGCCCTCAACTTCATCCTCTCCTCCAGTACCACCCTCCTCCGCTCCAGGCTTTCCATCCTCGTCCCGTGCTTCTGCATCCTCCATCTCCCACTGCTGATCATCTCCAAGACCATCCCCGTGAAGATCTCGATCGTCCTGCCTGCGCCTTCCTGTTCGCTGAGCTTGGCCTTGAGCTTGGGGAGGCCAAAGAGTCGTTGAAGCGTCGTGTACTCGGCGTCCTCGATCGTGTCGCATCCGAGCTCGTCGCAGAGCACGCCCCTCGCCGCGGTCCAGACGTTCCGCGAGTCGACGCAGCCGAAGAAGTAGTGATCGGTGTCGTCCACCGGCGCTTCGCACACGAGGCACGCGGGAGAAGTGACATGCTTTTGCTCGTGCTGGAGCTTGCGCGTCGGGGTGAAGCGGAGGATCAGCTTGAACCAAACTTCCCTCTCCCTCGCTGTCAGTGCCTTCGAGTTGACTGCCTTCCAGAAGCTCCTGAGGTCGTCCGGCTGCGGTGGTCCCTTGAGCCCGAGCATGTTGGTAAATGCCTTCGCGTTCAGGACCCGGCGGATGCGACGGACTGTGTAGGGGCGAGCCATGTTCAGCAGCGTATACTGGCTCGCCTGTTGTGGAAGCACCGGGTCCGGAAGGCGCTGCTCCATTGCGAAGCGGGCCACGGGCTTGGGGATGATCGCCTCGAGTGGTGCGCTGGTGCCGATCCGGGGAGGCACGTTGAGTCGTCCCGCCGCCACCGCCGCCGCCAAGGGGGTGTTCTTGTGTCGATCGACAGTGAACCGGTACCAGGCCGCGATTGCCAGTCGCTGCGGGAGCCCGCGTCGATCGTACTCGCTGTTGTCGCCGAGCACATCCGCCGGCGGCGTCCAGAGGTGAAACCCCCCACCCGCATACAACTCGCGCCGATAGAGATCCGCCACCTTCGGGTAGCCCTGGAGACGAAGGTAGTCAGGTACATGAACCGCGTCGATGGTCTGTCTCCCTCTGATGGGGGTGTGGAGGCTGCCGAGCAGGGTGGGCAGCGCGAGCAGGTTCGCGGTGGTCAAGGCCCTCGGGTTGACCTGCACGTCGTGAAGTTTCGGAACGCCCAGTGCGGCGTGCCATCGGGGATGAAGGTCGTTGGGGATGGGAGTGGATGGATGTGGCCAGAGATCGGTGGCCAGGTCGAGGTCGGGCTGAGCTCGCTGGAGTGCTGCGCGCGCAAGTCCTTGCCAAATCGCGCCGGAACCGCCGAGAAGAACGTCCCAGAGCCGTGCCGCAACCGCGTCCACAACGTCCCGCATCCTTATCACCCCGAGTCCCCCCTTGTTCTTGGCGGTGAACACAATGTCTCTGCCGTAGCTGGTCCTGCCCTTGCCCCCACGGACGAAATCGACGAGCATGTCATCGAGCTTCTTGACGACTTCGGGCGGCGGGATGTCGGCTGCAAGGAAATGCAGGATCTTGGGAATGGCGTACCGATTGACGTAAAAGGCACGGGTGTGGTGCGTGAGCCAGCGATGCTGAACCGCTTCCAGCGTCGCCTCGAGCCGTTCGATGAGATTCGCGTAGGCGAGTTCGGTGTCGCCGCTGGGGTCGAAGGGGAGGCCGATCCACTCGAGCGACTCGCCTGCGGCCTTGACGACGATTGGCCGTTCCCCAGGGTCCCAGCGACGTCCAATCGGTAGGACGACCGTCTTGTCCGTGTTGAGCCGGCCATTCGTTGCATGCCTCCAGTCGAGCGCCAGGTCATCGAGCAAGTTGAGTGACTCCAAGCCCGCGACGGCGACGACAACGTCATCGGCAAATGCAAGTGATGTAATGGCGCGGCTCTGTGGGTACGGATGAAGTGCAGGTATGGAGAGATTCAGCGCGATGTTTCGACGGTGTAGAGCATCCAGGAACGGCTGAAACACGATGTCCCAGACCGACGATGACGCCGGGTCCCCTTGGCCGAGCCCACACGTCAGTCGCACCGGCGCCGTCAGGAACCCATTGATGATGTAGCGCGCCGAGGTCGAGTCACCCGAGTAGAGCATCCTCAGCACGCGAAGAAAGGTGGTAGGAACGCCCAGAGCGTCGAAAATGGCAAAGATCCAGTCATGCTCGACGAGGTCGTAGGCGGATGATTGGTCAAGAGACAAGAGCGCGGCCGCGGGGAACTCGGTCCTGCGCGCGCCAAGTTCCTCGATCAGGAGACGAAGGTGTAGTGCAGCGTCGGCCGATCGGCGGTCCTTGACGAAGCCGTGCTGCTGCGGCGGGAGGAGATCGGGCAGAATTTGGTTCAATCGGGCGACGTAGACCTTGGTAAAAATCTTGTAATCGCACTCGCGCAGGGTGATGGGGCGATACGACGAGAGTTCGGCGCGATCGGCATTCTTCTTGTGGCGCTTGAAGATGAGGCGCACGAGTCCCTGGCCCTGCTTGGGAGAGAGTGAACCGCGCTCGATCATCGCGTTGTAGGCCTTGGTCAGCACCTTGGACCACGCCTCCGGTGCGGTCTGATAGAGTTCGTAAGGCACGCCCGACGGGCCCGGCGATCGCCCCGGGTGCGTCGTCCCGATCGCGGCCACGACCTCGTCCTCGGTGATGGGTTGCTGGAGGAGATCAATCTGCGCTTCCGAGAGTCGGCGCAGAAAGAGCGGATCTGAGCGCGGGTCGTCGCAAGTCCGTGCCGCCCTGATCGGCACGAGGAGTTCGTCCCGAAGTCGGTCGACGCGTTCCGGATCACGAGGCTCGATGTGGTAGAGGCGCTGGAAATGCGCCTGCGTGTGGTCAAGAGCGACATCAATGTCATGCGTTAGCTCTCCGTTGCCCAAGCGCAGTGCTGTGATCTTGGAGTCCGAGTTCCGCGCCGCGAGCTTGGCGTGGACCGGCCGCGACAGTCGTTCCTCGGAAGCGATCTCGGGGACGTGGGCTCGGATCCGGAGTAGGCGCGCGCGCTCCTCGACCGCCCGCTTGAGTTCCTCGGACGTCCTTGTCCATTCTGCCGTTTCCGCCTCCCCCCATACCGGTAACGCCTCCAGATCCTGCACCCTCCCCACCAAATACTCCATCCGTTCCGTCCGCTCCCGATGCAGCCTCCTCGCCATCTCCCCACCCCTGTCCCTGCACGCCTCCAGAACCTCCTCAAGCTCTCGCACCGGATCCTCCCCGCTTGCCCCTTCCAACCATCCTTCCATCATCCGCTGAAATTCCACCGTCTTGAAGGTTGTGGTATTGATTCGATGTAGTTGGTTGGATGTGGTAGGTAGGCTGAGCTGTGGGAGAGCCGCATCAAGATCGTCTGAGAGAGCCAGTACGATCAAGACCGGTCGGTGATCGGAAAGATCCTTGGGATAGTCGTAGATCGTCGAGGCCTGGTCGAGCCTTTTTTGGTGAGCTCTTTGTAGGAGAAAGTAGTCAAGCCGGGAGAAGGAGTTGGGTCGCTGTGTGTTTTTTTTTTTTTTTATTACTGGGGCTCATAAATTGCAATCCTTCGGGTTGGCTGGGACCGCTAGAAAAAGAGCTAAAAGAGGTTATAAAGCAACGACGGCAAGCAATTGGGTGAAAGTCAAACCCCTGCGCGCAAAGAGCGCTGCGCAGATCAAAACCCGCCGAGCACCTAACGCGGACTCCAACGGGCGGTGAGTACTGCTGCCGCTTCACGTCCCAAGAGCGGGAGCGAAGATACTCGAAAACCAGGCAAGAGCGCCTAGAGAAAGAAAAGGGGAGAATAAACAAAAATTCACGACTGGAAACACGGAGAACCAGGAATACTAAGACAGAGAGGAGGGGAGGAGGAGGGGAACACACCCGAGGGGCCAAGGGAGGGGGTCGAAGCCAGAGCTAGAGGTCCCCAGGGACTGACAGGCCGCAGCCAAGCCCCAGCTACTCGTCACCCCGACAGCGCCTGATGTCCTCCCTTGGCTGAGTCTCGAGTGCTGGCTGTTGAGCCGTCAGGGCCGAGCGAAAACGATCCAATACAACGAAACGAGCCTCGCCTTGACGCGAGGATATTGACCAAAAAAACGAGCGACCTTTCTTCCCGATCCATGCCGTAGATCTTGACCAACGCGAACGAACGATCTATTCGACGGAATCCAACACACGGCTTAGGAATAAAAGGAGAAGTGGCTGAAGCGTAGTCAACAACCGAGCAACAGGAACGAGATGAGGAAGAGAAGGGAGAAAGGGGGGGAAAGAGAGGGGAGAACTTCACAAAGCCTCCAACGCAACGACGATCGACCCGGCTTGCCGATCCATCCAAGAACGAAAACCGCTACTGCACAAAGTAGAGAGAGGGAGAGGTGCGCAGCCTTCCACTGCGCAACAAGTTTCAAGACAGTCAGCTTCTGAAAGAAAAGTCGACCTCCGAAAAGGAAGGGAGGAAAGGAGGGGAGAGAGAGCAGGGGAGGAAAATGGGAAGGAAGGACTTAACTCGGTCATCACACCTCCCAATCTCGAACCCCAGGCACAAAACCCGCTCGAGAGAGAAAATCTCGCTCGAACGCTCTGAGCGTACTGGGAAGCGAGGGAGGGGCCACGACGTTGTCCAGCTCGAACCGCTGATGAACGCGCCAGCGGAGCAGGTGCAGCCGCTGGAAGCCGATCGCGCAGGCCAGCCGAACCCACATCCATTTCGAGGTCGTTCTCCCACGACCCCGCAAAAGGGGGAGCCCCATAGTCAGCTGCTCCGGAGTGAACGTCGACGGATCGACGTCGGTATCCTCGATGCCGAGCTTGTCAAGCAGAATGCGTAGCACCCCACCCCAGAAGCTGGTCGAGTACGCGCACTCGAAAAAGTAGTGGGACACCGTCTCGATGACCGCTGCATCGTTGCCGCAGAACAGACACGTCGGCGAAGAGGCATGACCCTGAGTATGCTGCCTCTTGCGCGTCGGCGTCACGTCGTACATGAGCCGCCAGTGGGTGTCCTGCTCGACAGCAGACGCGAACCGGTCATGAAGCCATCTCCAGAAGCGCTTCCTATCGCTCTGAGAAGTCCCATCAGGGAAACGCTTGACACGGTCCTCCCTCCCTGGGAACCGCACCTTGTTCACAAGCCGACGAAGCTTGCGAATCGTAAAAGGTCGGGAGAACCCAAAGAAGTTGAAGCACCGAGGACGGGGAGCCTCCTTGAGAGGTATCCGAGCAGGTCGCAACGCGGTCTTGGGCAGCAACGCTTTCGCCTTGAGCAACTGACCCACGCGCGACCACACGTGCTCGTGCTGTAGGGCGGGTTCCTTAGAGTGCTGCCAGAACCCGCGTCGATGACCAACCAGAGCCCATCCCTTCCCTTCGTCCCTCCAGTACAGGTCCGCGATCTGCGCAAACTTCGCCACCGCGTCCGCATCGTCATATGCGTGCTGGGCACCTTCAGCATAGAGTGAAGGGAGGCGAGGCGGAAGCGAGAGCAATTCGGGAAGCGTAAGGAGTTCGGACTTGATGGTTGGAACTGTGACCCTGGCCGCTGCAACGACTGCCCCCCAGCGCGTCGAGTCGCGATACAGCTTCTCGACCCGAGCCGTGCTGCTGAAGAACCCCCACGGACTGAAATCGCGGGTCGCAGCGACGAGGGACCTCCAGCTCTCGCGAGCTAGGGGCGCCCAGATCGCCTCGTCCGAGCCCGCCACAGCATCCCAAAATCGAAGCGCCACCGAATGAACGATGTCGCCAATCGAAATCAAACCCAAGCCACCGTCCTCCCGAGCCTGGAACACGAAATCGCGAGCGACGGTATTTCGCCCTGCTCCTCCCCAGACAAAGTCCGTAAGTGCCGTCTCCGCCGCCTTAATGAACCATTGAGGCGGTATGTCGAAGGACAGCACGTGGAGGACCGTCGAGATGATGTGAGCGTTGGCATAGAAAACCTTCCCACTCGGCGAAAGTGTCCGGTCTCGAGCGGCGCGGGTCTTGGCCTTGATCCTGTCAAGAACATGGGTCCAAAACAGTTTCGAGTCACCGTGGCGAAAGAAGGCATAACCGCACCACTTGAAGCTCTCCCCCTCCTGCACCGTTGGCAGCGCCTGCGCAGTCTCGTCCCGAAGCCAGTTCGGTCCGAGTGGTAGCACCAGCGTCTTGTCCGTGTTGGTCTTCCCGTTGGTAGCCTCGTACCACGTCTGCGACAGCGTTTGCAGCTTCGACAATGCCGCCGGTGACTCCACCACCACCACAGCATCGTCGGCAAACGCCAGATGCGTAAGCTGCGCACGCGGCCCCCCTGGCCACACCTTCTGCAGGTCGAGCGCGATCCCGCGCCGAACGAGGGCGTCGAGGAAGGGCTGGAACGTGATGTTCCAAACCGGGCACGAGAGGGGATCCCCTTGACCGAGACCACACAGCAACCGCACCAAGTCCGTGGGGAACCCATTGACAAGGTAGCGCACCCCCAGAGTCTCGGGATCGTAGAGAGCGCGCAGCAGCGAGATGAAACGCTCACCGAACCCAAAGGCCTCAAAGACCTCGAAGATCCAGGCGTGATCGACCCGATCGTACGCGCTCTGCTGATCCAAAGACAAGAGGGCGCCCTCGGGGAAAACATCAGTGCCTAGCGACTTGAGTTTTTCGAGACCGAAAAAGATCGCTATCCGTATGAGCAACTGAAAACACACTGTACACATCTGGGGGAGATATGGCCGAGCGGTTAAGGCGCCAGCTTAAGGTGATACATTGTGTACCAGATGCTAGTTGATGGTACAGATGTGATTCGCTGGTCCGAAAGGGCGTGGGTTCGAATCCCACTGTCTTCAGAGTTCGTTTTGCGTCTCGGGCGGCCGAGGTGAACTTTTTGCCCCGGCCGTCGTCCTGGTTCAGGCAATATGTCAAGACTACGAGTCAACACTTTTCGTTTACGGTACTGTTGATGCTTTGAACAGGGACACCGCGGACGCTCTGGTTTATGGCAAAGCGAGCAAGTCGCCAGGGGGACTTTGGCCACGCTTCGCCCAAGCGCGATTCCTTGACCCTTTAATATCGTGCGGCGAATATTCCTGTCTCTTCCTCGTCATCAAGATCACAACTCGTTTGATTGGCTTTAGAATGCTAATGTCAAGCCGCTTTTCGTCGCGGTCAATCAAGGGCTGTCAGTCAAAATCCGTATGCAAACAGGGTCGGCGCGCGCGTTCCCTCTGCCCCCCACGGCGCTGGCGCCGGGATGGGCGGTCGAAGCCCGTTGAATCTCGCTGGGAGGCTGTCGCAAATGAGCATATCCGACCCTTTAGTTCTTTCACGTTTGCACACGAGTCACATCTTGAACTGTTCTGATCACTAATCACTGTTCCAGATTGCAATGTGGTAACCCGCCCCTCTACGCGTCCGGTAATGCCCAGCAGTCGCTTGCGCGCGCTTTTGCCCCGCCGCCGCCGTCAGTTGCCGTATTTTAGGACCCGGCAAAGCTCCGCCCCAGGTGTGCCTCCGAAAACCCCGTGTTGAGGGCAATGCCAATTTGTACACCAAAAGTTCCTGTACGATGGTGTGTGTCTTCTCTTCCGGGGTAAGACCACACTATGCAGTTTCATTCAAGAGTTACTCTATCATCAGAAAGCACAAATGGGCCCGAAAAGTGCATATCTCCGAGACGCACATTGGCCCCCGGGCTGAGCTGGCCAGCCCACTCCAGCCCCGGCCTGGCGGCCCCAATGTGGCGTCGCACCAGCGCACCGCACGCTTGTTGCCTCCGCTCGCTCCCGCCCGCACCTGCCTCTCACCCCACCCGCTGCCAGGTGCCCCTCGCGGTTGCATTCACACCTCTTTCCCCCCCAAGGCATCACTTTATCCCACTCCGTCGACCTCGCCCCCACCCTCCACCACCAATGTCGGGCGCCCCTGACGTGTCGAGCCTGTCGCTCATTGAACCCATGAAGCGCAAGGGCTTTGGAACGTGAGTCACCCGCCACCAGCGTGGTGACCGTCACATTGGGTGGATACTGATCCTCGATCTCTGTGCATGCTCTTGCACTTGCACCTCCGCTGCTACTCGTCCTCTGTGCCCTTTGCGCCCCGCCCTCCCTCCCCTTTGTTGCCATCCCCTGTCGCAGCGTGGGTCGCAAGTTCCCTGTGCTCGTCAACACCTTCAAGGTCAAGCCTCCGAGCGCGGTTTGCTATCACTACGACGTGAGTTCTTTCCCACCTCGCCACCCTCTCTGCCTGCGCTGATTCACCTCACCTCTGTTTTCCCGGACCTCTCCCCCCGTCCCCCCCTCCCCTTACCCACTCAACTGCCCCCCTCCCCCGACGTTTCTCGTCGTTTCCTGGTGCCACCTCCTCCTCTCACGCCAGTTCAAGATTGGTCCTGAAGATGGAAAACGCCCTGCGCGATTGAACCGCTCCATCTGGAAGTACTGGATCCAGTCCCAGGACCCCTTCAAGGGCATCGCCTGCGTGTACGATGGCAAGGCCCAGGTCTTTGCGCGTGAGTGCTCGGTTGTGTGCCCCCCCCCCTTCCTATCGTGGGTCACGCGCTTCTCTAGGTTGACTAACTCCTCCCCGACGCGGTCCTACGACTTGTTCCGGTCCCTGTCCAATAGCCAAGAAACTGCCTGCGGACGAGGGGCAATGGAACATCAACCTGCCCGAGTCCGACGGCAGCGAATCCAAGGGCAACCATTTCACGATCAAGGTCCGTCCAGTCCGCCAGGACGTGGCCCCTCCACGACGTCTCTGAACGTCCCCACCCTCCCTCCCTCCCTCCCTACAGATGAAGCTCGTTCGCCCCGTCCACCTCGACGCTCTCAGTGCGTTCGTCACGGGCAAGCAAAAGCAGGTCGACGAGGGCGTCATCGAGTCGTGCATTCAGGCCCGTGAGTACTCGACGCCAGCTCGTTGGCTTGGTGCGCGAACCATTGCGCTCACGCATCGTCGGCAAATGTCGCTTCCCCCCGCACAGTCAACATCGTCATTCAGCACGGACCGATGCTCATGCACCAGAGCCGGGGCGCGTCGTTCTTCTTGCCGTTCGACAACGTCCAGACGGGCAAAATCTCCCGTGGTCTGACGATGTGGCGCGGCTACTACTCGTCGTTGCGCTGTGGACCGGCGAGCAACTTTGTGAGCTCCCCTCGTGGGGTCATGCTTCCCCAGATCGGACCTGTGACCTAAACGCAATTCGGGTCGCGCACAGATCCTGCTCGATTTGGCCTCGCAACCCTTCTACTCCGAAGGCGACTTGCCCCAACTCCTCATCGAATTGTGAGCACCTTGCCCACTTCCACCCCCGCGGGGCCCCAACCGTGCTGACCCGCTGCTGGCCACCCCCCGCCACCCCGTGCAGCGGACGCGCCAAGGACCGCAGCTTTGGCCCCGACAAGCTGGCCAGCAACCGCTTGCCCGGCGCGTTCGCCATCGAGGCGGGCCGCTTCATCCGTGGGCTGCGCATTTCGCTCCGCGTCGGCGGGGGCAAGCCGATGCACCGCAAGATCCGCGAGCTGTCGCGCCAGAGCGCACAGGACAGCAAGTTCCAGACCGACGACGGCAAGACGACGAGTGTCGCCGAATACTTCAAGGCCCACTACGGCATCCGCCTGCAGCACCCCGAGTGGCCGTGCGTCAAGGTCTCGAACGTCGCGCTGTATCCGATCGAGCTCGTGTCCGTGCTCGCCGGCCAAAAGTACAGCCGCAAGCTCGACCCGAACCAGACGGCCGAGTCGCTCAAGCTGACCACGATCGGTCCTCGCGAGCGCGTGCCGTTGCTGCGCCAGGGGATTCAGCGCATCATGCCCTCGAGCGGGACGTCGCCGCTCCAGCAGTGGGGGATGGAGTTTTCGGCCGAGCCGATGCAGGTCCAGGCGCGCCTCTTGCCGAACCCGACGGTGATGATGAAAAAGGCCGTCAATCCCCGGGACGGCGTGTGGGACTTGCGTGGCCAACAGTTCAACCGCCCCTGCGCCCCGATCGAGCGCTGGGCCGTGTTTGTGTTTGACCAGGAGCGCTTCTTTGGTCGTGGCGAGGTGCAAAAGAGCGTGGCGGACTTCGCGCAGGGCCTGCAGAACGTCGGCATCCAGGTGCGCAACCCGCGCCCGGCGATCAACTACGCGCCGCCCATGTCGCCGGCCAATATCGGCACCTACTTCCGCGAGACGGTCAAGGGTCTCGGCCTCGGTGGTCCACCTCAGTTGTTGCTGATCTACCTCGCGCGCAAGCCGTGCGATGAGTACGGCGCGATCAAGCGCTTTGGTGACCTCGACGTCGGCGTCGCGACCCAGTGCCTCAGCGTCCCCAAGGCCAAGCGCGGGAACCCGCAATACTACGCCAACGTCGCGCTCAAAGTCAACTGCAAGCTCAGCGGCGTCAACGCGACCGTGAACCTCGGCCCGGCGTGCCCGCCCAACATCCCGACGATGATCATCGGTGCCGACGTCACGCACCCAGGTCCGGGCTCGTTCGCACCTTCGATCGCGGCCGTCGTCGCGACGATGAACAAGGACTTTACGCTCTACGGCTCGCGCATCCACGTGCAAAATTCTCGCGTCGAGCTCATCACGGGTGAGTCACCGGTTCGGGTCGCGTGCTCGATCCAGCGGACCGCGATGCTGACCAGGTGACGTACCGTTTCTACCGACCAGACCTCGAGGGCATGATGATGGACTTGCTCCGCCAGTTCCACGCGACCAACAAGGTCCCCCCGGCCCGCCTCGTCTTTTACCGCGACGGTGTCAGTGAGGGCCAGTTCGCCCAAGTCTTGTCTTCCGAGGTCGCGCAGATCCGTTCGGCGTGCCGCAAGATCGACCCCAAGTACAAGCCGACGCTTTCGTTCGCCGTCTGCGGCAAGCGTCACCATCTCAGCATCTTCCCCAAGAACGACGCCGATGGCGACAGAACGAGCAACGTCAAGGCCGGTACTTGCATCGATACGGGCAAGTGCCTGAGACTATAGATCACCTTCATCTCTTGCACCAACTGACCTCTCCTGCCTCTTCCCCACTCGCTGCAGACGTCACCTCGCCGTTCGAGCACGACTTTTACATTCAATCGCACGCGAGTTTGCTCGGTACGAGTCGTTCGGCGCACTACAACGTGCTCCTCGACGAGGCCAACATCTCGCCCGACGCGTGGCAGCAGATGACGTTCAACTTGACCTTCACGTACGCGCGTGCGTCTCGGTCCGTCTCGGTCACGACGCCGGCCTACTACGCCGATCGCCTGTGCACGCGTGCGGCGCTCTACCTCGCGTCCGAGAACGATGATGCGACGTCGCAAATGTCTTCCCACTCGGGTGCGTCGGCCGACCGTCAGCGCGACAAGCTCTTGACCGACTACCGCAGCCGTCTCGGCAAGGTCCACGTCAACCACAAGCAGGCGCTCTTCTTCATGTGAACAAACCCAAACCCAAATCCTACTCGCTTCTCGTTTTGATTCCTTTTTCTCCTACATCATTGGTTCAGCTTTTTTTTCTTTTCTCTGGAAATTTCCCCCTACAGTCGTTGATACCGGTCAACAGCGCTTCTTTTGTTCATTTGATGCTCTTTTCTTCTCGGTCATGGTTCTCTTTGCTCGATGCTTGTTCCGGGATGTGTTATATCCTCCCCCCTTCGCCAGAAAAACAACAACGAGATAAAAAATAAATAAAAAAAAGTTTTTCGAGTAGTGCAATGTACAGTTCCAAAATAGCAAAGTTGCGACTTGGACTGAAGAGATGGGACTACGCTCTACGCTCTCTGTGGTCCGTCTAGCTCCGTGCGACCTCGTGCGACGAACAGATCGGAACGCGACGCGACGCGCGCTTCGATTCCGAACCTCAGTCTCTTCACTCTTACCAATAATGACGAGGCTCATGGACGCCAAAAAACACGTACTGGTTCTTCCTGAAGGTATATGGTCTCTCGTGCCGATTTGCTATCATCGACTGCAACTGACGCTTTTCATCTCCGGCCGATTCGTGCTTGGGGCAGGTGTAGCCTCGGGGGAGGAAGGCGTGCGCCATCATCGGTTTCTGAGCTTACCGCATCCTCGAACGGGTACGTGCAAGCTCGAGGATACGGAGCACGAGAGCTACCTAGCTCAACCACTCGTTTCATCGCCCGCGCAGGTCGTTCTTCGCTCTTCCTCGTGGACCCGTCCGGCCGAGGCGCCCTGTTCGAAGTCCAACGAGTCGACCAGGCAGGCACGCCGAGGACGTGGTTCGTAGATCAGGAAGTTGTGAATGGTACGTGCCTACGCCATATTCCCTCGTCCGTTAGTTCGCTACCTGAAACTTGTTCGCATCCCCACAGACGGCTCCCTCCTCCTCCTCACCCCCTTCGACCCCCTATTCCTCCTCATCTCCTACCTTTCCCTCCTCTCTCCCAAATTCCTGCCCTACCAAGACCTCTGGGAAACCGTCCTTCTCCAACTCTCAATTCTCGATCCTTCGCAACGAACGCCCACGGACGATGAAAAACTTGCTTCGACCCTGACGGAGGATGTCGGCGTTCTAAGTCGACTGGGGTGTGTAGAGGCGAGGTTGAAGGCGGTATGTGAGAAGCGAGGTACGTTTTATTGAAGGGCATTTTCCCCGAACGAGGGCGGGTTCGCCGCAAGGAGAAACTGAAGAAGGGTCGGTGGCAACTTTTGCTCAGAACACGCCGAGCTTCAACTCTTTCGCCTGTCTCCCGATCTGGTCCTTCAAGAACTGAAACGCAAAATCGATGGACTCGTCGATCCAGAGGGAGGGATCTTCGAACAAACCACCACCAAAGACGCAGTTCCTAAACCGGAGGAAGAAGCAGCAGCGAACGAGAATGAACAGCCCAAGGCCGGGAAGGAAAGCAGCGAGACCCAAGTGGCGCCTCAGCAGTTCCCTACTTTGCTTCATTCGCTCGTTAGGGAAGGTTGCGGTTCGGACCCGGGGTTCAGTAAGGAGATTCAAAGAGGTCAGTAGGGATCGCAACTTTTCCTCCGTTTCGAGGGTTTCAAGTTTGGAGCTGATCGTACCCCGTCTATTGTGCCCTTCAGAGGCCCGCCAACGCGTCGCCTGCAGCTTGGTCGGTAATTACTTACCCCTGGCCACGTCGACGTTATTAAGCAAAGCATATCCGTATGTTGCTCCCACTCGTCCCACACCCTAAACACTGATATTAACCCTCCCCACCTCCCAAACGCAGTTGTCCCAACCTCGACACCCACCTCACCTCCCTACAATCGTCCTCCGTTCTCTCCGCGACCTATCATCCCGGTCGAGCGTCCACCTCCGGCGGTGGAATCGGTAGCGGCGCAGGCACGGCCGGGGCGGTCGCAAAGGCCAAGAAATTGGCCAGTAAAGGTTCGATGGGCGTGGAACAGTTGAAAAAGGTCTCTACGAAGGGGATGAAAAAGTTGGATAGCTTCTTCTTCAAGCAACCTGCGCCGACGGGGGCGAAGGGGGTGAAGAGGAAGGTGGAGGAGTAGGCGCCGGGTAGAAAAGGGATGGGGTTGGGGGGTTATGCACATGTTGTACTCTTTTTCGATTTCAATTGATCACCATCTCTATCACGATACATTACAACGCCGGAAGAGAGTGTGGTCATCGAGGGCTTGCTTTCTACATCTTCCACACCTTGACCGTATGATCCCTCCCTCCCGACATGAGATAACTATCCATGAACCTCAACCTCTCCGCCGGTCTCGTATGTCCATTCAACGTCAAGGCCGTGTGTTGCAACGTTGTCCGGTTGAAGACCTGTCGCATCGACACCAAGTCGAGAGGATCAGTTTTTGCCGAGGACTTGCAATCGCCACTCGGCGCTTCGGCAACTCACTCGAATGCCGTTCTCCCCCGCAGCAGCGACGATCTTGCGACTGTCGAACTGCAACGACGTGATGGGGTAATCGTAGCGAATCGTGTCCGAGATGGAGCCCGTGCGAATGTCCCAGATCTGAACGAAAGAACGTGTCGATCAGGATCATGCTCGTTCCTCTATAGTTCCTTTGCTCCTCTCAAAATCGACGCCAAGCTTACCCTGACGGTCTTGTCCAGACTCCCACTGACGAGATGGTGTTCGTCAAACTGCACGCACGAAACGGGTCCCGTATGTCCCACCAGCGTGCGATGCGATTGCCCTGTGCGCATATCCCACATCCTCACACACCCATCCGCGGTCCCGCTCGCCAACGCATAACCCCAAAACTGCACTCCCCCCACAAAGTCCTCGTAAGGTTCGAAACTGCCATCCGCGTAATTCGTCGTGGCCGGACTGGAAGGATAGCCCGAGAATGATAAGGCCGTCCCGGAGGTACTTGAATGCCTTCGGAGAGCGGCGAGGGATTTGCGAGGGGAGGAGGCAGGGGTCGAGTAGGGTTCTGAAGGGTCGAGGTTGTCGAGCGGGGAAGGGTTGGAAATAGCCCAGAGTACGTCCATGGTCATGACGTTTTGGCCGGTGTGGATGTCCCATTGGCGTAAAGTGCTGTCTGACGAACCGGTGACCTGTGCTCATGGGGACACGTCCCGGTTCAATGCACCTACTCCCCGTAGAGACTGAATAGCTCCCGGACGACTCACGAGACAAGGTCCATCAAAGTACAAACTCGTCACCGCCTTGGTATGCCCATCCAACACCTTGACGCACGCCCCCGAATGTTGTTCCTCCCTCGCCTCGCCACCCTCTTCCCCATTCACACTCTCACTCAACGTACCCAAAGCTTCCCTTCCCCCCACGTACCCATTCGCCCGACCGAGGAAAACTTTCTCGAAGGAAGGTACGCCTCCGTCGTCTTCGTTTTCGCCCAGTCCGTTGGGAGAGGTGAGGAGGTCCTCAACCTCGTCAACGTTCCAGATGCGCACTTGGCCGTCCGAGCCGCCGGTGATGCAGACGGATGCTTCGACCTGGAGGGCTTTGACGACGCCTGTAGGAGGGTATAATCAACTCAGGAATGGGATCCACTCCAGCTGGGCTACGCACGCGGCACATGGACCCCGGTTTCTTACCTTGGTGTCCACGCAATTGTCCCATTTCGTCACCGGTGCTCAAGTCCCACAAGCGTACGGTCTCGTCCTGACTCGCGCTGACGGCGACGCCGTACGGCTCGGAAAAGTCGAGCGCCGAGACGGGCCCTAGGTGTCCGCTCAAGGTCTGCCAGACGCATCACCGACGTCAGTGATCGTCCATGCACCCGCTTACCCTAGCCGGGCAACTCACCATGAAAGCGACGCCACTCGGTAGGTCATCATGTTCTCCTGGCAGGAACGCCGGCCCTTTCCTCCGTCGCGAGGTCGTCGTCGTCGTTGCCGTCTTGGTCTGGCTGTTCATCCGTTCGCGGAGACCGTCGACTGTGGGTGGTCTGATGTCGCAATCAGTACGTTGTCCGATTCACCTGCTCCCCTCTGGTCAACGCACACTCATCCTGCAACTCGAGTTCCTCCTCCCTCAAAAAGAGCAAACTGCGCTTGAGTTCCTCCCTGATCGAATCGAGCGCGGCCATTTTTTCGTCAATCTCGAGGATTTGCGCATTCAAGAGTGACTGTGGGTGTGTCAGATGCGAGGATCAGGGCCATGACCCCCTGTCCCTTGATATTCGACTGTGCTGTAGCACTCACCCTGCGTACGGCGACGTTGCCCATATCCTCTTCGACGGCGCGCGAATCGGCTTCGAGTTCGTCCGCAGTCATCACCGGCGCATTCTCCTGTGCATGTACTTCGCCCACCGCAGCAGGATCGTAGCGAGCACTGGAGCTCCTCCCCCTGAGCTGCAAGACCTCACTCCTCCTCGCGCTCCTCCTCTTGCGCAACAGCTGAACCTGATCGGCCTGAGCGGCGGCCGAAGCCGAAGCCAAAGTCGAAGACGCTTCATCGCTCAGGATCCCGCGGGCTTGTTGACCCCTATCCTTGAGCCCCAATTTGATATTCTCCAAGCCCAACGCGATCTCGCCCAAGCCGGCTCGTCGTCGTCGTCGTTCTTGGCGTGCGGATCGGGCGGCAGGCGCGGTCGCTTGGAAGCCTCGGAACAGGGGGACGGCGAGGTCTGGGGCCGACTGCGCGGCGTGGATGGTTCGTTTCGAGTTGCAGGTCGAGTTCGCGGTGGAGAAAGCGTCCGAAGTTGATAGATCGAATGGACTGGCGGGGACTTCGAGCCTCAAGAGGTCGTCGACTTTTTCGCGAATGTAGAGCGACGTACTCGCGTGAGGAGCGAAAGCGGGGGTCGAGGACCATCCCAAACCGAGCCGGGAGCGGATGCGGGAAGTCGAGCTCAACGCCGAGGAGGAGGAGGAGGAGGAGGAGGTCGACGCGGAGGAGTCGTACAAGCTCGATCGAGGACCTATGAAGGGTGTGGCGTGGAATATCTGGGGTGCGAGGTCGGTGAGGATCGCGGCGGGCGTGGACGGGTTCAGCATCGTTCGCAGCGAGCTCGTCCAGCCTGCCTCCGAGACCACAGCTGGAGAGGCCGAGTTCCCGGGTGGAGTGGGTTGATCGGGAGCAGTGCGAGGGTCCGAGTGGTGGGCCGAAGCGGCGGTCTTGGGGCGCATCGTCGGGCGTCTGGCTGCTGGAATCGAACGAGCTCGATCAGCTTGTCAGTCGGTCGGGTCGGGCCGAGAAGATGACCGCGTCGAGGCGCGAAGGCGAGTCGTGTGCCCAGACAGGCGTAGCAGTGGGTGCACAACAAGCGCAGAAACCAAGCTGGACTGAACAACCGTCGAGTGCCTGAGCTTGGGGACAAAGCGGAACCCAAAACGGTGGGGTCCAAGGTCGACGAAGGAGCAACAGCCGGAGCGCACACGGGGCGCGGATGACGACGAGGCGCGAGCGATGACGACCAGTGACGAAGAGTGACGACCTCACTCGCCTGCCTCGTGCGGCGCGCGCCTGTCGACACTTCACCATTAGCGCTCAACGCGCTCTGATCTAATCCCAATTCCCAACTGCCTCTGACTGCGCGACAATTCCCATTGGCGCTCAAAGCTAATCCCAACGCTATCCCCGCTGCCTGACCGCGCGACAATTCCCGTTAGCGATCAAAGCTAATCCCCATATCGCAGCTGCCTCTGACTGCGCTCGCTCGGGTCACTGTCGCTGTCGTTGTGCGCATACCCAAGTTGCAAGTTGCACGTGCCCCCTACGCCGACCCTACGCCCCCGCCCTCCACCCGACCTCGTCCTGTCCGTGTCTCCCACCGACTCCTTCTCCCTTGTGCCCGACTGAGCGTGTGCTCGATCGACGATGGGTGTCTGTGCCAGTTGTTGCGGTGGTGGTACGTCCTCTGGCTGGCGGGTGACTCGTTGCTCGTTGCTTGTTGCTCGTGGCTCGTTGCTCGTGCCTCATCGCTGCCACCCAAGCGTCCGCCGGTCGGTCTCCTCGCTTGCAATCTGACCTCCTGCTCTTCCTCATCTTGCATCTTTGCATGTGTCTCCCCTGCACTCCCCGCCCACGATCGATCATCGCGCACGCTATCGCCTCGCCGCCTCGCCGCCGCCATCGCGCCTGACCCGTAATCGGATCCGTGCGTATACCGCATACGCCGCGCCGATCCCTCATCTCTCGTCATCCACGATCGACGAACCGTATTCACCGTCCACTCACCACCGCCGAGCAACCCCCACCAGGCGGCAAGTCCAACGCCGCGTACGAACCTTTGCTGTTGGAGAACGAGCGCGAGGCCGTCGCCGATCTGCTGCAGTATCTCGAGAGTGAGCACACCGCGGTCACCTTGCCGATCACCACCCCCCACTGGGCCACTGACATTGAGTCATCTCTGCCATCTACTCATGGCGTGCTTGCGCGCACACACACCTGCGCGTCCCCGATCCGCTCCCGGCTCCCGGCTCCCGGCTCCCTCCTCCCACCGCCAGACCGATCCGACACCAACTTCTTCGCCGGAGAACCCCTGCGTGCGCTCTCGACCTTGAGCTACAGCGAAAATGTTGATCTGCAGCGGAGCGCCGCGCTCGCCTTTGCCGAGATCACAGAAAAGGTACGCCGCTTGGATCGCGCACTCGCGTAATCGTCGGTCTCCATGCTCACACGCGAATGACTTTTTCACGGCAACCCAAAAGGACGTGCGAGAAGTGTCGCGCGAGACGCTGGAACCGATCCTCTTCCTTTTGCAGTCCCACGATATCGAAGTACAGCGTGCCGCCAGTGCCGCCCTTGGTAACCTTGGTGTCAACTGTCGGTCTTTCAACCTCGGTGGCGCGCTCTCCCCGAACCACGTCGCTGACGAGTTCCTATCCGATGACAACGTAGCCGAAAACAAGGTCACCATCGTCAGACTGGGCGGACTGGAACCTTTGATTCGTCAGATGCTCTCCCCCAGCGTCGAGGTGCAGTGCAACGCCGTCGGGTGCATCACCAACCTCGCCACCCACGGTGCGTCTCCTCTTTTTTTTCCGTTCTGGATCTCAATTCACAGCCCGCTCACCGCTCTGCATGATCTCTGCACAGATGAAAACAAAAACAAAATCGCCAACTCGGGCGCGCTCGTCCCCTTAACTCGCTTGGCTCGCTCAAAGGACATGCGGGTACAACGTAACGCGACGGGTGCCTTGCTCAACATGACTCACTCGGGTGCGTCGCCGAACGGGCCTGAACGGCGCCATCTTCGTCGAGACTGATCCCTCCAGGCCCGGCTTTGAACAGATGAGAACCGATTGCAGCTCGTCAATGCGGGCGCGATCCCCGTGCTCGTCAACTTGCTATCGAGCCCCGACACCGACGTCGAGTACTATTGCACCACCGCCCTCAGCAACATTGCCGTTGATGGTCAGTCCGATCGCCGAGTGGGATTGAGAGAGTTACCGTGAGCTGATCAAAGTTTTACATCACAGCTGCAAACCGCAAAAAGCTGGCCCAGTCGGAACCTAAACTCGTAACGAGCCTGATCAGCCTCATGGACTCGCCGAGCCTCAAGGTGCAATGCCAGGCCGCTTTGGCTCTGCGGAATCTCGCGTCCGATGGTGGGTTCGCGAGCTTGCTGCTGTGACCGAGCCGAATCGCCAACGGACTCACTCGTTCTGTTCGCTGTCTTCGTTCCGCAGACAAATACCAACTCGAAATCGTCAAGAACGGCGGTTTGCCCGCGCTCCTCCGTCTACTCCGTTCCTCCTTCCTCCCCCTCATCCTCTCTGCCGCCGCTTGCGTGCGAAACGTTTCGATCCACCCCCTTAACGAAGCACCCATCATCGAATCCGGGTTCCTCTCCCCGCTCATCGATCTCCTCGCGTACGACGAGAACGAAGAGATCCAATGCCACGCCATCAGCACCTTGCGCAACTTGGCTGCCAGTAGCGAAAGTAATAAGAGGGCCATCGTTGAAGCGGGCGCGGCGGAGAGGATCAAGGAATTGGTGTTGCATGTACCGGTGGCGGTGCAGAGTGAGATGACGGCTTGTGCGGCCGTGTTGGGTCTGAGTGGTACATTCGACGCGGCGGCGGAAGAAGCCAAGGTGGTCGCCTTTCGAGACTGGGGGTGATGTACTGATTTGGTCTGTTGCGCTACATATCATCCGTACAGAGGACATCAAGAGCGAGTTGTTGGACATGGGCATTTGCGAAGTGTTGATCCCTTTGACCGCCTCGCCGAGCGTCGAAGTTCAAGGCAACAGCGCCGCTGCTCTCGGTAACCTTTCTTCCAAAAGTGAGTCTGCGGAAGCCGAGTGGAAGCTTGGAACCGCTCAATCTCTGACCCGGCCCTTTTGGTGTTGAACCGCTCGCAGCGGACGACTATTCGGCGTTTAGCGCGGTGTGGAACGAACCCGAGGGTGGGTTGCATGGGTACCTCGTGCGTTTCCTCGAGAGTCAGGACACGACGTTCCAACATATCGCTATTTGGACATTGGTGCAATTACTTGAATCGGGTGGTGAGTAGCCCCTCGACTTCTCCACCAGACGGGCCAGACGAAGGATGCTGATGAAGTTTGGGGGGTGAACCAGACATGACGCTCGAATCACAAATTCGCGCCTCGAAAGACCTCATCCCTCTCGCCACGCGTTTATCCACCTTGTCGTCCGAATCGTCTTTGCACGATGCGGGCAGGGCCGGAACGGATGCTTCAGAGGACGATGAGGAAGGTCAGGATGGTGGGGAGAGTGAGATTCGGGTGTTGGCGCGTACGGTGTTGGATTTGTTGGAGGGGTGATCGATTCCGAAGATGGTGCCATCGTCGCGTGGCGCTCTTGAACCTCGTTCTGAAAAGATAACCAAGAAGACGGTCCTTTTTTACTTAAACCTGCTTTCACCCTGTTTAGTGTTTTTGTTCTCGTCCTTTTGCTTTCGATCCCTAGCCTTTTATCTGTAATATGCTCTCCACTTTCCCCAAGCAAAGCCTTCCCTCCTCCTCTGGCTGTGAACGGTTTGTGATCTCCCTTCTTTCATGATAATGGATATCTACATGCTACACACCGACTCGAGCTCGGGGTGGGGACAGCCAGAATGGAGGTCCGTGCGAGTACGGCGATAGCCGTGTGTGCGCGTCATTAGCTTCATTAGTGGGCATTAGCGGTGGAATTGAGGCGCTCTACTAACGAACTCACGCAGGCGCGTTGCGCCCCTTGTCGTGGTGTTACGTTCGGCTCTGGTTTCCGACTCCACTCGCTCAACACGCAAGCCAACACGAATACACCAGCTCTTTGCTCGGAGCAGTCTACGTCTCTACACCTCCCCGACCAGCAGGCTTCGACCCGATTCAGCGACGTGGTAGTCCTCGGCCTCAGCGCGCAGTGTGTCGGCCCTCTCTAGCTCGGTCCCCCCTCCACCACCACCACCACCACCACCTTACGCCTCCCCGGCTGTCTCGACGATCCCAGCAACCCCCCGCCTCGCTCCCTCCTCTTGATCCTGGCTTGCGTTTACCGAGCGCATCATGAATTCCAACAACTCCAATTCGAACAAGAAACCCTCCATGTCGTACGTCCCGCCCCCCCCTCCCAGCCACCCAGACTCCTCGAAGCAGTCCCAAGCCACGCGCGCGCGTGCGCACACACACCACCCGACGTCGCTAACGCCGCCCTCTCCCCGTCCCCGTCCCCTTCCCCACCCCCTCCCTACCCTACCAGCGAACTGAAACTACGCCGTCTGACCGAACACAACCAACGGTTACGAGAGGATTTGGAACGACAACGGGTTAGAGTTTCCGAGGCGAGCGCGAGGTAAGTTTTCGGGTTCGAATGGCGCACGCTTATTTAGGATTGGAGGCCGTCGGCGCACCCGCTTCTTAGAGCGCCTCGACCCGGTTACGGCCGCTCAGCGCTCAGCGCTCAGCCCCCCTTTGTGGCCTCGGTCGGCTCATAATGCGATCATGTTATGTCCGACGCACGTGAGCGGCCCGCCCGGCCTTCGACGACGACGCTCCCTACCCCACAACAACGAAGGACTCGTGTACAACCAACGACTTGGTCACAAAACCCTATCCCCCTCATGACCCTCAACTTGCTAATCCAATCGCTTCGTGTCGTTCCACCCCCCGCCCTAGCTTGATCCGGTATTGCAAGACGACGCGCGACTACCTCGTGCCTTCCGTCTGGGGGCCGGTCGAGAAGGGTGCAGATCCGTACGCCGCCGCGGCTTCGGGAGGCGGTGGGGGGTGTTGCATGATTCAATAAACCAGGAATGAGGGACGATTGCGCGATGGTACCCGATGGAAACGACGAGGGCATACCAAAGCTCATCGGGAGTGTCTAGGAGGATAAGGTCATCCCCCTACCCCACCTACGCACGTCTTGCCTACATTGAATCCCAACCCCGACCGAACGACCGAACGACCAAACGCGACACCTTCTCTATCGCATGTCGACTCTATGCACTCTAATACCCAGTCTACCGTTCATGGATCAAGACCCCACCGTCCGCTCACCCACTCGCCCGACCACCCTTTCGAGAGCTTTCGACCCCTCCCCTCTTCCCCAACATCAACACACAGCAACCTACAGCCCTCTATCCCTCCTCTTTCCTCGTTTGTAAATCGTACTTTTACTTTCTCCCGCTTACCCCGCCCTTCCGTCTCGGCCTCTCTACCCAGCATTTTCACTTTCATTCTCACCCTACCACCCACGGGGTTTTTACAGCTACTTCTTTTATTTTTAACGTCTGCGTGCTTTTCTTTTCTTTTCTTTTGTTTCCTCTTTTTTTTTCTTTGCATTGATCGAATTCACAAGATTCTTGGACAAGGGTTTTTTCCCTACTCGGGAGATGACTCGTCTAGGATGTGCCGACAAGTCGTACGGCGTTTGAGGTAACATTTTCAAACCGGAGCGATCACGAGACGTGGAGCGAGTCGGCTCAGACGGCATTCTTCCAACACCGAAACCAACACGTTCATGATCCGTTGCCGCCCCAAAAGAATTACTCCTCCTCTACGAACTCAACATACTCACTGCACCCCTCACCGCAACTTTTTCCGCTCAGCATGGCAATAATGTAGTGCCGACGAGCTCTTCTACACACTGGCGGAATGGCACCTGAAATGGCGCCCAAAGTCTGGTTTCGCCAGAGTGCCTGCATTGGCTCAACCCGTCCAACTTGCTCTCGTTTTCACCTGCTTCAACGAGCAAAAAAGACTCTGCTGTTTCACAGTCTGGTCCGCTGAAAGTTGAAAGGGCCTCGGCGTGGTGACTGCATTGCCAGAAAGTCTGAGAAAGATTTGCCACTTTGGATCGACGCCAGTCGAGGCTGCCGGCTTTCGGCGGGTCCTCAGCGGCCCCACTTGGCCCGTTATCCGCCTGCTCGTTCGTTCTTACCCTCCTTCCTCCAAGCCTCAAGCCTCAAGCCTCACATCCAGATCTTTGCACCCCACCCACGCACTCATGGCCAGTTCATTCGTAGGTGAGTCAACTCGCAAAACACGACCCACCTCTCCCCTTTTCCCCAAACCCTTTCGCACCTCAACCTTCCCCACTCACTCCACCGCCTTCCCTCCTCCCTTCCTTCCTTCCGCTCCGCTCCCTCTCTTTCCCTCCTCTCTCTCTCTCTCTCTCTCTCTCTCTCTCGTATATAACATCCATCCCAGGTCTTCCCGTCCGTTGTAACCTACGTAACGGTAAAATCATCACCGGTCTCGTAGCGGGCGTCGATGCGGTTAGAGGTACGATCACAATCGAGAGCTCTTCTTCGGGAGCTCATTACGATCTACCGAGGGCCCAAGTCGTGAATTTGGAATTGTTGAGTTTGGCTAAACAGGCGCAGGGGGAAGGGGTCGGCGCAAAGGGAGGGGGAAGGAAGAGTCGAGGTGGGGAAGAGGGGGTGCAGGGTTCGAAGGAGGGGGTGTCGTCTTTGGGAGGAGGAGTTGAGGACAAGGTGTCGCGACGAGCGGCCCAGAGTACGACCCCTGCTCACGAAGTCGGAGAGTCCAAACGAAGTACATCCGTCGCACAACACGTGACTAAACCACAGCCAGTCAGTCCAAAGGTCACGCGTGTTCGTTGATGCGCCCGAATTCGTAAAGCTGATGTGGGCTTTTTTTCTGGCTGGATAACGTCCAGTCCAATATCTCGGAAGACTTTGATTTCGGAGCGGGGCTCGATCAATTCGACAAGCAGCGCGAGTTCGCGGCCATCAAAGTCGGTTACCATCACTTGGGAATTTGGGACACCTTCTATCGAACTTGGGGTCTTGCAGAGCTGATTGTGCATCCTCCACTCCCAGTCCCAAGACCGCACCGACCCAGCCCTACGCCTCGTCTCGCACAACAAGCAAACCAAACTCCTACCAAACGAGAACGTCCTCTCCGTCGCCGAACTCGAACAACAGACGCAGCAACTAGCCCAATCCTTGGCCCGGTTGGATCCAGGAAGGACGACCCAAGTCAACACGACGAAAAAGATGAAGGAGGGGGGCGTCTTGCGTACAAAGAGGGGAGTGATCGCGCCTTGTTTGACGAGGGGGCAGTACCGCGAAGTGGTTTCGATCGCGGAGGTGAGTTTTCCCCCAAGACTCGACTCGGGCTATCGTATTTACTTGAACTCATTTGGCTTTCATGTTTCGTTTGATCAGATTGAAACCGGCCCCACATCCCTCCAGCGAACCGAAGCCGGCTCCCGGGCCCTAGGTCAACTCATACTATCCTTTCAACCCGATTCAAACGCCGCTTCCACCCCATCATCCTTATGCATCCTCTGCGGTTCCAAAGCGATCGAAAAGTCAACCTTGGCTTTGCGGGCGGGGACGATGTTGGTCAATAGGGGTTATCGAGTCGTGGCGTATGTGGCGAGTATGGAAGGGGTTGCCGAGGCGGCTTTAAGAGGCTTTTCGGCGGCCGGGGGTAGACTGGGGAGGAATGTGGCCGGTCAGTTACGGCAGAAAGAGATACCGTTCGAATGAGACGCATCGTTCAGTCAGCTGAATCTGGGTTTCCGTCCTCAGATTTGCCGAACGACTTTGATCTCGTCCTTGACGCGATCGCGGATGAGCAAGATCAAATCACCGAGATCCCCGCACAGGATCTGACGATTCTTCGTTGGACAACGACGAGGAACCAAGCTCCGATTATCGCGATCGATACTCCTTCTGGAGGAGAAGGTAGGTCGAAGATCAGCTTTCGAACGTCCTTCCCAAAGGCTATAGAACTGACGGTTGCTACCCCTCCCACCAAACTAGGCGCGCTTGTCCCAGCGTATACACTCCATCGAACGGCGTTACGAACACCGACGTCTTCCAACACCCAGCATGTCATTCTGGATGAGGGGATCTCGCCCAAGCTGCTGAGGCGTTTGGGTGGCCTGGTTAGTGATGAGGTTGAAGGGCTCTTTGGGAAGAATTTGTTCGTGGAGGTCTCATAGAACGAATGTGGACGGGCTCAGGGGTGAAATTTACAAGGGCGAGACTTTTACAGCTGGGAATGGCGAACGTAATGTGTACAAAAGGTAGAATTGTCCCCCCTTTGAAAGCGACGAGATCGGTCGACCAGTTCCCATTTTTATCCTCTCTGCCCAGCGAGCTTGGTATCGACCAACTCTCGGAAGCTCGACACGATCTGGCACACAGCACCAAACGTCAGCTCGGACCATCGTCGAGAAATAGAACCACCCTACATCAGACTCACCTGATTTTCCCTCTTGGCCTTCTCCTGCGCCTGCAGCTGCAAGATCCCTCTCTTCTCCTCGGCGGAAATGACCTGATTCTCCTTCCTGACCCTGACCGCATTCATCCTCCTATGTCGACTACCACTCATCACATAACCGGCCTGTTCGAACTTTTCGATCTGTTCGGATTCCAACCCGATTTCTCCTCGACGGGGGATACGGGCACCGTCCTGAACGAATTGGGCCATGGCCGTTCCTTCACCTGGTCGGAGTGCACCACCATAACTGTTTGGGGGAGAGGAGTGAACGAACGATGCGTCTTAGTACAAAGTCAAAGATGGCTTCCGAACCAAAGTTGGTTGAATCCATCGACTCACGCGTTCCTCGCCCCCTTCTGACCAGGCATCATCAAAGGCAAAGGACCCACTTCCTCCGGATCATCATCCAAATCCACCTCGGCCGGTTTTTCGACCCAAGCATCCTCGTCGTCGTCATCGTCTTTTGCCTCGGGGTGGTGTGTACCCTTTGCCACCGCTTCGGACCGACTTGTTGAAGGTCGAGGTCGGTCGTCGAGGTGTTCGCGCCGTTCGTCGATTTCGGATAGGCGGGAGCCTTCCCTTTTACTTCTCGAATGAGCGTGGGAAGATCGATGGGACGACGAGGAATGACGACGAGTAGAAGAAGAGTGATGTTTATGTTGGGAAGAAGAGGATTTATGCTTGCTCGACGAGGAGGAGCGTCGTCGATGACGGTCGTCGTCCGAGTCGGAGGAGGAGGAGGTGGAGGAGGAGAAGGAAGGGGAGCGCTGTCGAGAGGATTTGTGGCGCTTGGAGGAGGAAGCGCGTTTGTTGGATTTGCGGTTGCCGTTCGAGGGAGAGGGGGAGCTGTGTGGATCACCAGAGCGTGAGGGTTAACAAAGAAGCGGTTTTGAGCTTGCCGTTGATTGGGGGGGGGACTTGCCGTTGTGGTGCCTTGGGTGATTCCGGCCAGATGGTCAGATCGGATTCATCGCGTTGGTGTCGACGACTTTTTTTGGGGGGGGGGGAAAGAGTCGCACATGCAGTCAGTCAGTCAGTGCTGCTGAACGGACGGGCAGAGGAGTGGGGGGAACGTACGACTCGAACCAATCGCCACCGCCTTGTTGCGGTGCGCTCGAGCGCTGAGCACGATCGTGGGCGTTGTCCCATTGGGCATTGCTGTTCCTACCGCCGTTGTGGTCGTAGCCATTACTCTGCGGCTGACCATAGCCCAGTTCTCGCTCGGGTGTGGCCCTCCGCTCGTCCGCTCTTCGTGCTTGATGCGGAGGCGCGCCGTAGCGTCGATCGTCGTAGCGCGGTCCGTCCTGTTGTTGTTGGTGCTGCTGCTGGTGCTGCTGCTGCTGCTGCTGCTGTCGTTGTTGATAGGCTTCGTATTGGGGGGACCCACGACGTTGGGGGGAGCGAGAGCGAGAGCGCGATCGGCGGCGGTCTGGTGGTCGATGCGACGAAGAGTCGTGACCGCGTCCGGGATCCCTGGTGGAGGGGTAATCACCGCCTTGCTGCATGTCGAGGAGCGGAAGAGCGGTGGCTTGTAGCGGAGAATGGCGCTGGCCAGATACACAGAGTCGGGACGGGCAGCCGAGATGGAGCCCGCGCCTGACTGAATTGGTGCTCTTACCAGCTCTTACCCGCTCTTACAGGCGCTTACAGGCTCTTACTAGCGCTTAATAGCATCTCTAACCAGCTCCTCCCACGCTCGGGCCTGCTGCGCTCTTTCTTGTTCTGGCTTGCATCGCCTGCGCTCGAGTTGACTGTAAGCACCCCCGCCCCTGTTCTCTCTTGCTCACCCCCCCCCTTCGACGCTCGCACCCACCCGCCTGAGCCCGCCTGCACCTCTCACCTCCCACCTCCTGACCGCTTTCTGCTCCCACCCGCCGACGACCAGATCCCCTCCTTGTCCCCATCATGTCGGCTGCGCTGATCAACTCGCTGAGCAAGCTGCTCGTACCCGGCATCGTCGGACTGGGCATCGTGCAGAGCAGTATCTACGACGGTCAGTCATTCTTGCCTACCTTCCCTGGACGGTGATTGGCACTCACTTGCTCGCTCGTCGGCTGCGACCCCAACAGTGCCCGGCGGTCACCGCGCCATCATCTTTGATCGCTTCTCCGGTGTCCGGGACAAGGTATGTTCCTCGCCGTACTGGGCAGTACTTGTATTTGGGGTAATTTGGGGTATGCTCAGACCATCCTGTCGTCGTGTACAGCCCTCGGACGAAGGCACGCACTTGCTCGTGCCTTGGTTGCAGGTCAGTCCCACCTCACCCCACGGCCAGAGTGTCCCTCTCTGACCTCACCCGTCTTCCCCACTCAGAAACCCATCCTGTACGATGTCCGAATCAAGCCTAGAGTAAGCCTTCTCGAACCAAGCCTCGTCACCTCCACCCCCCCCGCCCAACTTGGCCCACTGACAAACACCTTCCCCATCCACCACCGCCCGCCCCCCTTCAGAACATCTCCACCACGACCGGCTCCAAGGATATGCAAATGGTCTCCCTCACCTTACGCGTCATGTCCCGCCCCGACACCCGACACCTCGCGACCATCTACCGTTCGCTCGGTCTCGACTATGACGAACGAGTCCTCCCCTCGATCGGGAACGAGGTGCTCAAAGCTACCGTCGCCCAGTTCGACGCGGCCGAATTGATCACCCAGCGTGAGGTCGTCAGTTCGAGGATCAGGGAGGACCTGCTCAAGAGGGCCGGAGAGTTCAATATCGTGCTCGAGGATGTCTCCATCGTTAGTACTCCCCGTCTCGTTGGTTGGGTCAGGGGGGGGGGGGGTTGTGGGGTTGTGGGATCGAGAACCTGATTCGCTTTTTCCTTCCTTTGTTCCGACCCGATCAGACCCACATGACGTTCGGTAAGGAGTTCACTCAGGCCGTCGAGCAGAAGCAGGTCGCACAGCAGGGTGAGAGAAGCTTTCCTCGGTTTTGTATTCCCGCAAAGAATCCCTCTCATCAGTCTGCACCCACCTTGCAACCACAGAGGCCGAAAGGGCAAAGTTCATCGTTGAGCGCGCAAGTTTCCCCCCCAACCATCTCCGAAAGAATCCCCTCTCCCACCCCATCTAACACCCTTTCTTTCCGTTTCCTCTCTCTAGTCCGAACAAGAACGTCAAGCCGCCGTTGTCCGTGCCGAAGGCGAAGCCGAAGCCGCGACCATCATCTCCAAAGCCTTATCCAAGGCCGGAGAAGGCTTGGTCCAATTCCGTCGTATCGAAGCGAGCAAGGATATTGCCCAGACCCTGTCGAATGTAGGTCGAGGATCGTTTGGGGTTGAGTTATTGGTGGGGGCTGACTTTGGTTCCTTGGGCGCGTGGGAAATAGGGTCGAAACGTTACGTACCTCCCCGGTGGTGGCAACGTGCTATTGCAAGTTCCTTCGCAGTAAGAAGAACGAACGAACGAAGCTTCAAGCCGATTTGCACAAAGGAGGAATTGCAAAAAAAAAAATCATTCGACTTCTTTCCCCATCATCTCTGTGCTCTCGTCTTTTGTACCATTATTTTTTCCCCCCGACCCTTAGCGGACGAGACGACCCAAAAAAGCAATGTCAAAAAAACACCCCTCCATATCTCACATTCTTCTGATTTGGTTTGTGTTCGTTTCTAGCCCGATCAACAGGATAAGGTCGGATATGCATTTTACAACAACAACAGCGAAACTCTCGATCACCGTATTTATGAACATTCGCTTCGTCTTCACCCCTCCAGAGCAACCAACAGCTCGCTGAACCTTTTACGATCCCCTGCCAAAATAGCAGACTCTTTCGAGGAGGAAGAAACTTGTCCCTCCTGGACCGAAGATGACCAGCGTCCTTGACCATGATCGATTTTACGTAGTTTGGTTCGACCGTGCGTTATAGATCGATCGTCCTCCTCCTGTCCTCCTCCTCCTCCTCCTCCTCCTCCTCCTGCTGCTCCGAAGGGTCGGAAGTTACTAATTGAGGAAGGATCCCGACGATTTGTATCTTCGTTCTTGGTCGGGGTGGTGAAGTTGGTGGTGTAAGAGGTTGCCAATCCTTTTTGTTATCTTGCACAACTTCGAAGGGAGGAGGTGTCGACTCCCTCTTTGGCGGGAAAGGGAAAGATAATAACAATCCTTCCTCCCCTAAGATCCCAAACGTGATCCCCTCTTCCAAATCCAAACCCACATCCACATCCTTCAATTCAGAAACACCCTCCATCCTCAGCTCCTCATCCTCCATTACTACTCTTTCTCTCCTCGAGGCTAAACTATCGATCCTTTCGAACTGGGACGAAAGTTGGGCCCATTGTGAAGAACTGAGACGGCGCGTAGTAGTAATGACGTTGAGAGGAGGGAGAGGAGGGTCGAAGGGGGTCGTGAAGGAAGGGAAGGAGAGGTGGCGGTGGGTCTTTAAGGGGGTGCCAGTGGAGGGGGATGGGGGGGGTCGGAGGGAATGGGTTGGTGGGGTAGCTGTGACGGTGGGTGATGGGGGTCGTGGAGGGGAGGGTGGAGGGGGAAGGGGGAGTCAAAAGCCAGGGGTTCGGAGTGGTGGAAATCATCGTTGGAGAAGCGGAGCTCGCCGAAGCCGACGACGAGGCGGATGTAGAAGCGTCGTGGACTGATTTCATAATTTCGATCGAATTATTCTTCTATTTGTCGAAGTCGTATGTCGGACTCGGAGTTCTTCTGTGCTTCGTGAGGTTCAAAATTCCCACGAGTCGAAGATTGACCGCGTCTGGCCAGGGGTGGCGGGCACCGCTCAAAGTTGGCCGATTCGAGCGAGTCCACGTGGGACGGATTCCCGCGGAGTTGCTGACTGCTGGACCGATCAAGTTGTCCACGCTTCGTAGGGACGATGTGACGATGTTGCACCTCTTTCCAATCAATGGAGTCGGTGTCTGAGGCGGTGAGTCTTTGTGGAGTCTATAATGTCAACGGTTGTGATCAACAGAGAGGCAAAGTCAGCGTGCGAATCCGGGCGAGTCTCGGTGCCAGGTGGTCTGAGCGGCCTGCGGGGGGTGGCGCCGGTCAGGCGTCACACGTCACGCGAGCAGGGTGGGTGCATGCGTCTCAGATTGTCGAGATTGTGCGACGTTCGGGATCCCGTCGACATCGCCGGTTCCGCTCGGCTTGTATTTACGAGGTCACTAGACCTTGGCAAAAGTTGACGGCTGATGTTGTTGTGGATTTTGATGGCTGGGTGCGGATGGAAGGAAAGTGAAGCCGATAACTTCAGCAAGTCGAACGATGACCGACTTGACTTGCAAGCAATCGCAATCGCGGTCCAAAGCTAATCCGAAAGCAGAGGCTCCTTCGGAGCCGCTCAAAGTGCTTTCTTTGTCTCACCTTTAATAAACGCTTCGCCAAGTCTCACCACTGCTTCCTGACCATAACAACGCCAAAGCTCTACGTATGCCAGGAGCGGAAGTAGGGGTCCCAAAGGGATTGGATTAAGGTGTATATGATTGGCAGTATGACCACGCAGACAAGTTTTACGTTTCACCGATATCCTGCGACGAGCGTCCTCAAATCGTGTCAGCTTTATCCCTCACCGACGTAGAAAGACGACCCCCACATTCGAGCCTTTGTCGTCTCCTCTTTCCCGCCGTCCACCAAGTGCCCACCTGCCTCACTCACCTCATTCCAAACCTCAGGCTTCTGCCTGATGAATTCCCTCATCAACTCCTTACACTTCTCCGAATCCAAATTGACGACTTCGACCCCATGATCTCTGAGGATCGATTCCCCACCGAGGAAGCTCTCGTTCTCGCCCAAAACGACTTTTTTGATCCCGTAAAGGATGATGGCACCGCTGCACATGGGACAGGGGGAAAGGGTGGAGTAGATGGTCGCATCTCGGTAGGCTTGGGCGCTTAGTCTACCGATGTTCTCGAGGCAGTCCGTCTGATGGTCGGAGAGGGACAACGGTGGAAAAATCGATGATGTCAGGGGTGTGGGAACGATCAAACTTCGAGGACGTCGAGAGATCCGACGAAGCTGGAGATGGGAGATGAGAAGCGACGCACCTCTCCATGCCTGATCGCACTCCCTTGTTGCACACGCCGGTTTCGACCGACCCCGATGACCACTCCATCCGATTCACGAACGAGTGCAGCTCCGATCGGCACCCCTCCTTCTTGAAGTCCGAGCTCGGCCTTTGCGCGGGTCGGAGCGATTGTGGGACCGGGCGTCGAGGTGGATTCGAGGCCGAAAAACCGCATTTAGGTAGTAGATATGGTTGTCAAGTCAGTACATTAAGGGGGAACCACTTTCCGTTTCCCGCCGAAGGTGCCCAACCGGGATCCGATAAGATTAATCAACGCGGACCAAACCGGTCTTGGACGACGGCACTGACTTGGTAGATCGCATGAAGCATATTGCGCACATCCGACTCTTTCGGATTCAGAGTCGGGGCCGTCTTGATAGGGTTGGAAGGAACAAGCATTGTTTTGAGCTGAAGAGCTTGATGTGACGCGGTGGGTCGGGAGATGAGGGGAAGGCCCGGAAGGGGGAGTTTCGCAGCTTGATATTCGAAGCGCTTCGGCCGTGTAGAAAGCTGCAACAAGCGCTTACGGGCGGGAATCTGGGGCTTTGGCGCCGCACGCACGGTCGGGGACGCACGGGGAACATTATCGCACCCGCCGGCCGGCCGAGATTTTGACTGTTCACAACGTCATTATCTGGCATATTGATCTCTGCCGAATCATAGAATAGCAAATTAGGCCCTGTTCCTTTCCGTTCTCTGCCAAAATGTAGACAGCGATTACATACATCGTGTGACCGCCGCCGGGCCGGGAAGTTTGCACTGCAGTGGGGGGGTTATTTTGCCGCCGCCTTGCGCCAGCGTCCGCGTGCCTGCGCCAGCCTGCGCCAGCCTGCGCCAGCCTGCGCCGGTCGTTTCCCCGCGCTGCTCGGGCTCAGGCGCTCAGGCCTCAGGCGCTCAGGCCTCAGGCGCTCAGCAGGGCTGCCCCACCACGATCACAGCAAACCCACTCGACAAGGTTGGCGCCGTACAGCTCGCCCTCCCCGGCAGCGAACGCGGCTTGCGGCTCAACACGACGCTCGGACCGGTTCTATCCGTGCTTTCGAAAAAGTCAATACGCATCACTGGGCTACCGAGTCGTGGTTGCCTGCGGGACCCAGCAACTCGTGTGCGGACCCGACGGCTGAGCTCGAGGTCGCAGCCGACGCCGCCGGGCGATCCCGAGACGCCGAGCGCCAGTGATCGGTGCGACCACCTTGTCGGCCGTCTTTGGAGTGCACACCGTTTGCGTGAACCACCATGTTCGCCCCACCGGCCCTGGCGCAGAGCTCGGCCGCTGCGACTCCGTTGCCGCGTCGTGTGACGTACATCATCCCCGCCCCGACCTCGTCTCCGCCGCTGTTGTCGCTTCCGCCCGTCGACGTCGACCGAAGAGGCCACACCGCACCCCTGTACACTCGCGCACCAACGGGACTACGCGATGGTGGTGCGCCTTCGACGAGCCGTCCGCTTCGTTCGTCGCCCCATCCCCGGCATCGATTGGCCGTACAGGCGCTCGCGTTGGATCTCTCGACCGTCGTTTCGCGTTCCAACGGCTCGGACGAACCGGCGGGGATCCTCTACACCGGGGCCCGTGACGGCCTACTCTGTTCGTGGGAACTCGACCTCCCCGTCAAGAAGCGAAGGAAACGCTACGGGCAACCAACCGTTGATCTCGAGGATGACGACTACGACGAACTCGGCAGCGGTTCGGATGACGATGACGAGCGCGAGGCCGAACGACGGCATGATCCGAACGAATCCGAGACGAACGGGATCCTCGAATTGGACGACCTCGATCGCTCGAATCGATCCGTCTCTGTTCAAGAGGCGCAGAATAGAGCGAGGAGCGACTCGTTCCGTCGAGGGTCCCATGCCTCGGCCTCGACGGCGAGAGGAGCCAAAACCCCCGCCGAGAATGGTGTAAACGAGGCTTTGCCGATCGAGGAGCGGTGGGAGATTGATGACGATAGGTTGAACAACGGCCCGAGACCTTCACGTTTTCGTCAGTGCATTCAGTCCCATACCGATGTAGGTGCCCTGATCGCGCGAAACAAAAATAGACCGAGCATAGCTGATTTGTCCCTTCCTCTTCCACGTGCACGTGCAACCCGCAGTGGGTCAACGACATTGTGCTTTGCAACTCGAATCAAACTCGTACGTCCGTACCAAAGCGTGAACGTTTGAGTTGAGCTGACGACTGCTCTTCATCACAGTGGTTTCGGCCTCGTCCGACTCGCTCGTTCTGGCGTGGAACCCGCATGCATCCTCTCGACAGACGCAAGTCACTCCACAACAGATTGGCAAGCATACGGACTATGTGCGATGCCTCACCTCGGCGCGCGATGCCGGATGGGTGGCCAGTGGCGGATTTGATCGCAAGATCAACCTATGGGATCTCGGAGAAGGTCGCGAGAAGCCCATCATCGACCTCACCCCTCCGGCATCGATCTATTCGCTATCTTCGACGCCCTCGGGATCACTGCTGGCGGCGGGGACGCCGGAGCGCGTTGTGCGCGTTTGGGATCCTCGATCGAGGTCCCAGGTTGCTCGATTGGGTGGGCATACGGACAACGTGCGAGCCGTGTTGCTGGCGGAGGAGGGCAAATGGGTATGTTCATAGCTGGAGCACTTCGGATGGTCCGCGTCGATGCTAACGTTCACGTGATCCTGGTAGCTTCTGTCGGCGTCTTCCGATGCGACCGTCAAGCTCTGGTCCCTCGCGGCCCAAAGGTGCCTGCACACCTTCTCGCACCACTCGGAGTCCGTGTGGTCGCTCTTCTCGCAGCACGCGTCGCTCGAGATTTTCTACAGTGGAGACCGAGTCGGCAACCTGTGCAAGATCGACCTGCAAGGGACGGGTGAGCCAGGCGAAGGCGAATGCGTGTTGCTGGCTCGCGATTATTGCGAGGACGATCCGAGACCGGGAAGTCAGGGCATCTCGCAAATCGTGGCGCACGACGATGCGTACGTGTGGACCGCGGGAAGCAGCAGTACCGTCAAGCGCTGGCGCGATTGCCCGCCACGCCTGCGCCGCGCTGGTGCCATCACGACTCGACGCGAAGGGATGGCCTCGGTCGTGTCCTTGTCGGCACCGCTCGAAGAGGTCGACTCGAATTATCGACCCATGACCCCGCTGCGACCGGAGAGTTCGCCTGATGGTCGCGAGCGATCGGCCGTCGTTTCCTTTGCCGAGAGCCTGACCTCGGGCCTCACGCGGACGGTGTCGTCCCCGACATCTCCGACGGGAGCGAGTGGGAGCCAGCTCGTGGCGCATCGTCCCTCATCCCTCCGAGCTCGAGTGGTCCCATCGGCTAGTAGTGCTCGCCCCAGTCTGAGTGGGAACAACACAGGCTCAAGCTCTCAGCGCCTCTTTGACATCCACTACGACTCGCTCGTACCCTTGCGGTCCCCGGAGGCGTCGTACTTCTCGTCCGCTTTCCTGCATCGCGCACGGGATCCCGATGCGGCGACGATTTACTCGGTCACTTCTGGCCCAAGTCAGAGCTTCGGATCGCGGATCGCGGCCTCGGCTTCGCCTTCTATGCACCACATCCCGTGTAGCTTATCCGAGGTCACGCGTGAAACCAATCTGGCTCGTCAGGAATACATGGATCGAGAAGACTGCAGCGAGGCCACACCTCTGCGATCGAGTCCGGACGGCGTCATCGAAGGTGGCCAAGGACTGACGAGGTGCGAACTGCTGAACGATCGTCGGCACGCACTTACGATCGATACCGAGGACGAAGTCGCGCTGTGGGACATCATTCGGTGCGAGTGCCTAGGCGTGTTTGAACCCCAGGAAGTGCAGCAGCTGCGTCGACGCCCCTCTGATGCGGTCTCCAGCATGAGTGGATCGAGCAGTCCCGTCTCCGACGCCGTGTCTTCTGCGGACCTGCTGGACTCGGTACGGGAACGCATCGAAGGCGAAGGTGCGGTCGCGACGTGGTGCAAGTGCGATGCTCGAACGGGATCCCTCGTCGTTCATCTGGAAGAGGCGAGAGTCTTTGATGGCGAAGTCTACGCCGACGAAGCGATGCACATCTTGGCGGGCCGGGATCCCGGTCCGGAGCATCGCATCATCTTGGGCAAATGGGTCTTGCGCAACCTCTTTGACAGCTTCATCGAAGCCGAGCTCGAACTGCGAGCAGGGGGGCGTACACCCGTCCCGCATTCGAGGCGGGCGAATGGGGTGCCGAATTTCATCTCGCTCTCGGGATTGGCGACGGCGATGACCCCTGCTCCGACGGGGCTAAAGACACCCGGAATGACGATCGCGCTCGCGACGCCGGCGCTAAACCCCGTCATCATTCCGGCGCATGCACCTCCTTCGTTCAATTCCTCCCCTACCGCAATTCGCTCGCACGATCTCGAGACCATCCCCCAATCACCTACACCGCACGTCTTTGATGCCGGCGACTTCGCGCGCAACAGCGTCACTCCCGGGCTGGCCAAAACCCCCGCTGCGAACGGTCGAGGTGAGAATGACTACTTCTCCCTCCCAACTTCTCCGAACGATCCGACAACAGCCAGTCCCGTCATTCCCTCGTCACCTGGGCCTCTACCGACTCCTGGAGGAAGCCTGATGGGGAGGTTGAGGAATCTGGGCAAGGCGTCGAAGAAGCCAAATGTAGAGTCGACGGAGGCTCCTGCGGCAACTTCGTTGCCTCTCGAACCGGAAATGGTCGATGTAAGTTCGGATGGAGAAGCTCGATAGCCCTTTGATCGCACTACTGATCGTGCCCCGACCCCCCTCTCCCTCTGCCATGCAGACTCGTTCCGCGGCTGAACAACACCAGCATCAAGTGCTGCAAACCGTTTTCTCCCGTCCCTTGACTCCTTGCGAACCCGAAGATGCCCCAACTTTGACCTATCCGTCCGATACGGCCATCATCATCAGTGAAGGAGGGTTCAACTCTTCCGCTTCGTCCGTCATTTATCGTGGACTGGTCGGAACGGGTCGAGAAGACCTGGGCGTGTTGGAGCAAAAGGCGCCGCTATGGTTGCTGGATTTCCTCTTGGGTAACAGGGCCATTATGAAAGAACCGGTCAAGCTGGTCAGTGGAGTAGGCGATTGGCATTGGCAGGCGTTTGGAGCTGACAGCGTTTCTTGGGTCGTGCGCAGTCATTCCTGATCCAACCGTGGACAGACGAGAACGGCAAATCCGACCTTCCAGAACTGCCCAACTCGTGAGAGTAGAAAAGAGACAACACTGCAACTACGCGCTAGACCTCTGATAATGTTCTTTGTTCCCACAGAAATGCACGACTTACAGCGAATCGAACCCTTCGCCTGCGTAAAGTGGTCGGCTTCGTCGCGGACAAACTGAACCTTGGCTCGATCGGAGGACGGACCAGTATATCCAGCTCGAACGATCCTTCAAACCCGACCACAACGACTACCACTACGTTGACCACCGCATCCCCCACCGCCGACGCCCCCGAGCCCATTTCCGAATCGGCCGCCGTTTACGACCCGGAGAAAGAACTTGAGATCCTCGTGGGGGACGTTGTGCTCCCTGGATGGTCGACGATCGCGAGTGCGAGGACGTTCCATTGGAAGAACGGTGGTGATTTGGTGTTGCATTATCGGTTCAAGAGGACTGGCACTGCATGAGATAACGGAGGGTAACATGTTGTAGTTAGTGTAATGGAACGGAATGAATATTTGCGACCGTTGAGAAGTGGACGAGCCTACTCCGCCGGCGGGACGAAGTTATGTGTGGCATCGGAACGCTGACAGCCACTTTCTGAGCAAAGAGAGTTCTCCGAAGATGGTTCGGGCTGCTGAACAAAACGGTGGATTGGTTATGCAATAAAGCACGAAGAAAAGGCCTACAACATCGAGCCCGTGCTCAGTCCTCGGCCAACAGCATCTCGAGGCGGACGCCGAGCGGCGCTCAGTTTCGCCGTCGGGATCTTGCGACGTCAGGCCGTCAGGGGTAAAGGCACGGAAGCCCATGATGGCGGTTGCGGCGGCGAAAGGTCATCCCAGAGGTGGCACTGGCTGCGTGACGGAAGATTCAGTGGGTAGAGGTGAGAGAGGAGAAGGGAAGAGGAACATCGTGGGGGCCCAGTCCCTTCGAAACGTTCCAAAGTGGGGCTCACCTTGGCTCTCCTTGTCCTCCGCTTGGCCATCCCTTGCAAGTGAAACGGATCCAGCGCGACGGCTGCGCGCTCGCTCGACCCGGCGGCAATATTGCAGTGCATGGACTCTCAACAAACATGAATGGCAGAAAAGATATGTACGACTCGCCCAATGCTGGCAAGTGTGGATGGTGGCCTAATGATAGAATTTGCTCACGTCAAGGCGCCCGATGCCCACGTTCCTACCGCTTCGCCTCCCCCGGCTGATCCTCTATCAATAAATCCCAGCCTTCATCCCCTCCCCCGACCGAGCCTTTATGAGCCGCTCCATGTACTTCCGTTTCTCTCTCGGGTGTTCCTCTTTCTAACGTCCGTTCCAACTCCCTCGCCTCCTGCTCCAAATCCAGCAAAACCTCCCCCTCATTGACGCGTTCCTCGAGATGCGGGATCGCATGTTCTTCCATTTCATGCGTTTTGGAAGCGTGCGACGCTCGCCGCAGATGAACCGCGTCCCCAGCTGGAATCGACAGAGAAGACCGGGACGAAGAGGCGGAGGAAGGGTTCGACCCGAGGGTGTGGTGGGAGCCGCGCGTCAGTTCGTGAGGTAGGTTATCGAGGTAAACGGCCGAGGCGTTGGTCTGCTTTCATGAGAGCAGAGATGATCAGCAGCTCTTCCTGAAACGCAACGATACGTCGTCGAATGTGAGTAACTCACGACCCTTAACGCCCGCGAAGCTGATCTCTCCCTCTCGGTCAACAGCATGACGTCCTCGTCCTCCGCCCGATTGAGGCGCGATAGATCGGCCGAGCTCAGATCGTGGTCTCCCAAATGTAGGCTCGAGCGCGCGCCGTGCCCATGTCCATGCCCTTTCGCGGACGACGGGTCGTCAGTGAATTGTTTGTACTTGAAGTAGTTGTACAAGGCGATACCTGAGCAACGAGGAGTGATGCCTTCTCAGCTGCGAACGAAGGCTAACATTCACTGGCATCCGTGCCGAAACTTACCGAACAGGGTGACGACCAAACCCGAAACGTTGATGGGCGTCAACTGGTCGTGGAATACGAACATGGACAGGAAGATCATGGCGACCTCTTTGAAGATGCCGGCCACGGAGAGGGTGACGACCGAAGTGCGCTGGATCAATCTGGCGACGATTTAGGGGGTCAGCATCTCATCAACTTTGGTGGGACGGCATTCATTCAAATTCACCCGAACTCGGCGACGTTCATCGCGAACGCCAGAAATCCCGGTAACAACATCGCAAAGAGCGTGTTGACGGTGAGGCCAAACGAGCCGAAAAAGGTCTCGTTCCCAAACACGTTCCTCCACCCGTCGAAAATCATGGAGCACGTCGCCAGCACGAAGCCCATGATGGGTGCGAGCCAATACAGCGTTGCGATCGGGTTCGACATGCCCAGCGATTCCTTGTCGAGGAGGATCTGAACGAGCGACCATCTCAGCCCGCCCAATGCCGAGGCGGTGAGGACCTCGACCATTCCTGCGGGGTCGAAGCGGGTCTCGGTCGACACCATGAGCACCACCCCACCCGAGATGATGGTGATAATGCCGGCAAGTCGCCACGACGGTTTTTCGAGCCTGAATATGAAGGCAAAGAGCAGTACAAAGGCCAAGCTCGAGGATTTGCACATGGCTGTGTGTCGAGGTTGAGAACTTGTCAGCGACAGTCGGGAGAAACGCCTTAGACTCGGGGAGGGTGACGTACTGTAGAAGGAAAGGGTGATGGTGCGCAGCGACAGGTTCGACAAGCCAATGTCCAAGCCCGAGGCAACTCCACACGGTACGACCTTGGTACTGGATGGCAAGCGCCCCGCGGGGATTGTGTGAGCTCCGACCGACCGAAATGACATGTAGCGCACGTGACCTCGGGCGCCGCGCCTGGACCGACTCACCCAAAGTCTTTGAGCCCCGGTCGATTTTTGGATCGCAGTCGAGTGGCCATGCTCAGTGTTATGGCCGAAAGTGACCACTGCACGAACATGTGGAAAGATGTGACGAATAATGGATATGGGCTGCGATTGGTGGGACATGATCGCGTCAGCTCCGAAGGCGTCGGAAGGAGGCTAGACGCCTTGCATACGACGAGGAACGCACAAGTTGTAGTGCTCTTTGGAAAACATCCACTTGTCTGAAGGGGATTGGAGCTTATATCAGCCCTTTGATTCCGGATCGAGATGGCTCAGTGAAAAGCATACTGTAGACCGAGATGGCGGACGAGAACGAGTACCTGAGCGGGAGAGTATAGACCTCTCGGTGAGCGTCGGCTCGGCATCGAAGTGGTCAGGGGGCGCATGTACTGACCACGCCGCAATGAACACGGCATTGACCGCTGCCCTTCTCCACCACTCTACTCTCCTCCTCGAAGCCTCGGCTGCGCTAAGCGGTTGTGCCCGGCGAGGAGCGCCGCCATCGAAGTGGCTGCCTGTCCCACGCGTCGGTGTCGAAGTCGATGGAGAGGGGCCACCCTCGTGTGCGCCACGCGAAAGTCGCCGTTGCTCGTTCTGCCATGCCATCTCATCCTCCAACGCGCGATCGTCGTCCTCTTCGTCGTCCTCGTCGTCCTCGTCGTCCTCGTCGTCGCGCTTGCCACGATGTGGCTTGGCGCCGCGAGAGTGTACGATCGAATCGTAGCGTGGTGCAGCCGATCCAGAGTCACTCTCCAACTCGTGCCTCTTCTGTGCCACATCCTCAATCGAATACGTCAACGATCGCGAGGCCAGCGCATCCTCCTCGACCAGATGAGCCGCTCGGGTGGGATCCGCCATGTCGTGGTGAGCGTCGTCGCCTGTCGAACACGGCCAGTATAGTGCCGGCCGATCGAGGATGACTCAACCGCGTGGATCGAGGTGCAAACCGGGCCGATCACCGAGGTAGACTGAGCTCGGTCGACACTCTGTAGAGAGATTCAGGTCTACCGTGGGGCGAGGGAAGGTTAGCACGCGGTATACGCGAGGTAAGGGGGAGATGGGGAGAAGCCAACGCTGACCGGAACACGACGACGGCCGAGACGAGGCTGCCGCGCCGCTCAAGCCGATAAGCGATTCTCTCGGTGAAATTTCGACCGGCTACGGCCATGCTCTTTCATTTTTCATTCATATATCTCTTAACATTTTCGGTTCGAGAATCGACACGCTTCAATGCTACAGGGAATCGATAATATGCTCGGGTAGGCTACAGGCGGCGGAAAAGGCGGCAAAGCTCAATAAATATATGGGTGGAAGGCTCACGCGAAGCGCTTGTACATGTATATTCTTGCAAGCATGTTTTCTTCCAATGTCTAGACCAGGACCGGCTCAGATCTTGGCTGTGACATCACCACAGTCGATCCCGTGGTGGTAAGCGTCCGTCGCCGGTGCGGACTTGGCCGTGTTGCGGCAATGGCCAAAGATGTTCAACGAGTAGCTTCCCTTGGCGAATTTGGACGAAACGTACGACGACCTCGACTGGACCCAGCACGACGAACCGTTCCAGAAGAAAAGGGTCTGACCGCGATCGTTGCTCGGACTTTGTTTGGCCGCGAACGAGGCGCACGAGTCGTAAGAGGTGACCGGGTTCGAGCCCCATTGCATGTAGGTCACCGGGTAGCCGCCGGTAGGGGTCACGCCTGAGGTTTTGCTCGTGTTGTCTGAGGCGCGCGAGAAAAGTCGAGGCGTACGGTCAGTTCTCGAAGAAGGAGGGCGACGCCGCGGTGGTCCAAGAAGCTGCCGAAAACTCTGCTGCGGATGACTCACTTCCGTATTGCGAAACAGCCACAGGCAGCACGCAGTGATTACCGATGGTGTTGAGGACAGCATCGGGTTTGCACTTGAGAGGAGCGAGCGATGGGGCGCAGGATGCGGTGTAGATGTCCGAGCAGCAGGCAGTGCCTGTTTGGACAGCAACAGTGTTGAAAGAGGATTCGGCGCATGCATCTCTTGAAGGTGCCTTCACTTTTGGTGTACTGGTTAAGGCGACCAGGATGGTTTTGCAACAGGTTATGAGCCTAACGAGCAATTGCTGCTCTTGTTGGCAAGACATCTGCGGTTTGAATCCCGCTCACTGTTGCAAAACCATCCTGGTCGCCTTAACCAGTACACCGCAAACACATCGGCTCAGTTACCGCACTCTAGGGCACTTCGACCAGGGACGGCAACTCACCATCGGCGGTGTTGGCGGTGTTGGGGGGGCACTTGAAAGCAACGCACTTGCCCTTGGTGACGACTCCGTATTCGCACTCCGTAGACTGGGTGCTGTTGCACGAGAAGGCGTTCTTGTCGGGGCAGCGCGTGCAGGTTTTCCCTGAGCAATACGAAGATGATGATTAGCCAAGATGAATTGGCAGACATTGACCCCCTTTTCGTAGTATCTCAGACAACTCACCATTGGCAGCGGGGTAGGTCGCGCAGGATCGCGCCGGTGCAGGTCACGGCGGCGCACTTGCCGTTGACAGGGGTGCCGATGTTGCAAGCTACGGACTTGCCCGTGCTGTCGCAACGACTAGCCTTACTGTCGGGGCATGCGATACAGGTGAAACCTTAAGAAACCATGATAACGTTCAGTTTTGCGATCATATTTCACGAGGGTTTTAGTGAGCAAGCGCTCACCATCCTGAGGCGAAACATAGCAGGGACCGGAGCAGCTGGTTCTGAGCTGGCACTTGCCGTCGTCGAGCTTGCCGCGAGAGCTGGTGGGTGTTGATCCATTGAGGAGGGCGGATTACGTTTTGAAACGAAATCAGATCAAAGGGATCGGGATCGAGTGAAAAGAATTTAGCAAAAGCTACTGACCAGCTGGTGGCTTCAGACTCGGTGCAGGTCAATGCGTTGGTGAACTTGGAGGTGCAAGGCAAGCACGATTTCGCTAATAACAGATTCGTGGCGGAAGATTAGCCAGTGCTTCTGCGACCATCAGTCCGGCCATGCCGAATTACTTACTACGCTTGTTGAAGTATTGCGCGGACTTGCACGACTTTGCGGTCGCGCTGTCGTCCACCGAGCCGGGCGTCGGTGCAGCGACGACGGCTTGGATTGAACCAAAGCTGGCGCCGAGGGCGAGGATTTGGGAAAACGACAACAGCATGTCAACAATGTGTAAAAGTGTAGGGTCGGTGTGGGGATGTGTGGTCGGTGAAGTGTAAGTCTCGCTTAGCTTCAGATGAGGAGGCGTAAAAGGAAGGGAGAAAGATGAGATTTGTCGACGGGAAGCAAAGTCGACTCCTTCCTGTCGGCCTGAAACGATGATGGGCCTCCCGAGCGCAGCCTAAAGTGGTCGAAAGCGGCGATGCACTCTAATAGTCACAGCCTAAGGTCGCCCATCTGGCGAGTTCGCTGCAGAACAGTAAAGGGCCGAAAGTACCACCCGGCTCCCGAAAATGCTGTATGTCTCGCAACAGTACCAAATTGAGGTGCGGTGCTGGATAGGCGCCGTCGTCAAATTGGCGATCGCTTCCCAAAACGGCGTTCGAATGGGACTCTTTCATCGCGCGCGGACTTGGCAATACGAGGCGGTTCCGCCTTGCCTTCTTCCGCTATCGACCTTCTCGCCGGTATTGTGTGCTACTACGAGCTGGTGGCGCTGCTTATAGATCTCTGCCCATTATAGCTCTTTTCCTTCGTCGAGCGTCTGGCGTGTATAGCGCATCGAGCCGAAGTTCGGCCAATCGGTCGGCGATTTGCGAGGGAAATGGAGAGGCGCGCGCACCCTGTGAAGCGCTCGTTGTCTCGGGTGGGGGGGGGCCCACATCGTCGGCCTCGAAGCGGCAGATCGATCGAGTCACAGTTCCCGATCGTCTGTCGACCTCTGGTGTCGCTCATTGCTCGGCGGTAGATCCGCGGTATGAGAGAGGTGTGGCTCACGTGGGTTTTCCGAGTTCCTACCAAGAAGTCACTCCTTGTATGGAGTTGGCGCGTGGAACGGACTCGGCCGCTCCATGATCAGGCAATACTACTATGTAGCACTCGAGCTCGATCGGACCGGTCACGTCCCTCTGCCTCGCTTCACCCCATCCCGAGACGTCTCCCGGCTTCCGTTCCACGGGACTGCATAAGGTACGCCTGGGACCCACGGGAGCAATTTAGTTTACGAGTACTAGGGCTCGGGGGGCGCTCCGCGCCCACCTCCCTGTGTAAATGAACGTCGTTGCGAGCTCCGCCCGCACCTCCCGGACTGTGGGGGGGGGGGGGGGGGAAAGATCGGCGCGCGCGCGGGGCTGAGAACCTTATTTAAGTCGTGCACTATCTTATGTAGATGTTTTATGTAGATGTTTTATGTAGATGTAGATTAAGAATGCTGACCACTGTTCACTTTGAAGGCCTTGCACTTGGGGAATTTTCGCTTCATGTACCGTCCGATGCGTATTCGGAGCTTCGCCAGGGCTGTGAGGGATGGGCTCTTCCCACGGGCCTTGCCAACAACTGAGACAAGATCTCCTCTCCTTATTTGATGACACATTGCTTTTGGACAAGTCAGACGAATTTGGATCATTCTGAAACGACCCGAACACGTAGTCGATTGCAGTGTTCTTCAGCGAATTGTTCGCACGTTGGAGCGCAGTCAAGAAAGATGTAAGGGTTTGATCCCTCAAAGGTCGTGAGAATTGCTGCAGTCGACTGTCGACGTGTCCAGGTCGTTTCAGGATGATCCAATTTCGTCTGAGTTGTCCAAAAGCAAAGAAACGAAAGAAAAGTAAGAACGACTGTCCAAAGGTAGATACTGTGACATCAAATAAGGAGAGGAGATCTTGTCTCAGTTGTGGGCAAGGCCCGTGGGAAGGGCCCATCCCTCACAAGGGCTGAGATCGTCATCCTTGTCGACGCGAGACAATCTTAGTATCCTCGACAACAATGCAACTCCGCATCCGTTTGGACTCAGGACTCTTTGTTTCGGAATTGGATCTTCAAGAGCCGTTGGATCGTAAGACATTAACTCCTGCCTGTCCGAGTCGCTCGGGCAATATAAATGTCGGAGATTGCCGCGAGGGGAGTTCAAGTACGGCGCAAGTGCCAGGCTCGTGCTGGCCTGAGAAACCGGTGGCTCGAGCACGGCAGTAAGCCTCCGGTTTCGAACCCAACACAAAACCAAGGTTTCGACCTGATGTGAAGTCTGGGCGACCGTGTTAGATATTCTGTGGTTTCCTCACGATCCTCGACTTGTTCAAGAGTTGAGAATCATGCCCGGCAGTGAGCTCCGCGCGAACTGCGAAAACCCCAATTCAGGGGCCGCTTGGACCCACGCCTCAGGGGCTATCCGACACTAGTCAAATTGGACCCACCCTGTCGGTCCGGAGGGCGGTAGAGCTCTAGAATCTGCTCCTTTTCCGCACACACTGAACCAAAGGACGTTGATCCCAGACTAAATGCTGACTGTCACCGCCGGTGACGCCGGTGATTCAGACCCGACCTAACCCGAGCGACCCGAAACTGCTGCAGCTATCTGCGGGTCGCCTCTTGCCTTCCTACATCCCTGTTCCGACCGCTCACCCTTTCACTCACTTCTGCACCAGACCCCCACGGCACCACAAAACCTCTGATGATTTGCTTCAGTCTGCATGTGCTCGCTCTCTCTATGGTTGCGTCGGTCTTGACATCGATGGCGACAGCCACCACGAATACCACACTGTCCTTCCCTCTGTCCAGGATCCCCGGCGAATTTCAGGACTTCGATCAGAAGTGCCGCACCTGGGCGGACGAAGGCACGTTTGTGGTGAGGTTACCTGTGCTGATTGACCCAAAAATTCCACGTCTGTAAAGACAAGGCAATCTTCACGAGCACTGACTGCTATCTATTCGAATTAAACGTGTTACAAGTCAAGGGGCCCGGATCCGCTTGGAATTCAGAACTGCGAAGTATTGGCCTTCAACGCGACCCTCGGCACGCCTCATAGCGAGTCGCCTATCAAAGACCGGCTAGGGATCGAGGCAGCCAAGTACGTCTACGAGAGCCGTTGCTTCTGCGAGCCTGCGACCCAAGAGCCGATAATATGGTTCAAGAGGTACCAGAAGTGCGCGTTGTATGGTGAGTAGTTATTAGACATTTATATTTCCGTGTTATATGATCAAGCTAGGTAATAGGAGTGCAGGATCGAGTCTGAACAGTCTGCTTCTTGTCCGTTCGCAGGACCCCCCCAAAACGGCATATTTCCCAAGAAACCCCTTCCACAAAATGACCCCCGCCCAAATACGCTATTGAAAGCGCGCTGTGGCCAATGCACGCGGGACATAACAGACCCCCGTGAGTTTGGACTGATGATCCCCGCGCCGTCCCGGCTTGCGTATCCGGTTTCGCGCCCACATCATGAGAAGCAGGTGGGTTAGACCATAGAAGATAGAAAGGCTGAGTAAACCTACCACAAGGTGTATCAGAAACTATCGGGTGCTAGCAAGATGGCCCAATTGGTGTCGAATATAATCAAAAGCTCAATCATGCGCAACCCACGAGGTGTGCCCGTTCGGCACCTTCAATTGAACCCCCCCCCCCCCCAACCCCCCCCCCACCCAATCACCAATAGTCCGCTACAACCTCCACAATCCGGGACTTTGAGCCTCCGTATCGATTCTGACCCGTTTTTTTCTCGCACCGGGTACATATTGTAAGTGCAGCCATTGGTATCGATCTCACGGGCCTTCCGTCGTGGGGTAATCTCCTAACTGACCTCAGTCGGCACCGGTGCCCTCGTGGGTGTCCGAACATCCGCACCCAAGTGCCTAGTGTGAGGCACTGAGTCATTGTTCAGTGCCTGCAGTAAATATTAACGCGCCCCCGGAGGGGGCGACGGGTCCCTGAACCTCTGACGGAGTAACACCGACTGACAACATGTGCCAAACATTAATGAACATTGCAGACAAGAAGAGATCGAGCCAGAGCCGGGGTGTACATGCATAAGTTGAGATCACTTGACATCGCCCATGCCACAGTCCGTGTCTGGTCCGACTCCGACTTTGTGTATGTATGTGGTCGTCAGCGCCGGGGACCCACATCGCGCTTTCACCGAACTTGGCTATAAGAAGTGGTTTCAGTTGACGTTGAGAGATCGGGACTTCAGGGAGCGACTTACGTTTTTTTTGGAAGGGCCACTGCAAGGCGAATGTCACGGTAATGGACCTCTTGACCGGTGATAGCTTTTTCTTGGGCGACGGTGGACGGTCGGTGAGAAGAGGGGGACAAGGGAGAACCGCCGCCGGCTTGACCCGGCACGTCGAGGCGTCGCTTGTCGGGCGTGTCGCCCGCCAAAACAGCCGCGGCGGGCGGACTGGTGCACGGCCACATTGACTTCTACTGACAAGGCTGTGATGATGACGATGCGATAGACATGTTAAATCAGCTTACCCATACAGGAATTTAGTTGATTGTATGCGTGACTTGCATGAAGAGGGGCTTCTTCCTGGCATGTACCCGGATCCGATGCGGCACGAACTGAAAGCGAGCGTGTGGGGCTTGTCTCGCCTGGTTGAAGTACGTGTGTGCTTGGACGAAACGCCAGAATACGGTCGATATGCGGTAAATTTTCTGCTGCGATTCGAGCCACCTTCTCTTTGGGGACCCGAAAAGCGAGGTGGCGAAACACGTCTCGTCGGCGGAGAATGTTCGAGATGATGAACGGGAAAGACGGGTCGCACCGAAAATCGCTGTCGTATAGATTGAGCCAATGTTTGACTTGCTCGTCCAGAGAAATCTTGACGTCGCGCTCGACACAGACACCGACGAGACCGAATGGATCGAGGTGTGGCCACCTTGCAGCTTTGAGAGCAGGAAGTCATCCGAAGATCCCCACAAAGGGTCGTCGCCTGTCGGAATGACATGGGGGGGCTGGTCTTGCAGTGGTTGAAATAACGGAGAGCTTTCTCAGAGAACTGCCACGAGTGAACTGGTTCGTCGGTAGCGGGTGGCGGCACATGGACGTGTTCGAATACTGGTTCATCAGAGTCGTTATGCGCTGTTGCATAGCCTTCAAAGAGCGATGATGTTGGTTCCACTGTCTCTGCGGTAAACACATTCGCCAGAACTGCGTCGGGCACGAGACTGTCTCCATCCGAGGTTTGTCCATCCGACACTTGGGGAGCAAGCGAGACGGAAGCCGAAGCCGAAGTGGAAGCTGAAACCGCCGTGGGTGCTAGAGAGGTAGAGTTGAGCACACCAGAATTGCGTCGAACGAGCTGTGCAAGTCTTTCGCCATTAAAAAAGGAGACGGCAGAGTACGCCGGATTCTTGCTTTCGTTGATCAACCACCTGAGCATCGTTTGGATCCGACTCTGCTTCACGATCATGGGTCGACACTTGTCCAGCTCCGCAAGGTTGGGGTTCCCTCTGCAGAATAGAACGCACACACTGTCAGCGAGTTCCTCGACTAACATGGACAGTACATCGGTGAACGAAGCGGTGTTCTGGCTGAAGATGAGGGTGTTTCCGCGCGTATATTCTTGTTGAACTTTGGGATCTCCGAAACGAGTTAGCTTGTACACGTTCTTGTAGGCTCTGGCGCGCGGAGTGAAGAGGTGCTCAAGCTGACTCGCGTTGGAGAGGTATACTCGGACATCAGCGGGGACATGATCCAGTGCGCGATAAAATCTGTTGCTCAACGACCGAGGGGGCTTAGTCGGTGGCCCTGTGGTAGGGAACGACTGTTTGAAGCAGTCTGGACAGAGTGAGCACTGAAGCGTGTTGTTCATGGGCGAGTACGCGATCTGATCGAATAAATCGCTCGGTCGATGAAGACGTCGGGGATGAATGAGTGCGCCCCGCCAAGCTGAAGAATCGTAAGTCGGTGGTCGGAGGTCCGTCCGTAGTGTAGAGTTGGTTAATATCTTCCAAATCCCTGATTCCTCACGCTTGATGTGGTGTTCAGGCACCCATCGTACTTTATGCCCGAAGACTCTCTCGGAGCACACCAGGCAGCAGAAGAGAAGGGAACAAGCGTCGGTGAAGTAAACATTCCATTCAGAACGGTGCTCGGTCTTGTACTGATCGGATGCTGGCGCAAAATGCGATGTCACTTTACCGGGTTCTTCTTGTTCGGGTTCGGGATGCAGCGGTGGAAGTCTGTGCAGCGTTTGTTTAGAGTCAGTCGCTGAGACGTTCTCGCGATTCTTCTGAACTTCTTCGTTCAGTCAGGCTCGAAGCACGTCAACAGGTTTTGATGCGTATGCTCTGTGGTCGGGGAAGCAATGTCGACGTGGCGGAGTCACGGGGGTCGCGGCTTGTTGTCTTCTGAAGACATACTCATTTGAACAAGCATCACAGTTTGGATCGCACGACCAGACGAGTACTCGTAGGAATCGCTCTTTCGCAAGCGGGTTCCTGCTGGAGTATCCTTCCACGTGGTGCGCCCGACAAAGCTCCTTCAGGAGATCCATGCTGAAGTTGATGCTGCTGCGCACGAGCTGCCCAAGACTGCATTTGACAACCACATCTTCGAGTACTGACACTCAACTATTGCGTAGGAGCGGACCGGAAGACACACACTGTGCTCGATCGGTGCGGCGGGAGGATCGGCTGTCGCTAGTGGTGGACGCGGGCTTAACACGTTGTGGAGATTCGAGGCGTTGAGCGCTGTGGGTGTGGGCTGACCTCGATGGTGCGGAGGTGTACAAGATCAGAAAGCAGTGACATGACGGCGATTGTGTGATAGCCTGTCTTAGAGATGCGAGGAAACTCGGTCCAAGTTAGAATAAGGCAGTACAGAGAGGAGAGGGCCGGGCGGTGGCAACTTGCTAACGGAGGCCAGCCTGAGTGCGCTAGCAGGCGCTAGCTTGCGCTTGTCTGCGCTAGTATGTAGTGTGCTCTGGCGCGGGAACTCGGGAAGGCTGATGACGCCCAAGCTGTGTGCTGAGAGCGCCGACTCGGGAGTCGGCAGGTTAGGTTAGCAACCGGGCTGGTGGCCACTGGCCATTGAGAATTAATGATCGGCGCGCTTAGCCGGGTCCTCCTATCCGGGGGAGCATTGTTCAAACCGATCGGCGCTGACACCGAGTCGGACTCTCCTATTGCGCTCAAAGGCAGGGTCCTCCCATCGAGGGGAGCATTGTTCGCACCAATCGGCGCTGATATCGGGCTCTCCTATTGGGGTTTCGACAGCCACGCGCGTGCGGGGTATTTCGGCCATTTCGTCCAATAAAATCTCAGAATAGCATCATTTTCGAGGCTGGGACCCCGCCCCCCCCCCCCCCCCCATTTTTCGAAACGAAACCTTCAGCTCTAACGAGCTTCAGGGATTCACTTTCCTCAACTTGATTGGAAGCAAGACGTCGCTTGGCCCTCACCTTTGCAGCACGGCGTGCGAAATTCCGTTGCAATCACAGTACCGTCGTGATTCCATTCACGACTGAGGGGTGGACCTTCCACTGCAGCGCATCCTGCCCACCGTGCTATCATCCCATTACAGTTATTTGTAAGCATTCCCTCCATCTTCCAACTTGGAGCCTAAGGCAGCGTCGTACTACTCGAGCGGAGCAGCAGAACTCCTCGCGGATGAACTTCGAACTTACTATCTCCGGCTCTTCAGCTGAGCTCGTATGGGTTGCTGTACATTGTCGTGAAGTAGGATTGGATGCTTTGTCTGCGTGGTTCTACTTCGCTGCTCCGCGGTCTTGCGTAGCTTGTTTTGTGCTGCATCCCGATGCTGTGCATAGCTGTGCCTAGCTGTGCCTAGCTGTGCTCGCTGCAAGCTGCTGCAAGAACCGCCGGGCATCGGCACATCGGGTCCGGCGCTCAGCGCTCAGCGCTCAGCTCAGCCCAGCACCCATCATTACTCAGTACTCAGTCTCGCGCTCGCTCCTACTCGACACGAGTGGTCGCTCGCCGAACCCACGGAGAACTGATGAGCGCATGACCCCGTCCACGCATCCTTGGCCTGAAAGCCACAGACAACAATGAACGACTCGGCCCCAGTGGCGCTGACAGTGAACACTACAGCTGTACTCAAGCCCGCGATCGAGACCATGTCGTCATCTTCATCGGCATCGCTCCGATTGCTCGACCTCGTCTTGCCCGCGCTGTTGCTCCTCCTCTCGCTCGTCCTACGCGTGCTCTACACCGACACACGACCCAAGAGTCTAGGTGCCCACTTGTACAGAGCCAGGACGGCGCATGCTCGCTACCTCCCCTCCCCCGCCGGCCATCGCTTCTCATATCCCGTCCTCTTTCTTGGCCTCGATCTGGACCAACTCGAGCACCCGGAACGACCCTTGGATCAGGGCAGATGGTTCCGGTACGACTCAAAGCGATGGAGCTGTATGGCCATCCGACCGAAGGTGTACCTCGAACCACCGAGTGTGGGAGGGAGCGCGCTCGAGCAGGGCCAGTCAGCGGTCGACGATCACACGCCGATCAAGACCAAACTGCTGCGTCACATCCAGCAAAGAGGGATACCCGTCGATCTGGTCGACAAGACATACACGGTCACGATGCCGGCCTTTATGGGAATGCAGGACATCAACCCGCTCTCGATCCACTACGTCTATTCGCTGCTCAACTCGGAAGGAAAGCCTCGACGGGAACGGCAGCTCAACGTCGTCGTGCTCGAGGTGTCCAACACTTTTGGCGAAAAGCACCTCTACATTCGCCAATGCGGTGTGGACGAGGATGAACGTGTCGCTTCTGGGTCAGTTCATTCACGCCATGCGCTGGCGACTAGAACCCTCTGACTTACCCACGCCCAAACCCTTTCCCCCCTCCTAGCTTTGACCATCAATGGACGTTCCCTCGAGCATTCCACGTCTCGCCCTTCAACGACCGCACGGGCCACTATCGCGTATCCCTCTCGGACCCTCTCGCCAGACCCAACCCTTCCACTCCATCCTCATCTTCGTGCCTGCCCTCGCATGCCCACCTCAACCTCAAGATCGTCTTCCTGACCCCTTCGTTCGAGAAAAAGTTCTTTGCTGACCTCTCAGGCCCCGGCGAACCTTTATCACCGTCGTCAATCCTCTCGGCTTTACTCAAGTGGCCTTTGACGTTGTTTTTGACAACGCCACGGATTCTGTACCAGGCGATGCTGTTGCATTATCGGCATCGGCTGGACGTGTTCCCCCGACCGGAGCCGTTCGTTCAGAGCTCGATTGAGGAGGCGGGAAATGTAAGGCTCGTTAACCCCGTTCAACAGGGAGCCTTGCCTGCAAACTTACAATGGCAGGAGGAGAAGGCGTTCGAAGCCAGGTGTCGAGGCAAAGTCGTCGCGTTCTTGGAACGACGGGTGGCGGGGATGACTGCCTCGGGTGAACGGAAGGTGCGGATCGTCATTCGCCCCGGCAACACGTCAAGACCAACCACAACAATTCCTTACAACTCGGAGCTTCCTGCTCTGGGCGATAAAATCGACATCGACACCGTCGTCATCAACTACGTCTCGAACCAATTCTGGACGGACCTTTACACGTCCCCTTCGATCCACCTCGCTCTTGAACTCGGATCGAAAATCGAACAAAGGTGGTCGACGAATAACGACGACTTATTCCTTGAGGTGGTCAAACCTCTCTCGAATCATCTTGCCAATCCATCACGTACAACGAAGTACATTCGCTCGCTCCGGATCAGGCAAATGAACTGGTCCAGATCCTTCTCATCCACTTACCGTCACACACCTCCCGACTCTACGCTCGGCGTTCATCCCTTGGACGATGACGCGCCTTCCATTTCAGACCTCCAATCGCTCCTCGGACACTTTCTCGTTGTGCGATTAGGATACTGGCTTTTTGTCGTCTTTGGAGCAAGATTCGTTCGAGGCACCGAGCCCTGGGAGGAATGGGCGAGATGGGAAAGAAAGTTCGGGGACGTGGATGATGGGGGAGGGAAGAGGTGCGAGGTCGAGGACATGGCTGTGGGAGGTGTGGGGAGTGTACTACGAACGTAAGGGTTCCTCGTCTCGTTACATTATTGAGTTGTAAAGATAGCGCACTCCGCATCCCCCGAGATTGGAGAGTCGAGACCATGATAAGCCACAGCGAGTGAACCGGATCAACAGCAATATTCTGACAATTGTGCGGAGAAGTGGTACGCAAGCACAAAACCACTACTGTATTCAACGACGATTCGTGACGCGTTGAACTCAAGAACAACACGCTTCTCGCCATTTGCTCCCTTTGGGCTGGGGCCCTAATCGAACGACCGGACCGCCCCTTTCCAGCTGATGTTTGTGCTCCTTCTCGTCCTTGTACCATTGCCACGTGGCCCTTTTGGCGATGTACTCGAACCTGAAAAGTCAAGCATACTCAAGGTATTAATTTTCGCGTAGTTGGCTCGCGCCATGGCGCGCCTGCAGACTCACACATCCTCGACGCCTTCCCCCGTTTTGGCCGACGTTCGAAAAAGTTTGATCCCATCCTTCCCATAGCTATAACCCCCTTCCAATCCAATACTGGCACTTCCCATCGGGCCACCCACTTCTCCACCCGGAATATTATCCATTTTTCTCTCGTTTCTCTTCCGTTCCTCCTCGATCAACCTCATCTTTTCGTTTTTCTGGAACAACGAAGGCCCCCCGAGGTGCTTGCCGATCGTGACGAGGTGCGACGGCGGATGGGGTGGGGAACTGGCCATGAAGGGGTCGATCCCTCTCGCCACGTCCCTCTCGTAGTCGGCCGAGTTGGAGTTCTCTTTATATATCTCGAGCCCATTGGCCATATCTCCGAAGTCGTCCTCTGAAGCCTCGGACGAAGTTAACGGACTCCTGATCAAGGACGGCTCCCCTCGTCGCCGTGACGGGGTGATGGTATCGGCGCCGCTGGCAAGCGAGTCCAACGACTCGTTAAAGCTCGAAGAAGGTGTATGGTAGATCGTTTTGAGCGAAGTCGAAGCCGGAATTTGATTTTTCTGGACGCTGAGGCCGCGAGGGGATCGAAGTAGTTGGGGCGCCGTCTCCCGAGTCGGAGAGCTCGATCGACTTCCTCCGGTGGTCGAAGGAGGAGGGAGGATATCGATTCGAGTCGGCATTTCGGCACAACATGTTGCTACACCGTTTCTAAAGGAGCCCTTCTTCGTCATGTTGGAAGCGTTTGATACTTTCCTCCGTGTCGTCGTCTTCCGGGGTGAAGACACGGCCGGTCCAGCAGAGTCCTTGACCGTGTATCCGACCGTCTCCTCCTCCTCGACATCCAGGTCTTCCGACGACTGGCCCAACAGATTCTGCAAAAGTTCTTCTTCCTCTCCGGCGCTGAAAGGACTTCCACCTTCTTCAACCGTCGCGTCCAAGTCGATCTTGGACCGGACAGCGACCCAAGTGAAGTTGTGCGGATCGTCGACGGGCGCCTTGGTAGTGAATTCGTCGAACCAGCTTTGGAGTGAGTGCAGAGATCGGGAATCCGAATAAACGAGTACACAAGCATCTGCACCCCGATAGAACGATGCTCCCAAAGCTCTGAAACGATCCTGGCCTATATCCAAGGGCCGATGAAAGCCGGAATCAGCTCGCTCGCTCAGCAAACGGAATGACTAGAGACGAGCTCTATCCGAGCCGACATACCGGCCGTGTCCCATACACTCAGCGATACATGGACGTCTTGATCGATCTCGACCACTTTGGAGATGAAATCGACGCCAATCGTCGCCCTGTAGCCCAAGGTGAAGGCCTCGGAAAGCCACCGTTGTCGGAGCGAGGTCTTGCCGACTCCGGCGTCGCCAATCAGCACGACCTTGAAACGGTGTTGCGGGGGCGATTTCGGGGTGGAATTTGTTGGAGCTGTGTCCGATAGGTGTTTCCCATTCGGAAGTGTGGATGTGGAAGCGACGGGTGCGGCGGACCTGTTGTGGGAGCGTTCGTTGCTGGCTGCCGTTCGCCGTGGCGGAGCCGATTGTGGGGCGGCGTTGGTGGTCGCAGGCGGTGTGATTGTCGTCATAATGCGATCAAGCACGAGCGACCGCCGGCCTGCACGAGCAGCTGCAGCGCCTCCGACGGGTGGCGGGCTGTAGACGCCTCGAGGCCACGGGATGGACAGAGCTCAAGTGAGAGCAGTCACAAAGACTCGTGGCTTCAGTCGTTCAATTCGTAGTCCTTGGCTGTAGATTCGACGAAGGCTCAATCGGGAGCGTCAAGAAGGATGGAGACGAAGCGCCGAGGCCGCCAGCTCAAGGTAGTGATCGAATACTAGTAGCCCTCAAAATACCAGTGCAGAAAGACCTCTGGAATCTTAAGTTAGTAACTACCAGTTTTCAAATACTCTTAATCCTAAGTGTAGATCAGGCTCAAAACTTGGGGGCAAAAAATTCCGAGCTCGGCTACTCGACTAGCTATAGTAGTGTACGTTCTCGAACAAAAAGGACAATCGAGGGCGGGCCCAACAGTCGCCGGCACTGCAACCAATTCGACTTCAAGTTCGCGGATCTCTCACTGGGAAAACAACTTCATAAAGGATTAGTTTCAGGATGGATGAAGTAGATCGCTCTTCGTTAGGGTTCATTGTTAACCTACCCAACTTAACCTAGATGCAAATTTTCAGACTTCTGCGCATGCTCCGGAGTCCGGTCCCGACGGGTCCTGACTGCGATTCTTCGTCATATCAGCCCAAGTCTCAAACGTGCCGAAATCTGACTGGGGCAGACCGAACGAGGGATAGCCACGATTTCTTGCCCGAAATTGGCGAGAAGGGTACGGTCACTGACCTTTCCGCCGGGTCCGTACCACGGGACCATCACCCGCACCACTTGAAGGGCACCAGTTCCAGGCGGTGGCCTCGATATCTACCTACCGCCATGTCATTCCGGTACATCGTATCGATTAATGCGTCTATGGTTCAATTTTTTCGTTAGACGCGACCTGATGATCACGCACCCGAGAACCGTCTGCGCCGGAAGACCCCTGAAATCGTGATGTGAGCTCAGAGCTCAGACGGCGCGCCTCTGGATGGCATTGGGAGGAAACACTAGTGAGATGAGTGCTGTTACTTCTCACGATCTTCTTCTCTTCTTGTCTCATAAAGTTAGGACGGACACTTCCACTGGTTCACAATGCGGTAACAGCAGATTTCACGGTCCTACAATGCTAAATCAACAGCAAGTCCTCGCACTCTCCGGCGTGTTCGGATCCAACCGACCAATCTCGCGTCGTCTCGTCGCAGGTCCCAAAGATTCCGAAATCGTACCAGCGCTTGTTCGTCCAGCTTTTGACATCAACGGCAAAACCGTCGATGGGGATGAAGAGGCATTGACCTCGCCCAGTGTTAGCAGTCCACATGTAAGTCGTGTTGCGCCGCCTCGCTTCGATCGCGCAGGTTTCGACGGAGGTGTGAGGCCAGAAGTTGAAAGGGCTCGGGCGGGCACCGTACATGAAGGTTCCACCTATAGACATACGTGTAGATCTCATCAGCTTCTGAAAGTTCCGTGGGGCAGAGAGGGGCCGCCGGGCTAGCCCAAGTCGAGTGTGGACGCCAACGGCCCAGCCGGGATGACTTACGACCATAGCGAGACGAGTAAGGACCTTGACAAGCAATGGTCCCGTTCATGGTACCATTGAATTTATAGCCTTTATCGCAGGTAAGAGAATTATTGGCGTCTTCGCAGGTTAGGGTGAAGTTGGAGCAGCATGAACTCCCTGTAAAGCGAGGCTCAGCAGCAATGTCAACCCTTCTCTCTCCTACTCTAGGGGCGGCTGTCTTAAACTTGAGTACCACTCACCATGAACGCTGACCGGACCTGTCGGGCACATGATTTCTTTACATTGACCGCCACTGACAGCCCCGTAACTACACGCGGTGGCTTGTCCCTGATCGTCACACGAAGTCGAGTTGGTCGGACAGTCCAGGCACGAAAGTCCTAACAGATTACCAAACCCCAAGACTCAGCGTCGAGTTACATCGACGTAGTCCTTATCAGACTCACTGTCTTTGGAGGGATACCTGGGTGGTGATCCACTGCAATCTGCGGGTTTGGGGCACCTCCCATCCGAAGGCGTTCCATACTTGCATGAGAGCGAGCCGCCAGAGTTGCACGTGATTGCATAGGGGTCAGGGCAGCAGCCGTTGCCTGTGGGAAAGAACGAGATATTCATCTCCCGTCAGAGTCCCCCAGAGCTTCGCACCTCTTTGATAGCATTCCAGTCCAGTTCTGACTTACCATCAGTGTTGACTGAGGAGGTGGGACACTTGACCGCGACGCATGCACCATTCTCAGGTACGCCATACGAGCAGCCCGTCGAGCCGCCGTTGCGATCGCATGATGTTGCGTTTTGACCCGGGCAAGGATAGCACGAGATATCTTCGGGAAAAAGGGCATTCACAGCCAAGATCAGACAAAGGCAATATGGGAAGCGACCCAGACCAAATGACTGACTGTCCGGTGCAAGGTAGCGCGGCGGAGCCCCGTTGCAGTCCCACGAATTGAGACAAAAACCATCCTTGGGTGCAATACCACTCTTGCACGTGACCGCTCCAGAGGAAGTGCAGGTGATGGCATAGGGATCTTGACAAGCGATACAGCGTCGACCTGTCGATTGAAGTAAGATGCCCGCGTGAACTAAGGTTCTCCACGTCGTCGGAGTATCTGCAAAACTCTACTCGCACGTACCATCGGCCGACGGGTAAAGGCCAACGGGGCATTGGATGGTGTTCTCGTCGATGCGCATCGTTCCATTGCAAGGGATCACTCGGGGGCTACGCTTGATGGGGGAGTCCCGCGCGATCAGGGAGGAGGATGGGGCCTGAGGTGGGATCCGCATTGCATCGACGAAGGCGGACTGCGACACCGCCAACAGAGCCACGGCGACGGAGAAGAGGCTCGACATCGACGTTGCAGTGGCAGCACGAACAGCTGAGTTGTTCATGGTGAAATATTGAATGTGAAGTGTGGGATGGGAAGAAGAAGACGAGGAGAGGACACGACATTCCTCGAATAGCTACACCTCTAATGTTACCTCGACGCGAGCAGAAACCTGTCCTCAATGATAGCACTGCAAAAGGAGACGAATGCCTCGCAAGACCATCGCGCTTAAAACTGAAGACCACCTTCCTCATCGGGGCGCCCGATCAGTGCAGATCAGTGCCTCTGCCCGCATCCGCCTAATAACCACGTAGGCGCCCGATCGGCGCCTCTGTCCGCATCCGTCCATCCTCACAGGCGCCAACTGGCGCCAATTGCCGCGGGATTCACCTGGTTCAGAGACGCCGGCCTTCTACATGTATGCCTTCCTACATTCAAATTGGAGGCACGTCAGTTCTGTATTTGATTCCAAACAGTTCTCAACGCATCGCTTACCTAAGGAACGTGTCGCCGCTGATATTCTGCAGCTTGATCATTCTTATAGAGCAGCAGCCTCAGGCTACCACATGCAACAAGGCACCCAGACGGCATAAGAGCCGCACTTTCGGTGGGTTGGCAAGCAACCTTGCTACCAATCGTAGCATAATAGGCCCAGGCACGCGGGCCCTTTCAACTTGAAGCATCTTTCTGAGTTCTGTATATTGACAACATTGCATATGGTAAGCCTCCTCACGAATAAACATAGCCATGCTAACTTTAATTTGGTCGCTGCCTGAGCCCGCATTACTTCATTTCGTCGTGGCAAATGTGCTCTCACGTGACTGCAAGATGCACGTGCGTGAGCTTGCCCGGTGGGGTCGCCAAGTCCAAGCGGCGCGTCGACGCGTCGCGTTTCCGTATTACGGCCTGGCTACCTCGGAGCAACGAGGTCGTTTGCTCAGCACTACGAGTGATCAGTGACCGTCCCTTGCTCGATAACCGGGTTTGGATTCTCACCTTCTCGCTGCACTTACCATGGGCAAACGCTCCGTGCTCAACGTACGCCTACCGCGGGAGAAGCCGTCAGACCACCCCGACCACCCGGACTTCCGCCAGTATGCCCGTGGGCCCTTCATATTTGTGACTCCCTACAGAACCATCATTGACAGAGGCGGGAGGAAAAGGAGACGGAAATCGACTGTCGATGCGAACCACACAACCGAACCCACGCCAGCGCCAACGCTAACGCCAGCACCATCAACGTCCCGCGTCCAGCAAAGCGACCACATCACCGACGCCTCGATCGCAGACAACTCTACCGCAGACGCCTTCGACCAGCATTTTTTGGACAATATTGCCTACTCCCCCGTCCCCGACTCTCCTCCACCTCCACCCTCCACTCACCGACAGCTCGGGGAGTCAGCGCGCTCGCCAGGCCCCGCTTCAATTCCACCCAGCACTGCAAGACGACAGACTTATCCTGAATACATCACACTTGAGGCCGAATTGCGCAAATCCCAGCGCGCCAAGCTATTAGGGCGCTTCCTCGAGTTCCGCGACCAGAGCAATCTCCGTCTACAACCGCTCGTATCGGAAGACGACCCAAACGACCAAGAAGCTCCGCCGCCATGTGCCTGTAGTCACACACTCGCTCGCGAGGTGATCATGTACGATTATGAGGCGTGTACGTGCAAAGTCGTTCGTCTCATGGGATTTTCCCGAGAGTTTGAGCGTGCATTCATATGCGAGTCTTCTGCATTATCAGTCCATAGAGTGCAAATCACCTTCTGCGCATCCGAACCTCCATGTCTTACGGATGCGGAACGTTTGGCCCAGCTCGGATTCATGTCAGCGACCGCTTTCATGCCGGTGACAGCCTTTTCTTTCCGGCTGATGGATCAGAGTGACTCGAAATGGAAGGTCAGCCCTGGCGCCGTCACTGGCCACGTTGATGGGATTGCAAACTTGCACTTTGACCGAATGGGATGGGGCCGCAACCATTACAATGGGCACAAATGGGTAAGTAATGATCATCAACTCCCCGACATGCTCATATCGTATTGTGTATTCTGCTTATGGCCTAGCCTTCCATGCGCGAATCAGGACAAAGAGCTGAGAAAGCAGTTCCAACGCGCCGTCGACGAATTCCAAGCCCTCGAAGCAGTCGAGCACGACGTTGGGGAGCAGGGCACCACCGACTCGCCGTACCTTTGACCGCAATGGGTCCAGTGCAACGTCTGACGAAAGCCGGTGGAATCGCCTTTCTGATCCTACAAGTGGTTTTTCATTATACTCCTCGGCTTACAACTTTACAAAACAATGGATCTTTAAGGGCCTTCACAATATGAATCGCTGCGGCAGTCACGGACATCGTCGCATCGAGAGAGTCACCGCTCTAAAACCCGTTCGAATCGGGATTTGCCACTCTGAAGGCCGTTGAAAGCTTTTGCGAGTTCGCCGACCACCGTATGCCAAGATCCGGTAGATCAAAAGACTGTTGACTACAAGCCGACCCAACTAAATCATCAACAAGTCCTCGCACTCCGAAGCATGCTCCCTCCCGACTGGCCAGTTCTGCGTCGTTTCTGCACACGTCCCAAACTTTCCAAAATCGTACCAATGCTGAGCGCCCCAATCCTCTTGCCCAACGTTGAAGTCTTCAGTGTGGTAGAAGACGCATTGACCACGCCCGGTGTAAGCTGTCCACATAAAAGTCAGGTTGCGCTGATAGGCTTGGATCGCGCAGGTTTCGACCGATGACCGATCCAGATAGGCCACCATCCAACGGCCTGCATCGCCGTACTTGTACGTCTCGCCTGTTTCAAGCATTCCAGAATACCGGTATATGTCTCAGTGTTTTGAATGCGGATGGCGCACAAGCCTGACGCGAAGATGCAACAGTCTCAATGACTTACGGCCATAACGGGACGAGTACGGTCCCTGACAAGGTATAGTTCCGTTGACTGTGCCGTTGACTTTGTAACCGCTTTGACAGGTGAGGGACATGTTCGCGTTCTGGCACGAAGTCGTGAAGTTGGTGCAGCATGATCCCCCTATCGAGCGTGAATGTCATCCGTCAGCGCCGAGAACTCCTAAGCCGAGCGAAGATCGCTCACAATTCGCAGGATTGAAGGGATGAGGAACTCACCATCATTGCTGACTGGTCCATTCGGGCAGATCGCCTCCTTGCATTGACCAGCAGTGACAGCACCATAATTGCACTTGGTCGCTTGCCCCTGATCGTCACACGAGGTCGAATTAGTTGGACAGTCGAGACACGAAAGCTCTGTCGCCGGGGCCAAAAGTTAAGATTTAGTAATCGGTCCTTCAAGCCGGGATTGCCCTCTCGGCCTTCGTCGAGGACTCAACTGTCTTTGGAAGGATGTCTGGCCGGTGATCCACTGCAATCTGCGGGTTTGGGGCAGTTCCCATCCGAGGGCGAGCCGTACTTGCAAGACAGCGAGCCGCCCGAGTTGCACGTGATCGCATAGGGGTCCGAGCAGCACCCGTTGCCTGCGAGACGTAGAGCAAGTTCGCCACGGCGTGTAAGATGCACCAATCATTGAAGGGCCGTGGCCATAAACGGCATCCGGAGAGAAGACTCACCATCAGTGTTGACGGAGGAGGTGGGACACTTCACCGCCACGCAGGCCCCATTATCAGGCACGCCGTAGGAGCAGCCTGTCGAGGCGCCGGTGCGATCGCATGATGTCGCGTTCTGTCCAGGGCACGGATAACAGGAGGAATCTTCAAAACCACAGGAGTGGAGAGATACTAAACATTAGTATCGATATTATGAAATCGCAAGGTAGAAAAAAATCCCAAAATGACTGACTGTCGGGTGCCAGGTAGCGCGGTGGAGCGCCGTTACAGTCCCACGAAGTGAGACAAAAACCATCCTTGGGTGCAATACCACTCTTGCACGTAACCGCTCCAGAGGAAGTGCAGGTGATGGCATAGGGATCTTGACAAGCGATACAGCGTCGACCTGTGAATTGAAAGTGCATCCAGAAGTGAGCTGAGCTTCCCCACGACGGTGGAGGATCTGCAAAAGTGTGCTCGCACGCACCATCGGCTGAAGGATACAGGCCCGCTGAGCATTGGATGGTATTTTCGTCGATCCGCATTGTCCCTGTGCAAGGGATCACGCGAGGACTACGCTTGATGGGGAATCTCCGCTCCGATAGGGATGAAGATGGGTCCCGAGAAGGGATCCGCATCGCGTCGACGAAGCCGGAGTGCGACAGCGCGAGCAGCGTCACGGCGGCGGAAAGGAGGTTGGACATGGGTGACTTGGAGAAGTCTGTGTTGGTCATGTAGAACGTTGAGCGTAAAGTGTGGAATGGGAGGAAGAGCAAGAAGAAGAGGCAGTGACGGGAGGACATTCATAGAAGAGCTAACCCTCAACAAGAGCAAAACCCCATCATCAATGATAGCACTGCAAAAGGGGACAAACGCCTCGCAAGAATGTCGCGCTTGAACGAACCTTCCTGATCTGGGCGCGCGGTCAGCGCCTCTGTCCGCATCCGCTGTCGATGGCCAAAGCCGGAGGGTCCAATTTCCGCGGGATTCGCCGCTTGTTTCGACCAGAGCCTTCGGATATGTAGATCCCTTTTTCACAGCTCCAGTTGCACGCACCTTCCTTTGTCGAGGAACTTCGACCTCGATGGATAGACGACTCGGAGACTGCTGATCACGTGATATCTCCGTTTCGGCGCCGGATCAAGATCCAGTGAGCCATTCCCAAGAGCCACCAGATTTCGGGAATCTGGATATTGATCCTGAGCCCTTTCAAAGAAAAGAATGGTCGAGAATCGTATTGCAAGCGTCCCACAGTGGATCCGACATCCTCCTAGCAAGTTCGAGGCCGAGCCACTCCTTGGACAGCTTTTACTGGTCGAAACTGTCCTCCGATTCTCGTCGTTCACAGTCTTCCCTCCTTGTGTAACTTTCTCATTGTATCGATCGAATGCTGCACCAAATCACCGATGACCTTGTTCGCCTTGTCGACGTTATCGACATCTTCCTTGGACAAAGTCGGAACCCCATTCGAGAAGGAGTAGGTCAACTGCAATTCGCCTTGAGGGTCATGCGAGATGAGGTTGATGATGTGACCGTGGGGCGCGGTCGTCATATCAAAGTAGACGATCGTGGGTTCGTAGAGAGTGCATTCTTCGATTGTGGTCGGAGAGGAGGCAGAGCCAAATTTGACGTGGCGGGTGATCTGATGAACTCCTCGGAGGGGACGGTCGTCGGTGGGGTCAGCAGAACATCACTTTGTGGAGGCCGTCAAGACTTAGACACACCTTGTTGCCTTCCTCCTTGACGACGTCGCACGAATGAATCATGGGCACGAACTCCTGTTGTTTGAAGCGATGGAGAGCAGCGGACGGAGTCGGATCTACTAATCAGCTCGGAGCCCTCATTGCACAGCACACTGCAGCTCCTTCACGACCGTCGCCATCGACAGACCTTGGGTTCCCTCGTCTTGATCGTCAACGCTTTCCACACCTCCCCCTTGGTCAGACGAGGCTCAGCGCCGGGAGGGTTGATCGGACGCGTCGCGGCGAAAGAGGGGGGTGAGGTGGGGGCGGCGGACATGGTGAGTATGGTGCTGATGACGTTATTGGTGGACTTGAAATTTCGGTACGAGAGTTGCTCAAGTGGATGTAATGTAGGAGCGTAAGGGGAGGACAGTGGGCGAAGCTGGTCGTGTTGTACTTTTGAAAGGGTCAGGACGTTGTAAGCACTGAGGGATGTTCCTTCCCAGTGATGGTCATTCATGCAATCGCCGAGCGCCGCGCCTTACGTAATCATGGCCGATCGCCGATGATCGGATTGATCAGCGCGATGTGGGGGTGAAGGTTGCCTGTCGGGATGCACCTTCGTCCTTCGGTCCTCCAAAGGCGCCAGAAATATTTTCTCCCCGAACCCCGAGTTGCTGCTTAGGTACCACAAGAGAGACCGGAGAGACCGAGGAAGGTTCAAGAAGGCTAATGTGAGCCTGGACTCCGAGGAATGCCAAAGCAAAAGCCAGCTTCCGGTGCTTCCCGACAAACTTTCAGCGGATCGTGCATTGCAAAGTGCATGTTTAAAATATCAATTCTGCGCATAGAAGTGTGCCATGATCTTGAGAGTCGTGTCCTCGAGTACATTAAAGAGCGGATGTGTCATTCTCTGTGAAGAGCGTCGCATGATCATGAAATGTCAGCTTGCGCCTCCTATTTGTTCTGATGATCTTCACAGAACTTTACTCGCCAACTCATTATCCTTCTCCCCAACCACCACAGCCTTCATCCCAGCCTTCCACCCCAAACTCCGACTCCAACATTCCCTCATCCTCTTTTGCGCGTCCTCGTCACTTTCCTCTTCATCCTTGATCATCTCGACTTGCCGCTTCTCCCCATTTTCTTCTTGGTCCAGATCGATAATCTTGCTCTTCTCCGTCGTCGAAGGGAAGGGCGAAACAAATGCTTCTCTCCGTTCCTCGATCGACTTCCACGAATGTCGGTATCGGTGTTGTGCCGAGGACAGGCCGGAGAGGTTGTAGCAAGTGTGGTAGCCGTCGGAGGGCTTCCCTGGCTTGTCGCGAAGACCGCCTGTCGGTGCTTGAGCGCAGTAGAGGACATATTCTTGGAGGGCCTCTGTATAACAATGAGGTCAAGTCCCCATCAGTACCGAAAGAAAAGAACACAATCTTCCACCACTATCTAAGAGGAAACTGACGTCGATCAAACATATCCCTCCTCTCCACCTCCGCGCCTTCCTCAGCCTCATCCAACAAGCCATCAATCACGCCAAACAAGCCCCCATTCCACCAACTATAACACCCATCGACCAACTTGTTGGACCTCCCCCTGAATCCTCCTCCCTCGATCGGCATCGCCTGCATGCTCGTCGACCATCGGATCAGAGCGTCCAGGTCCAATTCGCGCTGCTTTCCGCTTGAGGTGATATAGGTTGGGGATTTGGGATCGGTATAAGGTCTCAGCATGGCGTAGGAGGCGGCGGCACAGAATGCATAGCCGCCATGGGCTTCACCCAAGGGGGGGTGCGAAGAGGTTGAAGAGAATTGTTGCTCGACCGAAGAGGACGAAGCGAATGCGTGGGAGGAAGACGCGAGTCCACCTTCGTACGTCTGACATGAAGCGATAAAGGATGAAGTATTGTGTGCAAGTGACGGGGTGAAGATGTTGAGGAGTGTGGCGACCGTGAGAGCGCAGTAACATCCTCTGTGTGATCGACGGGAGATTCGCCAGTCGGCGAAGGTCTGCAATGACAGTGGAAGGCTTGAGACCTACCGAACATCGACTTCTCCTCCTTTATGCATGATGAATGATCCATCAGGCTGTTTTACGCTCAATAAGAAACGATGCATCCCCTCCCTATCGACACCCAAGAGTACGCGTTCAGCCAAAAGGGAGACCCTCGCCTCTATTCTCAGGACACCGCACTCACCGATCGATGATATCCCAGCCTATCTGACCGCAGTACGCGAGCGCACAAACAGCCGCATACGAAGGTGCCAAATGACTGATCTGACCTGGTCCACCCCCGAACCCACCGTCCTCGTTTTGACAGGCATTGAGCGTATCGACGATCCGTTGAAGCGCTGCTTGATCGAGCTCGGCATCCAACAAAGCAAGCGAATGCAACGTCCAATACAACAACCAAGGTCTCGAAGCATCCAGAGCGACGAACGGCGCCGGAAGAGGGCGGGACAGCATGCCGGTGAGGTAGTTGAGGTGGGAGGAACGATCGAGTGTCGCGGGGAGGAAGCTGGTCATTTGTTTGGTCAGGAGCGTCGAGATGGTGTGTTCGACTTGGAGTTGGGCATCGAGTGTGTCTGAATCAAAGATCCCATCGGTTGGGGTCGCGATCCAGGGATGGGTGAGGACTGTACCGCGGAATAGGAGCGTTGAGTCATGATTCGTGTCACGCAGATCGGGGGTGTGGGGGTGAGGTCCCGATCAGCCTCCGCCCGAGTTTGGGTGCTTGCGAAGCATCGTAGCACTCACCTGAGGTAGCCATGGTGCTCTGAGATGGTAGTGCAAGTGGTGAACGAGGAAGCGTGACGAGAGACGAAAGAAAGCTGCGTAGGTCCGTCAACGATCGGCTCGAAAAACGCGCGGTGCGACAAAGCTCCGGTCGGAAGAAAGGGACGTGGCGCTCCTCTTTCCGTCACGCGGCCGCCGTCGGGCAGGCTCGTCGCCGTCGGACAAAGGAACTCGATTTCGCTTTTGACTTTGCATCCGAAATCAGAGAGTAGCGCCGGGTTCAAACTAGATTTCAGCGGGCCAGCTTGAAAAGACATGTCAACTTGTCGCGTCTGTTCTGCACCGCCAGGGATAGGAGTACGTTCTCTCGTGCGAAGGAGCAACGCGGAGCAATGAGGCAGCCGGCCGAGCCACGCCTCGTAGCACTCGCGGCTCGGAATGCTCCTTCGCCGGGAAAGGAGGCGAGATCACTCGAGACCCATCCAGGGTGTTCTTCTTTGCAAGCGATTAAATGTACAGTCGTTCCTCAATCTCCTTAATCTCCTGAACTTAAGTCCCTCCCAGCATGAACCTGGCACGTGACCGCTCCGCTCACCGGTCGACCGTCCTTGCTTGCTGCTACTCTTCGACCAACCCCGCTCGATCAAATGTTGACGCCGAGAGCGCAGAAGGCAAAGACGAGTCCAAAACCACCCAGTACGGACGCGACGAGGGCCGAGCCGATTTCGGTTGTAGGGATCTTGCTCGGTCTCAGTCTGCCGGGGTGATGTCGACGTGTCATCGAGGCCAGGTTCGAAGAGGAGAGCTCGTGTGATGTCAGCGTGGGTGCGATTGTGTTACAGTGCAAAGGGGACTCACGTTGAAAAATAGAAGGAAGAAACAAAGGCAATCGAGAGCAGGACGATGGCCAACGGTGGAGCGGCCGAGGGCGAGATCAAGGGCGAGAACGGCGTCGACGAGGCGTGCTCGCGCTGCAGAAAGGGAGGCACATACGTTACATACGTTAGTGCGGAGGATAAAGAGACAATGCGTTCGAGTGAGAGACTGACCTGGAGATCAGCGTAGGAAGACATGGTGAGAGGGAGTCACGTGGGCCGGCTTGGACGGCGTGTGGGGGGACCGAGCGAGAGAGCAACAGGCGAGCCCACATCGGCGCACACGGCTAGCACGGCTTGGCAGGTGACTGCTTGTGAAATCACACTGCGACCACGCCCTTGTATCATGTCGGTGACCTCGGGTGCGCCGACTCACCCTACTCAAGTGCAACTAGAAACAACCCTCCGAGTAAGCACCACCAGCCCCTCTCTTTCGGAATCAGCATCACCGCACGCTGCTGAGCCCCTGTCGTCCTGTTCGCAGTCAACACTACACGCGCTCTCGTTGATCCTCTCGTTCTATTCATCGGTCCAACAACTCGGAGTCCTCAACCACACCCCACATGCACCGCGCCAACTGACGAACCAGCTCAAGCTCGAGGCGGCAAAGTACGATCAGATTTGTGGACAGCTCGAAGCGAACATCGTCAGTACAGCCCAGCGTGGATGATCCAGCTCGACTCTCCTTCAGATACTGAAATCCCGGGTAGCCTTCGTCTGTAGCTCCGAGCGATCGCGACGTTGGAGAGGGACGCACTCAAAGCCGCCCAAACCGGTCAACTCGTGCTACCCCATCCACCACAACCGACCGGCGATGCTCCGCCAGCAGGGGATTCTGCATCCGGCTCGAATACAGGCGAAACACCTGTGATAGATCTCACGACAGGGGATGCATCGATCTCGGAGACTGATACCAACATGACCGACGTAGGCTTCCTTGACCTCACTGGAGACGCCTCGGCGACCAGTGCCGCCGAAACAGCCTTTGCCCTTCCCGCTGGAACCGAGTCCCAAACTACGACAGCGACAACCAGCGGCGAACAACCCTCCACAGCTCTCTCCCTCCTGGGTCTCTCCGTCCCCGCGATTGAAAGCTCGACCGTCGAACTGGCCGACTCGCAAGACCTCTCCGCTCTGCTGGGGAGCATCGTCACCGACGCTTCGTTCCCCTCCACGACCTTCTCGGCCGACGCGACCCTTCTCCCCTTTTCCGGGGCTGACCTGTCCTCTACGAGCGCACCAGCGGATCTCGATCTCAATGCGATGTTAACAATGCTTTCCGGCGCGAACGCAGCCCCCGCGTCAGGTGCGGGGGGTGAAACCGACCTCGTTCTTCCGGCGTTCGATCCGACTACATTGAATCTGACGACGACGGCGACGACAACGCAGCCGACGACGGCCACAACGGAGGGACAGGGTGCACAGGGAATGGAAGTCGATTTGGACAGTTTGGATTTCAGCAATATGGACCCGGGTAGCTTGGACGAGCTGTTGAAAAGTTTGGGCGCGGGGGAACCGGCGTGATGGGTTTGGGAAGGGGATTTTGGGGGAGTGGTCTTTGCGGTAGGTAACGTGTTGTACGATTATTGAGGCGAGCTCTGATGGATCTGTTGGGCTTTGGAAGTGGTGCAGTGACTGAGACCGGGTGAATGCGCGAATGAACGCGCTCCAAGCGCAGTTGACTTTCAGGCCTCAAGGGTCGTCCGAGTCAAGGCGCTCGCTTACGTGCAACCACAGACCGAAAAGTCCGGCTAGCTTGAGAAGATCTCGGTAATAAAGAGGCCGGACCATCCAAGACAGAAAAGGCAGTGCTTGTTCGGCTTAGCACGGCGTGCCGTGACTTTTGACGCGTGAGGCGGTGCTCGCCGAACTAGGAGAAAGGGGCTAGCGCCAGAAATTGGGCCCCCCGCCTCGCTCCAGCACATTCCACCGTTCGTGATTCGAGGTCGTCCGCTAAACCGTTCACGTCATTTTTACGAAGACTTTTCGTTCTGGTTCTCACGTTTTCCTTGTTCCTTCGACGTAGCTATCCTTTTTTTCTCGTCCATCTGGGTAGCCTCCTCTCCCTTCTCGTGAGGAATCAATTTTTTGATTCAGTGATATGCGCGCGCGGGCCTAAAAATTCGCTGCTGGGTTTCGGTAACTTGGGGCAGTGAATCCCGCATGCTTATTCAACCTCTCAAACAGATTGTGCCCACTTCCGACGGGAGTCAATTCATCTCCGCTGATGACCATAATCGCCCACGCTCACACGTGCCGCGCCGTTAACCGCGGCGCCGATGCCAACGCGAGGAAGGGTGCGGCCGCGCCTCGGGAGATTTTTTACGGTTCGCCGCGAGTTACCGATCCCATCAGCGGTCATTCGGTTCGTTTCCCGGTCACCCGGATGTGAACTTACCGCTGGCACCGAGACAGCGCTTGCCTAATCCGCCACTCAATCTACTGGCTGGGTATCAAAAATACCTCGGACCGGCTCCGTTTCTCTTTCGCTCCTCCTTTCCACTTGTCACAGCCTCTCGACGTTTGCTCACCCATCTACTTGACTTATATTCGGGCCTTCTTCAAGTCAAGTCAGATTATCTCACACCGCAGAATGTTCCGCCCCAGCTTCATCGTTCTGGCTATCGTCGTGACCCTGGCCTCGAACATCCTCGCCACAGGAGACCGCCCTAAGCTCCTCTCCGGGCTCGTATTCGACTGTGCGATGAACGCCACCGGAAGCGCGCCTGCACGTGCCATCGTAGGTCATATCAACTTTTTACAAATCCCATGCGACTTTCATGGTGAAGCGTCTTTTATGATCAGAGACAGAGCTTGCGAGGGCAGAAGCTGAGAGGGTAAATTCTTTGCAACGTGTAGTGCCCAACGGCGACGGCATGGGAGTGCATTTGTGCGCCTGATGATGTGTCGACTGAATACGCCCAAGCCATCATGGCTTATACTAGTGAGTCCCGGAACACAATCACTTGAGCCTTAGCAGAGTGTTCACGGTCGCGTGATACCTCGCCAGGGGCCAACCACATGTGCCACAAATACGCGAAGAAGATTGCAAAATTTGGATGTGCGCAGTGCGAGTATCAGATCAAGGAGGAACCGACTAGTGAGCCATGCTTCCTATCAGAGGTCACGCTTTCGAATCAACTTAAGTAGGGCCGTGTTTTGACTTGCCGCACACCTAGCCTGCTGGAAGAAACTGAAGGACGCCGCGGTTCTTCAGGGGCTGCCGTGGTAGCCGCCTCGTCAAGTCCGCTATGCTGAACAACTTCCTCTCTCGAGGAAATTGGCCTGCTGCTGGTCCCAACTTCTCATTAATTGACCTGAAGCTGGTCACACCCTCCTCAGTTCGAGCTCCTTGTTCGATATTGCTTTGTCGTACATGCTCCAAGTTCAACCCCAAGTTCAGTCGGGTCGGCTTTCCCCGTTCCATCCTCAGCTTCGTCTTATTCTCGTCTCCTTTTTAGTCTGCTAATCCAGGGCAGCTTTCCTTTCCCTTTAAAGCTTGGGTAGCCCCCCATTTTTTGTTTGTGGGAAACTACATCATCTGTACAGAGGGCAAGCGGATCGCAGAGAGCTCGGCAAAGCATAGTGTTCAGACCGCGAGCGGTCAGGTAGTACATTGCGACACGTATGGTACGGTACGCTTCAAGTTGAAGAGCGTGGCACCGCTCTCCCTGTCGAAAGTCTTCCATCTCCAGGGCGCTCCGGTGAACCTCGGGCTCAACTCGTGCTCTATTCCAATCAAGAGCGAGTTACGGACGAGAAGACGGCAAGGATGTCATGACGATCACGATCAAAGGGCTTACCGTAGCGAAGACGCTAAGCCGTACAGGTTACACGCTCGACTTTACGCGCATCGTCGAGGATCAAGCTCGTGTCGCAACTCGTGCGACAGTGCGCGCGCCTTTGATGGACTGGCATCATGGCTACGGGCATGTGCCCGTGAGCTCAATCATGGAGCTCGTCAAGTCAAGCGTATAACCGGTACCGCTGAGCATTTTGCGGTAAGCCCTTTAATCTTGATCGTCATGACATCCTTGCCGTCCACCATCCGTAACTTGCTCCTGATTGGAATAGAGCACGAGTTGAGACGAGATTCACCGGAGCGCCCTGGAGATGGTAGACTTTCGACAGTGAGAGCGGTACCACGCTCTTCGAGTTGAAGTGCACTATATCATGCGTGTGGCAATGTACTACCTGACCGCTCGCAGTTTGAACGTTCAGAGTTCCATGTCGACAGTCGGAAAGCAGAGTTGCGTTGCCGATGTAGGGCTAACTTGCGCCGGTGTCCAAAATCCAGATCTCACTCTGGTCCACCTGAGACACCCTATTCGCAACATTTACTTAAAGCCAGTGGCTCTTCGAGAGACTTAACCACCAGCGCGAAAGAAGCCGACTCGCCCGAATCCGCAGATCCCTTTGCAATGCTGATTTTGCTTCTTCTTCTTGCTGCTGCATTTCTTGTTACGAGCGCGTTTGAAGTTCGGAGCGTACTTGGGACATTGCCGATCGACTTGATACTGTCCGTTTCCCTTGCAGCCACGACAGATGTAGCTAGGATCACGCCTGACTTGCATGCTTTGTTGAATGTTGAACCGCTAACGCTCGCACGTTCAAGCTCTACCTCCCTCCTACGAGATGCTGAAGCAAGCAATCAAGCTCAGCGATAAGTGCTCGGTCGACTACGCCGTCAACCGACTCACCGACGAGTACAGTGAACGTAAGCTCACCGGCAAATACGACAAGTTCTTCAAGAACGCTGTACTCATCGGTGAGTCGGTTGACAGCGCAGTCGACCGAGCACTTATCGCTGAGCTTGATTGCTTGCTTCAGCATCTCGTAAGAGAGTGATAGAGCTTGAATTAAGAACGCTACGATGATTTCGTTCTTGAACTTCTGGCCGAGATCTTCGAATTGATCGACCTTGTCCGTGATGCCCTTGAGATATTCGCCGAGGGTGGTGTCCTCATCGTGGTACTACGTCGCATTGGAAATATTGTAGAGTAGCGTACGAATCTTGAACGGGTCGGCGTTCCCTCTGTGGTGTTGCTTCAGCTTCTCCCACATTGCCTTGGCTGAGAGCGTCTTGCTCTTGACCATCTTGAGATTCGAATCGTCCACGGGGCACGAGATGGTGCTCGCGCGTGCCAGTGGGTCCCGTTTGCTGAGTTGGGGTAGGACGTTTCCTTCTCAAGGCTAGCGCGATGCCATGGAGCAACCTATATGCTTTCACATCCATACTCGAGGGTCACACAGTGCCATGAACCATGCAAGTGGTGTAGTCACGGCCTTCGGAGAACGCATCGACCCTGATCGACCACAGCTCGTAGTTGTCTTTGCCGAGCTTGGCTATCTTGACTTCCCCTTCATTCGATACATTGGTGGTAGCTGATGACTTCATGACCTGCTGTAATTTGGGGACTGACAAATGAATGAAGATTCGCACGCGTGTCGTGAATAGCTGACCTATCGTGGAGAGTATCGCTCAGGTCAATCAACTTGAGCACGGCGAACGGGCGAGCTAGATATCGAGTGTGTGTTAAGTGCATCACAACTAACCCATTGTGAGATAGAGTATCGCCAACGCCAATTCGTAGCAGGGCGAATGGGCGAGATAGATATCGAGTGGAGAGAGAGAGAGAGAGAACGAGACCAGAGCCTTATTAGACAGTATCCGCTTGCAAGCCATTTATCAGCCGGAGTCCGAATCTGTCCGAATCCAGAAACCAGCCATCACCCAAATACTCCCAAAAAATTCGAACTCACAAAAGTTTCCTTTATTTTACTTGCTGGATCCCATTGACATATTGAGTAGAAATATTTCTCTTTATATTCTCTTTGCTGGCGTGGGCCAGCACGAGCCGGCCCAGACAAGGGAGGCTGATCGCGCCTCGCCCCGCCCGAGAGAAGGAACGACAGGGCGACCACGCCACGAACACATCGACCGCAACACGACCACCACAGCTCGTACAACCACTTGGCCAACCCACGGAACAAAGACCGAGGTCGTTCCTGGTCCTCCTGACCGATGCAGTAGGAAGGTCGACGTACCTCATCATCATCCTGTCCTTCTTCAACTGGGCCGCTGGGCGTCGATCTCCTCGTTGCGCAGCTTGGCCGACGACTTCAAAACAAATGAAAGTTCATTTCGCCTTCCAATATGTCCTTAAGTTTTAAGTTTTGAGTCATAAATTCCAGCTAGTCTTGTTCAAAGACAAGGTTCGAATTTCTTGTTGGGTAAGTATCCCCTTATTTTACTCTGTTTCCTGCCGCCATCCAGTAGTGCCGCGCCTGAGTCGCCTGAGTCGCGCGCACCAACTCCCCAATTCCACACTGCAAGTCCCTCTAGACCGCTGACCCTTTATACAATTCCCACAACACACAGGAAGACGATAGATTTCAGGGTGAATCAGCTTCTTGGGCGGGTTGGTAAACCACCTTTGCTTGTGAGACCCACTAAGAAACCCAATACTTCTGCAAGATCCTCCCCCTTCAAGAAAAGTCGTCGTCATAGCCGCGCTTGCGGGCCGCGACCTTCCGGCGCCCCTAAACGCGATGGATAACTGAACATACCACGGTGTCAAAGAAAAGGCAATCGCTGCCGGGCCCGGTATGTAATGAATCTCGGCGGGTGTTAGGAGCCGCAGCCGGGGACCTTTGCAATAGGAAACTTGACGGAGGATCATGTGCAGGATTATGGTATAGCAAAACGGACGACCAAAGGTGATATAAGAAGATAAAGGATGAAACATGACTAGGAGCTTCTAAGAGACCCGGACTGAGAGTGAGGAAAGAGTGACCGCAACGGCCGAGAGACAGGGCGGCAGAGGAGACCGCGGGAGGAGACCGAGAACGAGGTGAGACGCTGATACTGGGGACCAGAGAACGATGCCGAACGAGACTTGAAACACGTTGAAAATGAGACCCAGGTAATATGATGTATTGGATCCTAGATTACCTGGGAACAAGACGCAAACTTTTTCGAAGCGTCTTAGTCATTCGAATCGTTGCGCTCCCTTCATTCCCCTTCGCCCCCTATCCGCTCATTTCAAACGCTCTTCCCGCTTTTTCTTGCGTCCCGCCCGGTGCTCGGTCCGAGTCCCGCTCTAATTTACCTATCATGCTCGTTGTTTCCCGAGTTTCCCACGTGCCAAAGTAAGGGGCCCGTTCTTAATCGCCTCCTCTTCCTCCTGTAAGCCGCTTTAAGCCGCCTTTCTCCCGTCCGGCGCGGTCCTCGGTGTGCATTTCTGCCGCCTGCAATGTCGATTATAGTTGAAACTTGAGAGATCGGAGTACTGAACTAACCCGGAAGCGCTTTATCGATGAGATATCCGTCAAAACCGCTGTTGTTGACCTGATCGATTGTCGGAGGTGACTCGTCGTCGAGGCGCCGAAGTCTGGAACTTACTGCCGCTACAACCGCTGTTGTCCTCGACAAATTATAATGTCAATTTCTTCGGTATCCCGAGTACCAGGAGGTGTAGAGTGAACCTGCTGTAACCCTGCTGAAGTTGGAAGTTTTCGGTGGGCGGGGTCGGGCCGTCCCGCAAACCGAGCGCCGTCGACACTCCGCGCAATCGCCAATTTGTCCGAGGCCCGACATTTTTTTCATGTGCAAGTGCAACCCGAAATCACTCACCATTTCATAAGAACGACCAACATCGGAACTTTAAAAAAGCGGTGCAGGACCCGCTGACCGAACGGTGGGAATGCCGAGACGGTGGTGGCCGAACCGCGAGAAAGGGGCTGACGTGGGAAAAGGCCGCTTCTTGCAGAAACAACGCTGATCGCGGAGACTGGTTGCCGCCGAAAAGGGGTTGCCCGAACTGAGAATTTGTCGTGAGTTGAGGAGAACTAATGGAACACAAACACCGGAAATGGAGGAGTCACCCGATTCGGCCCGTGAGAGGGACCTGAGTTAGTAGGAATGTGGAGTATTCCAACTTTTAGGGCTCCTGTGGTTTAGTGCAAGAGCGAGCCTGGACACCATTCGGGCCGGCTGATTCCTCAGGATGACAGAGAGATTTCATTTTTGTCCAGCAAGTTCAATCAAATGATGCTTTTGAAAACTTATTCGCTCATGGTTTAGTTAGTAGTCGTCCTTGATTCCTGTTGGTCCTCATCAAGCTTCATCCAAGACGTCCAAGACAACCGCTATTCCGCCCAGCGGCTTGAATACATCCGAGGATCCCCTAGAGCTCGACCGGTCTCAGGAGACCAACAAATTGCGCCGCGACTTCGATGTCCGCTAAGGCAAATGGTGTTTGGATTATCCTGTGTCTGAGATCGCGCAAACAGATGAGGCATTTATCGGGGGGGGGGGGGGCACCGGTCGACCTTCGCCACGGAAGGTGGTCCTACCCGCGCGCATCTTCCGCGCCCCTAACCGCGGGAGATGATTGGTGCTCCGAGGGACAGTCATTTTCTGCGCGGCCTGGGGGACTCGTTGAGAGTGGCACGGACTATGCTGACCTATTTGTGCTTGGAGTTGTGTCTTTGCCTCACTGAACAGCTTTCTCTCTTCCTTCCTCTCTTTTCACCTGTGCAAGTTCACCCCAACCCCGCTGTCAATGAGCCGCAGCTCCAACATGGCTCGCCTCGGTATTTTGATACTCGCTCTGATTACCACCGTAGCTCCGATTGCTATCGCTTTGACACATGTTGAGAATGCATGCGCCAAAGAAGCTGTGCTGCACTTGATCCGCGACGACCTTCCGGACGGAGCAAAGGTCAGTCTACATGTCAAGGTCGGAGCAAGACCCTTAGGATCTTTTTCAACTGACCGAGTTGATGTTGTGCAACTCAGTGCAAGAGCATCATCGATTTGGGTTGCGTCTGTAGCGAAAGCACCGGTGACGCATTCCTACGATCCTTGGGGGACTACGTCAAAGACGGTGAGCTTTCAGCTACCTTCCTCAGCTGTACCCTGGAGACCCAATCGTTCTGACCGAAACCCTTGCCGGCAAGGTCGGGGCGAGTGCCGAGAACAATATTTCGCCGAGATTCAAGCGTCTGCATGTGCGTATTGTCTTTTCAATGACTTGGTGCCACCCGAATGTAAGTGAGAGAGAGCAACATGGCGTGGAGGATGATGCTGAATGCTCGAAGCCAATCCACTTTCTCGTATGCACGTTGCAGCTTGTCGCAAGGCTTCCGTCCGCATAGTTCCTGCAGAGTCGAATGTTCAATGAAGATGTGTCGTGGAAGATGTAAAGTCGGAGGGCCTGGGCCGTTTCTGCACATCCCCAGGCAAGTGTGTGTCGCTTATGCTCATAAGTCGGGCCAATTGTGCAATCGAGCGTGCCAATTTCACAACATAGCTCTGATATGAAATCACTTTAACAACATCGCGCGGCCCAGCTTTGATTGCAGGAATGGTCATCCGAAGCGATCTCTATCGATCCCGCTCACTCCCTACGAGCGGCCCCACAACTCGATCCCAATTTTCTTGCCACGTACACCACTCTTCCCCCTCATCACCATATCGCACATCTTTAATCCCCTTGCAATATCGCTCTATTTCTGTCCTTTGCGGGTCTTTGAAGAGCTCCTGTACAATCGAAGACAATACATGCATCAGCAAATACCCTTCCATCAGTTCGGGTCAAGCAAAGCGACTCACCACGAGCAGATCTGCGAGCCCTAGAGCATCGTCGAATACCCTCCCGTTCTTCCTGTCCATCACCAGCTCATCGATACATTCGAACCCCAAGGCTAAAACGGGGAGATCGCAACCAAACATGTCGACGATTTTCATAGGAAGATCGGCGACGGATGAAGACATGTGGAGGGAGATGCCTAGGTCCGCTGAGCCTGCGCACGTGAGCGAGTATGAGCACGAACCCAATGATCAGTACAAAGGTCCTCTCTGTGATCCCAGAAGACGTTGACATACCTAACAGCCTCGGGTAATCCTCCAACGCCAACCAACTGGTCCGTACCGTCACAAAGTCCCACCCTTTCTCCAAACGCTCGACTTCGCCCTCGAACGCCTTCTTGCCTGCTCCTTTCCCCGTGATCATCACCAATAGCTTCGGCAATACCGTCCCATTCTTCGCAAAAGATGCCAAAGCATCCTCAGGTAATCCACCTTCACCCTGGGCATAAGTCCGAGCGGCTTTCTCGTACACTTGCAAGGCACTGAGTAGAATGGAGAAATCTTCATCTGCGGTCCAAGAGGTCGATGAAACGAGGAGGGCGGGTCGTTGGGAGGTCGGTAAAAAGGTAGGGTTGAGTTCGTTGTCCTTCGTGAACACCGTGGGTGAAGGCGAGCGGTAGAAATCTTGGAGTGATGCGAGGAAGGGGATGCGCTTGAACAGCTGTGTGTAGTAGAGAGCTTCAGGGTCCTGGCCGTATCTTGAACAACCATAACAAGTTCCTGCGTACCGAATTAGCTTCCTGCCTTGTCTGTCGGCGGAAATGGCTCGGTGGTCGATCGTGAAAGACGGCGACTTTTCCCCTGTAATCAGAGAGTGATCCAGCAAGTCAACGCGTTGCTCGATGATGCTTTTATTTAGATGAAGTAATACTTACTGCAGTGATATCTCTCTGATCAACTTCTTTCGCATCGCCTCGGTGACACAAAGGTGAGCAAACGCCTTGCTGCCCCAGAAGGACTCGATCCTGCGGTCGGTAATGTGGGGCCCCAAAGTCGCATCAGCAGCGTGCAGGCCGGTCGTGCAGAGGACGGGTAATCATGATAAGTCCTGGGCGTACCATTTCGCCAATTTGACGAGCGGACTCTGGTCCCCGAGCCTGAGTGCTAGGATCGAGGAACCGGTGTTGTGCCAATCGATGATGAGGCGGGATTGTGGACAGACGAGCAGAGCGAGTTTGACGATGGGCAGCGTTGGGATAGACGGTGGGTTCTGACAGAGGAGCAAGAAGGGGGGACGTCAAATTGAGACCAGAATCAAAGGTTTTCAAGGCTTTTGTTTCGAAGATCACGTACTTGTACGAGTATGTACTCGGGGGTATAATCGAGCGTGAAGACGAGTGCCGAGAACAGGCCCCACGCGCCGGCGAGGACTTTGAACGGGCTCAGCGCGATGAAGAACGGCCGTGGCAAGGCGCTGACGAAGGCGAGTGGAGTCGACAGATGCAAGAATTCGACCCGGTCCGAGTCGGTCAATGATCTGGGCGGGTTGGACCCTGTATAGATGAGAGACGCGTGTGAGGATGAGCTGCTTGCATGCAGCTTCGTTTTACGCGGTCACGTGTTTCCTGGAAGTCGAAGCGAGCACAATGGCGCGTGGCGCGTACCTCTGTAAGCGACGATGGTGGTGTGGAATCCATGGTCGACCAAGGATTGGGCGTGGTAGAGCATCCGAGGACTGCGGCCAATATCGCCGAGCACGACCACCGCGATTGAACGTGGCTTTACGCGACGACGAGAACGGCTGAGCAAGGCTAGGGAGAGCAGTACCAAGGGCACAGTTGGCAAGAGGGCCAGCCCCAGTACTATGCTCGTCATTCTCGTTAACCTGGCGACGGTCGAAAAGGAGAGCGATGGAGATAGAATGGGGTAAAGAATGCGGGGGAATCAGGACAGAGGAAGAGTTGTCTTCGCGCGACCGGGCTCGTCTCCTTGCCTCTCACTGGCAGGTGACTGACTCGATCAAACACACAACCTACCAACATCACCCGAGTCATCCACAGCGCACTTTTATCTCGCCCCTGTATTCACACCTTCCAGAGTGAGTCGTTGGATTGCGTGAACTCAGCCATGACCCTGCGATCAGACACCGCCAGCTCGCTGACATCATCGCACCCGTGCTCGACCTCCGCGCTTCGCAGCTCCGCCTCCTCTCGTTTGACGCCATGTTCAAGCAACCGGGAACGCAGATCAAGTGTGGCACGCCGTTCACGATGCTCGGAGTAGCATCGGATCGCTCAACTCGCTGTCTTGCTCGTCCCACAGGCTGACAAACGTTTCGATCGTGAGGCTGAAGAAGGCCGGCAAACGTTTCGAGGTACACACCGACTTGATCTACTCTTTCCATGCGAAGCGGGAATTGGCCTCTGAATTTATATTTGCCTATTCCTCAGATCGCATGCTACAAAAACACCGTCAAGGCTTACCGATCGGGTGCCCAGACCGATTTGTCTGAAGTGATCCAAATCGACAACGTCTTCACCAACGTCTCCAAGGGCCAGGTCGCACCTTCGGATGACCTCCAAAAGGCGTTCAACACCACCGAGGTGCAGAACATCATGATGGAGATTTTGGACAAGGGCGAACTGCAGGTTGGGGAGAAGGAACGCGCGGCCGAATTGGACGACCTGAGGAGGGAGATTTGCTCCGAGGTTGCAGCGAGGTGTGTCGATCCTGGTACGCAGAGACCGCATACGACGGGGATGATTGAGAAGGCCATGAACGAGGTCGGGTACAGCGTCAAGAGTCACAAGAGTGCCAAGGTTCAGGTAAGCCTCTCTCTCCCTTTTCTCGGTCGTCCCCGACGATGAGTGCTCTGATGCCAAGCCGGTCATCTTTTCACCCAGGCCCTGGATTTGATCAAGGTGCTGCAAGCCAACAAGACCTTACCGATCGCACGGGCACGGATGAGGGTCAGGGTCACCATGCCAGCAAAGGAGGGCAAGAAGATCAAGGACAAGGTCTTGGCGCTCGTCGCTAAAGTCGAAGATGACGAATGGAACGACGAGTGGGAGCTTGCAAGTCTTCGAATCAGCCTTTCCTTTCTCGAAAGACGAACGCTCACTGACATTTGCTGTTGCTGTGCTTTTGTGTTGTTGTGTCCGACGCCCATAGATCGCCTTGATCGACCCTGGATCGTTCAAGCTGATCGACGAGCTGCTGCATTCTGAAGTCAAGGCAGGCAAAGGGGGTGCTTCGGCGAAGATCGAGATGATCAGTTTCAGCGCCGTTGAAGGGGAGGAGAGGACCGAGTAGCTTTCTGTAGGATTTCATGATGGGAATCGAGACGGCTGTACAACCGTGACCGCCCATGGCTTCAGCGTGTCTCTTTCTGTTGTTGATCTTGCCGCTGGCTGAACAGCGGACGACATTGCCCAATGAGTGAACAATGGAATGCATGGCAGGCGAAGTACCAGGCTCTGCCAGTCTTGAACGCCGTCCAAACTAATCCACTTCGTATCATGACCTTGTATAGGAGAATTCGGGCGATCCTTACGCTGCAGTGCGGCCCACTGCACTAGATGCCCCTGAGAATGCGGTGGACTGGGGAACACTACATACTGCCGAGCGGCGCACGATGAGATCGGGCGTGGACGTCTGATCGTGTTATTCAAATTGAGTCAGCGGTACGCTGATTAAGTCCAACTTTGTCTCGACACCGCAAGGCAAAAGTCGAAAGCGACTAGTCGTCATCTGAAAAAGAAGCTGTTTCTCAAAGGTGAGACTGGCGGACGGTGCCGCCCAGATCATTATTATGGGTTTCGGAAACGGTGACTTGTCGCTGTGGGCAAAGGTGGAACATTGTAACGATCGCCAGCATCACAACGTCAGAAATGTCTAGCCTATCCCAGCTCGGGAGCTAAATTGTTCGACACCGAACACGGCGAGAACCGCGCATCAGGTTAGGGGGACATCCCACTGGCTTACCATGACGCAGCTTCGCCGAGGCCGAACTCAGATGGAGATGATGCCGATCGCGGTGGTGAAGTACTGCTTCGCAGTCTCAGCCGAGGGCGGTCATATATATTCCGCGGATCCAGGTAGAGTGCGAGGCTACAGGAGCGAGCTTTTGGTAGGACGACAGCGCCGCTAGCTTGATCGGGCGGGCGGTGCATGCGAGAGTTTACATCTACATGCTGCGAACGGCCCTAGAACTTTCGGAAGCGGCCGGAGACTGTGTTTCCGAATAGGCGCAGTGCTGAACCAATGACGATAAAGAACGATGCAACCGCGAGGTGCCGACACCCGTCGAAGCTGTATGTCTGTAAACTCCATTTAGGAGGCGCGAGGCTCGGCTGCAACAGCGCGTTGTCAAACCGAGACAGCCGAATCGAATTTGAGGTCAGCACTGGAACGGACTGGAACGGGACGAGACTGTCCTGTGAGGTTGGATAAACCGACCCACCTTCTTCCTCTTCCTCTTCTCCTCTTCTCCTCTCCACATCGCAGCTTTCCAAGTCCAACATGGTTCGCTTCAGTCTCGTCGCCCTCACCTGTGCCTTCGCGGCACTCGCCGCGGCCAAGAACGACCCTAAGAAGAATAATCACCATGATCTTACCCCCCCATGGGTGGAGCAGGACGGCACTGCTGGCCACTGTTTCGACAGGAGCCTGATAGATGTTATGCGGTCGTGGGAACCGGTAAGTGTCGGCCTGGTAGGGGCTTCGGGGTGCTTCAGCAAAATCTGACTCCCCACGCACTGAGACATACGGTATTGCCAAGCCAAGGACGCCTTGGACGTGTCGGCGTTCCTCAAGTGTGCATGCACCACCGAAATACTCAACGGCAATGATACCCATATCGACGAGTATTTTCAGCAGCTTGGTACTAGTGCTAGCTACCGTCAGTGGTCCTTGGTCACCCGCGAAGAGCCGCTGGACAGGGGCTCATATTCCAATAACCTCTGGTTCCTTGTTCACAAAAGATTGCCCGCACTTGATGGAGGATGTGATCAACCTTGGATGCACACACACGGGCTGCGACGCTAAAAAAGCAAGGAGTATGTCAATGGGGCCTTTGCCAGGCATACCACCAGTATTCCTAGCCCAGTGCTTCAGCGCTCCGGTAAAGAACATAGTACACGACTGATGTCGGAGGTGCATCGCGTTATTCTTGACAACAGTGTGCCAACCAGCTCCGCCCCTTTCGGTCGCCTCCAAGAGGCAAACGGTTCACCTCTGATTATCCCCTCGACCCTGGTCATGCGTTGGGAAGAGCTCAAGCCGTTTGTCACCGCCGATCCTGCGGTCCAAATTCGCTCGCACCACGCGTCTCCTCGTTTTGTTTTCCGTTCCGTTGGAGCTCTCCCTGGGTAGTCTGTCCCCCTCCGCCCTCTCGTCGATTGGGATAGTCGCGTCTTTCTCCTTTTGCGAGTGCAACGCTTGATTTCATCGGTAGACTTTCCATGGCAATATGGGTCAAACAGGCGCGCAGGATGGACAGGCTGTCATTGCTGCGCCACGTGGCCTGAGACAGGGGGTCGCTCTCGCCAGGTGCGGACGCTCGCTGAGACAGCCGTAACCCCGTTGACGACGACAACCCTCAGTAGGATACATACTGGTATAGGCTTCAAAAAATTCTGTCGTCAATCGCGCCACTTTTATCAATCCGATTAGCTCGACTGAGATGGGCCCGGTATGATGATAGAAATTAGAATCCGGACTCACTGCGCTGTCCCAGATTATACTAGGCTACTCTCGGTGTTGAAAAGATCGACTCAGACCGATGTAACCGTCCACATTGTTGCGCTTTCATGAGATATGAGACATCTTTGATTCGTATCGGTAAGCTGAAGGGTGTGCTCTGATAGGCAGGCAAGACGCGACGTCAAGCTGCTGCCAGCGAAATACCGGGCGAGCAGCGCGCCGACCTCAAGCTCAAGCTCAAGGCCTCAAGCCTCAAGCCTCGAGGGCTCGAGAGTCCACGACGTCGACGGTCATCGAGTCTAAAGCAGTTAACTCTATGTGTGCTCTTGCTCAAATCAAAGGGATCCACCTGCTACCCAGTGCGTTCATCGGAAAATATAGACCAACAATCGACCGCATTGATAAATTGTCCGAGTGCAGTGGAAGCGCTTCTAATTTGGCTTCGATTCGCCCTCTTTCGCCCTGATTCGCCGTGCCAGGCCGTGCCTGCCGGCAGCTCGCGCTGACGCCGTCGTCGTTCTCCCTCCAACTGCCTCAACTCCCGATCGCCTCGGCTCTTGACGACGACGGCGACGACCACCACGACCACCACGACGCCAGTGCGAGTGCTCAGCCTCGTCCCTCGCTCACTCCGCTCAGCCGACGCGTGAAGAACTAGGGCTTGGCTTGACAACACCAGTAACAACAGCAGCATCAACGGGGAGCGCACGATCTTGGCCAGAGACCACAGCTCGATCACTCGCCATGACTTCCACGACGACCGCGCCAGCTACCTCGGCGCAGGGGACCGCCACTGTGAGTCTGGCCGCATTGAATGCTGTGGAGGCTGCGTGTGATGGCCAAGGGATGGTCTAGGTGGTGTGTGGTGATCTGTGTGTGTATGGATGCATGGGTGCGACGGGGCAACTCTCGCCTTCGCCTTACCCCTCCCGCCCCGAGTCCCCACACGCGCTTGCGCCTGGCGCGCGCTGCCTCAGTCAAAACCACTCCCACTTCACCCACCACACCACCACCACCCCGCCAGCCAACACCCAGCGACCCAGCGACCAAGCGCGCACGGGCGACCCACCACCCACCGGGTTGGCTCGCCAGCTCGGCCACCCACGTCCTACCTTCACAACACTGACTCCTGTCACTTTCTTTATGCACAGCCTTCTGAAAGGACAAGGCCCACACAGCAGGCCCAGAACAAGACCAAGCCGCAAGCCAAGAAGAAGCGCGCCGGTCTGTTCGCCTGCTTTGGCTGTGGTGCCGCCAGCGCTTTCGACGACGACGACGAGCACTACAACAAGGGCGCCAACCGTCGCTCCAACGCGCCACGGACATCGACACGGCCGAATCAAACCACTCGACCGACCCCAACCACATCGTCGTCCGCGACCCCGATCGACTCCTCCGAAAAGGACAAGGATGGTTCGAATGCACCGGCCCCACTCATGTTGAATGAGAAGGCGGAGCTGCCGAGCTCCCACGTCGCTGCCACCGGCGCTGGAGTCGCCGTCGTAGGCGGGACATCTTTCGCCGGCATCGCTGCTCTGGGTGGTCCCAGTAAAGACTCGTCGACGGCCACATCAACCGCGGTCAACACCGTTTCGACCGAGCCTTCGACCCCGGCTCCGGCCGGCGCAGCTGACGACTCGCAAGATGCGGCTCTCGCCCTTGCGCCGCCCACTTCGTCCCCGTCACCGCAAGGCGTCACTTTACCCCCCGATGAGACAGAAGGGGTTCTCTCGGGTGCCGTCATGGCCCCGGGCAAGGACATCACCCCGACGCCGACCAAGGCCAGCGCAGGCGGAGGAGGAGGTCGAAGGAGACGGAAGGGCGCCGCACCGGCGAGCGAGAGCATCATCACCCAAGTGCCAGAACCGGGGCAACCACGGCCGACGATGCTCGTCCAGTCGACCGACTCGGACGATGATTTGGACGAGTCGGATGAGGACTATGAGGATGATATCGAGGAAGAGGACGAGGAGCAGAGCCTGATAGCCCGAGGTGGGGTCGGTATTCCGATCGGAGAGGTGAGGCAAATCGAAATTGCGTATGACGCGGACTGCAGATTGCTGTATGCGAGTTGCTGACTGTGAGATCGTTGTTCTGTTTGGACAGGACGGCCTCCCACACCCGCTATTGGACCCGCTGGCCGAAGACCTCAAGGGGCGGAAATGCTTGGTGCTCGATCTGGATGAAACACTCGTTCATTCGTCCTTCAAGGTGGGTGAAACGTCGAGGGTTGATAATTGACCGGCATACAGTCAACTGATGGTGCAGCATAACTTTTATAGATGGTTCACCAAGCTGATTACGTCGTCCCCGTCGAGATCGAGAACCAATATCATAACGTTTACGTCATCAAACGGCCAGGAGTCGACGGTGAGTACTGGCGATGAAGTATTCCATGGACCAGGGTGCTGAAACTGCTGGCGCTCGTTCTTCGATCGAATAGCGTTTCTCAAAGCTATGGGCGAAATCTACGAAATCGTCATCTTTACCGCGTCGCTGTCGAAATACGCCGACCCTGTTTTGGATCAGCTCGATATTCATCGGGTAGTGCAACACCGGCTGTTCCGAGAGAGCTGCTACAACAACAAAGGCAACTATGTCAAGGTCGGTGGCTGCCGCTCTGCTATGCACTTATTGGACGGACTGCCACGTACTGATGCGCAACCTGGCTTGATGGGGCACCTTTCACTAGGATCTCTCGCAGCTCGGGCGGCCGATGAGCGAATGCATCATCATCGACAACTCACCTGCATCTTATGTCTTCCACGTCAACAACGCCGTACCCATATCTTCCTGGTTCAATGACCCGTAAGCCCGGAGACCGAAATTTCTAATTATTTTGCGGGCGTGACTGATCAGTGCGAGCTGCCCGTTCAACACAGACATGACACCGAGTTGACAGACCTCGTGCCCTTCCTGACCGACCTCGGCCAAGTAGACGACATCCGATCCGTTCTAGACGCAGGACTATACCACCACTTGCAGTCGTCGACCGAGGGTGAATCTTTTGCACTTGCGTGATCGACCGACGGACCCTTTCCGCTTTTACATTTCCTTTCGGCACCTCGCTCGCCCCTCGGTTGGGTCCGATTCTTCGGGACCCGGTTTCTCTCCTCGCCTTCCTGCCGGCGAAGGCTATACTCCCTTCTTCCAAATCCTCCTTTCCCTCATTTTCCTTGTGTTCCCTCTCACCCTCTCTGATTACTATATAAGAGCATTCGTTCGCTCTCGATTTAACCCTCGTTACCCAACCTTCTTCCCTTCCACTTTTATGATGTTAAGCCCCCACTGTTTCCCTGTTTTCTTCGTCTTCTCTATACTCTATACATCGTCTCGTTCACAAAACGTAATCATGCCGAGGCGGCTGTAATCGATTCCGACAATCTCCCCTACTCCTCGAATGGTCCTGTCGGACGTGTCCCAACTCAGGGGCCCGCGTCCTTCCCGAAACAAGCTTGAAAGCTGTGGCATGATGCGGACCCGTGGTGAATTTGAAGGAGGTGGTGGCATCTCGAGAAAAGCTGACGATGCCGAAATCAGCTAAGGGCTCGTGGATCCGACGTTCGATTGGACCCCGGTCAGCGAGCACGATGCCGAGTACGGGCTCAGGCCGGGTACTGCACCCACCCTGAGCTGTCGTATTATATTAAGATCTCATCCGTCTGATTTGGCATGCAACGCACTCGCTAGCGCTATCGTAATTCCCCCGGACTCTCGGCGCGCATTTCACCTCAGCTTCGACATCAAAAATGGCGTAGCTGGTTTGGGCAGTGCAAGTAGTCCTCAAATCACTATGTGTGTAGATTTATACGATCCGGCATCTAATGTGGAGTAAAACTTTTCGAAGAACTTCTCTTCTTCGGGGACTCTCTTTTCCTTGTCGAACGAAGCGCGGTATAAGGCGCGGCAGCGGCTTGGTAAATCAAGAGTGAGTCGAAGGTCCTCACACACATAGATGAAACTGAGCGAGAATGATGGCAGAGGACGTGATTTGTATATACACGTAAAGTGTTGAGAAGGGTGGTCCATCCCAATTTTCGCATTCACCAATTGCAAGGGCATTGTGAGAAATCCGAGAGCCTCTTGGATGCTGAAACTTTACGCCGCACACCGTCTACTACAGTGATTCCTGTCCCTTGCATCGTTTACAAGATTTCGCGTCGTGCTTCGTTCCCAGAGGGAGTCTTGAATAAGACACGTAAAGAGAAAGGACGACTCAAGACGACGGTCGAATCGATTGAACGCACTTTTGAATCCCTTCAGCCGCCGCTCGCCCCTTTTCCCGCTTTGACCGTGGGGTTGCTCGAGAGCTCTGACCCGCACAGGCAAAGTTGGTCTACTGCAATATAATTGTCCATAACCGAATAAATAAAAATGTGCCCCAAGGAAGGAATACTGAGCTAAGAAAGACCAATAAGAGAAACGAACACCACGGAGGGAAAATATCATATTGGTGGGAACAAAACAATGCGCGGCGTGTCCTCCCTTCGTGTAAGAAGATGGCCAAAGAGAGGGGAGGAGGAAGATGGGGGGAAGAAAGTCGAAAACTAATTATCTATGAGGTTCGTAAGATGGGCGCGTGGTGGTTTAGAACGCCGGTTGAGGGCATGCCACGGCGGGTAAAGTCGAAGGAGGGGTTCGACCGGTGGCCCGGTAGTAAAATTGGACGACTTGGAGAATGCGCGCTTGGTCGGCGGCACTGTTGCCATTGGGGTAGTACATTGAGTAACCGTCGGAGTGAGGCACGAAAGCACAGCATTGCGAGTCGTGGCCTTGAATCGACCAGGAAAGCACTCCCACTGCATATCAGGATAATCCGAACAGTCAGTACCATGAGCTTGGACGAGGGAGGGCGGATGGAACCGAACTAACTGTAGGTCTGCGCCAAGACGGCGTTGAGGTAGGTCGCCAAATCGTCACCGCCAAAGCTATTGGTCCAATCGAACTCGCCCAGCAAGAAGCCCTTGTTGTACTTCTGCACGATGGGGATCTCGGCGTTGAGCAAAGCGACGTTGCGTGGGTAGCCATGATCCGACATGAGGTCGATGTTGGTCACGTTCAGACCGGGGGCCAGAGCCTTGGTCGAGTAGTTGTAGAAACCATCGGAACCGTCGATGATGAGCGACTTGGGGGACAAGCCCCTGATCAAGGACGCGACTCTGTTGGTCCAGTATTCGGGAGGGTAGTTCTCCTTGCCGATGTAGCCTCCGAGCTCATTTCCTGTTTCAAGTCAGAGTGAAAACTCGGAGAGATGAGCCGGCATCTACCACCTGGATTTGACGGAGAACGGTACGAACCAGTCTCCCATGCCATGATCGTGGGGTCGTTCTTGTAAGCAATTCCGTTGTAGGGGTTAACTCGGTTCATGACGAAGTTGACGTAGTCTCGGAAAGGCGCGTAGACGGTGTTGGTGTTGAGGAAGCTCGCGCCGTAGTTGGCCACGCTCGCCCCAACGAAGCGGATGTAAGAGTACTTGCCACCGTGGTAGAAATCGCTTCAGGCAAGGCAAAACAAGCATGATTAGCCTCACGGCCAAGAATAAACTTGTGAAGAGAACCGCGGGCGTACTAATTGTCGGTCAAGGGCATGACGATGCGCAGACCGTATTGCCCTGCAGCGTAGACAACGTAATCGTGAATGTCGAGTTGCGCCGCGCCACCAAAGACCTGGTACGACGGGTTCATCGCTGCAGAATATGACGGACACTTGACGTTAGCCGAGAAGCACAATTGGAGGATCGTACAACAGTGCGCGAGCATTGAAAACCCACCTTGGGCGTAAGCGACACTGGTACCGCACGAGGTCAATCGGATGGTGTTGGCACCCATGGCCACGGCGATGGCAAGAGCTTCGCGGACTCGGGTTTTATCGGTGGGCGTTCCTTTGGAGACACCGGCAATGTTTTCACTGAGGAAAACAGTGGTTCATCTGTCAGGCCAGGATAGGGATCAGACCTTGTCTCCGCTGGGTCTTACTCGTTGCAAAGCCCTATATGAAGCAGCAAACGAAAAGGAGCGAACAGGGTGAGCCACCAGAGTGTAGACATGAGTGCGCCAGATCCGTTCGGACTCACAGTAGATGTTGGTGCCCACAATCCTGTAGGTCGCCCCGTCAAGGGTCAAGCCCTGGCCCGAAGAGGCACGCTTGACGTAACTTGTGGCCTTGGGGAGGGTGCCAGTGCCAGAGATGGTTGTGCCACCGGCAGTGTAAGCCGGGGCGCAGTTTCCTGCAGAAGTTTTCGAAGCGGTCGTCGTGGCAGTCGTCGTGGGGGTTTTACTAGGCGTCGTTATAGCCGTCGTGGTCCTCGAGGCTTGTGGCCAGAAAACGCGCAAGGTCAGCACTGAGAGCGCCAGAGGTTAATTCATACAGTACACCTTGCAAAAAAGACCTGTGCTGTGAATTATTGAAACAAGCACTCACCCGTGGTAGAGACCGTGGTCGTGGTGGAGGTCGTACTGAGCCATAATGAAATGAGCCAAGCTGAAAGTCAGTTCCCGGCATACTCTGCCATTGGCATCGCTCGCTCGCCACCCCTGAGGATGCACTCACGTCTTAGATGCTGCTGCCGCCGATACCGCCGCTGCCCTGGACGCCACAGCTGCGGCTCTTTCACTGTTTTTAGCAGCTTGAGCAGCCGCTCGGGACTCGGCTGGTGTGAGCGGTGCGCGTTTGGCGATCTTCATCATCCCCTCTGGGGCCGAGTCTTCGCTCGGAGTCGCAAAGTAGAAGGCCGCCCGGGCCTCGATCTCGTCCAAGGGGGTCACACCGTCCCATCCTTCGTCGGCGGGATGAGCGAGAAGGTATCGTCGCACTTCGGCCTCTCGTTCCTCTGCCGTCGCTCGGCGCACTACGGGGTTATTGTTGACGACGACCATGGTATGGACGGCACGCGCATGGGCGGCCCGCGCTCGCACCCGCTTGGGGACCGCGAGATCCCAGGTCGGGATCGAGGAGGCAACATTGCCTGTCGGCTCGGCCACGACTGTCGAGGCGGCGACCGAAAGGCACACTAGTACTTGGAGCAACATGATGTCGCCGAGTCAAGAATTTGGTTTCCGACCAGAGGTGGGGCTGAGGCGATGAGGACCGTCGTCAGGGCTATTGATCGGAGTCCGCGAGACAATTTGAGACTCGGGGCGCGCTTCCGCAGCTCGGATCTGAGGTCGAGTTCGAGAGGAGGATAGTCGGATCACCGAGGACTGTGTGGTACAGATAATTGAAAGCGGGGTAAGACTCTTCGATGAAGTGAAGCGGCTGTTGCCAGAAGCACCTACGCAGGATGGAGTGTGCGTAGGATTAAAAAGAAAGCTGCATCGGAGCCGAGCCAGCGAGACGGACGCGGAATCACGACCCCGGGCTGGTCCATCGGGCGACGAGGGCCAGTGCTGGAGTCCGCGAGCTCGCGAGCCGGCGGGTGCGAGCGCGCGAACTCGTCGAAGTCTCACCTTGAGCTGCGGATGAGGGCGACCTCTCACTCCAGAATCTCCGGCTCTGCGGCTCTGGCACTGTGGTTGTTGGCTCTTGTGCCTGTCTCTGTGCGAGACCATCGTGAGCACCCGCAGCAAAGCTCCGGGCCCCGGAGTCTGCAAAAGTTTCACAAGTGGGGGACACATCTTTTCTCAGTTCTTGGCGGTGACAATCCAGTTTTTTTAACCCTGCAGTGCTCGAATCGGCGAAGTAAAAAATACTGCTTGTGACGCCTCCCGAACCTTCGGCTACCAGGTGCACACGCGAGGGTGGCACCCAGTATCTTGCGCTGATGGTTGCCCGATTTCGAATCGGTGGCACAGCTTTGCAACATCTAAGGAACATGACCGTGGGTGGTAATCCCCGCTCCCTACGTCTCTTTCTCAGAGCTGTGAAAGGTAGGAGGCAATAATATCATGATTGGTATCTCGGCAAAGTCTTCCGTCGGAGCTGCCGCGCGATCGAGACTACGGATGGAAGCCGCGCTAAGAGGTCCGTGCGAGGAAGCCCAAGTATCCCGTGCGCTGGGCCTGACGCGGCTTGGAAGCGATCGACCACCAAGCCACTGAGCTGCCTCCCAGGTGCTCTTCAACCGGCACTTTGCCCCACCCACCCTCTACCAGCTTGCTCCGATCTCGACCAAGATGCAGTTCAAAGATCGAACGAACGAGTTCCGGTCGTGCGTCGAGTCGGCGGCGATGCGAGTGACCGGCAACGGCAGTGACGTGCGCCGACCGCTGCTCAAGAACGGCTCACGCGACGACAAGAAGGGACAGCGCTCCGAGTTCGCCAGGATGGCCGCCAAGATCGGCAAGGACATCCAGGGGACCACTTTCAAGCTCGAGAAGCTCGCCCAATGCAAGTCGACTCTGGAGTCGAGCTGTGACTCGACGGGGATCGGGGTCGACGAGGCTGGCTCGTCCATGTCTCGCGCTCGCCGTCGTCTCACCAAATGCACATAGAACACCAAAGCTGACATATGCAGGTATCGCATTCTTTCACAGTGGCAAAGCGAAAGACGTTGTTCGACGACCGGCCAGTCGAGATCAGCGTCAGTTGGAATGACCGGACACGTCGCGTCGGGATCGAGCATCAGCGAGTCTCAGGAGGTGCTGACACGGACCTCGTACATCGCCATACAACCAGGAATTGACCTTTATCATCAAACAAGACATCGCCGCACTCAACCAGCAGATTTTACAGCTGCAGCAGTTCACCAAGAATACGCTCAACGCCGCCGGCACGTCGAAACAGATCTCGGAGCACAACAACAACGTCGTCATGATGCTCCAGAGCAAACTTGCCGACACAAGTATCGGGTTCAAGGACGTGCTCGAGATCAGGACTCAGGTGAGGAAGCATGGTCGTGGCAGCCATAGCCGGACCTTCGCTGTCCGGAGTGATCTTCTAGCTGCGGCCCTTGACTGATTAGAATCCAACTCTTCGCAGAACATGAAAGCATCGCGGGACCGGACAGAGCAGTTCATGTACACAGGGAACAACGCACTGGCGGGGCCAGCATCCGGTAAGTCTTGAGCTGCATGGCACTGCGCATGTGTGCCCCGAGGACCGCGTGGTCGAGCCAGACCGACCTGACGACCTGATCACTTACCAAAAGTCCTCCGCTCACGCAACCCGCATGGTGGTAATGGTGCCGCCGAACCCGATCTTCGTTCAGACTCGCCCCTCTACCGACAACCGACGCCGAGTGGCAAAGGCAAAGGGCGAGATCTCGGGCCAAGCAATGCTCCCGGCGGTGGGCAAGCCGACTTCCTCGCCTTGGACTTTGGAAACTCGCAGACGGGGACAGGGATGCCAGAACAAGGTTTCATGCAGCAGGAGCTGGCGTTGCAGCAAGGCGATGTGAGTGCTGTCCCGTCTCTTTGGAGATCACGCTGACGGGGACGAGGGCTGATGTTTTGCTCTTGGCGCCACAGGAGCAATATATGAATCAACGAAGCACAGCGATCGAGACCATCGAATCAACGGTCGCAGAGCTAGGTCAGATCTTCTCGCAGTTGGCAACAATGGTTGCAATCCAAGGCGAGGTCGTCACTCGGATCGACGCAGACACGGAGGAGATCGCAACAAACGTTAGCGGCGCACAATCGTAGGTTACGAACAAACAGGGATGCCAGCGCGTTTATCTGGTATTATTATACTGAATCTATTGGTTGCGGCACCGAAGTGAACTGCTCAAGTACTACGCTTCCGTCTCGTCGAATCGCTGGCTGATGCTCAAGGTGAGTGGTGCTGGCGCTGGCGCTGCGGTAGTCTGGCCCTCCTGAACCAAGAGTTTATGATACTGACGAGCGCTTTTGCGGGTGTGAACAGGTGTTTGGCGTTTTGATTGTCTTTTTCCTCATTTTCGTACTCGTCTCATAACGCATTGTGACAGTAATGAGCATCCATCTTCTACTTCAACAACGTTGGGACCTCGGCTCATCGCCAACTTTGGAGAACGTCGCGCGATCGGCCGCCCGGTGTACCCCCGTCTGAGGCACCTCCACGTCTCGTGCGTCGGTGTCAACCCCGGCAGCACGGTGGCAAAGAGAGCAAGTATGCACGTGCTAGACATATGACCTTCGACTTAAGGAAGAGCACATGCGCACCCAGTGCTGCCGATGCGCAATTTTCTCGGCAGGTGCTAGTCGAGGAGGTGAAGGAGGAACCAAGCCTTTGAAGTGATCCAAGAAGTCCTCGACTCCGGATTCCCCGTACTTAATCTGGGGCTCCATCGTTGGCGTCCTTTTGCCACCACGTTCCGATCGCTGATCTCCATCGTGAGAATGAGGTGCTCCGTGCCTAGGCAGCAAGTGCGGCGGAGGAACAGTCAGAGTTCGATCGGTAACGCCGCGCAGACACGACTGGGCATCGACCGAGCCGCGAAGCTGACACTGAACGTGTTTATTCATTGGGCAGGAATGCGATCACTCAAAATAAATTCTAATGGCTGATGGGAAAAAGCAGAAGCTTGTTCGCGCTTTGACGGGTGAAATCGGACTCCGACCTTTCAGGCTAGATCGAGCGCCGAGCCAGAGGAAGCTTGCTAGGCAGGCAGCTTTCAGGCGCTGTCCAATTGAGCATTGCAACCCCAATTTCAAATCACCGAATCATTTTCGCTGAAGTGCATCTTGTCGCCGGCGCGTCGGCGAAGGCGAGCGCGCGCGCGCAAGGTCACAGTGCCAAGCCCCTCGTCTTGGCGCCAGGCCAAGCCGAAACCCAAGTACCGACCTCAATGTCGATGTCCAATCACGGTCACGCCTGGCAACGGAACGTGCTGACTCGATAGGAGATGTGCAGCTCTTGCGAAAGTCAAGGATGGTGAGCCGAAATTACACGCGACTGAATTCTCGAATTGAGCACGTGCAAGGCTCCGTACGCTCAACCGTATCATGACGCGCATGGAGCAAGCCGTCGTCGGGGGGAATCACTCACGTCGGGTCGCCGCTCAATTTCTTCCTCGATCCCGCCGGTCGACCTTCGAAAGCGTGCCCCTCGCAGCTTTCTCCTTTCCACCTCCTCCATCCAACCTTATCAATTAACAAAACCCCACGAAGACCTTTCGAAATGACTAACTTTGCTGAAGTCTGGCGGTCGTTCACGCACGAGGAGAAGCGCAACATCGGTCAGTGTTCTTTTGACTTTGGTCGGACACCCAGTGGCTGCTTGGATGCGGGGGGAGACTATTGCCGAGGGCCAATGGACTGACATGCGTCGGATACATTCTCACATGCGCTCTCCGTAGGATGGTACATTCTCGGTATCATGATGTACGCTGCCGTTTGATACCAAAGCTTTCATTTACTCATAAGTGCATTACTGACTCGGGATCTTCCATCCGTCCTAACTTTTCTGAATGGCCGCCGCGTTCCGTGCCATGCACTCCTCTCGGACGCGGTTCTTTGAAACTTGCGCGCAGGTACAAGCTCGGTCTCGAATTCTTCAACGGTTCCATCACCACCCTTGCCACCGATCGTTTCCGCGCTGCCAACACTTTCACCAAGCTCGGCGCGGCCCAAGGTCTTAGCCAGGCTATGCAATGCGTCGGCGCCATCCTTATCGCCCCTCTCGTCAAGGCGCTCCCGACCCGTACCGTCCTCGCAGCCGCGGTCACCTTCTTCGCTTTGATGACTACCCTGTTGCTCATAATCGATGCCGCCACCGGTGGTTCGATCAAGCGTGCCGGCGCGACCCGAGCTGATTACGGCTCGTGGAACCCCAACCTGATCTTTGTCATCTGGTCCTTGTCCGGTATCGCTTGTATGTCAGCTGTGGCGGAGCCTTACGAGCTGGGCTCAGACGTGATCTGACCTTTTTTTTGTAAACCTTTCCTACGACAGACGGTATGGTCGAACTTATTCGACGTGTCATCCCCGCCGATGTCGTTGGCGGCAACGTATCCAAGCTCCGACGCATGGATGCTACCGTCCACGTCCTCGTGAGTCGGCTTGAAAGGCTCAATTTCCAGGAGTAACCGGGTGCTAACGGTGGCTAGCCATCGATCATCCCACAGTACGAAGTTGCTGGTACTTCGGGTGCTTTCGCATCGTCCGCGGCCATCACCCGCCTCGGCAACAATTATTCCTTCCTCGTCACCCCTATCTTCTTCGTCCTCGCCGCTGTGGCGTGGTCGTTCGTCGGCGCGCTCCGCACGACCCACGATAAAGCCGATGGCGACGAGCCTGCCCTTGCAGCGGTTGATAAGGATGGCAAGCAGAAGAACTACCTTGCCGCTGTGGCCAAGGGCGCTTATCTCTTCTGCAAGTCGGTCGGTCTCGGTGCCTGGATCGTCATGTCGCATCGTCGCTTCATCTGGCTCTTCCCTGGTTGTGCGTATCTTTTCCGAGAAAATCTCACTGCATTCCGAGTTTGCGATTGACTTCTCCGAATACGCCTTGCCGCCACGCAGACGCCGTTGCCCTCTACCTACATCGATTCCTCGAGTCCTCGCTTGCACCGGCTTTCGCACGCCGCGTTTTGAATGTCTCGGCCTACTCGCAGATCATCGTCGGTGGTTCCAACTTTGGTGAACTCCTTGGTGCTGCGACCGTCTTCCTCTTGTCCGACTACGTCCCGACCCCTTTGCCTTGGCTCCGACTCGATGCCCTCGCGCTCAACATCGTCTGGATCCTCCCTCGCTTCTCGCAAATCGCCCAACCCCGCCAGGTCCGGTGGGCATGGTACATCGCCGGCTGCTTCATCCCCATCTCGTTTGGATGGGCTGCAGGTGACGTCTCCCTCGCGGCCTACATCCAATCGTCGCTCACGACAATGGACTTTGCCGCCGCCAAGGACGTCTCGGCCCTCGGTGCGGTCATGGCCTTCTTGTACTCGACCTACATCGTATTCAACGCCGTCCTCTCCTCGGTCTTGGGCCGCGTCATCGATCAAGACTTTACGCGAACAGGCACGATCTACACGGCTTTACAACAAGTCGGTGGGATTCAATTCAGTGTCGCATCGGCTTTGATCTTGCTCGCGACTCTGATCCCGATCGGAGCGTTCGCTATCAACCCCAAGATGCTCAACTCGATGCCTTTGCAAGGCGATGTTGCGCATGAGGAGGCATCGGATGCCGAATACGTCGCCAAGGGCGTTGATGGAACCTACGGTAGCGACTCGGACTCGGTCGAGAGGGAGAAGAAGCTCGCTGCCGTTTCGGCATGAACACCACGAGTGGTATGACCTCCTTTGTATATCGCTATTGAGTGCATCGCCTTTGGGTTGAAGTGGAAAATCCCACTCTTTATCATGAACATAGACAGACGCTGTATTCGCTTTCTTTGTAGATTGCTAGTGCCAAAGAGGTGGCTTGTTTTCACTAAACTACGGCGCCTTCACCAACTCAAACATTCACTCGTGAGGGAAGGGAGATTCTTGCAAGACGAGTGATTCCTATCTCTCGGCCTGAGCCCGGGTACAGCCCGCGACGTTTTCCGAGGGAATAGGAGCTCAACCCGGCCCGCCCACGCTCTTTGCCTGGCCTATATAAGCACGACGGGTGAAGTCTTGTTTGCGTGTCTGAACACCTATGCGGCCATATATGGCTCAAACTGGGGACAGACGGTCTCGATGCCGAATTATGTGCATATTGCGGCTCTGGAGTCTGAAAAGGCAGATCCCAAAACGGCAAAGTGAGCTGAGCTGCAAGCCGTGGCTCTCCTCACACCCGCGGCTGCCGTCCGCGCAGGTCCGCGCGCGCCTGCGCGCGCTGGCACGCGACTACTGCTGGCTGCAACGACGGCGGAGATGCAGCTCTCACTGCACCCACATCCAATCACCTCGATCGGTCGTTGCCGCGCACTCCGCTTGCCTTTGACTTCGTGTTCGCCCTCGCCGTCGTTGCTGGGCCGTGGCCGTTGCCTCGTCATGTCAACACTCGTGGTTGACGTTGCTGCTGCCACGACACGGCCGCTGGCGACGAGTTGGTGGTCGACGTCGTGGTTGTCGATCGCGAGCGTTGCGACCGGCGCGGCTGCTGGATCCACACCGAGCGCAGTCGTCGAGACGTCGTCGGTCGCACCGGGAGCGACGAGCGCGTTCGTCGATGCCCAATGGCTACAACTGTGGTTTCTCTTCGCTTCCTTGGTCGTACTGGGTAAGCACATGCTTCATCTCTGGTACTGCATCTCACTGTTCCAGGTGGGCGGCGGGCGGGATCGCGATTCGTTCGAGCACGAATGCCGGGTCGTCGGGACACTTTAGCTCCAACGGCATCACCCGTAGGCGCGCTAGCAGCTTCGCGCTTTCGATGCGAATGCCAACCCAGATGGGACGCCAGCACCCCCATGTCCTGGCATTGCGGGGGGCTGCGATCTTCATAGGTGCCCATTTACCAGGCCTGGTCATGCTGGCATGGGGTGTAGGGCTCCACGCCTTGTTGCTTGTACCGCTGCGACACTCACGCCGAGCCCGGTCTAGCTGCTCTGCGGCGCGAGTGCGCCGTCGCAAGCCAGCTCCACGGTCGGGCAGGCGCGACTGTCCGAACGCGGACGTACAGGGGGCCAGGGAGGGTGGGGTATGGACAGGAGGCAACCAGTTCGGTCAGCGCTTATGCCTATCCCCGCGAACGAGTGCAAGTACTCGGAACGTCGTGTGGCTGCTGTGTGGGGTGTGTCCGGCCGGAACGAGTCATCGCGCTTCTTTCAGCAGCAGCAGCCCGGTCCCATCATCTTCCGCGCTCTCAATCACCCTCTCGCTCCCTCACATCCATTACGTGAGAGCACTTCACTGATGCCCTACTTCACATTCTCCGTTCCATGACATCTAGCGTACATGACCAACCCGTCACAGGCAACCTTCCGCACCCACCTCACCTCGCTTTCCTTTCACACCCATTTGCGCCGGCTCTCGTCATCGTCGTCTCAGTCGTCGCCGAGCCGTAGTGATGCCAAATCCGTTGCAGCGGCCAAGGTACCATCCACCTCGAGCCCAAGTACTGTGCCCAAGGCGACGAACGGCAAGATGGATCCCAAGACGCCCCACATCTTGTCCTTTTCGAACCGCATCTCGCTCTCGGTCCGCACGCCGTCCTATCACTTCAAGTCGTACGGCTTGTTCTCGGTCGTGGTCATGCCTTTGTCACCACTCCCTCCCACAAATACGTCCAATACATCCACCTCCGCAAACGTTCGATCCCCGAGCGCAGTAACGACCGCGACTGCGACCACCCCGGCCCATTCTTCTACTTGTCGCAGGAAGAAGGGTCCCGTGACACCGGCAACTGGAATCGGTGCTCCATCTACAGATCTTGATATCCTACGAGCGGACGTGTGGATCGGTGCATTCGGTCGCTGGTTCGCTTGGAAGTGGGATGCACCGACCGGGATAACACCTGCCGAAGTCACCGAGGATGATGAGCGGAGGGCACGAGTCAGTCGAAGCGTCATCAAGATCACGACCGAGGATGCCCCTTCCAAACGTGAGTTGTGTTGAAGGGAAGTGTCGGATCTACAAAGCGATCCCTGATCGTGTGTGCTCTCTGCTTGGCAGGTTCATCCAAGGTCCCGAAGCCTTTGACACTTTCCACCAATTCCGCCGCGACCTCGTCCACATCTGATGACCCCGCCAATTCGACAGAACCACCTACTTCTCCTACGACCCGAGTCGGCAGAAGCTCCCGTCCCGCCAAACGACCCTTGCGAGGGATGCAGCGACGGACCTCGCCCAATTCGCTTGCACGTCTGCGATCTCAAGTAGAGAGCAACGCTGCTGCGGCTGCCGCGGCTGCGAGTGCTGCACAGGGTCCGGATAAAACAAGCAAGGTTTCAAAAGACGAAGTCAAGAAGGTCGCAGTAGGGTCCACGGTGACAAAGGACGAGGAGCGTTTGAGAGTGAACAAGGATGGTCCTACGACACAAGAAGATGTGGCCAAAACCACCACGACCCCGGATCGATCCAATACCACGCCGACCGGTCGGACGAGCGGTTCGAGCGAAGATCGGGTCGTGCAGGAGCTTCAGCTACAAGTGGAGGAACTGCGAGCGTCGACGGACGATGCCGAACGTCGATTGCAGGAAGAGCTCGAGGTTTTGCGAGGAAGAAAAAGGGACGAGGACACGTCGAGGCAAGAACTGAAGCAACGTACCAAAGTGCTCGAGGAACAAAAACGCATCGCCGAGCTGCATCGCACCGAGACCGAGCGCGAGCTCAACGAACGCAAGTCGGTCGTCAGGGCCGCGCAGGATCGCGTTGACAAGATGCGCAACGAGATCCTAGAGATTGACAAGAAAGAGGTCGAATTGGCGGAACGCCGCGAGAAGAAGAAGCGTGACCGTAAGGAGCGGGAGCGTAAGCTCAAGGAGGACGTCGAAAAACGCAAGGAGGAGCTCAAAAAGGTCGAAGCGGGCGTGAACGAGTTGGCCGATCAAGTCGCTGGACTCGAGAGGCGTCTCGATGCACGTCGCGAGGTGCTGCAGGTCCGACGACACGAGATCGTCGCTCGCAACATGGGACTGGGTAGGAACGGACCTGTACAGACCTATCCTTACGCCCAGCCGAGCGGTGTGATGTCGAGGTGGAGAGGTGGCGGCGCCGTCGGCTACCCTCACGGCGGAGCGTATGCCTACTCGAACAACAATTCCCGCCCCGGAAGCGTTCGCTCCGGTCACTACGACCACTATCACAGCAATTATCAGTCCGCTCCGTCGTCTCCTGTTCAGTCGAGCCCGATCACGCCCTTCGATGATTCCGCGCTTGGGGGCCCCAGGCCGCCGGGGATGTCGAGCAACCTTGGTCCGGATGCGCATCGATCTCCGACGAGTCAAGGCTTCCTCGAGCACCGCTTGCAACATCGTCGCCACGACCTTGCGTCGGGCGAGGGCAATCTGTCCTCAGCCTTCTTGCCCTTTGACTTTGACACTCTCGACGCCCCCGCTTCTTCGGGAAGTCGACCTGCCAGCATCAACTCGCCTCACGATGACGCCAACAAGGGCCGCCCGGCGCTCGCGCTACCCATGCAGTATCTAGATTCAGGTCTGCTTGCCGGTGGCGATTCTTCCTCCATCAACGGTCCCTTGAGCCCCATGACGCCGCATCAGACCAGTCTCATCCCCAGCACTTTGTTCCACATGCTCGACGAGGACGACGAGGACGAAGGGCAGTTCGTCATGCCCGACTCGCCCTCGCTCACCGCGGCCAACGGAGATGCATGGAAAGGACTTGACCTCGACCTTGCGAACGACCTGACCATCGGTAGGCCCAACAGAGCGAGGGATGCCAGCGTGACCCGGACGGCGGACGGCGACCTCGGTGTGGACCTCTTGCGTCGCGATTCCAAGTCCTCGGGCGTCAAGTCGCCGTTCTCGGATGGTCCGTCGTCGAGCGTTGTTGGGTCCCGATCGGCCGTCAGCTCGCCGGCTCTCGTCCCTGCCAGTACTTCGGCCACGACTACTTCTCCTGCCTCGAGCTCGTTCGCACCCTGGGATACGCCTGCCGAAGGCATGCACGTGAACAGACCCTCCTCGATGGAGCAGCACGACGATCTGCCCCGCGCTGGTCTCTCGCTCAACCCTGATGCCAAAGCCTTCGCCTTCTCGCCCCGAGCGACCTCGGCGACGATTCCCACTTCGTCGAGCACGAACCTTCTACCGACGTTGGTCAAAGGTCGTTCGGCGTCAAACCCGCCTTTGCCTACGGGAATCGTCGCTTTGCACTCATCGAGCAGCGGTAACGGCCCCTCGTCGCTCACCGTCGTCGATCCCTTCTCACCCTCATTCAACAGCGTCATCGCCCCTCCCCCAAAGTCTCGCATGGACTTTGGGCACCGACTCAGTCCAAATGGTCATTCGTCCCTCGGTTCGAGATTCGCTTTCGATGCATGGGCTTCGTCACCTCTTACGCCTTCGCCCGAAGCGACGACGCAAGCCTCGACGCTCAAGAGCAACTTCAATCCTTTCGCTGATGACGGGGACGACCTGCTGGGTCCTTTGAAGCAGTGAGAAAGTGAGGACGTTGAGGCATGGAAATGGTCTGGTTTACTTTGAAGTTGAAGGGTAGTTTTGGTGCCCTCCGCTTGGGGCCTCTGTTTTTGCGCATGGTCCAAAACGATGAAATGTTGATGGCTTGCGAGCCGATCTGCCTATCATACACTCGGGAAACTGTAAACTAAGGTATTCTGGACGACAAGATTTATACACGCGACATAACTACACTTTCTTCTCCCATACTTGACAGACCAAAGCTCAATCAGTCAATCTCCATCCCATTCCCTTCCGCCCCCTCGACTGAATCGAGATCCACACCATCAGCATCATCATACCTCTCCTGCTTCGCCTGCTCGCGACGAAACTCTTCCAATTGTTGTTCCCTCTCTTGAGGCGTCCACTTCAGGGGTTGGTACAGAACCAGAGCTTGCGCTGCTCCTCGCTCGGCACCCTTGTCGGCCGCTTCGAGGGATTTGATGACGTCGAGTGGGAGGGGTGGTGGGAGATGTTTGAGCATCGTTGTGGGGATCGTTAGGTTCGTCAAATCGGTGTGGGCTTCGGTCTCGGTCTCGTGGGTTAGAGGGGAAAGGTTAGGGGAAGGTGGAGGTGAATCGAGCGAAGCGACGTAGATACGATGTTCGTCGAGATCGAACGAGGAAGGGCCGGTACCCATGGGTAGATCCTCAATGTCGGGAGTCGGTAGGGAAGTCATGGGCAGCTGGCCGAAGTTTGTGATCGGGGTTTGGGGTAGAGCTGGGAGGTAAAAGCAGGATCTAGGGTCAGCGTTCCATCAAGATGGGGGGAGTGTGTCAGCAAAGGGTGAACCTACCTGGTGTACCATCCCCTTGAACCCTCGCCGACTCGTTCCACGTGACCGTCGTAGGAGGCTGGGCCGGCTGGGCCGCTGCAGCGAGGCCCGCCGCCGATCGCGATGCCGAAGCAGCAGTCGGGTCCAGAGAAAGCCCAGCAAAACTCTCGACGATTCTCCGTTTCTTCTTGGGATGACGTGATCTGCTACTCGCCGCGTCTGACGGTGGCGCCGATCTGAACGAATGCAACACGCCCATCGAGTTGGGGCGAGGCAGGGTCCCGACTCGGTCGTCGTCTTGGTCATCGTCGTCTTCGTCCTCATCGACGTCGGACTCGTCGGTCGTTTCGTCGATGGGTTTGAGAGGAGCCGAGTCGACTTGGTGGTGGAGATGATGAGGTCGTTTGAGGCCTGATCGAACGGAGGGACTAGAAGCGGCGATCGGAGGCGTCGAGAGCGGTGTATTGGTTGGGCTGGTGTACATCGGGCTCAGAGTGCCGGGTACAGCACTGGATGTGTAGGGTACGTATTGTCCTGGGGTGTTGAACTGCGACATGGGGAGCGTAGACAGCGAGGACGACGAGGAACCGAAGGTCGGGGACGTGCTCCGAGTGGGGGTCGCATGCGAGGCGGCGGTGAACGGCAACGGAGGACGGTACAACGGGGTCGGATAGATCTGCGATGACATGCACCGGTGTTCGCTGATTATGATCGGTGGTGTCAAGTGCAAAGATGGGGGGTTGCGACAAGGCAAAAGCGCGGTGGAAGGAGATCGAAACGTGAAAGCGTGATCGGCGAGACGGGCGGCACATGGAAACCGATCGAACCTCCCGGGCAGGTGCTGGCAGGAGCTGGCAGGTGGCGCACAGCATCATATCACGTGACTCGCTCGTTCAGGGGAGCTTCACTGCAGTCTTTCCGTCAATTGCACCGAAGTCAAGCTACACCAAAACACTCAAGCACCAGAGTTCACAGATAGCATCGTAGAATAGACGCTATATCAACCTTTCATCGGGCCGCCCGCTGATTCACTACTCATCCATCAGTGCCGGGCCCGGTGAACTGATTGACAAGGTTGTACTCCTTGCACGTCGCATCACCCGTATCCGCCAACGGCCAAACCGCGTTCGACTGGGCGCACGTCCCAAAAACCCCAATATCGTACCCGGTGTACATCGTGACGTTGGACGTCTTGGGATTAGGGTAGGGTACCAGGCGGCACTGCGAGGTCGTGCCGTTCACCGTGACCCCCTCATCACTGTAAAACCAAACGTAGGGGATGATCAAGTCGGCCAAGTAAGCGCACATTGCACCGCCGTGGTGGCCGCACTACTGAGGAAGAATCCTGTCGTGACCATGCCGTAACTGTATTTTCCTGGCAAATGATACGATTGGCGTTTTGAGTCAGCTCGGTCCCCAATCTCGTTCAAAGCGCCTATTCCCGATCGCGCAGCTTGATCACTCACTGGCATAACGGGACGAGAACGGGCCGGTGCAGAATGTCGAGTTCGAAGTCGAGTTGTAGTCACCCAGTTTAAAGGCATAAGCGCATTGGGTGGAGATGTTGGCACTCGAGCAGGCGGAAGCGGCCTTGTCGGCGCAGCACTCGTCACCTGTAGAGAATGTCAAACGTCAGTTCGAGTCGCTCCTAATCAAAGTCTGGAGTTGGGCAACGTACCCTTGGTGCTGACTGGACTTTGATGCGGGCACGTCACCGCTTGACATTTGCCAGCATCGGTGATAATACCATAACTGCAGTTGGTCGCCCGACCAGTATTGTCGCACGCGGTCGCGTTCGCAGGACAGGGCAAGCAGCTGCGGCCTGTAGGATGAGACAGGGGGCCGATGGGTCAACCGGGGTGCCGCAACGTCCGCGGGCTGCAAAAGTACGTACCATTCGGAGCGGGGTAGGTAGCAGTCGGGCACGCACAGACACCATCCGTAGGAGAACCGATCGTGCATGAAGTGCTCTTCCCTTGCGCGTCACAGCTACGCGCTCCCCCATCGGGGCAAGGAGTGCACTGATCGCCGTTGGGACCGGGGTATTGACGAGTCGAGCAGCGCTTGGCCACACACTTACCGCCGGTGATAACGCCGTAAGAGCTGGCGAAGAAGCAGAGCTCTTGGGGTCAGAAGATCGCTCATATGGGCGCTAGGAAGGTTGCAACTCACCAAGTCGTCGCAGCGGTTGCGGTGCAAGACGTCGAGTTGGCGAACAGAGACGAGCAAGCGGTGCATTTGTTGGCTGCGATTGAGGTAGATATGGAAGGCTCAGGGCTCAGTAAAAAGTCCTTTTAGATAGCTTGAACGGGTGTTGAGAATTATGCGGGCTCACTGGTAGTGTCCTTGTATTCGGTACGAGCGCACGGCAAGCAAGTGGACGAGGAGCCGGAGGAGATCGTACGAGGCAGCCACATATTCTGACCGGTACCATTGGGAAAGAAGGCGAAAATCTAGGAAGATTGGAAAGGAGATAAGGCAATCGCTCATGACTTTCACCTCAACTGGACACCACTCACTTCGATATTGTCGCCGCGTTTGGCCAAAGGAGTAAAAGTGAGAGGATCATAGTCGCGTTTCTTGACCGTGAAGCTCTGAAGGATTCGGCAGCCCTTGAAACGTTCGAGCGTCGAAGTTGCAGGCGGCAACAGCTTGTTGGTGCGGAGTCGCTCGGGTAGATTCTGGGCCAGGATGACGACAACGGTCAAAGGGCGAAGATTACCCGAGTTGGCAAACTCGATTGTGGTGGGTTCGCATTGCTTTTGGCGTTCGGGCACTGAGGTGTTTAGGCACATTTAATTAGTTTGCTTTGATTCACGCTCATCGTGGAGTTCCTTTTCAGCGATCGCCTTCGACTTCCTCCAGGCCCCTGATAGAAAATTGACTTTCTCGTGTGCACCGCACCGAGCTTGCAGGGAGGATCCTGTACCACGCTACATCTTTATTCACGATCTCACGCTCACGAGAATGAGCTGGTCCGAATGACTCACTTATAGCGGAGAACGCAGTGCCGCGCCTTGGGCTCAAGCGAGATGGGATGGCCTCGGCGAATTGAGTGCACTGGAGCGCGAGCACCATCAAGGCCGCAAGGCCCGGCATGGAGAACGAGGTCGTGGTCCGCCGGCGGGGATGCATCATCATCATGGTGGGGAAGTGACGGGAAAAAGACAGAGAAGGAACAAAGTAGCTCGATACAGGACATCATGTTTCGACAACTACCCACTGCAGCTTCAAACTCCGAAGTTCCGAGTTGGGCATTGAGTACTCTGGCGCAGTGCCCGAATGCAAACGCGCTCGAACAGGAAAGCTGGGCAGGCCCGAATGCGAGGCGCAGTGGGGCTTCTCGTCCCGATCGGCGGTTTGAATTTATCGCCGTGCTTTTGAGGCCTTGGGTGTCATGGGTCCGCTGGAGCAGAGAGAGAAGTCCAAGAATTATGTCCTTTGTTTACAGTTGAATATTAAAGCGAAGTGTCCTGAAGGAATCGCTATTCGGGCCGCATCATGAGATTATCACTGCCGGCTCACGCCTCGCTGGACTGGGCCGCCGCTCCGCCGCCGCCGGAGGGGCTTGTGTCACGTGCCAGGCCAGCACTGCGTCGTCTGAGGGGCTCACATTACCCTAACTAGTAAAAAAAAAAGTGTCGATCCGCGACCATGTACCTAAAATCGCTGTTTTTGACTGTGTTGCGGCCCGGGGGGCCGCCTGTGGTGAACGTACCAGTGCAGTATTGTGTCTGCCGCACCTGTCTGTGATATTGGCGTCCCGACCAGAAGTCATGTACGACCCTTTCCGCATTTTCTGCACCATAAAAGTCGAGCTACAGCCCGACTACAATTTTTGTCGAATTTTGACATGGTGGGGAACTATTGAGCTGTTTGTGTAGGATTTAATGTATAGCAAGCGCGTGGGTTTGCATGACACTTCTTCTACAGAGGTCAGGCGTGGTCTCGCTGTCGTTGACGCGCGGACGCGGGCGCGGCTACGCCGCGCGATGCCCCGTCGATCACGTGACGTGTTTTTTGCATCCCGACACCGGTTTTAGGGGCTCAACAACAACATGAGGTTCCAGGCGTTGTGAATACTCCAGCGCTACTCTCTCTAATCTTCGCCTTTTTCCTCCCACTTTCTTCGAATTTTCGTGACAACCGCGCCGTCGGCGCCGAGTCCTTGGCGCGAGGGTAGCGCCGTACGATAGCGGGCCTGCTAGGGCCTGCTCTGGCCTGCTCGTCCACCTCGGGCAGACATAAAATATACGCCTCAACAGGCGCGCGCGCAGCGCCCCCTCACGCGCCTTCCAAGCCACAACCCCGGCGGGTTGCAACCTTGCTACCCCAGGTAGCAGGTTTGGCCCAGGTTACGCCCAAGTCTCTGCTTCGAGTCGATTCTGGGTATACACAACACTCTCACAGCTGCTAGATTGATTAGGAAAGTGGGTAGTAGATGCATTCCTTCCTTCATCTTTTTCTCGCATCTTTCGGGTGTCGTCAGAGTCACATGTCCGAAGCGGTCGCGCAGGATTTCGGTCCCGAGATCGAAGGGGCCGAGCACACGCGTTGGAGCGCGTTGGCCACGCGCGCGCACGCGCGCCGAGGCCTAGCGCAACACGCGAGGGACCTTCCACTTGACTTGCCGCGTCAGCTCATTGTAGCGTCACCATCGACTGTACAGGGCCCACGGATCGCGTTCGTCCTCTCGCTCCCTCTCGTTCATGCACTTGACTCGACGTCGCCATGCCGCCGAAGAGAAGATACCGCTCTGTGTTCAATGTTCGCCTGCCGAGGTCCAAACCGTCGGACCACCCCGACCACCCCGACTTCGACCTGCAGGATGCCTTTCTGCCTATCAACTACTCAACCCCCTACAGAACCTTCGTCGACAAAGGTGGTCGTAAAAGGAAAAAGAAAGAGCCACCCAATGCGAGCTCGTCAACAGCACCCACGCCCACGTCCACGTCCAGCTCCGCGTCGTCCACATTGCCCCCCCCACAACACGAACTCATCCCAGGCGCTTCGGCCTCACATTACGCTCGTGGAAGCGACATCACGCAACAAGATCTGGACGACTTTGGGCAGGAAGGAGTGTGGGTGGATGAGGAGGACTTAGGTGGGATGGACCTTGCGTCGGAAAACGCGCTGGAATCGACTGTTTACACCCGTGTCGACAACTCCGACTCACCCCCACGCCCCACCTACCGACAACTCTACGTCACTCCGCCCAACACTGCCAGACGAGAAGGCTATCTCAAGTACATCACGCTTGACGCTGAGCTTCGGAAATCGCTCCGTGCCAAGCTGTTTGGGCGCTTCCTCGAGTTTCGCCGCGACAGCAAGCTCCATCTACGACCGCTCGTATCGGAAGACGATCTCGATGACCACGATGCTCCGCCGCCATGTGCGTGCAATTGCATACTCACCCGCGAGATCATCTTGTACGATGTGACGGCATGTACGTGATAAGGCAGCTCAGCTTCACTGTCCCCGGGTTCAGTCACGAACCGAGCACTGATGCGTGTCTCCCTCTTTACCTGTGCCTTCAGTCTACAAATTGCAGGTCACCTTCTGTGCCTCCGAGTCGCGGTGTGCTACGGACGTCGAACGCTTGGCCCAACTAGGGTTCATCTCTTCGACCGCTTCAATGCCGATGACCGCCTTCTCATTTCGACTGGTCGAGCAGGCCCACGCGAGCTGGAAGGTCAGCCCCCGCGCTCTCACCGGCTATGCGGACGGCCTCAAAGAGTATTACTCCGGTTGTGGGTGGGGTCGAGGTCACTACACGGGACATCCTTGGGTGAGTTTAGACGGCGCCATCATTTTAGGGGCACATGCTTAAATCCTGCCTTCCACGCATGCAGGACAAAGACCTTCGGAAGCAACTGCAAAGGGCGATCGACGAGTACCGCGCTCTCGTAACATGCGAGAAGGACAGCGGCGACCTTCTCGTAGGCACCGTCGATTCGTATCGCGTGCTTCGGGCCAACGCGACTTAATCAACCTTGTCACCACGTCACATTGGATTGCGTGCTTGCATACGACGGCAACTTTCAGCAAACGCGTGAGAAAAACTCGAAGCACGACGTCCAAGGAATCGTTCCGGACATTTTCTTGGCTGAGGAAGAGGTTCAGGCGATGAAGGCCGAGGTTGAAGCTTCGGTGCGGCCGACCAAAAAGGTGAGTAATGCTGCTCTTTGCATTTGCCTTAATGGGATCGCTTACCTCTACACCCACCCACCGTCATAGGCGTGCACAGAGTCGTGGAAGGCTGCCGACGACGGAGCTGGCTCAACCTCGTCACGAGTAGTCGACACTGGACTCGTTGCCTGCGTATGCCGTCATGATGTAAACCTGAAAATGGTCAATCTTGAGAGGTCTGGTGAAAAGTGAGCGCAGAGCTGTCTGGTTGGGACGTAGTCGCTTCCGCTTTCCTCTCCCAGTACTAATGCGCATATTCCCCTCCGACCGCTCAGATTATACTATGCGCTTGCCATCCTCAAGTGCATCTCAGAGCGCCTTCCTGAAAACGCCAAGATTGGAGTCTTATACGACATTGCTCGTAACTTCAAGCACCACATTGAAAAGGTATGCTTCGATCACGACGCGTCCCTTCCTCCTCAGTCTCGTTGGCACAGACCAAATGCGCCTACTTTCCTATCATTTGTCACCCGAGGCAGCTCCTGCCAAAACTTTTCAAGCGACTGGAGTTCGCCACGAGCGTCTTCCATGCATACGCCCATATCTGGTCCTGCCAAGTCGAGTTCAACCCCCGCCTCATTCCGAACTTCGGGTTGACTGATGGAGAGGGCTGTGAGCGATTGTGGAGCGGGCTACGGTCGCTCATTCCGAGGAGTAGCAGCTGTGCGCGCCAAGGCTCGAGTCGGTGAGGAGGAAGCGCGGATCGGCGCCGAGGTGCGGCAAGCTTTGGCTTGGATCGAAGATGAAAAGACTCGTATCACTAGTTGCCAAACACTTTAGACTAAAGTGTCGGGTAAGTTTTCGATACAGCGTGCTCCATATCACCTCTTATGTCGCCCTGACATCTTTCAAACCATCCCAACAGATACCCTTTCTGAATCGATCGACCCAGCTGATGCCAAGTCCATATTCGGCACTGAAGATGTTGAAGAGATCCGAGGCCGCGCGCTCATCATACTGGATCGCCGGATGGAGCTTCTGCAGCTGCGCGAATGTTCTTGGTCCCAGAACGACCATTTCTTTGATGTTTGGCTCGAGACTCGCGGGCAGTCAGAGGGCCAGTCCGAGCCCATGCCTCCTGCACTGTCAGAACTTCGTGGTTTACATCAACGATTGAACGCAACGGGAAGAACTGTCAAGAAGGCGAAACATCACCAGCGACCTGTACATAATCGATCGGGAACACGCGGTTCTATGGGGACATCTGGCCTCGACGACTCGGCGGGGCCTCCACCGCTGGCCCGTGATGTTCAGCAAGTGCGGGCCATTGAGGCGCAGATGGATATGAGCGACGGAGCTGAACTCGCAAATGAGGTGGGGCCTCTCTCCGCACAACTCCTCGAGCAGGACGGTGAGATGGGCAGCTCTTCGGATGAAAGCTACGGCGATGACTTTGCTGGTCAGGAAGACGAATACTTCTCGGACGTTTAGACCAGCTTCTGATTTAGATTGAATTAGTGGAGCAAGCTTAATGTTGAAACAATGCACATGGTGTTTGCAAACTAAAGTCGTCTCAATTGCTGTGGGTGAGAGTATAATCACGGTTTCATAGAGAGAAATATTGTCAGACCTAATCTCTGGGCTGCGCCTGCCTTACTCCTGCCGGGTGACTTGCCGGGTGACGTTTCAGTTAAAGCGCATGCAACTGCTCGAGTACCTAGAATGTCTACCCCGTGAAAATGGGTGAGTGGGTTCGATCAATATAGAGAATGTATCTTCTTCCGAACAAGACGGCTGGGCGGTTCTCTCTCTCTGAGGATTCCCGCTCGAAGGACTCGACTTCCTGCCATGGCGCGGCCAAAGACCCTTTGCACCGATCCCCATCCCTGCTACTGAGACTTGCGCCTGTTTTAAGAAAAGCTTGGTGTCAAGGTCTCAAGATCAAGTCTATGCTTGACGGGAGGTCGGAGATCGTTCTTCCTCACCTCCTAGACTGCGCAGACCGGTGACGAACAAGACCTTTTATGGCGTCAGATCAATTAGATCCGCGCATACAGCAAACAGAGATGATGATGCAACTATAACCCTTAGTTCGGAGCTTCAGGAGACCCATCCGGGAAGTCAGGTCAGCCCTCAGTGGACCGCTCGATACGGCGACACTCTTCGGACGGCTCTCATGGCCGACAATACCTCAGAGCCCCGGTGATATCATAATCTGAGAACATGCCTAACTCGAAGATCGCGATGAGAGCTGAATGGCCTCATACGGTCGAGTCTTTTAGCATTCGGATTCACCAGAAGTGCTGACAATTCATCTTAGTGCGGCGAATGCAAGAATTCTCTCTGCTTTGAGCACTCACCATGTGGCCTGAGGATTGGCGGCCTATCTCATTGACGAGAAGGGATGCTTCTCAAGTAAGAGGTAGGTATCAGGGGCCCATCGAGAACTTTCCAGTCTCAGACGCTTTCAAGTCAGCCGCCAGGTACGGCTGCCGATTTGCCATCGATCACTGTGTCTCGGAGTCAATTGAGTTTTTTGCTCCAAGAGCCTGTTACAAGCCTAAGCCTTCCATGTTCTCACCGAACATCAAGCACGTACTTTGTCGCTACTTCGCTACTTACGACTGATTACCTACGTGTTCCGCTCCGCTTCATTTGCGCGTTCAGGCTTCTTCTCGGAGCGCGCGCCGCTTGAAGTCAATCGGCCGGAGGTCGTCACCGTGGCCCAGCAGTTCTGATTGGCACTTTGGCGAAGACCGAGCCCGGCCAGATGCAACCCTTGCCCGTTCACTTTAGTGTCTAATAGATAATAAAGGATGCTATCATATACTGCAATTAGTGGAAGCGCGTTGCGAATTCTGTTCATTTATTCTTTGCTCAAAGAGTCACTTCCGAAAAGCAGACGCTCCGTCTGGACCACGAATCAGGGAGCACTCCATTCTCACTAGGCAATTCAACCCTACATGATACTTCGGAAACAAACCAGAACAAGAAAGATGATGTTTGCGAGCAGTATTACGTCACTGGCACATCCCACGTCAACAAGGAGAGGTCGGTCTCGAGCGGCCCAGGGGAAGATTAGGCACGAAGGGCCAACGAACAATCACCCTCTTCGCCTTTAGTCACCAAGAGCCGGATGCATATGAAGCAAAACTATGAAATAGCGACTGCGGTGGCCTGTGTTGTCCAACGAATTCTGGCCCCTCACCAGCCAAGATCTCCGCACCGCATGCGCGTCGACGAGTCCGGCTGGCGCTGAGAGCTCGGCCATCGTCACCTCACTCGCTGTCCTCGTCGGAGCTCGTGTTCCGAGTCCGCCGGTCAGCATCGCTGTCGCCGCCTTCATCGCCGTCGGCCATTGCCTGGTCTGTACTTGACCCGATTACCTCCTCCTCCAGCCTGAACTTCAGCTCGCCTGCACGCAGCAATGGGATGATCCGATCCAGATCTGGTCCCAACAATTTGAGCTTGCCACTCGGGCTTCGAAAATCCGCTTTGCGAAGGAGCGCGCCGCGCTGAACAATGATTCTGGCGTTGTCCCGGAGGGCCTTTACGTCATAGACGAACTTGGGCGATTGGATTTTCTCGCCGTCCAGCACGGAGCGTCGGCGCAGCGCGGACTCTGAAGACAGCGAGCCGGGTCAAAATTAGTCACCGTGTATGGAAGAGTAGGCAGGCTGCACTTCTTGTACTCACGGAACAATTCCTTGAGGATGATGCTGTACCATTGGCGTTTGGTCTCAACGTTCTTGTCGGCCACGGGTGCGTTCCAAGCTGTGCGCAGACATTCGCTGATACATCAATTGACCTCTACTAGCTGTTGCCCTTTCCTGAGATCTGGTAAAATCTCGCAACTCACCGGCGCTGACAATCTCGGCCCGCTTGTCTGCTATAATCGCTGTGCCTGCGACGCAATGCGCAAAGTCGCGGACCAGCGGTCCCTGCCCCTTGTCGGCCCAACCCTGTCGAAGCGCAAACGCCGCCCCGCCCACGGAAGCGACCACAAAGCGCTCCTTGTTGGTCTCGGGTAAATTCGAGGAGGCGATAGCAAACATCTCGATGCTGTAGTTGTCCGAAAAGATATTGGCCTTCCGAAAAGGGAACGGTGAAGAATCGATAAGCGAAAGGGCCTCCGATCTGAAGCTTGGACTCAGAAGGACTCTCACCAAGGATGTCAAGGATGCTTGCAGTCGCTGCCTCGCCTTTTTGATCATGGCCAGGTTCGTTCTGCTTCGAGGCTGCGGAGCCGATGCAAGGTGGGCCGTTCGAAGCTGCGGATCCGATGAAAGGTGCGCGGCCGCATCGTCCTCGGCCTGCTCCAATGCAAGAGCCGCGAGACACTCCGCCTTCTCAGCCTCACTGCTGCAGATTCTGTTCCAATACACGCGCGCTAGGTCCTTCCTTTGCATCAATTTGGTTGGAACTGAATGTGCTTATAGAATGCATTGCTCAGCGTTGAGTTGGTCAGGATAGACGAGGAGGCCGAAGTTGAAGCGCTGGCTTACCGGTATGCCCGTCGTTGATCAGAAGCGCTGCAAAGAATCGACTTTTCTGAAAGTCGTTCCATGGGTTGCTCGCCGACAGCCGGCTAACGGGCGAAGTGATCTGTCTCAAGTCGTCCGGCCGAATCTTGTTCTCGATGCAGTATTCGAATTCTTCGTACAACCTCTGCACTGCCCACGCCTTATGTTGTTCTCGTTCCGTCTTGTTGGGGTTGCGCGTATCAGCGGAGTACGCCTGCTCGTATAGCTCCTCCGGCAACAGCCTCTTCGCCGGCGTCCAACTCGCTCTCCTCTGCTCGGTCGTCGAAGTCGGGAGCTTTTTCGGTGCGGCATTGGATGGTATTCCGGTCTGAGCGAACTGGTAAGGTGCTGTGGAAAGGAACGGCTGATGGACCATCGAACAGCCGGCACCGTCCTCTGCAGACACTGACTGCGGGGACGCTCGCGGGTGGTTCAGCGATGCGCGGCCTGCCTCCTCGTTTTGGGAAACTTGTGCGGCCCGCGACGTTTGGCGATCGTGAGCGGAAGGTGCAGTATTTGAAAAACCTGCCGCGTCAAAGACAATACCCGTGCCGTCAGGATTGTTCCCTCCTTGTTCGACCATGTTTGCGAGATTGTTGCTTGCTGTCGGAGCTAGATACGGGCCATCGATGCGTCCAGGATGGGAACGTGGGACGGTAAACTGGTTGGTTGGACGAAGCAGATCCCGGAGAAGATTGATAGTCGTACGACGCAGGATTCGAGATGGCCGTTACGCCAGCGGAAGTGGACGCTGTATCGGGTGCACGACGGTGTAACGTCAGAACAGACCGATACTGTACGCGATCGACGCGACGGCCACCCACGGACCCGAATAGTCGTTATATGCGGACTGGTAGGGAGTCCAAGGCGAGGTGCATGACTCGTACCCAGAGGCAGCATATGAACCTATGTGTCAGATGTGATCGTGAGCCGGTAGTCCAGTCAGAGCACCCGTGTCGATCGGCGGCAAACATACTGCTGTTCGTCGCCGGAGCGCCTGCGATTCGGGAGGTGGTTAAGTTGATTGGATTGACTCGTCATGATAGGAGCAGCAGAAGTATGACTAATCCGGTGTTTCGAAGTGGGCGTTCGTTTCAGACTGTCGCAAGACGGATGCTCATTGTATAGTTCGTTACTTCGTATACGTAGTAGGGGGCGATTGGGCAAAGCAGAAGAATGGGCGGTATGCGCGAGCGCGACGCGTCGCCGCCATCTCCAGCGTCTCCGGAGTCGTGACGCGTCGACGTCCCAGCCAGTCCCGGCCCCATTTGTTCCGCGCGACCCGTGCCGAATCACGTGTTCGAGGTAGGGCGCCTGTACAGCTTGCAGAGGACAGCAATAACTCTCGAAAAATATCCAAAAATCCGAATACACTATTGTTCGCCGACTGCGCCTTTGTTTCCAGGTTTTCCATGGAGTTGTAGTGGGAGTGAACGTCTCGGCAACTCGACATCGAGATGGGCATACCTCAACTGGGCCAAACCTGCTACCTGGGGTAGCAAGGTTGCAACCCGCCGGGTTGTGGCTTGGAAGGCGCGTGAGGGGGCGCTGCGCGCGCGCCTGTTGAGGCGTATATTTTATGTCTGCCCGAGGTGCGGCGCTGACACCGAGTCGGACTCTCCTATTGCGCTCAAAGGCAGGGTCCTCCCATGGGGGGAGCATTGTTTTAATGTTTTAATCCATATATTCCAGCTAGTCTTGTTCGCACCAATCGGCGCTGATATCGGGCTCTCCTATTGGGGTTTCGACAGCCACGCGCGTGCGGGGTATTTTGGCCATTTCGTCCAATAAAATCTCAGAATAGCATCATTTCCGAGGCTGGGACCCCCCCCCCCCCCCCCCCCCATTTTTCGAAACGAAACCTTCAGCTCTAACGAGCTTCAGGGATTGCTCTTTTCTCTTGTCCTCGTACACATGGATCTGTACGTTGCACATAATCCCACACACATCCTCTGCTTGCAGAATTGTGTGTGCATATTTTTGTCGATTCGGGTCGTCTGCGAAGGAAACCGGGAAGGGCGTCGGCGCGGCCAGCTCCGTCGGTTTTCCTTGAAAGCGGAGCTGCAACAGCTCCTTCCAAAATTGTGAATATTCCCTTTCCCTTGCCGGATCCTCACTATCCGTCCCCAGCCAAGGAGGGATAGAGGCCTTGATGCTGGCAGGGAAGGGGATGTCGCGGCCAAAGACGTGATTCCAGCAGCTGCAGAGGGATGCCATTGTGAAACCAGTGTCAGTTTGGCCCCTTCTGCGGGAACTTAGTAGGTGAGGAAAACGCGCACTCACTCTTTTGTGGTCACCACACGGTGGTGGATGTATGCACTATTTGAGTTGTGCCCAAATGGCGATGCCAATTCCGCAAGTTCTAAAGTAGCCGGTGGGAAGCAGCAGCAGAATCAGCACCCTGCTCGCACGCCCAACACCGCCTAAGTTCAGCAAGCGGCTCACCTTGAAGATTCTTGGGAAGTTTCCAGTGCTGATGAAGGGCTTGAGACACCCCTCCTTGGAGCCAGTTTCGAAACTTTACGACCTCCGAGTCGGACTCGAACAGCTCCAGTCGAATCTCCCGGTCGAGATCTTCAGGCCTGACGCAATCTCGCTCAAGGCGCCATTGCTGGCTGTTCAGGGGCATGTATAGAAGTTTGCGGCATCTTGGTTAGCGCTAGCGTAGATCTCCAGTAACACGTGGCTTCGCTTACTTCTTTGGCACGATTCCCCCTGCAGGATCAATGGTTCGGATTCGGCCTACAAGCCATATGTTGGCGACTTGACCGGCCGCCGTAGCCAGTGCGACTTCGCCGTAGTTCCCCGGTTTCTGTAGACGAACGAAATCGGCAACCGGGCGATGATCGACGATGTTGGCTAAGGTCGTCAGGGAGGCGTTGTAGACCTCGACAATGTTCTGAACGTCTTCGTGGGTGAGGGAAGTTCGCTCGTAATCTAGAGCGTCGTATGATGTTGGCAGCCGGTCAGTCAGAGAGGGGGTCGGAGTCATTGCTTGTCGCGGAAGAGGTAGATGAAGGTGGCGTGGTGACAAGTAGGGAGAAAGAAATGAAGAGACACCGAGGTTTTGAGGACAGCCAAAGATGCTCGCGGAGTCGACCCTGAACCATCCTTTGGACCATAGTAACTGTGTAGTACGACTGGCTGCTCTCGAGGGCCAACTTGTGTCGTTAACCTGATCTCATCAAACTCATCAAGTGTATTCAGCTGAGAAGGCGCTTCAAATGTTTGAAGGTGAACAAGGTGCGACAAAGTAGACATGTTGGCTCGAGAAGCGTGCAACTGGGTACAATCAGCAGCAGAATTTGACTCGAGTTCGGGGATCTGGATCAAGACAGGCTAAATCCGGGTGGTAGGTCTGGCCAGTGTCAGGTCCGTCCGGATGCTGTAGGTCTGGCTACTAGGTCCGCGCTCCTAAGATGACAAGAAGATTGCAGAGTCTGACAAGCCCACAAGTGTAGAGTGTGCAGGGTGGGTCGGGCCGTGTGCGAGTGACGAATGACAAGGCGAAGCTTCGAAAGCGACGTGGCTCGAAGGGCGTGAAACCTGCGCTATTCTTAGTTCTGGCCCTCCCGCCCCGTTATGGCAACCGGCCCCCCCTCGCCCCCCTATGCTTTATGATGAGGTCCAAGGAGTCAAGGACCAAGAGCGACCCCGCCGCCGGGTCCGTGACTCCGTGGTCCCTGTCTCCTGTCTCCTGATCCCTGAGCTAGGCCGAACAACGCCGCGCGCGTTTTCATAAAGTGCGGGGAAGCTGTGCCTGAGGACTGAGGGGCCGAATTCTGAGACACTTTGAGATTTGCACCAATTCTGGGCTGGAACCGCCCAATTTTCGAAACGAAACCTTCAGCTCTTTCAGAGCTTCAGGGATGGACCGCAATTGCGCATTAGCGGCGTTTTGGCATCTCATTAGGCCAGGAAGTAATCTTTGAATAGTGCAGCAGTAATCGCAATTGATTGCTGTAGTAGCTACTGCGGTTGCATACTTCAGCTACACTCAATCACGCTACTTGACATAATCATTTGAGATTTATTTACGATTTCACGGCTAGGAAGCGACTACAAAGACCGCTCTAATAGGGCCCGGGTACGATTCAGGGGTCTGTGGCCAGCACAGGGTTATACGCCACCGCATCATTCAAAGGTGGGCGAGAGGTCAGAGAGACACGCATCCTTAGTCGTACATCATCTCGTCTTGAAGCGCGGCGCGAGTGGCTTGGTCCAGAGGCTCCTCATCGTCATCATCCTCGGATTCCGCCCCTGAATCGCTCGAGTCGAGACCAGGTCCACCAAACTCTTCCTAAAGAATATAAGAGCCAAATTCAATATTCGACGCAGTCTAGCTCCCGTGAGTATATCCTACTAACCTGTGCCCTCATTGCTGCTTCCTGATGTTACCGTAATTACAAGTTAGTCCATATATACACCATATTTGATTGGATCACGTAGCAGTGCGCACCTGTCGCTTTGTACGGACCAGTCGCGCTAGAAGAGGCAGGGATGTGACATGCATCATAGACGCAAGCTCCTGGAGGTGACGCGATTCCCATGTTTTGCGCGCGTTACTCAGGGTTGCCACCATGGCATGCTTAATGGGCCAACCCTTGGCAAACCTTCTTTCAATGAAGGGGCAGAGCTTGGCAACCTGTGAGCAATGGCAGGACATGTCGAAGACACAGTGTCAGCGAATGTGCAAGCCGTACAATGCCAAGCCACTACATAATGTAGCCTTACAGCAGCTCTTACGGCTGCGCGAGTGTCCATCGGTATCGCCCTCCATGTCGTTAGAATCAAAGACTTGTGCGCCGTGATCGTTTGAACAGTCAGGGGTAAATCAAACTTTTCCGTCACGTCCTCGAGCTCGTCGGTGTCAGGCGGCAGAGGAACCCAATCAGGGTTGCAAGAACCGCGCCCATACAGAAAGAGGGGAGCAGCCTCAAGCTCGATGCCCCCTCGAGCCATCTCGTTTCTGACCACGCCCTGTAGCCCGGAATTATGAGTGGAGGCAGCGACATCAACATCGACAAGAATCGAGATGCGACTTACTCGGAAGTAAAGATAATGAAGATGGCGAACTCCATTTACCATCAAGAAGTTGGTAAAGGAGATACCTTTTGCCCCCTTGAAGTCCGCTTCCGTGATCGCTCTCAGTGCTCGACGTTGCACTGCCAGGGTTAGGGAAAACACAGGAGGCGTGGTCGGTCAAGTGACCAACGATGCAGTTTTGATCAGCCTCATCGTAGCGGTAACAGTGATGAACGTGAGCAAGGCGCTAGCTTCTCCGCCACCGTGTCAGTCATTCAACTAGGAGAAGTAAACAAAGAGCTTCGCTGTGGAGGCGGGGGTACCAAAGAGGGGCTTACAACGATCAGTGTCAGGTGCCATTGCTGTCTCCGTGAGTTTTCACGGGCTGTACGGCTGCGCGTAAGTAACACAAGGAGATATAAGGGGGAGCGGCGGCGGAACGGCGGCGACGGGAAGGCAAGAGGGGAAGAGTGGGACAGGCTGCAGGCGCGCTCCCGTCAAGTCTTCGATTGTTGTTTTGCTCTTGAGTGGCGCAATCGAGAAGGGGGCCTTAGCGCGCCGCCCCTAAGCCGGCGCGCCCTCAACGGTTCGGATAACCGCGCGGCTAATAGTGAACGGCTCGTTGTGACGTCCAGGATGTGACGGGAGCCGCGTTAACCCTAGTTCTCCCTTACCAATTCCCCCCCCTACTCCGATATCCGACTTATCTCAGATAGTACTTGCCGGCATGGCATCATTGCTCTCTCCCGACGTCGACAGCCCCTGTGAGACCTCGCCTTCGCCGCCGCCTCCAGCAGGAGAGCCAGTCACCGATCTTCGTCTCTGCCATTGCCCACTGTGCGGTCCACAAGGCAAATCGGTGTCAAGTTCGACCATATGGCGTCACTCGAAGCAAGAACGGTTCTCATCCGAGCGTACAACATTGCCGAGTCCTGGAAGCTCGCCCCTTGACAAGCATGACCTACACTTCGCCCACACCGAGGCGCCAATATGCTTTGAAGAGGCAAGCTTCGCAAGAAGTTGAGGGCCACGCACGCGTTGGCATCTTCCCCGGTACCTACCTGGCGTCTGATGGCGGTTTGCGCTTTGCTCCTCGCCACCGGGTAGATGGATCCGATGAGTATGATTGGACCGAGGCAGGCGACTTGAACAGCTCCCCTGTGCCCTTTTCCGCAAGTCCCGGGGCGGAGGGGCCTCTATCACACCCGTCACGCTCGAGTCAACAGCCCTCCCACCTCATCCCCTTCAGGAACGGAGTTTAGTAGTGACAGCGACCAGGATGAGGACACCGTACCCCGCTCACCCGATCGTCTGGATTTCGAGGAACAAGAGTCTCAAGGGGACCTTTGGTGCGCATCCGACGAAGACGAGCCGACAAGCCCGGCGCAGACAGCTGAAGAGATGCCCTCCAGTGATGACGACATCGAAGACTCCTCGGAGAATGAGCTCCACAGTAATTGGTCGGCTTCGTCACCGGTTGATCAACTGCGTGACGACATGATTCTGGAGGCCTGGTACTTCTGCTTTGATCGACCGATTGGCATCGCACAAGCCGTGTTTGACAACGGTGATGATAGCATGTGACATCATTGCGGTTGTCTTTTAACAATGTAATATAATGAAGACGTTTGAATCACCCAAAGGTGTACATAATCTCAACACTGGTAGACACGATGGTTTTATGACAATTGTGAGGGAAAATGATCGCCGTCTTAGGTAAAACCCTCTGGTCTCATAAAACCTCGATCGGACCTCGCGGGGGTTTTACGACAGCGGCGGGGAAAACGGCGGCGCGTCTTAAACCCGACATGCGCGGCTGGGTTTTATGACGCTCGTGATTGGCAAAACGGGGTAAAACTACCCCAATCGCAGGGAATACCCTCCCGCGCGTGCCTCAAGTGGGCGCGGATGCTGAGCATGCCTTCGGCTCCGTCTGATAGCTGTGTACGAACATCAACATCTCAGTAGCTCATGGTACAACCTTCCTCGGGGATTAGTTAATCAGTCACGAACGGTGCTCAGTCGGTCCGACAAATCAGTCATTGGTAACAAGTGGCATTTGTGTTCCCCACCCCTGCGGCGATGTCGATCTCTCCCACTGCAGTTCACGTGTCTTAGTCGTGCCTCCCGACGCCGAGTCATTGCGTCGATTGCGATTCATTGGACAGCATCTGGGAGCTTGGCTTGACAAGAGGCAGTCGCTCTTGCCAACATGGCGAACAAGTTCAGTACACTTATCATAGACTGAACAGATCTGGTTCCTCGCAGTCGCTTGACGAGGATCTAGACCCTACGCCGGGAAATCCGCGCAACCGCAGTAGTTAGACCGTGGTCGACTTTGGCGCGACGATCGAGCCAAAGTCGGACACTCTAGTGATCAGGTGCTCGTTGCGACAGCTCGTCTTGTCCAACGTCAACCTTCGTGCACTGCCAGTGTGGAACAACTGCAGATTCTCTGTCAGGCTCACAACTTGCAGGGCTACTCTCTTCGGCGATCAAAGGTTACATAATTGATTTTGCGTGTTCTATTGTCTTCATGCGCTGGGCGTTGTCCAGCATACGAGATTGGCTACATCTTCAAGCGAAGCACAGCCAATGACATTCTGGTCCCCAGCCTGCAGGCCTACAACGTTTGATTTCGAGGAATGGCGTGCTGCCATCACTGATTCGCGTGGTCCATCGGCGGAGCGACCTAGAGGGCCAGCCCACCTACTACTAGATTTTATTATAGAGGCTGACTCGGGGTACACTCTGTGTCCTCAGTCTCGAGCACAAGCTTGCCTCCGGAAAGGCAGCGGCAGGAGCACTTGCTCGTGGCGTCCGAGTCCGAGGCAAAGTTGCGACTCAGGGCATGTCCAAGTTGCGATCCTTCCTTTTCTGAACATGGGGCAATGGCATGAAATTGGGAAACACTTAATGTAAGTTAATCCGTTGCAAAGAAAGACAGAGACCTAACTCCTTCCCATTTCTCACCCTCACCGGCCCGGCCAGCGATCGCATTCAACTTGCCGAACCTACTAACGGCGAAGCGGCAGGTGGTCTTCATCCACCACCAGTTGGTCACACCCAGGATGTAGGTAGTGATGTATATGTTTTGCATTTGTGTGGTCCAGCGTCTGATGATTGGGCGGACAGACATGGGTGTGTGCAGTCATTGCAAAGATGGAGTCACAGGAGGCGAACCGGTGCCGGAGGCCGGCGTGGTCCCGCCTGTTCCCAATTGGACCCGGAGAAGATTCTCGACCTGCCCGATTACAGTCGATTTTATGCGGAGGTCCGGGAGGGGCTTTTTACCAGTCGCAAGTACGCCAAAGGATATCCCACGCAACTCCCCGTGACTGTCGATGAGCACCCTGGGCAACTTGCACAAGAATATTCCACGCTAGGGAGTGGGCACCCTGGGTGAAGGTGATCTGTGTGCGGTTGTCTGCACCGTCGAGGCTCGCGCTTGGAGGGACAGGTCCTCCGGCAAACCTTTTGTGCACATTGTATGGGCCTGATGCATTTTCCTTGTCTGATGTGCGGCAGATGACACGCCAGACCACGCCCCCGCCGACAGTCCGACTCAGTCCTAGGCGGGTCATTGCCTCTCCTGTCAAGCGTTCGGCAATGGACGCCGAGCTGAATATTGACTTGTCGAGCACCGATGGTCATGAGGATGAGTTCAAGCCCGCAATTCCCACTGACCTTTTTATACCGGCTGATGGGTTTGGTTACTTGGCGTTCAACAGTCACTGACAACAACAAGAAATCGGCTCACCCGCAGGCGAAAGAGGCCGCCGACAAGGATCATGAAGTCTCTTGGGAACGCGCGGCTGGCTCCTACCGCAGGACCGGGAAGGCTCATGCTTGATTGGTCTCAAGCGAATGGTGAGGGAAGAAAGGGTTCCTGGACCTTGTTTAGACAACGGAAACGAAAATAGATATGTCTGAATGAGGATAGGTAGAGAAGAAAATGTAAAATGAAATACAGTCGAAATTGAATGAAATGTGGATGTTGTTAGAGTCTCTAGCCTTGTCTTGCGGTGGTTATTCGCTTGCGGCTAAGTAGGAGGTAGTGCCTGTCCTCGGGCCATTGTTGTGTGAGTGTGACTTTATGGAGGGCACTGGAGGTTCAGGGACTTGTCGCCGCCCCGCGGTGCGTTAATTTAGAAAGCCCAGCTTCGGTGTCTCGGCTTCAACGGTAGACTAGTCCCACTCAAAAACCCCGTAGAGAAAGCGCGCCTTACCAGTTCCTGAGAAAGTCTAATTCGAAAAAAAATGAAAGCGATTTTCGTCATGGTCGAGTTTCTGCGGACGTTGCAAATTCACGTGCGGCAACCTTTTCTGCCTTTCAAAAATGAGGCGGACGGTCCGTGCGCAAGTGATCTGACATGTAGACGAAGACGCGTCACGGGATAAACCGGAATAGGAGCGTCTGTCGCCGCGTCCTTCCGCGACTCGTTGGCTTAGGGGTTCCTTTCCGACATCCCTCCGACACGTCTTCTCCTTTCGCCTTTTCGTTTCCCACTCCCCGCTCGTAATACTCGGCGTGCAGAGCGTCAATTTCGCCTTTATTAGAGGAAAGTGAGCAGCGCTGCAGCGCTAGTCGCGGCCTCGGGAAGTCTAACGCTGGAAGAGGAGGTCCAAGCGCGAAGCTCGAGCGCGTCTAACAACATCTGGCTTCGGCCAATCTCCGCGTAGCGTGCTAGAGTTGAGCGCTCACCTGTAAGGTAGTGTACGATGACATGGTGGAAGAAAGGCCCTATCCGGCGGGGCGTACTCGGCGGAGCGTACTCGGCGGGGCAACACGGGCGAACTTCACGAAATGAGCGCGACAACTCTTTAATAGGGGGCACGGGCGCTCGGCGTTTCACGTGACCTTCACAATCTACATCACGAAATAAAATGAAAAGTGAACAGATCTGTCCAAAAATCTGAGGTTGAGGTCGGATTTTTGAAAGCGCTTCAAACGCGTTTGCTTTTCAAAAACTGAAGCGATCACGATCGAGCCTAACCCAAAGAGGAAGGCGCGAGCGATTTCACAAAGTCTAAACTTCAGAATCTGAAGCGCTCGGACAGTCGTTTGGGGTTTTTGAGTGGGACTACTCCCGTCACTGCTGTCGATGCCCAGCCCAGCGCGAGAGCTTGGCTCGCGGACGCGCGAACCGTCAACGTCAACGGCTGCAAAGGGAGCGTGCTATCGGTGACAGGGGAAAGGGAGGGACCTCAACAAGCAGGCAAATCGGCAGGCTAGTTCTTTTATTAGGATTTCGTCGAGCAGTGAACTGGTTGAAGTGATAGGGACTGCATGCATGCTGTGAGCCGCGGTGCAGGCAAACGAAAAATAACGTAGCGGCACAGGGGCTTTGCGATTTGCTAGGCTGCAAACTGACGGCTGCCACCAATTGGAAGCGATCACTTATGGCCTTATAGGGCCCACGCTTCAGAGAATTTTACAGCTTAGGTACACCGAACAGCACTAGACGCCGATCCCTGACTTGAAAGCACGGACAAGTATCGGCGGAAGCTCTGTCATCGCGCGGCACGGCCGATTCGTTCGTAAATTAGCGTCGACCTGCCCGAGCGTGCCACATTCCCGACGCGTCCCGCGCGACGCGCACGGCCCCCGTCAGCCAGGACTCCAACCTGGCGCGTCCATTCAAATTGGAGCGCACCTCATAAAGACGTGTAGGTCTTGCACAGCCACTTTTTCTTCTCGCTCTTGCGAAGCAGTCGATCTTGGTGATTACACTTTGGGGGGTTGCCTGATCATCACTTATAGTGCGTTCTTAGTGAGGTTATTGTAAATTAGGTCCCCAGTCGCTCTCCAGGGCCTCGACCACGTTGACTGCGCACGGATCCCTTTCTCATTTTGAATCGTTTGGCGAAGCTTTCAGCGGGAAAATTGTAGAAGATAAGTGGTAAACACTGTCAAAAATTATTGCAAGTGCGAGTATAAAGCCGTGTCGTGTCCAGAGTTGCCGCGGGTCGCCGCGAAGCTGGACGCGTGAGCTGCGGCGCGCAGCCCCCGGTCGCGTCAGGCGGCGCGTTCGCGTGCTCTCCGGGACGCGATCCCGAGCGGCTCAACCTGATCAAAGCTCGGTGTGCCAGAGCTTGCACCTCTTTTGAGAGCGCCGGGTTCTCCCTTCTTCCTCTCTGCTCGTCACCTTCGTTCGTCTCGTCCCATCTCCGTCGTTGTTTCTCAGTCTCTCTTGCCCTCGTTGTAGCTTGTCCTCCTTCTGTTCCGCTCGTCTTCCATTGCCCAACCTCCCTTCCTTCGCTCAACCCGCCTTCGTCGCCCTCCGCTCAGCTGCCGGTCCAGCTTGCGAAACCCCTTGGCCCGACGCGGCCTCACACCTTCAAGTAGCTCCCCCAGTAGCTATCCATCCACCCCTACCCCCCTTTTCCTTCCTCGAACCTAGCACCCTCTCGAACGCTTTTTCAGTATGGTTTCGTTCAAAACTTTCGTCGCGCTGCCTTTGCTCGCCTCGGTCGCCTCGGCTGCCTGCTCGGGCCATCGACGCCACCACGCCAAGGTCGCGGCATCGATCTCGGCCTCGGCTGCTGCACCCACCTCGACCGCCTCGACGGGCTCGTCAGGCGTCAATGCCAACCTGGCCGCTCAGAAACAATCCTCTTCGACTTCAAGCGCCAGCTCGTCCACTTCCACTTCGAGCTCGAGTTCGTCGAGCTCATCGTCGAGCGTCGGCTGGGGCCTTAAGGGGATGAAGAAAAACAACATCGCTTTCGGGTGGTTGCCCGATGATGGTGAGTGATGCGGTGCCGCTTTCTACATCTCATCGAGTTGGCTTCGGCTCCAATCGACTTCGCATTTCGTATGGCACGCTCCATTCGGAGGCCGGCTCGCGCGATCGAGTTTTCCTTTGTTCCAGAGGGGCGTCGGTTGCGCGTGCTTGAGCCGGCCCGACACCTGCGGTTGTGCCAACCGCAACACGTGGACTCTGACCTGACATCTGATGTATCATAATTGGGCGCACAGGGTCGGGAGGTGGAACGTCGCAAACGATCCAACAGATCGAGTCCGCCATGGGCCAGCAAACCTCGGCACAGGGGTGGTACGCTCAGGCCCAGTCGGGCACCCTCTTCGACGGCAATCAACTGCTCTGGCGCATGGACCAGATTAAGACCGGTGGTGTCTTCCAACCGGCTGTCATGCCGACTGGTGCGTTTCCCGTGTTGCTGCCTGGTCATCCTGAGTTTGCGGCTGGCTGACCCTGGCGCGCTCCTGATGATCTTTTCTCTGATCTCCTTACCTTGCTAGGTGGTTGGTGGGGTCTTACCGCGAGCGACAATCGGCAAGCGGTCGCCATTTGCAAAGTCATGAAGAGTGAGTCGGTTTACCTCTTGTCTCTGTCGTACACTGTCTGCGAGCTGTATACTGACAGGCTTGCTCGGAAACCGTGAACACCTTGACTGATCTTATCTTTTCCCGTCTTATCGCAGAATTCACCGACCAGGGTATCGAGGTGTGGCTTCGCTTCGCCCACGAGGTGAACTACTACCAAGAAGACGGCACCTACCAAGGTGACGCCAGCGACTTCAAGGCCGGCTGGGCTGCCGTCTCCGCCGCTTGCAAGCAGATCGCCCCCGCTGTGAAGATGTGGTACACCCCCAGTCAGTCCCAACAGATTGCCTCGAGGTGCTTTATCGACCGGGTTCTGAACGTCTGACTACATTTCATAGACATCGCCGATGAGTCCCAATACGACGCGTACTACCCCGATGATCCTTCGACCGTCGATCTCATCGGCATCGACTTCTACCCCAAGGAGACCTCGGGCTACGATTTCGTTAGCTTCATGAAGCCGTTCCACGATAAGTACACCACTTCCAGTGGTCCCTACTTCGCCATTGGTGAGATCGGTAACGGTGTGGCGACCAACATGGCGCAACGACTGGCCTGGCTCCAAAATATCATGTCGACCAACACAAAGTCGCAGATGCCCCAGTTCATCGCTTGCTCTTGGGTGAGTACACCTTGACCTCCATGTCTCAAAATCGAACGCTCATCTAATATCTCACTGTTTTCGTTTGTGTTCCAACAGTTCAACTACCACAAGGTATGGACACCCACTCTTGCTGCTTCCGTATCAGCTGCAGACACTGATTCTAGAGTCCATCTCGCTGTGCACAGGGTTATGATTTCCGAATTGCCGCTGTTGATGGTGATTCGGTCATCAAGTCCTACTTTTCATAATCGTCGGCAGTTAAGACGCCCGAGCGAGCCCGAGCGACATTGTACTTTCAAGCTCGCGCACAATCGACTTGTTCGCTGGCTCTCTCTCTCCGACCTACTGTCGATTTCTCCTGGGGCATCACAACGCGGTCTTCTTCTCCCACCTCGCATGGCAAACTACAGTGTAACTCAATTTCTTGCTTCTTAACGACTCATCACGACGACGACAACGACGAACCAGTATCAGTTCGGTTTCATTTCAATTGCTCCCTGTTCACCATCACCACATACATCGGGCCTGCTGCCGATTCTGTCCATCACACACATAGAATGTTTCCCACCATCATTTTGTTTATTTGCTTTCTTTCGTCCACACCCTTTTTTCGTTCATTCGACGGGCGTCGGTTCACCCTTTGCAAGGGCCAGCTGATGCTTCCTCGCCGAAGCTCGGGCGCTGCAGCGCTCGGGTCCCTCATTTTTTCGGTACCGGTTACCGGAACTTGAGTCCTGATTTGCTTTCACACTTGGAGCCAGTCTCATATGTATTGCAAAATCAAGCCCCCATTTTTTCTACTGCAGAATTATGAATCGCGGCCTCTCTCCTGAACAGGAAATGGCCAGCCTACTCTTTTCGAGACCGACTGCGCGCGGATATAACGCGCCATGGCCTCGACGAAGCGAGTGCGAGCCACAGCTCAGCGCTCATCAGCTGACCGCGATCCAATCGGCCCGCACCGGAACTTGCTCACCGACTCAGCAAAGAGACTCATGGGATGGTTAACAGAATCAGGAGCCTATAGCATTCGGGCAACGGAGTTACGACCGAGGCGGTCGCTGAGCACCATGTGAGTCTGTCTGACATATCAGAGTGGGCATCGACAACCTCGCGGCCTCGCCTACCCTGTGTGGACTCTTCTACATGCTGCGAGAGCTCGACTGTTGGCAAGCCGGTGGCGTGGCGCCGAGAATTGAGGCTGACAGCCCTCGGATGTTCTTTGTTGAATGAGCACTGACCCCTGAGCGCGTGGCGCGGGAGTGGCGCGAGCGAATCCGTTGGAAACGCCTCCTCTCCGCGTCAGGCTACATATCCGACTTTTTTCCTTGTCCCATTGTGTTTGCCGGCTTCTGTTGAGCTCTCCCTCCCTCTTCTACCATAAGCCCCATCACCCAGTCTTCTCTCTCATATTCTTCCTTTTCGTCACCGGTCCTGTAGACCGATTCACCCTTTCGGCTCTTCGCTATCCGGCACGGACCTCCTCGCGCCTGATTCCCACGCATCGCTGGACGGTGACAACAAGCGGGATCGATCGCCAACAACTCGCGAGAGCTGCTGCTCTACCCTCGATCGACCCTATGCAGAATCCAGCAAGGAGCTCGTCTCCCTTTCGAGAGCCTGACTCAACACCCCACGCTGTCCACATTCGTGTCATGCCCCGCCTGAAAATACTGCTGGCTGGGGCCCTGCTCGCCGGTTTCGCGGCCGCTCGATGCTCTGGGGGACATCGTCGTCACCACGTCAAGATTCAAACGATGTTCAAACCCCCGATTCTCGGCAGTCCCTCGAATCACTCCGTTCCTTTCAAAACGGATGGCCCTTACCTCAGTCTAGCGAAGGTTCAAGGATCCTCCTCGCCTTCAATGTCCGGAGCTTCAGCACCGACGTTCGATCCTAACGTCAACACGAACAAATCGACGCAAAATCAGCCACCTGATGTTGTTGGATGGGCACTCGATGGTGTGTCAAAGTACGGAATCGCACTCGGTTTTATTCCCGATGACGGTGAGTCACTCTGCAGAAACTGCTCGACAATCGCTTCAGAACGGTTCAGGCGCAAGTGGGCCGCCCTCCTGTTTCAGAAATTTCAGAGGCGCTCGCGCCTCTTCGCGCGTCCGGCGGCGGTCGTTGCCTCGGATATCTATCAAGAGGCTTGGCTCATTCGGTGAAACGGCGGGTCTTATCTCTTCCATCTCCTAGGCTCTGGCGGCGGTACTCGTCAAACGATCGCCGAAATTAGTTCAATGATCGGTCAACGCGTTTCAGCCCAAGGCTACTACGCCCAAGTCATCGCCGGCCACCCGTTCGACGGTTGGCAATTATTATCCAAAATGGACCAGATCGCCAAGGACGGAGGAGTATTCCAAGCTTCGATCATGCCGATTAGTGAGTTTGATGATGTTCTATGAAGTTTTTGAGAGCCGCCGCGGGAGCAACGGCTGTGGAAGGTAAGAGAAGCGCTAATATCTGGCCCTTGTCTTGGCTTCTGCTTTTGTTTTCCGGTGCCAAAGATGGATGGGCGGGCCTGACTTGGGAAGACGATCGACAGGCCGTGGCGATCTGTACGGTGCTGAAAAGTAAGTGCTTCCCCCAGGCTATCTTTGGGATGACCGCGGTAGTAGGGTCACCCCGTTTTGTTCCTTATACTGACCACCACTCCACACCGCAGATTTCACCCACCTCCCGAAGGTCGAAGTCTGGTTTCGTTTTGCGCACGAAGTGAACTGGTACCTAAACGACGGAACCTACAAAGGCACCGTCGACGACTTCCAGCAAGGCTGGAGCGTCGTCGCCGCGGCATGCAAGAAAATCGCCCCTCGAGTGAGAATGTGGTTCACGCCCAACGTCGCCAACTTGGAAGAATATGACCGCTACTACCCCACCAATCATTCGACCGTCGACCTGATCGGGATTGATTACTATCCCAAGGTTTTGAGTACCGCCGATTTCGTCAAGGTGATGAAACCGTTTCACGACAAATATTGCACGTCGTCGGGACCTTATTTCGCGATTGGGGAGACGGCAGTGGGGTCGGAGGTCAGCATGACCGATCGTATTAATTGGTTGAAACACATCCTCTCGCCCGAGACCAAGATGCAGTTGCCCTTCTTGATCGCCGTCACCTGGGTGAGCACGAAAGCGCCGGACTACCGTCGAACCGAACCTATCACTTACTTGAATATCTTCCAGTTCAACTTCGACAAGATGGGCATCGATTATCGTATCGCTGATACCCCAGGCCCGACTTCTTTGGCCATCAAACTCTTCCTCGATGCTGGCGACGATTGATGGGGTGTCGACCACCTACCTACTTCCGAATCCGCCTTTTTTTGTTGCCGATCTAGATGGCCCTATGCTTGGTTGCACTTCTTTTTTACTTTCTCTCTCTGTAGACCAGCTTGTAGTCGGAGGTACAACGCTTGTGTTTGGTCATGGACACTATTTTTCGAGCTCGCGTAAAACACAGAGGTTGGTAGCGCTGTGGCGATTCCATGAGACAAATAACATTGATTACAAACAAGCTTTCGACACCCAACCGAAGAACCACATGAAGGCCACAATCATCACTTCATCTTCCAAGAAACGCCAACCGACTCTAGGATAATTGCGCCGTAGCCTCCTCCGGAACGCCAGGTGCCGGACCAGCGTCCTCGACGGCCTGTGTTGGTTCCCCCTCGGCCAACTTCTCCATCGCCCCTCCACCCATCGCTTCAACAACTTTTTCTACGTCCATCTCGGTAACCTCCTTGGCGTCTTTCTTGACTTTCTCGTACGCCTCTTTGACGACCTCGGCTTTCCTCGCGAGGTCCATTCGCTCCTCGAATAGTTGTTGCTTCGCCGCTTCGACCGCACGTTTCTCCACCTCGAGTAAGCGTTCGAGTTGTTCAAAGTGTTGCAACTTGAGCTGAAGCTTCTGCACTTGCGTTTCAACGACCGAGGTCACGAGTTGATGCAAGGACGCATCTTCGGTCATTGCGAGGGAGTGGGCCTTGACCGCTGCCGAGGACAAGGCAACGGCCGAGGCTTTGGCGATATTCGACGGGGCGGTCTTGCCCTTCTCCTCGGCCGGCGAGGCACCTTCGACTTGCATATCTGACGATGCAGTCTCCCCTTCGTTCGTGGTGCTCACTTCTTCCTTCAACTTGCGCTCGAGCTCTTGGATCCCTTGCGCCGTCATCTTCTTGACGACATCCCGATCGACCTTGTCGACCAAATAAGCCATCACGCTCATCACGGGATTATCCTCCTTACTCAACGGCAACTCCCTGCGATCGTACTTGAGCGCGCCCAGTTCCTTCTGCGTCGTTTCGAGATAAGGGTCTTCGATCGGTAACCCGATGAATTTGATGATGCACTGCTCCTTGGTCCTCGTACCGACGTGAAGCGCGACCGCGTCCCAATCGTCGTCGAACATCTCCAACCCTTCCAAGAGCTTCAACGTCTCTTGGTCGGTCCATTCCGCGCGCGACGAATGCGCAAAAGGCGAACGCTCGAGTTTGATGAAATCGCCCGAGTGCAGGGAGGAGGGGAAGCGCCCTTCGGTGTAGCACGGCGCGCAGAGCACCACCTGACCGCGCGTCGAGAGGGAGGTGTAGTGCGTCGCCGAGGCCGAGGTGCCACACGTCTGGCACGGTGGTACGGGCGCTTGAGCACCGGTTGTAGATGCGTCCGTGGCATTCGTCGTAGCGGCAGAGGCATCAGCGGCTTCCGACGCCGTTTGGATCGCTTCGGCGTTGGACAGCCGTACGTCGGGACGCCCATTCGTCGCCCCACTCGTCGAGATGGTGTCGGATCGGATGGGGTGATGGGATCCCGGGTGCAGAGGTGCCAAACCCCTGGGGGTGTCGAGCAGGATTCGGAAGTGGCCCGTGAACGGAGGAGCCAATGAAGCCGGTCGCGTGTCGGCGTCAATCTGTGTGCGCGCATTGTCAGTACCATATCTGCACCACATCCTCAAGCAATCTATCGACTCACCTGGTAGTTGATCAAACCCCATTGCTCCAACAGCGCATGAACCCTCATGATCGCGCACACATCACCGGCGAGGTTCCTCCTGCAGGCCGTGACGGTGAGGTACTCGCTCGGGTTAAGGCGGTAGGTGTGAATCATAAAGTCCCTATAGTCCTTGTAGATGCTAGGGGTCTTGGACCTGTTCTTGCTGTTGAAGAACTCGGGCAACGAACGGCGTTCGATCGGATGGATCGTCGAGAGGTCGAACCAGGTCGAATAGGAAGGGATGATCACGGCCTGCGTCTGAGCAGCGAGGTACCGACGAGCAGTCGTGAGTCGTTTAGCGACGGAGAGAGGATCATCGGGGTTGGGTTTACCATCCTTGCCGAGAGCGGGAGGAGCGGGGTTGAGCGCTGTCGCGAGTTTGGCCATGGCGTGCGGGTCGTCGCGGGTGTCGTTGGTCGGGAGGCCGCCTTCGAGCATGATCACGTCCGAACCATTGCCCGTGTCGAAGCGGGGGCGCTTCGAGGCATCACCACTCGGCGTCGAGACAGCAGCTGAGGTCGCGACACCACTCGCGCCGGAGGGCTGGGCCGCGTTGGCCTCGGACGAGGTGCCAGGTGCGGGCGCAGGCGCAGGCGCAGCGAAGGCGCCATTCGCGTCGCCTTCGAACGGCCTTTTGTTGGTGCCGGGCGAGCCGGGAAGTCCGAAAGAGGGGTCCATCACGTTATGTATGCCCCTGTGCGATGCGAAGCTGAGGAGGTGGTTGTAGGAGCGATGGGAGTAGGAGGGCGCGCGCGCAGGCAAGCTTGGAGAACGCGACGAGGACAGCCAGGGACAGCCTGGGACAGCCTGGGACAGCCCAGCCTGCCAGGGCAGCACAGAACACATCAATTCTGATTAGCCTCTTCAAGGCAGCGCTGATCAGTCGCATTACCGAGTCCGGGTCGAGTATCGACTCCAAGACCACAACACCAGCGATAGACGGCGAGAACAATGCAGTCATTCCAGTATAACCTTTTCCAAAACAAAAAAAAGTAAGCGGTTGATGAAGACACATGCAGATCTTCCTACCAAACAGACACAATCTGTGCGAGGGCGAGAAGCAGTGAAAAAAAAGAAAAGAGCAGACTGAGATCCGAACAAACAATGGGAAGGGAACAAGACTCTGAACGAGAGAGATAAAGGTCGGTAACATCCACATCATCTTAGAGTCAGATAATAATGGAGATGTGCCATCGTGTACAATGCGCGGGACAGAGACGATGCCGAGGGGGATGCCGAAAGGAGATGCCAGGGGAGGTGCAGTAAACAGGGTGTCAGAGGGTCGTGCAATCGAGGCGAAACAACTTGCTGGGTGCTGATAGGACAACAGTGAAGAGCGCAAGTAACCGTTCTCCGAGGCGGTCATGCAGGCACAAAGTGCATGTCATAGTCTCTAGTTGAAGGGAAGGCGAAGCGTCAGTCCGAACGTCTTTGTCCCTTGGAGTACCGTCGGCGTGCGCGCTCTCTCGCACTCGTCAGGGGTAGCTAGCGTAACTCACTGCAAAGCTTTCGGCGCCCCTCTTTCTCTCCCCGACACACCAGTCACGGTGTCGTGGCTAGCCGTACTTGTTGTCGCGGCCGTTGTCGCAGCCATAGTCGTCGGGGTCGGTACACCGCTGGCACCGTGGGTTTCGGGTGGGGTGACCCAACTTTTGGCCAGCGGTGACGAATGCGCGGGTAGCGCCTCGGAGACGATCAAGACGTTGCCATTCGCCGCTCGAGCATACGGATGGTGATGGTGGTGGTGAGGATGGTGTTGCTGATGAGCGGGACCTAATGACGAAGCCCGGGCCATGGACTTGGACGCTTGTACGCCATTCGACGCGGCCGGGCCCGTCGCAGTCGAGCTCGACGACGAAGCTGGTTCGGTCGAGCGACCCGAACCCGCCGCTTCGGCCAAGGCCAGCGCCGATTGGCTGGGCTGGCGTCGCAACGAGTGACCGCCGACAACGGGGCTCGCCTCGCGCTGCTTCTTGGTCGACGTCGAGCAAACGGTCAGACCATGGTCGTGGTGGTGATCGTCTCGCAGGGCTTGACTGGCCGCACGCTTGCCTCGGCCGTAGTTGGGGTCACTCGCGGCGACGATATCGCGTTCCTTCTTGGGCTTCGGATGCGCGCTCGCGGAGGCGGCGGCGGCAGCGGCGGACGAGGTCGGCGAGATGGGCGCGACGTAACGCGGCAGGTCGAGGTGGTAACCACTACGTTCGGATTCTCGGAGCAGGGCTCGAAGCAGGGCCGATACGTTGACGGTGTTGTGCACGCGCGGGGTTGCGGACGTGCTCGAGGGCGAGGACGACGAGGCCGACGACGAAGACGAGGACGAGGCGCCTGTCGATGTCGTCGTCGCCGATCGCGGCGCTCGCGAAGGAATGCCCTTGCGTTTATTGCGCACCGCACCGACGACGGCGTGGTTCTTCGCGGTGAGGGAGGAAGTCATGGTCGTATGGGAGGTCGATGTGCCGTTCGCACGGGTTTGGGACATGGTGCGAAGGGCCGAACGTGGCGACGAGGGCGGCTGAGGAAGGCGTCGACGATGTCGTGAGACTCTCTCTGATCAAGTAACCGCGGCGGGAAGGGACTAAAATCGACGACGCCTGCTTAACCGACACAAGGCCAGGTCAGATGGGCGCGTGAACACGGTGTGGGAAGGAACAGGCTACGAAGGGGTACAAAGAGTGGGTGGACTGACCAAGTAGCGAGACGTGAATGGTCGTTGCGGCCGTGGGGATGATGCTGTGGGCAAAGACAGCGAGCAACAGGTACCGACGTCGACCACCTCCACGCCCGCGCGACGCCAGCCGCCCTCGGCCCCGTATTAGCGCGTTCCCACCGGCACCGGCGGCCAGCGGCGGCGGGGCTTCGCGCGTGGTACGTCTCATCGACATCATCGATCAGCCCCACCAGGTTTGCGGACGGTGCAGGATGAAAAACATAGTTTGACAGAGGTGCAAATGAGGGGCGTACTACACATTTTATCTGACGTGCAAACGCATTGTCCACCGAAGTCAAGGCCCGAACTTGAACTCGTAAAGGGGCGCGCCTACAACCCCGGCCGGGCGGCGCGCGCCGCGGCAGGCGACGGGCAAGAGGAGAGACGCCCGACCGACCTATGTGGGGAGGATGTGGGGGGGAGCGCCGCACCACACTTTCAAGGCTGGGCGCAGTCTTAGGCGACATACTCAAACACGTTCTGCTCGGTTTCGCTTCGCCGCATATATTCTCGGTCCATCAACGAGCTGATGGCCTGTCAAAGTTGAACCACGACAACAGATGGCAACAATGCGTCAGTCGCTGTGGACGGTGCGTGCACGACCGTATGGCGGACAGGGCGGACGAGAGGGAGTTCGCGGACAAACCTTTTTGATCTCGCTCGTCTCGACCTTGAACCGCGATCCGATCTGCGTCACCACTTCCATCACACTGGTGATGTGGGAGGAACTCGTGAGCTTTCATAAACCCTTCGTCTCGACTGGGAGGCATTCCTCGACTCACAGCTCCGTGTATTTGAGCGTCTTGCGCGCCTTCATGATTCGCACAATCGCCAATTGCAAGTGTGACGACCGATCGGTGAAGACGCGGTCTGTGGTCGACTTGTTCTCTTCCGCCTGTACACAAAAATCGATGTCCCCAGGTCAGAACAGTATCACGTGCGGCCCAGGTCGCAAACGCACCGTTTCCTTTTGCTGTATCTGGTTGATCTTGATCTTGATGTGATCGTCCTTGAACTCCTGAATAGATAGAATGCGTTCAATACGACATTAGTTCTCAGCATCTATGTCAACCGTCACATTTCAGGTCGGACCAACTTTGTTAAACGAGAACTGATCCGTCGGGTTGACATCGCGACCCTTGGGGTGCTTCTGCAAGACCCGGACTTTACCACACGCGAGGGACTGCAGCGTTCTCGCCGCCTCTTTCGGATCTGATTACAGTGAAGAAAGTTGGACGAGTCAGTACAATCCTCTTTCTGACGAAGGACAGCTCGGGAGACACTCACCCAATCTAGTCGCTTCGACAATCTCATTGAACCCCAGCTTCGCGCCATCGGCGACATCATTGAACAACAACAAAATCACCGTCTGGAACAACGACACGCTCAACTCCTTCCTACCCCCCTTGGGGAACTTGGCGCGAAGCGAGCAGTAATCCAGCGCGTGCGCCCAGGTCAAAGCGCGGCCTTGGTGCTTGGATTGGTAAAAGACTTTGAACTTGTCGAGCGCTGAGGCCATGTCCGATGGAAGCGTGACCGTTGTAGGAAGATAGGCCGGCCAATTGCCTGTACTTAAGACGTTGACGGAGAGGTCGAATGGACATGATTGTGCGGCCGAAGAGTCGGCGTAGGCTCGCATGATGTCTTCCGAAAGCTCGATATCTAGGCCGGCATAGAAACAACACATCAGTTGGCGCCATAGGACATGAGAGCACACCAAGACCAACCTTTGAACATGAGCTCGAGCTTTTGCGTGAAGCCCGCTCCGCATTCTGCGAGAATTTGCATGCCGAAGACCTGAGTAAGCAGAAGTGTGCCGAGGTCGAGTGAAGCGCTTAAACTAACCATCCTTGAGCTTAAGCAACATGCTTCTCTCAGCATCAAAGGACGCGGACTTGTTGAGAAGCAACCGTTTCGCAAGGTCCCGCTTGTAAAATGCCTCAAAGATATCCTTGCCTGTAGAACACATAGCATCTCAGAGTCAGTCATCTGTGCTTACATCTGGGGGCCGGAGGTCGAACCACCCACCTTGAGTGAACCGGAAGAGGAACAAGACGTCGTTGAGCAGCTTTTCAAACTCGGCATCGCCCATACTTTTATTGCCCGAACGGAGCTTGGCGTCCAAGAATTTAGCTGAAGAACAAAGAGCACATGAGGTGTCAGAGCCATCGAAGGCAAAGAGCGCCAATCACTTGGGCCCAACGACCGACCAATCATCTCTGCCGGTTTGTTCTCCCGCTTATTGATGAAGAATTCGAATGCGGAAGAGATGGCTTGCGAAAATTGCTGTTCCCTCGCGAAACACTGCTCGACAATGTTGGAACCACTATTCCGTAATGCGATCAAGTTGATCACCATCTTGTCGTCCTGTTCCTTGTCGAGGACGATCGCCAGGCCGGTCGCTTTGAAGTGCTCGAGGAAAGCGTTACGCAGGATAGGCAAAGCGCTGATACGTGATAGAAGCGAGTATAGACTCGATAAATCGGTCGTCCGATTCTCGGAGACCATGGCTCCGACTTGCTTCGTTGCGATCGCCTCGACGTGGTTCTTGACCATCTCGTCGAGCACGACCCGGAGGACATCACCCTTGAGCGCCACCCCCACCATGCCCGAATCACACCGCTCGGCTTCCTCGGACAGCCTCTGATTGACGCGGCGCAGAAAGGACGATGCATTAAGTTCGGAAGAGAGCGTCACGCCTTCGGCTTCGTAGTAGGTGCGCGAAGATGCGAGGAAGGGGGCCACGAAGAGGGTCAGGTGGGATTGTGTCGAGATGGTCGAGAGCGCCGTCACGACCGATTGAACGAGCGCCCGGGGAATAGCCTCGCCATCTCTGTGGATAGCAAACACCGTGTGGAGATCAGTTCTGTGACTGCGTATGGCATGTCTCTGAGGACGGTTCGAGCTCTGACGAACCTTTCGCGAACGATGAGGTTGATGAGCGCCGAGGTGATGCGCTCGGCGATCGCTTCGTCGGCGAGGACCGAATGCCGCAAGATATCGAGCCCGAGCTCCCTGGGTAAGAGGAAAGGTGATGTACCATACTGCTGGTCAACCACTGAGGCGCGGTACCCGGAGCCGAGGCGATGCCGTGGTCGACGCCACTCACCAGATTCCGAGGAGGGTCGGCAAGGGCAGTACGTAGGCTCGATCGAGATAGAGGAAGACAGAGCGGATCAACAGCGTCTGGTCGAGGAATTGCTTGATCCGTTCGTCGATCTGGGCGAGCACCTCCTCGTTCTTGCGCGAAGTCGTGGGCGTGACGATCTGCACCAAGTCACGCCTCAACTGGCTCGAGGCTCGTTCAAGCTCGAGCTTAAGTCTGTCGTAGAGCTCTTGCGCGTACGATGCTCCCCCGACGACCACTTGCTGACAAAGGCCGTAGAGTGCTTGAAGGGACTCTGGCGTGGGCTGGACGGTCAAGATCGCTCGTGCGGCGCGGGTCAGGGTGACGATCGCCTGGGAGATGCGGATCGAGGGATCGGGTGGGGGTGTCGCGCGAGCTGCTCGATCGGGAGGCGACGGCGGCGCGAATGAGCCATGCAGTGCGTGGTACGTGGGCAGGTGACTCCTACTCACGCGTTGCTTTGAGCACCAACTTCTTGACCGTCGCCTTCTCCAAGCCCGTGGTCAGGCCCAGCCTCTTGCGTCCCACCGCAGCCGGGGTCGACGCCGAACTGGGTGCAGTCACCTGGGACGAAGAGAACGACGGCGACGATGGCGGTGGCCCGGCGTTGGTAGGCGAGGTAGACATGGTCGAGGCGTGCGTAGTGCGATAGGCCGGTGCAGGTCCACTCAGTCTCGAGATCTTGTGCGGGGGCGAGCCGGATAAGGTCGCTGGTCGGTCCATCAAGACTCGGCTGAAGGACGACTAGGCTGTCGGTGTGGGGACCTGCCAACCCCAAGTGGAGGGCTGTGGAGGGAGGGCCAGAGCTGACGCCGACCGCCGGCTTCGTAGAGTCACGGCGCAGTTCGCCGACCGGCCACGATTCATAATGTCATGTCGTGGTCAAAAGCAACAGTTGCGCGCGTGTTACCAATTTACAACGTGTTTGCATAAGAAATGTTCGTAGAGCCCGGAGGGCAACCTTGACTTCAATCAGGATTAATCGATCTGATAGGGGCCGCCGATTGCAGGTTAAATTAAAGACTGGGGTGGATCCAGCAGGATCCGATTTAACTGTTACCTTGACTAACAACATCTTGACCACTTGCTGGTGAACTCGAGAGAAAACCATTCTCACCGTACTCATGGCTCTGATCCAGCTGCGATAGGCTTGAATTCCGCGACACACCAATGTGGCATCTGCCGGCCGCGGCGGAGAAGAAAATTCTTTCGCACCGGCATTTCTGGTACGTATCGACGAATCTGACAGCTCAGAAACTGCTTCATTCATTTCTGGTGCACTCAAATTGATGAGAGCTTCTCGTGCGCTCAAGCCATCATCATCTGTGCACGCCACCATCGAAATTGCCATGATCTCATCGTCGACGAGCTGAAATGAAACCAAGTTGGATCGCAAGGTGCTCGCGCACTCTCGCGCACGTCGACGCCGACTCGGTCGACTCGGTCCGTCGCTAGTCGGTGTCATCTTCTGACTAGACCACGAACCGTGTCGACGTCCGGCGGGTTCCGCTTGCACGTTTTCGATACCCTTCACAGCACACCGTCAGTATTGTCGTTCCCCCTTCCTTGCATTGTTCCCCAAGCTCTGAGCCTTCGCACTCTTCGCGACTGTTCCGCCTGTCGTGCGTCGAGGAACATTTGATCATCAGCCGGAAGCGTCGACGCACGAACGGTTCCGTCGAGTGCCACGTCCTGGGTCCGTAGCCAGCTAGGTCGTCGACGCCATTCCATCTTCGCCTGTGCGACTTGTCCTTTGAGGCATCGAATCTTCTTGGGGCCCATGACAAGCTCATCGCCGATCTCCATCTCGGGTCGTTCGACCTCACACATGCCGACTCGATCGTCGGTCGCTGCAGCCAGAGTCGCGAGCATAGGAACCGGCGCGTCGCCCGGCGTTAGCCCTAGGACTTCGAACCCCACCTCCTCATCGTCGTCGTCGAGTCCGAGTCGTCACTTGCAGTCTCCGACCAAACGCTCCCTGACGCATGTATCATCACCACCTTGCTCGTCTCGCATGCTACCCGACCATCATGACCCCACCGGGGGCAACAACGACAGGGATACTCGAGTCCTGCGCCAGAAGCTCTCGACAACCTCAGTTCAGGACCCTGACGACCACGACGATGGCCGCGATGGCGAGTTCGGCCACGCCCGCCGCGTTCAGACGAGGCCTCCCTCCCTCTCGCCGAATCTTTCCCGCATCAACCTCACCAAGAGATCGACCGAGACGAACGGGGGTGAGCCATCGGATATTGCGGTCGAAACCAGCTCCACGCCCATTATTGATCAAGATGTGGCCCACTGGCCCCAATCGACCGCGCGAGCTCGACTAACTGCCTCTCCAGGAGCTTCCGCCCCGAGCGCCGAGGAACAGCAAACTCACTTTAATCGCATGCCACACGACCTTAATCAGGCCCTGTCTCGTCTATCAAGTCAGCACGTGTTAGTACTTAGATCCGGGTTGGGGTATCGATTTCTGTACTCACCTCCCTACCTTGGCGCGGCCCGATCAGGCTGAGCGAGTACAATGTACTCAAACGACTGGTGGCCGCCACCTCGGCTCCTTCCGCAAATCCGCCTCCCTTGCCCCACTGCCATCAGGCTTCGAGGTCGACACAATCAGCCACGCTTACACGCTCCTTCTCGTCGCCGTCTTCATCCTCGATCGCCTCGATGCCTCCGACATTGTACGCCCGTCCGTCGTCGATCGCGGCTCCTGTCGCCACCGCGACCCGAGGCCCGTGGTCGAGGCTCACCACCTCCGCTGCTCCCGCGCGACCTGAGTTGACGAGGGCGGCAACCACAGCGCATTGGTGTCCAAACCCCAGTCAACGAGACTCGATGGGCAGTGGACACGCAGCCTCGCTGTCTTCTTGTGAGCAACTCCCAACCACCAGTCCGGGCAAGGCCTCGAGCTCGTTGGCAGTGACCGGTCTCGGGCTTGAAGCGCTGGACATGGCGCAAACTACTCGTAACGCAGTGTGCAAGAGAGTCGCCCACGAACTTTGCCCCACCCCCACAATCACCATTCCACCCGAATCGAGGGAGTTGCGTCTCGATGCATCAATCGTCGAGCAGGCGACCACGGGGCCGACCCTGCCTTCGATGCCACCCAGCGTCGGAGACGGTCTCATGGTGGGGATGCGGATGATCAACGGCGTCGCTGTCAAGACGAGTGTATCGCATCCAATGAAGTGGGTTGCACGGAGTGCGCCGCTGCAGATCTTGGTATATGAATCCAAGCTGACTTCCTGTTGGCGCAAACCTTGACCCGCAGCATATCGGCCTTGATCCCGCCAGAAGCCATTCCCTGGCTCGCCACCTCCATCTTTGGCCAGTCAATGTCCTCGACAAAAGCTCGTACCCCACTTGCGCCGTCATCGTCGCTTCACACCAACTCGATGCGAGGCGAAGCCGTGACGACGCCTCCGTTCATCCTCGAGCTGCCTTCGTACGGCGACTTCTGCAAATGGGTAATCCATGGACCTAGCGCTATCTCGGCCGGCCAGCTATCTCCTACCGAAAGCAAGAAGAGTGCACTCGGTTTGATCTCTACCGATCCGCGCTTGGGCAACTTTCTGCTCAGCAGCTGCCCTGGCAAAAAAGTGCGCATGGGCGGGATTGCGCAAGGGTCTGGGGGAAGGAGCGCGATCTGTCGAGACGTCGTGTTGGATCTCCAGCGAGCCAAAGATGAAGGGGTTGGGATTGTGATCTGCTGCCTTGACGATACCGGTGAGTGCGCCTTGCCGCTCTTTAAGCTCCAGCGTCCATTGGCTCACCCAAAGGCTCCCGCCGACACCTTTCAGAGCTCGCCTTTCTTGGATCACCTTGGCACGAATACGCCCAAGCCTGCGACGAGCTCGATCTATCCGTCATCCGCATTCCCATGGTCGAAGGCTTTGCACCTTCATCCGCGGCATCGCTCGACGCCCAACTAAGCCGCATCATCCGCGAACATACCCTTCGAGGCGAGTCCGTCTTGGCCCACTGCCGAGGAGGTATAGGCAGGGCCGGCCTCGTCGCGACGTGTTGGATGCTCAAGATGGGCTTTATCAGCGGCGATAATGAGCGGTTTGAGGAGTCGGATCCGATGAGTATTGTAGAGAGGGTTATAGAGGTCATTCGGAAGCGGCGGAGGTGAGTGAGAGAAGCTTCGAGTTCTTTGCATCGCTTTGATCCTGCTTCTGACGGCGTTCCATCGCTCGCTCGATCGATTAGCATCAAATCTATCGAGACACCGATCCAAGTGGCCTTTTTGCTCAACTACGTCCTCTATCTGCAAAAGGAAGCTGTTCTCGTTCGCGCTCAAGCACTGTGATCCACTCTCCGGCCTCCGTCTCTAGGCAACCTCTGTCGACCCTGTCGCGCAAAATTATTCCACGTTGTTCAGCTCGGCACCGTATATACCTACATACCTTGCGCAACTTTCGTCCTCTCTACCCCTGTTCGACCACAATTTCTCTCTGATTTCTTTCGCATCGCATGTATACCTACAAGCAAACGCATGATCTGCACCACCTCAAGGTCCTTTGTCCGCCGCATCACATTCGACCGCTTTCTTGCACGTCACCACCACCATCATCTTGTCTACGAGCCACATGCATCACACTGTCAACCTTTCTCGCTCTCGTTGCGTTCCTTTTCCTATCAATCCAGCAATGCTCTTTCTTTCGTCGCTTAGCAAATTTCCATCATTTTCGTTCGCACGTACTTCCATTTTGTAATAATGATGCTTATACGGCTTGCCTCATCCGACGGATCGAGTCGCTCGTTCATCAAGAGGCGCTTGAGATTTGGATTGGCACCCAGTATGCAGTACTTGTCAGGATGGTGACTTTTCGTTTTCTCACCTCAGGCAGACTAAAAAGTAACCAGTCTTAGTAGCGCCGCCGCGCGGCCAGAAAACCCTATGCAAATAGGCGACCTGGGCCCGGTAGCAACACTGCTACCGACGGTAGCAACTCGGCGCCGGGACAGGCCCGTACACCTCTTCCAAGTCCGTTAAGACCACTACATTGATCATGTGACGACATGAGAGATAATAAGAAGCAAAGATTGATCTCGAGTTGAATCAGTAACCACACGTAATTTTTTAAATGTTAAGACTCTAAGCGCCTGAGGCCGGGGCTCATGCTCATGGGCGGGTGTCCAGTCACGTGCTTGACGCGTTGTAAGATGAGGAACACGTCAAATTGGCACGCAAGGAATCTGTCGCGCGTGCATGCAGGCGGCCGCCGCTGCTTCCTGCAGGACGTACTACCTGGATCGTCGCAGACTTAACCCACCCGGAGCTCGTTGCTGCTGAGCTACTACACTTGTGTTCTCGTATTCATTCCGCTCAGTCACCATGGGCCGCCCCTCGCGACTCAAACCACGCTTTCCGCGGATCAAGCCTTCGGACTACCTCGACCATCCCGATTGCCCGAATCAATACGCCACGATGCCGCTGTGCCTTGTCACTTTCGGAGGTACGATCGTCGATAAAGGAGGACGTAAGAGGCCGAGGAAGGCCAAGACAGATATGGATGCCACTCCCACCACATCTGCAACGTCAAACGTCGAAACGAGCACGAACCAACGCGTCCCTGTCGCCTCGACCTCAGTCTTCGCCAATGACCTGAACTTCTCCCACGATGATTTCAACGAGGATTATCTCAGGGACTTCCCTCTTGCTCAGCAGGCCGAGTACGAAGACCTAGGGGGAATGGATCTTTCCATGGAGCGCTGGGACCCACCCGACCCCGACTTACAACGCCCAACTCACCAGGAACTCGCACAGGAGGTTTTACCAACTCCCCGCGTCTCCGATCCGCCGGTTGCCGCTAAGCAAGAAGGTTACTTCAAGTTTATCACACTCGAGCACGAGCAGCGCGAGGGCCAGCGCGCTGCCCTTTTGGGTCTCTATCTTGATTTACGCATAAGCACCAATGGGCAGTTTCTGCCGCTCGTTTCGAACAGCGACAAGGACGACTTGAACGTTCCTTCACCATGCCACTGTCAGCACGTGTATGCTCGCGAGGTGGTCCTGTACGACGGACTGACCGGTATGTGTCATGCCAGCTCCGTTCACCGATTTGCGCGATGCATCTTTTCTCGCCGTTGTCCTGGTATCACTGACACGTGAAACCCCCTCTGCGCCTTGCCTTTCAGTCTATTCCAAGCAAGTCACGTTCTGCGCTTCCAATCCGCCCTGTATTGCGGAAGCTGTACGCCTGGCTCAACTTGGGTTTATAGCATCGACCGCTGTCAACCCAGGATCAGCGTTCTCCTTCCGCATGATCCGCCTAGAAAACTCGCGTTGGCGTAACGCCCCTTACGCCCTCACTGGCCACGCTGCAGGCTTCGAAGACTATTTCGGGGACAACGGGTGGTCGAAACCAGAGCATTATCATGGACACCCATATGTGAGCATTTGTTATCGGTTTTTTGCCATGGGTTCTACCTGGACTCATTTGCTGCCTGATTGTGGAGCTCAGGATAAAGAGCTGAGGAAGCAATGGCAGCGGGCGATCGACGAGTTTCGCGCCATCGAAGCATCTGTGCGCGACGTTGGCGACTTTCTCTTGGGCACCGTCGACGCGCTGGCCAACAAATGCCCAGCGTGCTTCGGGCCGAAACGGCTCAACCGACCCCATCACACCCTCCAACTGGATTATATGATCGCGCTCGACGGCAACTTCCAGCAAACCCGAGAAAATAATGCGACATACGACGTCCAAGGAATAGTGCCGAGCTTGTTTCTGTCTGATAAAGCCGTCCTGGACATGAAAGCACTCGTCGAGAATACAGCGCGGCCAACGAAGAAGGTGAGGAGCGTGATATATTTGCGATCCGCCTCGAATACTGAGTAATATCGCTCCGGCCCCGTCGGAAGGCGTGCACAGAGTCGTGGAAGGCTGCTGACGGGGGCGCTGGTCGAGTCTCGTCGCGCAAGATCGATACAGGACTTGTCGCCGGCGTGTGCCGCCATGATATCGCCCTAAAAATGGTGAATCTTGAGAAGACCGGCGAAAAGTGAGTGTATTGAGCTTATGTTCTTCAACTCCAACTTGCATTTTTACTTTCACTGCTGATGCTCATGCCTGCGCTCTAATCACCTAGGCTGTACTTCGCTTTAGCCATTGTCAAGCACATCTCGGACCATCTTCCCCCAGATGCTAGGATTGGAATTTTGTACGACATCGCTTGTAATTTCAAGCACCACATTGAGAAGGTTTGCATTGACCACCTCGGCTCGGGCCCCTCTCCGATATGTCGTTGCTGATCATATGGGCTTTGTGTTTCAACCTTTTCAGGCATCTGCTGCCTGAGCTGTTTGAGTGACTCGAGTTCGCCACAAGTGTCTTCCATGCATACGCCCATACCTGGGGTTGCCAGGCTGACTACAACCCCCGTCTCATCCCGAACTTTGGATTCACTGATGGAGAAGGTTGTGAGCGACTATGGAGCGCGCTGCGCTCCCTCATCCCCATCAATCGTCCATCAAATAAGTCCCACCGCCTCGTCAATTTGGCGGTCCGCACGCAGGCAGTGAACGACGCGAACGTCTCAAGGCTTGGTCAGTGCTCCGCAGTCGCCGCTTCGTCTTTCGCCGCATTGACTCTTTGCACACGACTAGGGTCCTGGTTCACCCGCCGACTTCGCTCAGTCAAGGCTCGGAGCACTGCTGCTCGCAAGGAACTTGACGCCGTTATCGCCCACGATGCCACCTGGTCGGAGGAGGCGCTCCGCGTCGCTTGGCAAGACCAGCGACGAGCGCAAGCGTCGAAAACAGCTACGCAGGAAGCTGAGGAAGATCGTTTGAGGGAAAGCGAGCTTTATAAACTTGCCGAGGAACTTTACAGGATTGACTGCATCATGTACGTGCTTGGTGATAACTACTTGAGCTTGAGCTTGTCCTTCGTTCTCACTGACTCATCATCTTGCTGAGCAGTGACGAGTCTGAACCAGAAGCGCTTGTGGGGCTGAATTCGAAGCACGATCGTCTTGCAAGGGAGATCGATCAAGCAGCAATTGTCCAACTGCAAAGAAGTGGGACAAGCATCTCGTCCACAGGTTGGCCTTAATTCTCTTACTTAGTTTTCCCTGTTCCTGATTGCGATGACGTGCCTATTTGCTTCACAGAGCTTCGTCACTTGTGCCAGTGTTCCGTTGCGCTGCGCAAGCTTCATCGAGAAGTGATTGCCTACAAAAGTAGCCGTGAAAATTTGCCATCGACGCGTCGCGGCAGGGGCGGGTCAACACTTGGTCAGAGAGAGGCCAACAAAGCTCGCAAAACGGAAGTCAAGACACACTCTGGCGCTGAAAAGGCACGTAAGGCATACAACAAGGCTGTCAACGCGTTTCGAACGGCAGGCGGATCATCACCATCGCACCTCCTCAACAATCTTCCATCAGTCGGTAGCCTAGCATCGATTCTTGATCTTGAAGACACGGATTTCTTCTGGCAAGACGGGTTTTTCACGCATGTTGAAGCTGCTTGGGCCACCGATCCGTGGGTTAAACGGGGCATCGTTGCTGTGCGTGACCTGGATCGAGCTGCGGAGGAGTTCGCTCGGATTGGCGCCGAGGTGCGACAAACCCTTGCTTGGCTCGAAGACGAGCACGACCTCATCTCTAGTCGCCAAGCACTTTGGCTAAGCGCGACAGGTCAGTTGTCAGTCGAACGTTACTCCACTAGTCTAGATGCTGATACGTTCTTGATAACACAAATAGATTCCGCTCCAACGATTTATGACCATGATCGTGTTGAACGCGCATTTGGCAGTACCGTCTACGCAACGATCCGGGACCGTGCCCTCGTCATTCTGGAAGCTCGGATGAGGGCTCTTCAAAAGCGCGAACGAGACTGGTTCCGCGATAGCACTTTCTTACTGCTGTGGTACACGACCAGAGGACCAGCGGATACGCACGAACCAGTCCCTCGAGCTCTGAAGCGTCTCACCCCGCATCTGCTGTTGAACCCGGGCAACGTCTCCAAGACGACAACAGCTACTGGAGCTGGCGCGCGTAGTGTTGCGCCTCGGGAGGACGCATCGGGCGCCTATGCAGCGCCGTCCGAGTCGTTCCGGACCACCGATGACGATCGTCTGCTCGCGCGGCGCATCACGGAGCAGCTGGATGCTGACATGAATGTAGAAGGCGCAAAGGCTTTGCATGAGATGCTGGAGCAGCAAGAGGGCATGCTATACGATTCGGACAGCTCTGATGATCTGGTTCTCGACGAGGAGCGTTCTTTGTCGGACTCTGACTCGGAAGAATGAAATGTGAAAAACACTGGCTGCAGTAATTATACCATGAGTTCGAATGATTAATGGTGTGACAATGGTTACTGCATTTGCAATATCAATGTGCACGAACCATGACATGTCAGGCAGGGTTCAGCCCACTGTTCGGATGGTCGGAAGTAATGGGGAGTGCGAGCGTGCCTCTGCAGAGCGTCCTCTTATCAGGGGAACATGGCTCGGAGGTTCCCCTTGCCCGAGCCGAGTGACTTTTCACTCGAAACGCCAGTTGTTACTCGAGTAACTGAAGCACGAACCTTGTCAAAATGGGTGAGCAGGTCCCTTCAGTATGACCAACATACCTCCTGTTGTCAGATGGGGTTCAATCGCAATACTTGGATGTACGCACGAGCGTCCTCCTACCGGAACACGGGTCGGAGGTTCCCCTTGCCCGAGCCATGTTCCCGTGAGCACTGCACCTGAAGGCGCCTGTTGCCACCCCTTCCTCGGAATTGAGTACGATTTTGCTAGAAGCATCGCTGCTTGTGGGCACTGTCGCATGCTCTATGCGTCTCGACTTGTGCTGCCATCATCCGGGAGGTTGAAGCTCAAATTTCAAGGCTTAGCTCAAGTTGCCGCCTTGGAGAGGCCACTGTGGGATCACTCCGATTGAGTCCGATGTGATACACTCCGGGGAAACCCTTGCGATTCGAATTGGGTTCTGACTGGTCATGGGTACCGAAGAGCCCACGCGTCATCAGTGAGTAAATTCACTGCCTGCTATTGGGCCGGCGCACTG